TTCTATTATGTCTTTAAGATTACTATAATAATTTTTAATTTTATTAATAATATTTGATTTAATATTAATTAATTTCTGCAGTTTTAACTTTCTGAAATTTAATTTCCCAACATTTTTAATTAAACATTTTGGATACAAATTTTCAGATAATGCCTCCTTAACTTTTTTCTTTGCCTCTTTCATTCTATTCCTTTTTTTTAATAATTAGTTATATTATATTTTACATAAAAGGGATGATATGAATAGTGATTTAATATAATATTATTGCTTATTTCTTTCTTTGTCCAATACACGTTTATTTTATTTTCATCTTTTATAGTCAACGTGTCAAGAAATATTAATTTTCCATCTTTTTTTACTTCCATTTTAAATTTTAATCTATTGTAGTAACTATTATATTCCTTAATCTTTGAAAGGAAGATTCTTCGGCGTTTCTTTGGACCTGTTAAGATCGGTGATGGTTGGCGAAGGAGAACCAACAGGGACCTATATGATCTGTATGGGGAGACAGATGTGTTGAGGTGCATCAAGCTTGGACGACTAGGTTGGGCTGGCCATGTGGCCAGAAGGCCAGAAGAGGAAGTCCCAAGGAAGTTGCTTGATGGGAAGCTCTGCAGGACAAGAGGGAAAGGCAGACCACGTCTAAGATGGGAGGACGCCGTCATCCGAGACGCCAGAGAATTATTGCATACCCGCAACTGGTGAGCGACTGCGCAATATAGAGCCATCTGGCAAGGGCTCATTGAGGTGGCCAAAGACCACACCGATCTGTAGCGCTATGGAATTAGTTATTTAATATTCTAAGAATTTGTTTTTTTATCTTATTCATAATGCAAAAAATCACTTACATAATTTTCGTTTTTAACTCAATTTTTGCTCTTCACTTTTATAATTTTATTTAGTACCAGACCCGATAAATAATTTAATAAATTCCCTCCCATGGGATAATCCAAAAATCTGGTGATACATTTCATCATTGTATTTAAATATTTATTTTTCACAACAAATTTCTATTTTTTATTTTAAAAGGCAAATTACCGAAATGATTTTATTTTTATTTTATAGAGTAAGGTATGTAAATAGATAATATATTATAAAAGTAATTAATATAAAACTATAATAAGAATATGATGTTTGATTTTTAAAACGTTTCTTCTCTTGAGAATGGTCTGAAGGGCCAATGGTTGAAGCCCCCTCCACCAAAACGGTAATATATAACCATGTTTTATTGAAAAAAAATATTAAAACTATCTCTTAAAGTATTATTGTTCGTGTAATTACATTTAATAGGACGTCAAGAATCACTTAAGAACCATTTTATATAGGTAGTTCACTTCCTTTTTTTTTCAAATTAATTATTGTTATATATATGAAAAAAAAATCTTTCAGGCTGAAGCCCCTCCCCCAAAATTAAATCCTGGATCCGCTAGTGCCCAGGATATGTAGAACAGTCGATAAATATATTGTTCTTTAACCTGCTAACTGGGTATGATGAAATATCTCTTTTCTTTCTTTCTTTTATAATATGTTATAAAAATGTCTTGTCGAAATAAATAGTATCAATAAGTTAAAAATTATTTCCTTTTATTACTTGAGGTATAATGATATTACTTATAATTATGATGAAAAAAGTCCCCATTTTGAAACGAGTTAAACAAAATTTTATTCCCCGGTTAACAGGTCAAAGAACAATACAAATAATGTTAACAAAGTATAGTACAAAAAAGATACTGACTTTCAAATGCTAAAAACCGTAAAATATTCCAAAAAAATTCTGTTTTTTCCATAATTTCAAAATGTTGAACCAAAAATTCTTACATTCGGAGGAGATAGTTTTAGTAATTTTGAAAAGAAGCTTGAAAAATTAATGATAGTTTGGAAGTTATATATAAATAAATAAATGTAAAAATTTAATAGTGTATGGTTCTTTTCCAAATTTCAGTTACATTAGGTCTCCAAATTTTGAGAAAAAAAATTAGAGGAATAAAATGTTTTTTGATTTTTATGGTTGTTTTAGGAAGTTGGTAATTTTATCATATGTAATCAACAACACATCCATCGATACCTCATTTTGAAAAAAAAAATTATATTATTTTTTCTCTTAGAGAATGGGGTGTGGTAATGCCAGATTATAATAATGTAATTTTTTTATATTGTAGGTAAATTGTTCAGTTTTGTTGCATTTCACTTAATTTGAAATATTAAATTGAATGGTGTTGCCAAGTAACAAAACGTTTAGACAGTGTTGTATGGCAATGGAACAGCGATTGTTTGTAACCTTACTTTCTAGATTTAGGGGTTGTTTAGGGAATGTGAAGGTAAAGTGTGAGGATTTAGCCTTTCATGTGCACAAAAGTTTACTCATCTTTTGAAACAGAATAAATTTAAAATATTCTCAAACGAATTACTATCATACTTCATTCATTGTACAAAGTTTGATTAAAATTGACTAACATTAAAAGAAAACTTATGCACCAGAAAGTTAGGCTAAAAAAAAATACTCCAAGGATTTTAATGAAATAATTATTCTCAATACTAAAGCGGAGAAAGATCAAAAATTACCCTTTTTGCTCTGCTTTACATAAATTTTAAAATTTTCTAGAAAGTGATAATCAACACCTGCAACACTATAAAATGGGTCTGTTAGCTGACACATTAATCAATAACTATTTCTTCATATGAATATCAAGAATTGCTCTCATATCCTTTCATAATAGCCCGTGTTTTAAAGTCCTCTCGTTAAATAGTTCAAGATATGCAGCCTACTATATCAGTACATCTAGGAAGTGAGAAAGCAGCATTTCAATTTTTTTAGGGGGGTCATATAATTCAAATGTTTACTAAACAATGAATGGTAAGGCCTCGTCCACAATAGTGCAATGATCATTGCACCAATCTTAATCCTTCAACCCTTACCCCATCTTTGGTCACTTTGGCGTACCGACCCTAACACCTCTTCTAGTATCGATTGATTATTTTTCCTTTTATACAATTCAAATGCAAATAAAGCATCCTTTATTTTACATATTTGGAGAATATTTTAGTCCCTATTGAGCAAACATAGAAACTTCATATACCAAAAAATAAAAAAAATAAAATGAGAACATAAAAAAGATAAGGTTTTTATATTGAAAGTATTTAAACCTGTAAAAAGAAATTTGATAAATTTTAGGATAATAAAGGCACCATGTACCTGAGCCGGAAATTATATCTAATTAGATTTACTGCGAAGGTCTAATTTTATTACCTTTCCTTACTAATTTTATTTTTGTTGTTCAGAATTTAAATAATTGTTTGTAGCAACTTTTCTTTGTGAAATTATATTATTTAATCTGTGAAATAAAAAAAATCAAATCACTACGAGGTTTTATAGATTGCCACAGTGTCAAAATACATTCTTGAATTTTATAATTCGATATGAAAAAAAGTCAAATAAAATCTCTAAAATAATAAAATTTACACTCACAACTTCCATCAATTTGAATATCAATATAATTTTTCATTAAAATCTTTAAAAATAAAGTTGTTCATGTTAAATGGTTTATTGAATAAGTTTCTTTTATTAAAGCTAAATTTGCAATGTTCTTGAGCGATATTAGGTTTTGTTTTTCTTGATTGTTTTTTTTTTTAATTTATAAAATTATCGTATAAATGATTTATTTCTTATCAAAACTATCTTAATGTTATCACAGCTTATAATAACTTAATTATACTCCTAAAATAATGCAATTACTAATTTTTACTCATGCTTGTCTGTTTTAACACTATAGGTAGAGGTACAAATTTTTTTATTTTTGTAATTTATGTGGTAAAAGCTTCTGTGTACTGCTGCTGTTCATTATCAGCAATTAGGCTCTTTAAGAATTAAAAATCAAAACAAAAGAAATATAAGAATAAGGAAATTCATTCAGAATAAATTATATCTATAATACAACTCTTTCTGAAGAACTTAAATAAATAGAAGTTAAACTTTTACCCTAAATTCAGAACTGTGTTGCATAAAAAAGTATGTTTGAACTTATATTTAAAAAAAAATCAAAAAAAAGTTTTGTGGCAGCTGATATAATCAAACTTTTAAAAAGTTCCATACAAATATTTATTCTATAGGGACAAAAGTCCCAGAATGATAAAAAATATTCTCATTTCAAAAATTTTGAGCCCAGACTATGAATACTAATATAGGAAAGGTCATTAATAAATAGAACAGACCATATTATTTAAAAGAATAATTTATTGGGTGATATTTAAATATTTTTACATTCTCTAAATTTTGAAGTAATAAATATAAATAATTACATTAAGGAAAATCCATTTACATTATTACATTTACAAACTGTTATGGCTTTTCATAACAATAAATAGTAAAATCTTTATATTACAATGTTTCTACAAATGTTTTCATTTCAACTTGTTAAGTTGATTTATAAATGCAGAATATATATAAAACATTCAAACAATATAGATATAATAATTGCTTTAATGTACTCAGAATAAAACAACATAATTTTATTTTTCATATGACAGACCACCTCAGTAATTATTATCTCAACCATCATCCTCTTTGATACATTTTTTCTCTTTACAAACATATCTACTATATCTGGATATCAAATAACCTGTGGATAGATAGCCAGGCAAGTTAATAGATTTTAAAATAAACATCCTTTAAAGTACTAAACCACATTATTAGGAACAGTATCAAAATTATTTTTCCTCGACTTTTTTTCTTTATTAGCAAGATAAGCACTACTATGCTAGAATTATAATATAAAAAAATAACTCAAAAACCTAAATGATTGAGAGGTTTAAGTCACTTATTACAATGTATTCAATTTTAACAATCAAAAAATATATGAAGATAAAAATATAAATCATTCCTCAAGAGAAACTAGTTGTATCATAAAATATTTGTTTAAAAAACTCTTACAATTGTATAACCAGTCATCACATTTCAAAATATTTATAAAAAAAAAACAAATAACAACATAGTAAAACAGAGTTTAGAAATCTGTAGTAATCAGTTCTTCTTGAATACTGTTTGATCTCTGTAATTTAGCTAATAATGAAGAAAGTCCTTGCAATGAACTTGATTCTTCTCGGCGAGCTTGATGGTATTTTTCACTAAAATCCTGTAATTGAAAAATAAAAATATTAGTATGTCATAATATAGTTATAATTATTATATTACATATAATCAATATGAAAGACTTTAGAAATCAAGCCAGAGGTGATAGACATACACTTCAAAAACATTCATAAGTTATTTAATCACACATAAATTGAGTGTGAGCTTTTTTAATATTAAAATAGTCAATTAAGGAGCCAGCAAGATAATATTATTGAAATAGTATTTATAGTTTTAAAGAACAAAAATGATTAACACAATTAAACTTCTTGTATAATGCAACATACATTTTGTATATTTAAATTTGTATATCAGTTATGTTATGAGCCTACAGATTTTCAATATTATCCTTTCTTGGTTTGAATAGTTCTATTCTGTTGTAATAAAGTTCAAAATAAAATGTTTTATTCAAAAAGATTATAATTAGATGGAACTAATTTTTTATAATAAAGCTGATAATAATATAACCTTCATTCTGCTACCAAGGAATACAGCTCTTTCTCTCCTTTTGATCATATATTCTGATGGTAATAGCCATCTATGTTCATGACATTCTTCAGCACTTGGACGCTTACTAAAAAAAATACAGTATATAAGTTTTGAAAAAAAATGTCAAAGGATCAAAACAAAACAAATAATAATTTAAAATTTATTATGTTTAATGACCTATCTAAATAAATGGTTACTTTAGAAAAATTACATAATCTAACTAGATCAATATTAGTTTTAAAATTACATTTTTGGATTTTTAATTATTTATAAAATAATTGCTTACTTAGGAGCACGCTTAAACAAAAGCATTAGGAATCTTGTTGCTTCTTGTGTTAACTCTTTATATAAGTGTTCAAATCTGTACCGCACAAAATTAATGTTTTGTCGAGTTTCACCAACACTTTCACCAAGGAAGGGGGACACTCCTGACAACATTACATATGTCAGAACACCCACTGACCAAATATCAGACTGAGGATAAGCTGGCTCCTGGCAGAGAACTTCTGGTGCTGTAAATAAAAATAAAAATAAGTTACCTAAAGCATAATAATAATGAGAAGGTTTGGCAAACCTGGAGGTTTTCAGCAGATACAATTTTTTTTCTCATTTTTACTGGACTGGGGATGTCCATCAGTAGTACTGTATTGTGTTTGGAAATAATAAAAATACTAATGGAATAATACTAGGCTGTTGATGCAATTTTTATATATTTTTTAATTTAAGTTATTTTCTATTAAATTTTGCATTAGAATTTATAAATCAAGTTTTGTTAGCTAATAATCATTTTTCCTGATGGTAAGAAAATATTTCAATAAAAAATGTGTAAGAAAATACTTTTTATCTATTAATTTATTATTATTATTTTGTTTTTTCTCATATATTTATATGGATTTTGCTGTGGACTATCTGCTGTTATCATTAATTATTGTTATTATTTTACATGTGTGAAACCCCACACAAGACATGTGTTTAATGTTGTTATAAAAAAGTGTATTAAAATACTCTATTTCTGATCAATATATTTCACATTAATGAACCCTAGAAAAAACATTAAAGATTTTATATTGGAGAAATTTAGACAGGCAGGATTATAGAAGGCTCATTAAAAAAAAAATGCAATGTTTAATTATAATAAATAATCAAAATGTATCAATAAAACTTGATATATTATTGAAAATTATATATTATTTATGTTACACACTAACATTAATCATTTTTATAGTTTTTTTATGTTAATCAAACAGATTGGAATTTATGCTTCCAATAATTCAATTTTTACCTGAAAATTCAACAGATCCTTGGAAGTTCACTACATTTCCCAATTTACTAACTTTTTGGGCACATCCAAAATCCACCAACTTGACTTGAAGACTGTGTAAGGAAGAAATGACGACATTATCAGGCTGCAGATCAAGATGACAATACCCTCTCCAATGGAGATATTGCAACCCATCTAGTATCTAATAAAAAATAAGAAAAGTGAAAACATTTACTGTTACTATCATATGTAAATATACATGTTGTCTTTGTTATCTCATGGTGTGTATTTAATTAAATAAAGAAATAAGGATTTCATAATAATTGCACCACTGGTAAAAAAAAGTTTTGCATTTAATCATAAATTAAAAAAACCTAAATGCATGCATAAATAAATAGAATCAACTTCTATACAATATTAAACAAAAAGGAGAAAGTAAACTAAATATAATGATAAAATATAGGAAATATAATAATTACCTTTTTCATGTATGAAAGAATATACTATTACAATTAATTTTTACATAGTTATTGGACCCATTTATAACATATTGCTACAGAAACTATTAAATATAACTACTAACACCCAATAAAAAAAAACATTTTCAAGAATACGTATAATTCATATTAACTCTTGTAGCTTCGATAAACAGCCATAACAACTACTATTGTGTTACATCAACAGGTCATTGAGAAACCAACAAGGTAGACCAAATAAGGATCTTTTATAGCAACAGCTACTATTAATTCTTATGTTGCTGCTACATATTTATACAGTTCTACATTTTTTACTAAGTTTATAAAAGAGTGTATTATTTCAAATTCTGTATAAATTATACAGACTTTTTTTTTTATAAAAAAGTGAAACTAAGATACCGTATGATGAGGTAACTTTGGGAAAGCGGGTAAAATTTATTTTGTGGTGGATACACTGTTGGTTCAGTCTGCAAAAACATGTATGTGTAGGCATGTACTGTTTCTGTTAACTTGGGGCTGTTTGAGAACCCTCGTTCACCATACTCATTACGCAGCTAGGTTTTATTTATTTCCACTTTATTTTCAAAATTATTGTTTTCATGAAACTTTTGCTTGTACCTCAAGAACTGTGAACATCAGATTACCTTCAGGTGTGTATACCCATTAATTAATACATTCTTAAGGGTTTAATATTGAAGCAATCATGTTATCGTAAGTACTTTGTTTCATAAGCTATAAATTGTAAATTTTCAGGTGTTGCCATGGCAACTTAAGGACAACCCCTATGGTCTGCCATGTTTTGTTTTATTTATATTGGTTAGTTTTTTCAGGATTTTATAGGACAATGTCTAGAAATTCAAAATGAGCTCTTGGCACAAGGTCATACAAAAATTTACAGAAAGCCTTACTAGCAATAAGAAATAAGACACTATCGATCTGAAATGCCACTTCCAAGCAGGAAATTCCGAAAAAGACACTGCATCTGAAATCCCAAGGGAAACTTTGTAGATTGGGCTACAGTCTTTTCAAGGGAAAAAGAGGAACAGATGGCGGCACATGTTGTCGCCATGTCAAACTACGAATTTCCAGTCAACTCCTTTGATTTATTTAGTGTTGTAAAATTGTATCTTGATAGAATTGGAAGAAAAGAAACTCGCTTCAAAAATAACACCGGAAATGATTGGGCAGATTCGTTTATGAAGCTCCACAAATCGTTTTGTTCCATTAATACGGATTTATTGGTCTTATGTTTTCTTAAATATATATTGTTGAATAAAATTGGTACACACTCAGTTTGCAGCTTACTGTTTCTTTTCTAAATAATAAACTTATACTATATTGTGGGGTAAAATTGGTCCCAATTCTACCCCAATCAGTGGATTAACATTAGGACCACTTTAAATTTTTTTTTGTCAAATATTCGTATTTATAGAGTAATTGTTCTGCCATTTTGTGTAAGAGAAAGAATGACTTTACATATTAATAATTTGTTCAGCATTTTAACTTTGAAAATAAAGATAGAAGCAGGTTAAAACTTTGAAAAGTGTCCCAAAGTAACCCCATCCTACGGTATACTTATACAATATACCTAATAAACTAATCATGAAAGAATGGTATTTTAAATTATAAAAAAATATTTTTAAAAAATTGCTTAACAACATGCAGCTAATATATTGGAAATAATGGATTCCCAGCATAATCTTAAATAAATAGTGATAGGATTGATTAAAATACATTTAGAAAGATCTCTATCTTAATCCCAGCAGAAGCAAAAAAATGAATAAGGCACATCAGAATCCTTAAGATTTACATACCTCATTTCTTTGAAAACTGTTACTTACTTGTTAATAGTGAATCAAGAACAGTTGTAGATTTACATCCTGTTGTTTACATTTCCCAAGCAGCAAGAGGCAGGTTTCATACATCTATATCTCGGCCATTTATGAAGATAGAGAAAAAATATAAACTATTTTTGAATCATCATATTCCCTCCTCTAGTACCGCCAGTGCAGTGTGAGGAGGAGCTCTATCTATAGACATAGTAGTCTATGTCTATAAAGCTCTAGCTTTTTCCAGCTCTGCCGGTCTTCCACCAAATGCCTTCTCTCATTCCATTGGACTCCTGTTTTCAGGAAATTCTTCTTTACTTCGTCTTTGCATTTATTTATTTCTTGGTCGACCTTTTCCTCTCTTCCCATCAAACTTGGCTTGATAGACCTCCCGAGCCTTTTTGGTAGGTTCCATTCTTAGGAGATGTCCCAGCCATCTTAGTCTATTCTCTTCTATAACTTCATGGGCTGGTTTTAACGTTGAGGTTCGCCCTGATTGTAGTGTTGTGGATCCAGTCTCTTCTTGTTTTACCCTCAATTTTTGTCAGAATGGGAAGAAACGTTGACCTAAACACAACCACTTTTGTCTTCCTCTTGTTTGTTCAGGAAGCCTCTCTTCACTGCTTCAAACATTCTGCCAGCACTTGCCATTCTCTTAGTAACCTCTGTATCAATATAATCACTTGTTTGAGGACCATGTTTTCAACTATATGACACGTATAATTTTTCATGGCTTCTTCCCTATCCTCATTGCTTTTGTCTTTGTAGGAATTATGACCATATTGAACTGAAGCAGCTCTTTTTTGATCTGTTGAGTTTGTGTTTGAGATTCCTGTCGTCTTCTGCTAAAATAACAATGTCATCGGCAAATGCAAGAAGTGAGAGTTTCACTGGTCTTAGATTGGCATATGCTAGGTGGAATTTCCTTTTATTCTCCTTGGTCCTCCGAATAGTTGCATCCATAACTAAAATGAACAGTAGCAGACTCAAGCTACAACTTGGCCGGTTCCTATCATGATTTCAATATCTTGAGATGTAAAGTTGGCAAACCTTACAACGCTTCTTATTTTCTTGTACAAACTTTCCACTGCCAGTATATGTCTTTGATCTACGTACTCCCTTATCTCTTAAGGTCTCTGAGATATCTGTCTTCCTTACTTGGTCAAAAGCTTTTGTAAGGTCAACAAAGCATACTGAAAGTTCTCTTTAATCTTTTTCTAACACTTTTTCAAAGACCTGTCTCATGGTAAAAATAAGATATTGGGTGCTGTGATTTTTTAAAAAAATCCATATTGTTCTTTTCAACCTTGCGACTGTTCCTTTTATTCTCTTCTCTAGGATCTTGGAATATATTTTGCTTGGTATGTTTAGGAGAGATATTCCATAGTGGTTGTTGCAATCTCTGTTATCTCCTTTCTTAAAGATTGGAATGATGACTGCTACTTCCTAATCTTTCGGTATTCTGTGATACTCTGTAGCACTATCTCTGTTTCGTCTTCATCGATAAAATCATCCTCTTTCCAGGTATTTGCTTCATTTTGCTCTTCATTTACTTGGGTTGGATCTCTATTCTTTTTCAGCTAATTTTGGAAGTTTTCCCTCCATATTTGGTCACTCTGCCTGAGAATATTCCCCTCCTTGTCCTTGAGAAACTTTAATATTGGATCCATCTTTCCATTATTTGGTCACTCTGCCTGAGAATATTCCCTTCCTTGTTCTTTTCCTTGAGAAGGCACTCTTTCTTTTCTTAATCCCTTGAGTACACCGTATAGTAATTTTTGATTTTGTTGGAAATATGATTCCAATTTTAGTTCAAAATCCATCCATGCTATTCTCTTGGTTTTTATGACCTTGTTCTTAGTCTCAAGTCTTCCTCTTGTACTGCTCTGTTTTAGGATAACTTTTCTGATGTTTTGTGCTCAAGGTATTCTTTCCAAACAGTTTTCTTCTTTTTCACTTAATCCCACCACCATGCTGATTTCTTATACTGGGCTCCAATTCGTTTTTTTCCACAAACTACAGTTGCTGCATCCAATATTATTTTCTTAAAGCAGCATATTTTGGAATCATTGTGCCAAATTAAAATAAATTCTAATATTTTTTCTTATTCAGAAATAATAAAATATTGTACAATAGCTTTCAACGTATTTTATTTTTACATTAATTTATAATTATTTTTACATATAATGGCAGAGTATGAGCACATATTATTACATTCTAATTAATCAATTCCTATTTCTATGACTTGGTCTCAGAATACATTTTCATATTTAAACAGGATTGTATACAATAAATTATTGGAAAAGAAATATTTTGTTTTGCTATATATTAAGAAATATATTCTATTCATTATTTTACCTTTATAAATATTTATAGTTATTCCCAATTCAAAATTGAACATTTTATCAGAAGCTGATTTTATGGTTTCAATTTTGATTCAAGTTTTGTTCAATAAATTGATAAATTGAAGTATCTTGAATATTTAATTTATTAAACTGAGATCTTGAATTATGATAAAAAATGTTCATGCTATGTCCCTGGAGGTGTGCATTATTCTTTGAGCATTTGCTTATTGCCTCATATTTCCAGGATGTATGAAAAAATGTAGTAAATCGATTATCCTTCCACCCACTAGCGGATCCAGAATTTAATTTTGGGGGGAAGGGCTTCAGCCTGAAACCTTTTTTTTTCATAAAAATAACGATAATTACTTTAGAAAAACAGAAAGAAACTAACTATCTATATGAAATGGTGTTTAAGTTATTCCTTAAGTACTTTTAAATGTAATTACACGGATAATAATACTTTAAGAGGTATTTTTTAATTTTCTTTTCCCATAAAACATGGTTATATTTTTCCATTTTGGGGGGGGCTTCAGCCCGAAAGCCCCCCCGTAGATCCGCCCCTGCTTCCACCTGAATAATAATTTATTCACAAATGTTGGAATTAGTGAGTATATTTTAAACAGCAGTATTTCTTTTTCTCAAGGGTTATTTTGGAAGGGAAAACACTTTTTTTCTACCAGTGGATCCACTACTCTACTGCCTGTGGGTAATACTTGAATATTCAAATAGCCCTACATGTTTCTTTCATTTGTTTGATACACCTAAACCAGATTATTCTACTTTTGCTTATGTTGTTGAGGATAACTAGGTCAGCCCTACCCTATTTCTTATTTCTCTTTTTGATACTCTTTGTAATACTGATAAGCTACAATTATCCTTTATAGCTTTTATCAGACTCATTGTCATATGCCTTCTGGATGTCAGCAATATTAAGTGAGTTTTGACTCATATTCATATACTATTCTTTTCTGCAAAAGTTGAGCCAGAATAAAAATATGGTCACTACATGTTCTCTCACTTCTGAAGTCCACTTGCGTCTCTGTAACAGAACTTTTCCTTTCAAGAAGGAAGGATTCAACCATAATGTCTGTCTTCATTGCTTGTCACCATGATTCTTCTGTAATTTTTACATCAAACTTTTATCATTAGCTTTGATAAAAGCTATTAATTATGTATAAGTAATAATTATAATAGCTTTTATTAATTATTATTAGCTATTAATTAATCTTTTTCTTTTATTATATTGTAATTATATATTATTATTTTATTAAAACCATGGATTTGCCATTTCCTAATTCTGATAAAAAGGGTTTGAAATTTCTTTTAGCTTAATGAATGAAAAACTACATGCATAACATTTTTGTTACACAAATGACCCATTTTCACTCATGGTTTTGTTTTTGAAAACAACAAAAAAATAAATTAGTAAATTTTGACCTATTTTCACATCTATGACTTTGCCTTAGAACCAATAATATATTATACCAATTATTTACCATGATACACCTATAATTTACCTGTGTAACAATAGTAGCTACCATCTGTTCCGTATATTCATGCCTACTCGCAAGGAAAGTAACAACATCTGCTCCTTGTAGTTTTTCTAATATGAAAACACAATAAGGATCGTCAAGAGGCCTGAAAATAGCAATAAAATTAAATATTAAAAATGAAAAGTTGAATACACATTAGAAAAATAGATCTGCTGTCAGCAGTGAGAGACTATTATGAACTATTAAGAAAGATGCGTCAGTTTAAAGTATTTCCACTTGAAAGTGATTAAGTAATACAGTGAAATCTCTCCTAAAAACAAATCTCCCTCTTAAACAGGTGTGCTTATGTACAATGGACAATTTTTAAATTTCTTGCCCTGGAAACATAGGAATTTAGACCCCCTTGTAAAGGAAAACCCTTGAATGGACACTGACATCCAGATTTTCATCACATATAAATAAATTTATGCCTCTGAAAGGCCATTAATGTTGAATATTAATAAAACATAATTGATGGTTTCATATTTTGATATAGATACATATATAGGTACATACATTTAAAAATTATGTATCTTGAAGTTATTTTTTTAAATTAATTAAATGGATGTCATCTTTCATACTATAACACAAATTAAAAAAGTCCTATAAGAGAAAAGATGATACCAAAATACACTATATTCCACAAAGTGATGGTTTTTCATGAAACAGAAATAGTAAATTCAAATAAATAAAATCTGACAAAAATTAATACTTTTTTTTTCTAAGTCCAATGTATCAATTTTTAAAATGAATTATGTTTAGGTTAGATACTTAAGAGTAATCCTTGTGGGCATAGCTTAGGCAGGGAAATTACAATTAAGCCTTGTCACACCATCTTGAAATTTCCCTAAGATTTTGATTTATTACACACTCCTTCAATTACATTAACTAACTTGTAAATTAATTATTAATTCATTAATTAAAAGGGTCTCGTTTAAGTTGCTTAACTAAAAATAACTAGGTTGTTTATGCATTGTGTTTACTAAGTTTATTTCTGTTTTAAAACTAATTGCATAATTATTTGATATTATTATATTCATATTAATTTTAAAAGATACTATGTCTAATATTTTATGTAGCCGAAAATTGAATCAATAAACTTTATTCATTCAAAAATAAACCTATTTTAGATATATTCAGTTACATATTAATTTTTAAATAAGCACTTATATATTATATTTCAGTGGACACCTCTCTGCAATGGACAAATCATTAGGACCCATGGCTGTCCACTGTAAAGAGGTTTCACTATAGTTTGCAAAAGTCAATTTTTGAGACCCTATTACCTCAATCAATACAAAAGCCATTAAGGGATCATGGCTTCCTTTAAAAGCCAGGCCTTGAAAAAATAATTCCTGAAATGATTTTAAAGTCCATGAAGTATAATGAGTATTAGGAGTGTTGGAACCATTAAATTACTATATAAGCAATTAACTTATTCATATTGGCATAAGATAGTCATGTTAATAATAAGCGGCTGATAATAAAACTTACATATATGCTTCCAACAGTGTTGCAATTCTTTCATGTCTAAATAATCTTAAAGCTTCAAACTCCAATGCAACCTTTTCTTTAGAACTTTCACCATTATCCAAAAATTTTGCTACTATCATATGATCATTAGTCTTATCAATACCTTTAACTACAATTGAAAACCTTCCCCTGAAATAATTTAAAAAACATAACATATAAAACTCTGCATTGTGAAATAAAAGAACAAGTAATAAGTATAAATCATAAAGGTCCTGGCTGACAGAAATACTCTGGCAGGAAACATTAAAACTCAAAATCCAAAGTGGACCTCATACAGAATATTTCATATCTTTAGAAGTCCTTCCAGGTGATACAAGAATATAAACAAAAGTAAAGTACATTGAAATGTTTGGTGTTCTTCTGAATGAGAAAAGGGGGGGAGGGATATGCAATTTATTCCAATTAAAAGGAAAGTTGAATTGCAAAAATTTGGGCAAATATTTCAGAATTCAGATGATACCTTTGAATAAAGATTTATTTTTATTTGCCTTTTAATCAGTTTATCACTGAATTGATTTTAGTGTCTATTGGTGGTCTTAATCATCGGATATCAGTTTGTAATTTAAAATTCGTCATCAAGACTGAATGTATCGGGATCAGCACAGCAAGTCTGGAGATGATTCCACTCCTCATTTGTGACAAAACAGTTATTCTAGACCATGGTCCAGTTCAACACAGAAAACCAAGAAATTTAAGTTTTTTTAGGTATTACATTTTTCTAAAAGAAAGCAATAGCTAGAAAACTATTCAACTTAAGTAATTATTGAGGAAGATATGGCTAAACACCTTTTGGTGAGGGTCCATTATAAGTGTTTTATGCCAGTTGTTTTTACACAGATCTTAATTAAGGGAATTGATCCCTATGGTATTAGGTACTTGCTTTATTTCACAGGGCTCTATAACATGTTATGATGTTTAGGCCTCCTTAATAAGCAATTGCCTGGAGTCTCCGTCTAATGCCGTTGCCATCCAGTTGTGGAACCATGGCTCCTTGACCCTTCTTTAATCCATGGATGACTTCAAAAGCAGATTTCTCAGTATCTGCTCATCATTCATCCTTGCCACATGACCTGCCCACCTTAACTGGCTTGTTTTACAATTGATACATGTTGGGCTGACCATAGAGATCATAAATCTCTTTTGTTGGTCCTCCTTCTCTATCTTTCGTTAATTATGACAGGTCCAAATATTCGCTGAAGAATCTTTCTCTCAAAAAGTAAAATGTTTTGACAAATTTCCTTGCTTGTCACCCTGGTCCTCTGCACTGTATGTGAGGATTGGGTGTGTTTGAGTTTTATACAAAATAATCTTTGTCCTCCTTGAAATCAACCTGTTTGCTAAGTGGTATCTTAGCCCAAAATAGCTTCAGTTTGCAGATTTTATTCTGATTTCAATCTCCATTTCATTGTCACATATAACTTGGGATCACAGGTATATGAATTCAAAGAATTAATTTTCCAATCATACTTTCTTCTCAGTCCTTGGGGTCTGCTTGGATAACATTACTTGTTTTTTTCTTGGTTAAACTTCAGACCAAGTTTTCTGGCTTTTTCTTTGAGAGCAGAGAATTTCTCTCTTACCGCTTGCAGTGATCTTCCCACAATGTTTACATTGTCTGTGAATGCTAATAGGTGTGGGTACCAACTTGTAGTATATTTTTCCTGAGGTCTGAATACCTGAATTCCTAACTGCTTTTTTAATTGTTAGGTTAAAAATTAGACGTACTAGAGCACCCCTTGATGGGAAAATATCATTGACTTAAAGTTTTCTTACTGATTCCCTGTATCTGTGCGATACATTCAAGGTCTGTCATGGTAATTTTTACTAATTTAACCAGCTTCAGAGGAATCCGGTATTCCCTGAGTGCTATGGTATTAGGTAGTCAACTTAATTTTTCTATCTGCTAAACTTGTTTCAAATATTTATATTTTAATTAAAATAATTCAAGCAATTGGAAGATTTATTATTTTCTTTTTTTTTTTAAATGGTAAGTAACTATAATTAGCAAATAATAACAAAAAATACGCCAATCTGACTGATGTCCGCTTTTTCTAGTGGCATATAGATTTTCATGTGACAGATTAAATTCCCCATTCCTGGTAAATGTAAATCCTTCAGAAAAAAAACATTACTTCTGCAGAAGTGTGGAAAATGCTCCAATAATGCTTTGGAATACAGCATACATTACCAAGAGGACATCGATACCAATTTAAGGTAATAACTCATTAATATTACTGAACATTTATAAAAATATGAAACCCACCAATTACTTGAAATATTTTCATGAGTACATAAATATTAGAACCGAAGTTAGAATAATATCATTACGTTGGTCACCTAATACCACAAAGTCACAGAAAGAAAAAATTGGTTCATGATATTTTGTTGTAAATATTTATGCTGAAAACTTAGGAGACAACTCTCAGCTAATTCTATCACAAGCCTCAACTTAATTGACATGGATTTATATCCTATTAAACAAGGCATTTTTTTCTAAAAGTGGGGAATCTGTAGTTTGGTAACATGCTGATAAAAAAAATGCAAATCCATGATTTTATGAAAAACAGAACTTAGCAAAGTTTAGCTGCTAGCAAGCCCCCTTAAAATGGTTTTAAAAAAGACAAATTTCACTTCCTAATGAAGAACTTTTTTTCTGTCTTACTATGCTGCAATTGATAATTATCTAAGTTGAATAAGTTTTTAGTTATTACTTCCTATTCAATAAAAAATGTGACACTTAAAAAAAAAAAAACACTAAACTTAAATTCCCTGCATATTTGGTTGGAATCAAATCATAATCTACTTAAACTTTTTTTATTGCAAATAAGATGTGGAATCACCTCCTGCACTGCTGATTCTAATAAAACCTTTAGAATGGATAATATAAAGTTAACAAAGTGAAAATAGAAAACTTAACACTAATCAGTGTCCTGATCATTTTGAATAAATGATAGGATATGAAAGCACCCAGCTTTTTGTGTAGTAGGGACTTTAATACATATTTATTTTTCAGTATTATGTTTATCAATCAAATTTAACTAAGAAATATTTCAAAGAAAAGGGTTTTTTTTTTTTTTTTTTTCTTTTTTTACATAAATAGGCAATTAATCAATTTTAAAATGTTGTTATAGAAATCATTCAAAATTAGTTTACAATTTAGATTACTTATGATCATCATTTAAATAGAAGAAATACCTACCTAGATATTTCAGAAATAAATTGATATTTACTGAATGGACTTTGCTTTGTCCATTGCACAGGGTTTCTTTCAATGGAGTAGTCAAGAAGAGGTGTTTTAGGTTTACTTAAATCATCAGCCATTTCACTCATAGCTTGTAGATGTTTCATTGTGTTTGGTAAATTAATTGGTTCAGAACCTAAAATTTCAAAACAAAAGAAAGAAAATGAATAAATAACAGCACAATAATGAGCACGATACCTTTTAAATAGGATTAATAACAAATTTTGATGAAAATTATATTATAGACAATCAAGTGAAAAAAGACCAATAATAAATGAGAGTAGCTAATTTATTATTATTAATTTATTGATTAGTCATATTTCTTGAAGGAAAGAAGACAAAGAGGTAAGTTGGAAGCAATGTATTGATGACCAACTCATTCATTTACAACACTTTCCTTGAACATGCCTCTTAAATTATTTATTATTCTATTTTATTTCTTTGATATTCTTTTAAAGATACACAAATATAAATTATAATAATTAATTTACCTTCTTCTAATGTTGTTATTATCTCTGAAGGAATTCCAAAGTCACTTGACCCAATAGTATTATGTGCTGATAGACGGAATATATAGGCTGATTCTGATTTAAGATTTTTTACTAAATAAAATTCATGTTGAATCTTTGTTTTGATATTTTTCCATTCAAACCCATCTAAAAACGTAACATTTATGAAAATAAATAACAGCACAACATTAAACAGCTTTAAATACAACATTAAATATTAAAACTTATTATTCTACAATTAGTATTACCAATGATTTAAAGTTATTTGCCTTAAATTATTATTATTAATTTAATTTTCATATTAATATTTGGTTTATATTCCATCATATGCCACTACTGGGCAACAATAACTGATAATACAAATAAAAGAATAAAAATGCATGGACAATTTAAAAAAAATATAGGTAAAGAAACTATGAGGAATATTCATTGGTGCAAAATTTTCATTTTGATTGTGGGGGAGGAAGGAGATGGGAAAAAAAACATTGGAGTTTACATAATGTGTAAAAACTTTTTAAGGTGATAAATGTATAAAATCAACATAATATATTGAAAAAAAAACAATATAATAATGATTATTTAAAAATAGCTTTATAGCCTTATAATAGTTACTTTTTTTGTACATTAATATGTGGCATTCATACTTTTCTTTTTCCCAACAACTAGGACATTTGTGGCATACAGTGGAGGGGGAGTTTATTAGGATAATGATCCTATTCTAACCAGAGTTGGAAAGTCAGGATTCATTCCATATGTACACCGCAAAATAAATTTTAACACATCCGAGCCAGATTCGAACTGATACCACAAGACTTGAGGTTGTTACGATGACACCAGGATTCTTGCCTATCAGGGCCTCATGACATCAATATAAATCCATTTGAAAGAAAGACATATAGAAACTTATCTGGGAAACTGCAAAAATGCCACAAGAATGGAATATGGAACTATTGTGCCCCATATTTAAAAAAGGTAGAAAAGAAATTTGCTCCAACTATATATGTATCACACTACTAGGGATGCTCTATAAAGTGCTTTCTAATACCATCATGAGAAGACCCAACATCTATACTGAAAATATTTTGGGCGAATACTAATACGGCTTCTGATATGGAAAGGCACAACAGATCAAATTTTTGTCATTAAGCTAACTATGGAACTTTTCTATGAATATAATATGGACCTACCTACACCTTGTATTTATAGACTATAAACAAGCTTTCGATTGTGTGAAAAGAGCTGCTCTATTCACTTCCCTCGAAGAATATGGTATACCTTCCAAACTTATAAGGCTTATAAAAATGGCATTAAGAGATAATGCTACTAAACTTATGATTGAGAACTAAGTGGGTGATGCCTTTTATGTAGCCTCTGGAGTAAGGCAAGGCGACACATTTCATCGGCTACGCTGTTCACCTTGGCCTTACATTCAGCAATTAAAAATGCAATTAAAGCTGGAACACTAGCCAATAAAATCTGGCAAATTTGCATGTATGCAGATGATTTGTTTATCATGGCCAGATGCAAAGCAGCGCTAAGAAAAGCCTTCGAAATTATTATAAAAAAAGGTAACAGGGTTGGGCTTACTCTAAATCAAGAAAAAACAAAACATATGCAATAAAAAGCAACACATAACCAAAAAGCAAATAACTATAATAAGTGAACAAAGAAACAACATCATCTTCCTTCACAATTATACATTTGAAAGTGCAAACAGCTTCACTAACTTAGGTTCCTCAATCAATATAGAAAACAAGATTAGCCATGAAATACAAAATAGAATAATGGCCTGAAATAGGGCATATTATGTGAACCTGAAACTCCTCAAATAAAAAATTCTCTCAAGGAAGACCAAAGCAAACCTGTATAATACTTTGATCAAGCCGGTTGTCGTCTACAGCTTGGTAACCTAGAGCCTACTACCAACAGATTGTCAAGAACTGAGAGTTTTTGAAAGACAAATTATAAGAAAGATAAGTGGTGCTCTAAAGATTGATGGAAAGTGGAAGATCAAGATAATACAGAAATTACTTCCATACTGAAAAATCATGATATAGTTAATTATATAAAAGCAGGCAGGCTACGATGAGCAGGTCATATTGTTAGAATGAAAGAAGAAAGGCTGCAGGAGTAGATGCTGGAAATGGCAATTGTTGAAAAAAAGAGTCAGACCGAGGAGCCGTTGGAAGGACGTAGTAAGAGATGCTGCCAAGCTGGGTATCATGAATTGGAAGCACACTGCCAAGGACCGTAATGGATGAAAGCATTCTGAAGGCCAAGGGTCATAAAGATCTGTAGAGCCAGGGAGTAAGTAAGTAAGCAAATTATGATTATTGCATGCAATTTAATATCCATTTATTATATATCATGAAATGATGTTTTGAGCCTGTTGGCTAATTTTCCAATTATCTAAATATCTTTGCCTACTTTCCACCATTTACTAATGCACTTATGGTAGTCCATAATTAAATTAAAATATTTCCATCATGCTGCATATGTCTGCATATAATACAATGCCCGTTGAAAGTCATAATATTCAGGACAATCTTTCCCTTTCCATTGTTTAGAGTGAACAGTTATAGTCTGCATATTATGACTTTTGACAAATGAAGCCTTATACAACATGACAAAAAAGTGTTAATTTATTTTTGGACTACCATAAGTGCATTAGTAAGGGTTGAAAAGTAGGCAAGAAGAAAATAAAGGTATCCAGATAACTGGAAAATGAGCCAACAGGCTCAAACGGATGTTTCATGATATACAGGGTTTCTCAGTTCTTAATGGCAAAACTCTGGGGGGTGATTCTAGACAAAATTTTCAACAAAAAAGTCATTTTTTTTTTTTTAAATATTTTGTATTCTTTTAGGTGACCACGTTTTTTATTGAATAAGAAATTCGAAGTATACCATCGTAATATGACCGTTGTACTGCTGCTGTTACAATACTCACACACAAGCAGCATATCTCTGTATTCCTGATTCATATGCAGCAGTCGTATTAGACCTCCTGAAAGTCCCTTTTATCATTGGCCTTAGTAAATTTAATCACTGTTTTCTCAAAGAAAACTATCTCTACTTTATGATGGTGTGCTTAAAATTTAATTATCTTCAATAGTTTTTGAACAATTCCTTCTTATGTAATAAAAAACGTGACCAATTTAAGGAATAAGCAAAATTGGTCTTAATTCCTTTTCCATTCGGAATCGGCCCATGCATCAAATGATTTTTTTTGTTGGAAATTTATTCTAGAATCACCCACAAAGTTTGGCCATTAAGAATTGCGACACCCTGGATAAACAAATGAATATTAAATTGATAAGCGTAATTATCTCTTTGAAACAAATCTATGATAAATTAATCTATGTTAAAAAACATTAACAAAGTTAAAAAAATTTCATTTATTATATAGTCTGCTTTGTATTCAACAATATGGCTGCCATTTTGATTAGGTTAACAGTTATAACCTGTTCTACCACTTTCCTTTTGCCTTAAAGAAGACCTTCAAAATAAGCTGAAACTTGTACACATACTAAAACAATAATAAATTTACTGGTTTGGTTTTTACTACTATCCAACCTTTATTTTCTAGCTTTAATCCTTTATCAACAATATTTATATAATTATTTACCATTTAGTTTATACTGTAGTGTGTAATATACAATGGGTGATTGTCCATCATGCTTAGGCTGCTTCCATCTCAACAGAACTTCAGTATCAGAAACTTCTGATTTCTGAGGAGAATCGGGTGCATCGGGAACTGAGGCTAACAAAACCCTAAAATTTGAAATTCAAAAAATAAGCATGAGTCGAGAAAAAATATAAAAATTTTATCCCTACATTATTGTTAATTTAATTACCATTATTTAAAAATAAAAAGGTTAATTTGACTAGAATCATATTTGCATGTATCCAAGCCATAAAACAATCATACACTTTTAATTTTAAAGATTTTTTTTTTTTTATTATCATTGAACGTTAACAAGTTAGTACAAGTAAGGTTACGGTCCCCAGGGTTCGATATTCGTCTCAACTACCAAACAGCCACGATTGTTTAGAATTTTGTCTATCTTACGAAGTCTCTAAAATGGTAATTTTTAAAAATATTCGAATGAGATTTGGATAGATGTAAAGATACGAGCGTAAATAATCATTATATCTGATAAAAAGTTTTCAGATGCCAGGAACTGATACCGTACCAGACTGATAAAAAATTATTTCAGTACAGTATCATCCCCCAATATCTGATACATATTTCTGCCGTCGCAGGACAGTGCACATGAATGGTCTTGTCATTTTCGGGCTTCTTTCGCGCAGTAGCTCTTGAGAGTTCATCTTTCATTGTTCCCCTCGCTTATTTAACATGTATAAATAAATGAATAATAAATAACATACATATAAATAATGTATAAATTATATCTTGAAAATTATAATTATACGTAATAAATAAACTTTTTCTCATTTCATTTTCAGTATTTAAGATTTATATCCCTAAAACTAACACTTGTTTACTAAAATAAAGAGAAATAAGGAAAAACTCATCATATAAACAGCTTCGGACATCGGAGTCCACTCCTACGATTGCTAGCCATTAATAAGTACATAATCAACAGAGAGACTCTAAATAGAGAATTTAGTTCGCCTTTGTTGTCAAAAAATAGCGGTATACCTCAAAACTAATGTATGTCCCCGGCATCCGATTCCGTTAGGAACTTCATAACCAGTGTCGGTTGCCGGGGACCGATATTGTCGGGAAAGACATTTAAAAGATATCATGCTCAGCAGCTAACGTGTTAAAAGAGAATTTTTAGATAAATATATACATATTGTATAATTTTTTTTTTTTCTTCAAGGAACTAGGTGTTGATATTGGGGATCTTGCAATATAGGACAAAAATATTATTCTAGTCTCACTGGAGATCATACACTATAAAAACAATAAATTGAGGATATTTCTTGTCATATACTTATTTATTCAATTTCAATTTTTAGTCCAGTCTTATCTTTTTATTTATATTCATGAAATCATATTGGTTTATATGTGTGCATTTTAATCCTGTATTTCTAGCATTTGAATTTTTTTTTTAAATATATATATTATGTAATAGTAATAGTTTAATGTTGTGTATCAATGATATATTATGTGATTAGTATTAGGAAAAGGGAGGAAAAAGAAAAACATATACATGATAATAAAATAATGTAGTTAATAAAGTCATAGGTGCAGACTTTTGATTTTAATTGGGAAGGGCGATGGAAAAAAATATAGTGGAAATTTTTATTATATGTAAAAATTCAACATAATTATTGTACAACGAACAAACAGAACATTGAATATTTACATTTGCTAATATGGTTGTTGTTTAGTTAAATGGGTTTTTATTTTTTTATTTATTTTATTGTGCTAAATACTTGAAAACATCTTTTAAAAAAATACAATTGAATACATAACGTACTTGTTTAGCTTAAACACAGGGAGGGGGAGGGGGTGTAGAGAAACAGCCTCCATAACATTGGTACATTTCTGTAACTTTTTCAGCTAAAATGAATGTTGTAAAAAAAAGTAAAAAATATTTTTGATTTCCTAGTGTGTACAATCTCAAATGAAAATACAACATTTTTCACGGCCCTACTAGTAGGCCGCGGAAAAATGTTATTATTCACATAAAAATTGAGGGGTGATTGAATCATAAAATCCTAGGATATGTTGATATGCAGGGTATCCCGTAAGTAGAGTAAAATATTTAAACAAGTAATAGTAGGCCTCAAGAGCTATAAAAAAAAATTCTTATAAACAATGATTCGATTTTCAGCAGAATAGTTGAAAATTAAAGTTTTGTGTTTTTTTTTAAAGTAAGTCATGGTTTTTGTTGTAAAGGAAATGATAACTAAAACATAATTTAATACAATTAATTAAAAATTGATTCAATGTAAACTAAACAAAATTTACTTAATATGAAACTGGAGTTTGTCATTGTTAAAACCATTTAAAGAGGACTTTTGAGCGGATATACTAAGTTAAGTTCTGTTTTTAAAAAATCATTAATTACTTGCAATTTTGATTTTTCAACCTCGAACTATTCTACAGACACTCTTATAAGAAAAACTTTCTTATTTTAAAACTTTAAGTCCATATTAATTAAGTTGAGGGTTTATTATGAAACAAGTTGAAATTCAACTAAAGTTGTGTAAAAAAATGTGTTTTGATATCCAGTCATCTTAAAGTACACGTGTTTTGAGCAAAATTGACCACAATAAATTATTGCAACGCTTTGATTTATTTTGACTTTACCTGGGATGTATTATACATAGTGTCCCGTACGTAGAGGGAAATATTTATAGGAGGGATAGCAGACCTCAAGAGCTACAAAAAAGTTTTTATAAACAATGGGCCAATTTTCAGCAGAAAAGAATCAAATCCAGATTTTGTGATAAACTTAATAAACCTCAATTAATTAATACAAATTTGAAGCTTATTAAACTAAGAAGTTTTTGTAAAAGTGGGGTAACAGTTGTATAGTTGGACGATGATAAAAAAAATGACGAATTATTTATGATTTTTCTAAAATCAGAACTTAGCTTAGTTTAGGCACTCAAAAGTCCTCTGTAAATGGTTTTAACAATGATAAGTAACAATGATGATTTACATTGAAGCAATTATTAATTATTCATATCAAATATTTCTTTAGTTATTGCTTCCAAATAAATAAAAAAATGACTATGGAACTGTGTTTTTATTACAAGTTTGTTTGTAGTTTTATTATGATGTAGTTTTATTACAAGTTTGTTTTTTTATTACAAGAATGTTTGTTATTACAAAATAAGAAAGTTTTTCTTATAAGGGTGTCTGTAAATTGGCCAATTGTTTATAAGAACTTTTTTGTAGCTCTGGAGGTCTGCTATCACTCCTATAAAAATTTCCCTCAACTTATGGGGCACCCTGTACAAACATAAATTCGTAAATACACTTTTTATTTATTACAAAAAAAAAAATGTTAAAAACAATGATTTTTCAAATATTTATTATTTAAAATGATTATGAAACTGTAATTTTTATTAAGCACTGAATTATAGAAATTTATCCCTATTTATAAGTGATCAATTAAATATTTTCAATTAAATATTTACGATATTATAAAAATAATTCAAGCAATCAGCAAGTTTCTTCATTTTACACGTAGACATTAAGATTGAGAACGTTTAATTTGTCACTTATAAATATATTTTTATTTGTCTAGTTGGATGATGATAAATAAAAATCGTGAATAATTCATGATTTTTTTTTTATATCTCCACACAGCTTAGTTTATTCGTTCAAAAGTCCTCTTTAAATGGTTTTAACAATAACAAACTCTAATTTCGTTTAAAACAAATTTTGTCTAGTTTAGAGTGAAGCAATTCTTAATTAATTATATTAACTAATGCTTTAGTTATTGCTACCTATTCATCAAAAACCATGATACTAAAAAACACAAAACTTAAATTGCGTTCTATTCTGCCAAAAATCGGGCTATCTCAGGGGAGCCCATCCCTTTCCCAAGATCGACGGTGGAAGAACCTATCTTCTACATTCCTCCCAAAATATTTTATTGCTCACCTTTTCTTAAAAACAGAGTAAGCTGGGGTAGAATTAGAAAAATCTTAGATCATACATAATTACACTTACTGCGGTCTGTTCCCTGTTTTCTCCTTGTCCCTTAGCCCGAAAATTCATAACCCCATTGAAATTTGCCCCTCTCAAAAATTCAAAAACCCGTCAAAATATGCCCCCTCAAAAATTTTAATGGCACAACTTGCGCTATGAAATCCTCCTCTGGCCACTCCTGGACTATTTTGTTCATATGAAGTGTATGATAGCTCTAGAGGTCCACTATTACCTGTTTAAATGTTTCCCTCTACTTAGGGGAAAACCTGTATATTATTATCTTTGAATATAAATGACAAGTTGAATAAAAGTAATATTTAGGTATCAATAAAATCATTACATACCTACTACTAGGTCCTAGCCTAGCTAGCTTATCGACTTTTCTTAATCGATTATAGTTTACATATTTTATTTATTCATTTAGCTTATTTATTATTGATTTTAATTTTTTTTGCCTCAAATTATTGGGGGGAGGGTGAAATGATATTCTCACCCCCTCAACATTTTTACTGTGGGAGTATTCGCCCTCCTCACCACTCTCCCCCCCTTAGTCTGCATCTATGAATAAAGTACTATGTTATGTCCAAATGAGGTTGATCAGTATGCTGTATATAAAGCAGCCCTATGTAGTAGGGCAGCATTACTTCTAATAAAGTATTTCTCTCTCTTTTAAGCTCAAAATAAATAAATAAATACAAACTATGTAAGATAATTCACAATGTTTACCTTGCCCTTGATACTGTCTGACCCAAACGATTTCGAGCAACAGCTTTATAAATACCTGCATCTACATTACTGAAAGGTATAAAACGCAAAATTGACCTGCCTTCATTGTCTTCTTCAACCTTTAATCTGCTAGAAGTTCCAACCATCATGTCATTTCTGCAAACATACAATGATATACATATGTATTTATGAATTAAGAAATTTTTTTTTTCAATTACAGAGATAATTTTCATCTATACCACATGTCTTTTCAATACTGTACTTACATTGTACACTCTTTCCTTTCCATTTGGATATTTGAATTACATTACTTACATTGAATTACAAGGGAGCAGAATGGCTGAGCGGGCTGACATGTGTGCACAGCAGCACGCGTTGCCCCGCAAACTGATAACCGAAGTTATAGGTGAAAAAAGAATTACGAGTTTGCATCCCAGTGCCGGGGAGGGGATTTTACTTCTGGCATTAATCCCTCATTCTTACCCTCTGGCCCGGAAAAACTCTGCATAGCTTAAAATATGAAGAAGGGGAGACAAAAAAAATTAAATAATTTTAATTTTAATCATAAATAAATCAATATTTTCTAAAAAGATCCATAATTTTTTTATATTAAATATTCATTTAATATTTAGTTTTCATATTATTAGTTTGTAGCTCAGAAATACATATCAGATTAAAGTTTGAAGAAAAAAATTTATTTCTGTAAGAGAATTGACCACTTTCAGATCTCAATCCTTCAACTCCTACATTACTTTCCTCTCCGCTCGTGACAATTCCCTATGAAAGATCACTAAAAATTTCTAAAACCACATTTTACAACCCCTCTATCGATTTGATGAGACTTGAGCAACATCTAAAGAAGATAAGGCCAAAGAATTTTCCAAATACCTTTCCTGTATATTCATCTCTCATCTGGAATCCTACCACACCCACATTACAACAGTAGAAGAAATCCTTACTTCATCCTTTCCACTATCCTTACCCCCTAAAGCAGTTAATCCTTCTGAGGTTAAACACCACTTGCAAAAACTACCTCCCCGCAAATCTCCTGAATATGATATCCTTACTTCTCAGATCCTTCAACAACTTCCTCCTTAAGCTGTCATATTCCTCACTTACTTTTACAATAGCATCCTATGGACAACTCACTTTCCTTTTTTATGGAAAACTTTTCACTAATATCTTATTTCCAAAACCAGGCAAACCTCCCAACAGCTCGACTTCCTACAGATCAATTAGTCTACTTCCAATCCTTGAACAGATCGTCCTGAAATGAATCCTACCCTTTATAGAATCTCAAAATCTTCCTTCCCATCAGTTTGGAGTTAGTTATGAGCATCAAGTTATGGGCTTCACCGGGTACCCGGTACGGGATAATAAGGTAAATCAAATACTGGGTACCTAGTATTGAATATTTTATCATAAGGAAATGTACCACTACCAACTCAAGTTGAGTCCCCAATAATTTACTTATTGGTAAATTCATGATTTCAAGCAGTGCAATGGCAATTATTTCTGAAATAAAATAAATAAATATTTTAATTAACTGAAAAAAAAGAAATACCCGATTTTACATTATGAATAACAGAGTACCCAGAAAATTTACTTTTATAATATTAGCCAGTTACTACTTGCAAAACCTGGGTACAAAAAAATAGCCAGGGATAATAACCAAATACTCAGCTCATCACTAAAGTTAAGTATGCAGAACTTACTTAAACCACTGAATTGTGGGCTTAGGTTCACCAACAGCATAACACACAAGCTCTGCATTTTTCCCTTCTTCTGCTGGAGTAATTTGTGGTTTCTCTCTCATGAAAGGAGCCTATATAATTATAACTTTATTATTATTACTCTATAACACATAAATTAAAATCAAGAGTAAAAAAAAAAAAACTGGTGCACTACAATCCATGAAGGATCTTGGGTTCAGCACTTAGTAAAGATATAATGTTTCAAGGCCAATGGTTGTGCAGGAAGGTGATTGGGCCAATCACGCTCAACCACCAGGTTTTCTCCCTTAATTAATTATTTAATTAAGAGTACCCATTTTAGAGAGGCTGGATATGCCCCAGGAGGGTCTCTTGACCTCAGGGTTGATCCATGGTTGATGTAACAGAATAAATAATTACCTGTCATAAGCTGGGTTTGAACCCTTGAGCACAGGAAGTCAGTGCTTTTGTACACTATCTGACCATGCTCCCTAATCAAAAAAGTGTAAAGGACAAATGTATAATCTTGCTCTTAAATTACTCATACTTTTCATTTATTTCCTAAAGATGGCAGAATAATGTAGAAGTACTCTAAATACATATCAGATTATATATTAAAACTAATCCTAAAACAGCTAAGCTATTGGTAAAAGCAAGAATCTTAACAAATAAATTATTCACTATAATATATCAGCAAAAAAGTATTTTTAATTAATTTTTTTTTTAGAATTAGCTGTAGAAACAAGAAAAATACAGCTTGAAGTAAATGCTGCAAATATCAAATACTGGGTCACAGATGAAATTCTCAAGCTCCCCAGGGATGAAATCACTGTCAGTTTATGTATTCTCAATGATATACTTGCAAAAAAATCTCTGAGTTATTCTACTTGAATCCCTAATAATGCAAGGAAATGTTATAGATTCCAAAGTTTCACAAGAAATGTCCCTACCACTGTCACATTCCAATTTTTAGGAGACATATTTTATCTAAGGATACTAAGACTCATCCATATAAAACACTTATTGAGTTTATTCTTCTTTGTCACAGAGATAGATGATCAATCTCAAAAACTGAATTACCAAATTAAAGGACGAGATATGCCCGGATCAAAAACTTGCAAATATACTTAGGCAGACAAGACTGAGCCAATAGAAATGGGATGGGCATCTCCTTTGGTTTGAAGATAATATATAGGTAAGAATTGTCATAGATTGAACTCCAAAAGAAGAAAGGACACCTAGAAAAGGTGGAGCGACATGTTCAAGTTGTTGGCAGGTGGTTGAGCATTGAATCCAACCATCTCTCCTAAAAAATTGCTGAAGCCAAGATCATTCAGGGGTTTAGTGGTACAGGTTTAAGATATTAATACATTTGAAGAAAAAAACTGGACAGACTAAAATTAATTTTAAAAAGTTGAAATGAAAAATGTAACAAGTTATGTTATGTTAAAATAATCCTACTTTAGTTTAAATCTGTTTAGGAATTTTCCAAACATAGCTATACAAAATACTATATTTTCCATGATGAGGCTTTTCATAGCAGTTTATTTAAAAAAAACAACAACAAAAAACCAGTTTCTTTAAAAGCATAACCCATAAAGATTGATAAAGTTTCCTTTTGAAAATATTATAAATAATATAAAACATAACCAAAACAGTTTAAATAATTAATATTTACCTGACCATCTCTAGTAGCTTCAATAATTGCTTCTGCTTCTACATGTGTATCAAGCCTTGAACCTAATTCATGTCTAAGTCTTCTTACAGTGTAAGTATCTCCTAAACCATATTGGTTTATTCTATTTTTTCTTTCATCATCAATTTCTTCATCCATTATATCCATGAACCTTCTTCGTTCTCGAATTACTGGAAGCTAATTCATTATTCATAATTAGTTCCATTAATTAGTTATCTAAGGTGAGGATATATATAATCAATGATCCATATCATTTAAATACGAGTTATATATATATATATATATATATATATATATATATATATATATATATATATATATATATATAAACATAACCATTTAATTGGGAATAAGATCACTTATTAATTATTTAATAAACTACTAAATCTTCATTTCCTCTGTGTTTATTGACATTTCGATCCCGGTATTTTTCTTTTTATAGGTTAACAATGGGATCCTCTTTAAAGTTTTAAACATAGAGCTTCGATACCTCAGGCCAGGGACACACCGACAGTCTCAGCACCATTCACCAGCTCATATATTAAGCTACTTAGCTTAATATTAAGAGCAGCTTAATATATGAGCTGGTGGACGGTGCTGAGACTGTCGGTGTGTCCCTGGCCTGAGGTATCGAAACTCTATTTTTAAAACTTTGAAGAGGATCCCATTGTTAACTTATAAAAAGAAAAATACTGGGATCAAAACGTCAATAAACACAGAGGAAATGAACATTTAGTAGTTTATTAAATAATTAATAAGTGACCTTATTCCCAATTAAATGGTTGTTTAAATTTAATACTCAAAGGTCGATTAAAGAAAAGTTGTAAATATATATATATATATATATATATATATATATATATAAGTTAAGCGTCTCCGGGCTTTGTAAATAAAAAAAAAGAAGGAAAGAGGAACGAGAAACAATACTCACGGCTTCTGAATTAACACTGCTTTATTCGTTCAATAATCTGCCTTATATACAATTGCTATGTTTATTTACATTACAAGATGGTATTAAGGCTGATATCGCCAGTCTCCGGTCTTTATCTCCCCCCCACCAGTTTACGAATAGGATTTTCGGAAACTTATAAATTCCTAGATCGGAGCCACCGATATCAGCCTTAACCCTTTACAATTTATTCGTACCAGTATAAACTTAAAGTACACCAAACCTCACTTCCACTCCGCTGGAACGAGAAATAAATAAAAAGAAATAAACCACAGAAAGTAAACACACAACGTCTTATTAACAATGGACAGAACTCTTAATCCTATAAAAATTACAATCACCTCTATTATGCTGCCATATCTTTATTTACAAGAACAACAAAAATAATGAGAGAAAAAAAAAATGACATCATCAACAGTAATAATAATAAAAAAAACATATTTTTTTATAATACGCGATAAGGGTACTACGAATCAGTTGGTTTCTGTACCGGTTCTAACATTGGGAGCTTCAATTGTTCAATATGAACAGTTCTCCTCTTCTTAGGTTCGTTAATGCTTTCAATGGTTACTAGATTATGCTCCCTAATAGCAACCACTCTGAATGGGCCCTCGTACCGTAACAATTGTTTCCCTCTGTTGGTTCCAATTCTACGATACACTATTGTTCCGATTTTTAATTCTCCCATTCGGTCACGTACCTGCACATTCTGCCGCGCTACCCGCTTCTCCTTTTCCCGCTGAATTCTCCCCGCTACCTTTCCCCACGTCTTTCCTACCTCTACCCTAGTACTCTGGATTTGCTCTACGAGATGTTCATCGGTCGTTGTTTCCCCCCAATCTCTCCTTGGCCTGCGCATCCCGAATAGTATTTCCACAGGTGAAAACCCCGTTACGGAGTGGATCGAATGGTTGTAAGCTGTTACGGCTTTCTTCATCGCGACATCCGGCTCCAACCCTTTCTCTCCCTGATATACACGGATGTGGTCACTCAGCGTGCTGTGCAAACGTTCGATTCCTCCTCTACTCTTAGGGTGTCCCGGTGTGTTATAATGCCACACAACCTCTAACCTTTTCACCTCCTCCCTAATCGCGGTATTGTCGAATTCTCTGCCACCGTCTGATGTGATCCTCTCGGGAACTCCGTAAAACTGTATCCAGATTTGTAGGGCTTCCGCAACTGCATTGGCAGACTTGTCGATGACCTGATGTGCCATAGCTACTTTACTAAAGGTGTCGATGATCGTGACCCACTTGAACCCTTTCCAGGTGAATGTATCGATCTGGAGGTCTTGTAGCGGCATATTCCCTGTAGGTGTCTCTTCCTGAACTCCTCTGGGGGGGTGTCGATCATACTTTGTGCGCATACATACCTCGCATTTCCCGATGATTCCTTGGATAGATTTTTTCATTCCCCACCAGAAATACTTTCGCCGTAATGCCTGCAACGTCTCGTTGACGCCACGGTGGTTGGTCTTCCCCTGGTGGTATGCCAATGTAATTGCTTGTTGCTGCTCCTCATCCTGTACGGTTTCCACTGCATACTTGCACCGGATGATCGTTCTATCCATGCCTATTCGCTCGGATCTCCACATCCGCTTTATTTTCTCCCATACCGTGTTGTTCCCAACATAGAGATGGTGTGTCTTTCCCGGTTCCGTGGCGTCCTTCAGTGCCGTACGGATTTGCTCCTCGCTCACCCCGGGTTGCGACCAAATGACGCGAATCCTACTTTTCCCGTATCTTCGGTAATCTATTTTCATGATCCCTGTTGTCCTGGTTTTCCAGATTACCTGTCTATGCTTGTCGTTGATGATTTCGTCTATTTCCTCCATCGCCACTGGTCTTTCCTCCGCTGAGCTATCTTCTTCCGGGGACCCCTCCCTGTCCTCTATACTGACGGTATCATCTGCCCCTTCACCCTCAGGAGTCCATTCCCTCAAGAATTGGCGCACGTCCCGCGATGGACCTCCCCCGTCCTCTTCTACCGCGTTGATCATGATGGCCCTAGAGAGCCAGTCTGCCACCACGTTTTCCTTTCCCGGCTTATACACCACCTCCATGTTGTACTGGCTAAGGAATTCTTTCCATCTCGTGACCCTCGCAGAGGTTTCCTTAAGTTTTCCTACCCACTGAAGGGGTTTGTGATCGGTGTGGACTCGAAACTTCCTCCCAAATATATATGGCCTGAAATGGTCGATGGCCCACACTATCGCGAGTAGCTCCCTCTCTAACGCGCTGTACCGTGATTCCGCGCTCGTAAGTCGTCGGCTCGCGTATGCTATCGGACGTTCACCCTCACTTCTGCCCTGGGATAAAACGGCCCCCAACGCGTATTCGCTCGCATCGGTGGTGACGTTGAACTGCTTCTCAAAATCCGGGAACGCCAATACGGGTTCTGCCTGCAACCTATCCATGCATTTCCGAATATTATTTTCCATTTCCGGTGTCACCACGATCTTCGCGCCTTTCTTCAGCAAGTTATTGATAGGTACCAAGTATTCTGCCATCTCAGGTACGAATCTTCTATAATAATTCAGCGTCCCGAGAAGCCTACGAATCCCTTTAACGTCCCGTGGCACCGCCATTCGTGTGATAGCCTCCACCTTTGCCGCATCCGGTCTGACCCCCTCGCTAGAAATAGTGTGGCCTAAAAAATTGATCCGCGTTTGTCCCAACAGGGACTTCTCACTGGACAGTTTCAGCCCGAATTGTCGCAGCCTTTCGAATACCGACCTCAAATGCCCCACGTGTTCGGCTTCCGTTCTGCTAAAAATCAGCAGGTCGTCCATGTATACTTGACATACGGAGTCGTCGATCCCCCTCAGAAATTCGTCCATCAGGCGTTGAAACGTTATGGGCGCATTCTTCAGACCAAACGGCATTCTGGTGAATTCGTAATGCCCCCTTTCGAATGTAAACGCCGTCTTATGTTGGTCCTTCGGGTGCATCCGTATTTGGTGGTATCCCGCCTTGAGGTCCAACGTGCTAAACACCACGGCCCCACTCAACCTATCAAGTATATCCTCGAATCTAGGGATCGGGTACTTTTCGTCTACCGTGTTGTCGTTCAACCTACGATAGTCCACTACCACTCTGTATCTTTCCTTATTATCCCCCGGCGCTGCCTTCTTTTTCACTGCCCACAGGGGACTATTAAATGGCGAGGTGCTATCGACTATGATCCCTTGCTCCTTTAGGCTTTCCAATTCCTCCCGAATATGCTGCCTCAGCGCCTGCGGGTATCTCCTTTCCTTTACGTAGGTCACCCTATCTTGCTTCAGTGGAACTTCGTGTACCGTCTTCCCTGTTACCCCCAATACCTCGCCCTCCCTGAAGAAAATATCTACGAACTCCGCTTGTAACGCCTTTCTCCAGTCCTCCACCCTGTTCACCGCTCCTATCCGCACCCTTCTTTCTCTCGCGACCCCTATACATCCAAATTTCCTCTTTCCCAGCCTGATACTCCAAGCTCCTCTACGGTTTCTAATGCTTACCCCTACCTGTCCTAACAGATCACACCCTATTATGACTTGGTACTCCCGCGTCATGCTCTCTACCACATGCACCTTTAGCTCCCCCTTTTTCCCTGCCCACCGATCAAGCGTAATTGACGCTTCCCCTTCTACTTTACAGGGACCACCCAGAGTGATTAGCTGGCAGCCACAGTTTTGTATCCGGAGTACCCTCTCGCTCCCGCACACTCTCCCCAACGCCCCCCGAGTCAAGATAGTACTCGAGCTCCCTGTGTCCACGAGACACTTCACTCCCCCGTCTACCTCAATAATCGGCAACCAGCATGGCTTACCTCTAATATTGTTGCAGGTTGCTGTGCGGTCGCCTCTCTGCTGACACCCTTCTCAGATGCCACCTCGCTTCCTCCTTACCACCGTCGCTCGTCGTTGCTCGCTCCGTTGGCTGCTCCTGCCTCCTTCGCCTCCACTGCTGGCTGGCTCGTCAGTCTCCGTTCCCGACGTCCCCGACTCCTCGGTTGCCTCTTCCGAAGATCCGTCTCTCTGCTGCATCCTAGCTCGTTTTTTCAACTTTTGAGCGTTCACCTCCATTGGCTCGTCTAGAGGTCTCTCTCTCCTGCGAAACATGTACGGGCACTGTCTGGCAATATGCCCTTCCGTCCCGCACTCGAAACATCTAGTGCGCGGACATTGTGCTACCAAATGTCCCGGTTTCCCGCACCCGTGACATTTTCTGTCTTCCCTCCGGGGTCCATTCCTAGGCCTGGACTGTCCGGATCTTCTCTCGCCCGTCGTGGCTTTTTCTCCGTTCGGGTGTTTCATTTCCCTCTTCCTCCACCCGATCTGGGCTGTCCGGGGTCGTCTGTCACTCACCCGGGTCCACCCTGGTTCTTCTACTTCCATCCGCGTCTCTTCCTCTCTTGCACTCAGATCTATCATTTCTTGGGCACACTCGAGGAACGATCGCTCTCTAGGCAGTCCGTCCCTTCTCCCAGTCTCCTTAGCCAACTGAACCTTGAGTATTGTCGAAAGGAATTCCATCCTAGCTTCGACCTCTCCCACACTCATGGTTTCCCGCATTTTCTCAGTTATGCGGTTGTACTTCGCCACTAGTACCCCCGCATACTGTCCTCTTGATTGGCGTTGGGACCGACACTCCCTAAACATTTGGAAGATATCTTCTTCCGGCGTCCATCGGCCCCCTCCGAAAGCCTTCTTCAAACGCTCCTTAATCACTGGCCATGGTGTCTCCTCGTCCGCTTGGATTTGGTTGAGGATGTTCCTCCTCACTCGGCACACGAGAGCTGCCTTCAGTGCTTCTGCGTCTCCCAGGTTCACGAGGTCCTCCGCCACCTTTGCTTCGATTCTTGATATGAGGCGGTCTCCACCTTTCAGGAAGTGATTAAGTTCACCTATCTCGCCCCCGAATCGCTCCAGGTCTGCGATTGCTCTCCGTAGATCCTGCGTGGTCGCTGCCCTTATCTTCATCCACTCCAATGCATTGGCGTGCGCCTCTGCCAATGTGTCCCTAGGTAAGGGAGGGATCTCTTGTATCTGCGGTACTTGAGGTATCTGAGGTATCTGCGGAATCTGCGGAACCTGAGGGGCGATCTGAGGAATCTGCGCTATCGGCATTTCCTGAGGTTGCGGCATTTCAGGTGCGTTCAACACTCCTGGTCGAATTATGCCCTCTGTCGGCATCTCGTCTTTTCCTTATGACTAGGAGAAGAGAAAAAAAAATTAAAATAAAGAAAGGAAAAAAAAAATTTTACTTCCGTGTTCTCCTGACGTTCTCCCGGGTTTCGGCACCAGTTAAGCGTCTCCGGGCTTTGTAAATAAAAAAAAAAGAAGGAAAGAGGAACGAGAAACAATACTCACGGCTTCTGAATTAACACTGCTTTATTCGTTCAATAATCTGCCTTATATACAATTGCTATGTTTATTTACATTACAAGATGGTATTAAGGCTGATATCGCCAGTCTCCGGTCTTTATCTTATATATATATATATATATAATATGTGTGTGTGTATATATGTATATATATATATTAGTCTTACTTGGTGGTGAAGTTCCAATTTTCAATAGGCCGCTTTGTCAATTTAAGTTCCTTCAATTATTTATTTATTTTTTCAAAATAATATTTTTATGTTGATGTTTCAAGAAATATTTTTTTCATCATCAAAACTTACCTTTCATGAACATAAGTCATTTTTCACAAAATCTCAACATAAAAAATTCATATAGGGAAACAAAATTTTAAATTCAATAGAAGTTAATTGACCAGATTTATCTATTTATTTTAACTATATGACTGGTACCTTTATTAATATTACTGTTTGATTTTGAATTAGAGAGATTTTGTATTGGCTTTTGAACTATGTTCAAGATAAAATGTCTATGTAATGTTAAAATATTTCTGGAGCTCTTAGTTTGTAAATAATGGAAACATTTTTCTTACCCTCCAATCTAAATGATTATCTTCTGAATATCGGGGAACACCAGTTCCTCTGTGAGAAGCAACTTTCATGTATTCTCTTATACGCACTGGAAAATCAACATCACGCAGCTGAAGTAAGTAGGTGTCAGGGCCATATTGATAACTAGAAAAATAATGTTTCAATTATGATTATAATGAAAATATTATATAAGTTCCATTTTTTATAAATTATTAAGGAAAACTTTTGAGAGAAATCATTGATATTCACTGAAAATAATAAAATGGAGAAAAAATGTGTACTTAAAAATTTCTAATTCATTAATTATGGTCTACAATTTTACAATAGATTTCAGGAAATCCAAATATTTCTGCATAAATAATATCATTACTTAAGTTACATTGTTCAAATTAACAGAATATAAAAATAAAAGGAAAACTACTCTATCCAATTTAAAATTACAAACAAATTGTCATTACATTAAATAACTTCTTGATTGATTTGAATGGTAATGTTGGGTTTATCTCCAACAATTTACCATCAATTTTAAATAATTCAGTTAAAAGGATAAAAAATCCAATACATTAATGTTTAATATTTAAAATTAAAATACCATAACTTAATATGCCCATTATATATAAATAAATATATATATATATATATAATATTGATATATTACATTCATATATATATATATATATATATATATATATATATATATATATATATATATATATATATATATATATATATATATAAACTGACAGGCAAAAAATTGATTTTGCCATCCATTTTGCCACCCACTTGATTTTCTCATCTAAAAATATTTCTGCTTTGGGTTGGTCTATTGTTTTTAATGAATAAATAGGTAATCTTTTTGTTTGTTTTCAATTAGGAATGTTAATATAGAGGACAATAACCTTTAATCCTTAATTTAATGAAATGATTCTAGATTCCAAGATTCCAAAACGAACCATTATTATTCTAAAAGAAATTAATTACATCATCGTTTAGTAGCGCGTGCTTCCTCCTCTTGCCTTCACTATTTCTTGAAGACGCCTCGGCATACTTTCCACCAGTCGGGAAATGTCCCTTTTCTGGAGGATAGCCCATTCCTCCTGAAGAGCCATTTCAAGGTCCTGCAGTGTATCAGGAAGTGTTGCACGCGCTCTTATTCGTATTCCGAGGTTATCCCAAAAATTCTCAATGGGGTTCAAATCTGGAGAACGTGCTGGCCAGGCTAAAACCTCAATATTGTTCTGTTGAAGGAACGTCTGTACTATGCGGGCAACATGTGGGCGTGCATTATCGTGCATTAGAATAGAACAATCGCCGATTCGAACTATATCTCGAGGAATATTCATGACACTCAATACCTGTAAGTGTTCTTGAAGTACTTTGATGCAGAAAAAAACATAATTTCTGATAGTATCTTTCCTGTAGGTTAGTTATTTGAAGGCATTGAAGTGATGAACCAGTCATTGAATTGGCATTATTACATCATAACGTTAATTCAATGAATATTGTCAATTAATATGTACGATTCTGATTTGATCCAAATCTACTAGAAATGCCATCTTTAATGAGTTTAATTCTTTATTGAAATTTAATTATTTTTACTTTCTTATATTTAATCATGATAAATACTTCAATATTATATTATTTCTTAAAATTCTTTATTTATTTGGTGATTCCCTTTATAAGCAAATCATTCTATTGTATTAAGGTAAAACCAACAATAGGTGACAGTGTACCAATGCTTGAAATCCCTTTGGAGAAATGGGAATAATATGATTTCAGGACCTCCTAGACCTTTATTTCAGAAATTTTTGGTTTCAATATTTTCTACTAGTATATTTGTTTGCTTTATTTTAGTCCTGCCAGAAACTACCGCGTGTCAGCTACTGGTGCTGTTTAGGCAACTTTCCAAATTTAATTTTAAAAAGGCAAATAACTCTAAAAAGTTCTACTTAGGCAGCATTCGACATTATTTTGGCAGTAGACTGTATTTTGATTGAAAGTGGTAGGTTATATGAATTATGCAAATAAAACTCACCCTTTTATGCTGGCATAAATATCTTACTTTGCTGAGAGGGCGCCCTCCAGTCTGTTCTTAGGTGTTCTCTATGCAAAGTTTTGGCCTGAAATGGGGTGAGAGAGTCTCATCGCCAATCTTATCATTTAGATCTTTTATGAGATCTGTTTTTACTAATCACCGTAACGCGGCGTTCGGGTACAATATCATTTACACAAAACAGGGGCATTTATCCTATGTTTCTCTAATGTTCTTATAGATGAGTTTATTTTAAATTTAGATAATTTTATTAAGTTTTCTGTCACCGAACTCAGATGTAAACATATCCTTCACAATTTCTTTAATAATTATAAAGCTGTTTGTTTACCTATGTGTAGCCCAGTAAATGCCTACAGGAATGAAAAATTTAATATTGATTTATTTAATGTAAACATGTATATTTTCTTCAAATATTAATGAATATACATAAAACTACATGTAATTGATTAATTTTGTGTTAAAAATTGGAGGGACACTCAATAAATCATATCATTGGAGTAATATTTTTTTGTCTGAGATGATCAAAATATCATTCTGCACAATGTGCTCGGTCATTATGGTTTCATTTCATGAGTAACACTACCTCTAGTTAAAAGAAACAAACAATAAATAAATATAAACAGATACAATTATAATGGGGTTTAAAAAAAATTTCATAATTTATAATCATAAAAAAAAAAATCAAATAGAAAAAACATACACTTGTAATAATAATAAATTAAATTATCTTTTTAAAAAATTAATTTATTCACATGAAAATTGAAATTAATGAAAACAAAACATACTGGCTTTCTGAAGAGACAACTCCTGTTTCATAATTCATAGGTTCTCTGGATGGGAGTTGGTCTATCCATGATGGCTTTTTAAGTTTTTCTTTAATTTCTCTTTCTGGTGATTGTGATGGTGTTGCTATATAATGTGGAGGATAGACCATATGAGAAGGATGACTGTAAGCCCCAAGTAAGGGTCTTCTTCTATACCAGTTACGACATGAAGCATTACTATACCAGTCCCTTAAAAATAATAAATAAATTTCATGTTTTATATGTATATCATATGTACGTATATGTATAGATCAAGTATACATTTTATTAAAAGTAAAGAATAAAAAAAACCAAAAATAGGTCATGCGTTATTGAAATTCTTTTAATTTCTGGCTATTCGATAAAGGTAGGTCATTACATAACATTAGCATTCATTAATAGCCTAAATAATCTCAAATTACTATCAATTGAAGCTAAGTTTATTATTCAGATTTTGTATTTATTTTTTAACATAAGATAAAAGATAAACTAGTAGTTTTTTCGAATACCAAAGTATCTATCACTATTTTCACCAATTATAAGTAGAAAATCATGAAACAGGAAAATAGATAATTGTTACATATATATATATATATATATATATATATATATATATATATATATATAAAATAAAAAATAAATAAGGTTCTGGACTAGATGTTTCCTATAATCTTCTTTTGAATTTTATATCTGTCACAAAAAAGTTCTGATGATGAGGACAAATTCTTGAAATGTCAAATAATGTAAAAAATTAAGAGAAAGAAAATATGGTTCAAGGTTGCTCTATGATTTACCAATATTTCTCATTCTTTAGTTATCTCATCTACATATTAAATCATATGCTCAATCAAGAAAATTAATGTAAAAATGTGTGACATAATTTATTTCTTAATGTTCAAAATAATTTACATCAGGCTAACAATGCTGTAGGAAATGAAGGGGGCTTGAAAAGAAGGTAAAGAAGCAGCAGATGTGAGTACACTATTATGGAAGGGTATAGTTAACAAACTCATTATGCTTACACACCCTTGGAGAAAATAAATATTCTTTTCTTTGGCTATGTGTGAACCTAATACAGTTTAACTTCAGGATTCTGAACTTTGATAGTCTAAACATTCAAGGATTTCAAAGTGACCAAAAAAACAAAAACAAAAATTGAGAGAAGTAATATTGGATGGAATATTTATCCATAAAAGAGAAGTAAAGAAACATAAAATGCTAAAGACTATTTTTTAATAAAAGATGACTAGCTGCATAGTCCGATTATTTTCTAAGAATTCTTTATCTTCTAAGTAAGCATCAAGATGCAGTCTCTCATTTTAGTTATGTCAAAACAAACAAAATAATTCAATTCATTAAAAAAGAATTGACTTTATATCTATATATACATATATATATATATATTTTTTTTTTTTCAGTTGGCGCTATAGCCTATGCAGATCTTTGACCGCGAGATATGTTATCCTAGACCACATCCCGATTCCTGATTTAAGTACACAGGGGTAGGGTCATCAGTCGGTGTGAGTTGCCTCCAGTAATAAATTACTGGATAAATCAATAAATTGTAAGAAAATCTGTTAAAATACTTGAGTAGATTTTATTTCAAGGTGAAAGAGTTAATACATGTATCTATTGAGTTTTAATCTTTTATTGTGTGTAGTTTTCTAATTTATCCAAACTTTTTAGTAATTTAAATGACCCCCTGACATTTGTATTTGAAGATTATATAGTGCTAATAGCAGACTCTCAAGATTACCTCTAGAAAGTAGTTATGGAATAGAGAGAGAAATTAATACGAACAGGGGTGGAGATAAATGTAACCAAGTAAAGTAATACGTATTGGAAGAAATGAAGAAACATTAAATATCACATGCAATGGAGAGATGATGGAATGAATGGATTCATACCAACATCTGGATACACTTGCAAGCAGACTTGATCCAGTAATTTCAAACTGAATGAGGAAAGTTAAGTCTTCTACCAAATCAGCAATTCATTAATCGGCAGGAAGAAGATCAATAGGAATACTAAACTAGAGATCTTCTAAACAGTATCAATAACACTGGACAATCCTGAAGAAGCATATCTCAAAAATCACTGCCACAGAAATGATGATAATGTCTTTATATAGGAAAGATAAAGAGAGACTGTATAAGTAATGAAGTCATTAGGAACAAATTAGGTATAGTCCCTGTGAAAGCAAAAGTAGAGGAGTGTCAACTCAGGTGATTGGGAAATGTATGGAGAATTCCAGACCGTAAACTTAAAGTATTTGAAAGGAAAATAATAATAAGGATTTAGTGCTACAAGAGTTAATGGTTAATAGAAAATTAAGAGTAACAACAAAATATAGGCGATAACAGAGAATCATAACATTATTCACTACATCAAGGCAAGTAGACTGAAATGGGCAGGACATGTGGTCAGAATGGAGAATGAAAGGGTGCAGAAGGAAATACTAGAAGAGGAAAATACTTCTGTAGAAAGAGGAAAAGAGGAAGGTTGAGAAGCAGATGATTTAGTTAGTTAGTATGGAGAATTCCAGATTCCTACAAGATGAAATTGTGTGTGAAGGTGAAACCTGAAGGACAAAGTCTTGTGGGAGAGCGCAGGATGACATAAAGAGAGCACTTGGAAGTATTGGGAAAAAGAAGAGGAAAGATGTAAGGCCAGATGCGTTAAATGGCCAAAGATGGCCAATGAGTGGAGAAAGTGTACCGAAATCTGAGCTTGACACTGAAATGCAGAAGAGCAAGAGAAACAAGACAAAGATATTACTGAAATCGCTGAAATAGATTCCAATTACTGAGGAGATTTTTATGCAGCTGGTACCCTTTAGCTTAGCTTTCAAAAATAAAAAATTATGCTATCATTGGGTAAAATTATCGTAAATTATAATATAAATTACTATAAATTAAAATTAGTGTTCTATTAAAGTACTCACTTCCACAAATTATAATAATTGTGCAATTTTTCAGTAGGTATTTCATAGAGATTTGGAGGGAGACGGTCAGCATAATTCAACCATGGATGTCTTAGAGCAGCTTTAACATCTAGCCTATCTTTAGGATCTATCACCAGCAACTTCGTTATAAAGTCCTTGGCTTCTAGAGATAATGTTCTTGTCAACTCTTCATCAAATTCCCAATATCCTTCTTTAACCTTTAAAAATAAAATAATAATATTTTAAAAATATATAATTAAAATATCAATCAAATAATTATGTTTAATGTTTAATTATTAGCTGGTTCGGGTTGCAGTCAGTGAGAACAAAAGTACAAAAAAAACGTTTTTGTTTTTGAAACGGCCTAAGTTTCAGCTCTGGAAAAACAAGATAACCAAAAATGATTAAACAACTATTGTGAAAATGTATGAGAATAAATGTTTGTTATCTGCTAATAAAAAAATTCTAAGAAGTGAATACAAATTAACATATAATTAAAATAAAAAATAACTAATGAAAAGTAATAAAGTAAAACATAACAAGTAATGAAATGAAATGGAATATTAAGTAATATAGATGAATTGGAGAAATAAGTTGCACATAAAATAAATAAAATGTGGTAAATGTTGAAAGATGATGCCATTATATGTTCAATAGGAAAGAATGAAATATAATATTAAGTATTAGAATTTCATAAACGATTAAGTAAAAAATAATAAGATGTAGTGATATCAATAGAAACATGTCTTATTTTATATGCAGTGATTCTTATTATTTAAGTAACAATATGGGAGAAAAACGAGATGGTAAGGATCTGAAAAGAAGAAAAAGGGAAGAAGTAATTATGTGAATAAAACATAAATGTGCAAAATACAACTTCTACACGTACTAGTTCTTTGAATCAAGTGATACTGTCTTACTAACACCAAAATGTGAACTACCTTCAATATGTAATGGTTACAGCTAAAGAACTTGGACTAAAGTGAAGAGGCACCTTTTATGGTTTAAGATGTAGCACTTTTTTTATTTAACTTTTTTAAAAAAATAAATTCAGTATTTGGGAATAAGCCAGGGATAAATTATGTTTGTTAGTTTTTCAGGTTGTAGTTCGAGTTGAATATCAATGCCTCTGAGATAAGTAATCTGTCTTGGTTGGAAATAGAAGCTAGGATGGAAGTTTTGTCGAAATTGAAAGTATGGTTAAGAGATAAGGAGTGTTCAGAGAGTTTGGAGGCTGTAGTATTATGGAAGGAAATAGAATATTTATGCTGTGTGACACGGTCATTGAGGAGATTTTTGGTTTCACTTATATAAGAAGAATAACAGTTACAGATGGAACAAGGGATGTGGTATACAACATGGGAACAATATGAGAGAGGAGTGGGATCTTTTAAAAAAGTGTAGAGGTTAGTAAGAGTATGGTGAGATTTGAAGGCAAGTCTCAAGTTAGGGTTGAAGGACCTTAAAACTTAATGGAGTAACTTCATGCGTTTTAGTGGTACAGGTTTTTTTTTTTTGGTATTTTTTTAAAGTAAGAATATACATTAGTACCTATTTGTATCAATATTTAAATTCAAATAATATGGAACTTTGATGCATGCATCTCATGATGAGGAGAAATATGATTAATTGGAGAAAGAAGAATTATTCTGTTGCCCTATTGGCTTGAAACAAGAAGGGTTATAGTAAAAAATTAAAATTGAATAATCTTTGTATATTATTATTGAGGAAGGAGACTGACTATCTGAGGTGGTGGTCATAAAAAGACTTAAAATAGTGAAAACGTATTTTATTTCAAGCCATTTCAACCCAACTATGCAGGTTTTCTTCAGAGCTAGAAGGAACAAGATACAAACGGATATAGAGAATTGTGGGAGTTACATTAAAGTTATAAAAAGAAGTATAACTAAGTAAGCAGAAAAATTGAAGTATTCTAAACAGAGTAACTGATTTATACTAAATAGAGTAATTATAATTGAAATACACCAAATAGAGTAAATGAAGAATAACTAAGTACCAAAACCTATAATAAAGTAGATAAAAATTGGAAACAATAATTATAGATAGGAAAATTTTTTAATGCAGTAAGGAAGAAGGATAATTGTGAATATAATCTGACAAATCTTAAAGGAAGATGAAAAGGAAAAGAATGAATAATAAATATGTGAGGATGAATTAACAAATTGGATGATAGGATATAGAAAAAAAGGTACTTCTGTATTTGTCAGTCAGGAAGGAACCTCCCTTAAATCTTGTAACCTCTTGTTATTCTTCTGTCACTTGTGCGTTATTCAATTGTTTTCAGTTTTGTTTATTTTTTTAAAATTTTATTATCTGCTGTTGAAATGGATATAATTCCACTTTGGGAATTGCCGTCTTCAGAAGAAGAAGCAATCAAATACTTTCAGGAGGTCAAATGAAATTCCGTAAAGAAGGTCATGAAATGAAGTTTGATGGGAAGACAAAATGTTTTTGTAGCAGTTGTAAGAAAAATATAGGGAGAGTTCTCTTAGAACAATAGATGTTTGGCGGAGGTTGCCGAGAAACAGATGAGTGTTTCATGGTTAAAATAAAAGACAGAAAAGCAACAACTTTATTAGTATGTATTAAAAGTAATATAGAAGTGAGAAGCACCAAATATTCTGACTGTTGGAAAGGATATAACACACAACAAGTGAGTGAAGCAAAGTATAACCATTTCCAGGTGAATCACTGGTATATCTTTGTTGATCCTTCAAGTGTGGCTCCTACTCAACACTTTGAACGATTATGGGGCTCAGTTAAGTGGAGAAATAAAAAACATTGAGGAACTGTGAGGCAACACCTGGATTCCTATTTATTTGAATTTTTGTGGCAATGGGCTCACAGAGAAGAGGACCTGTTCCTCGCTATTTTAAATATCATTAAGCTATTTTGTCTGCCAAAATAAATGAAATGATGAAAGTGATTTATATGTACATATAAAGTATGAACGTATATACGTTGTATGTATTAAGTGTTATATATGTTGTATTTTGTCTCCTAAAATAAATAAATTAAAAAATAAAATTGTTTTATATATATATATATATATATATATATATATATATATATATATATATATATATTACATTCCTTCTCACAGATCTGCCTCGTTCAAAAACTCCTTCATAGCTCGCTCTGTTAATTTTTGGAATTCCCTTCCTATCAAAATTCGGCATTCGTCATCCCTGTCTACATTCAAAACCCTCCTATTCCAATTCCTGTCGCAAAAACAGTCAGATACCCGCTAACCTTTTATGTAAAATTACATATTATTCATAATAATGTATTTACATACAGCTCATAACTGAAATACTTATTAGCAGATTCGACTTTTTTTTTTTTTTTTTTTTTCAACAGAAACACAGCAGAGTTTACTGGTATGAAGATTCTACTGTATTTTTCATTTTTTCTAAAAGTGTATATTTATGTTTTACAATTGTACGGAGTTTTAAGTGTCTTGGCAAGGTTTCAAGAGTTTTGTTTATAGATTTTGTTTTTATTTTATTTTGTATATAGTATGTAAAACTAATATTTTCTTTACTGATTTATCTTTACCTTTACTTTTTATGTTTGTTTTTATTTGGCCAGATATTACATTTTAATTTTGTAATTTTTTGTTATTCGGAAGGGACTTCGTCCCAGAATAAAATTATTTTCTATTCTATTCTATATATATAGGGGCTGGGGTAGCTGTACGGGCTAAGGCGCTTGTAATAGGTAACCAACTTCAGCAAGGCCGAGCGTGGTTAGCACTTGGATGGGTGACCGCCTAATTTAGGCGACTATCCACCAGGAAAAGCCATGCTGCCCGAGAACAGGTTATAAACATTGGCAGATAGCAATCTGTCCTGAAGTGTGGTCAGAATGGAATTTGGTGTGAAACTGCCAAGTTATTAGAATTAACATTGGGGTAATGTGCTGACATTGTTGAGGGGTGGAGGGGATACTTGGTAAACAGAAGATTGTACATAGAAGTAGAATGTAAATATAAAAATGAAAACAAAATGAGAGATCACACATAAAAACAAAATCTCATTTTATCTTTTATGTCCATTATTTTTTATTTCTCTTTTGTTTAAATTTTTTTCTTTTCCCTTCCATCCACTTGTCAATTCATTCCTCCATACTTTTTAATTCATTATTTTCCATTTAATCTTTCCTTACAACTGCAACAAAAACATTTTGTCTTCCTGTCAAACTTCATTTCATGACCTTCTTTATGGAATTTCATTTGACCTCCTGAAAGTATTTGATGGCTTCTTCTTCTGAAGACGACAATTCACAAAGTGTAATTATATCCATTTCAACAGAAGATAACAAAATTAACAAAAAATAAACAAAGCTGAAAGCAATTGAATAACGCACAAGTGATGGAAGAATAACAAGAGGTTACAAGAGATAAGAAGGGAGGTTCCTTCCTGAGCGACTAATACAGAAGTACCTTTTTTTCTATATCCTATCATCCAATTTGTTAATTCATCCTCACATATTTATTATTCATTCTTTTCCTTTTCATCTTCCTTTAAGATTTGTCAGATTATATTCACAATTATCCTTCTTCCTTACTGCATTAAAAAATTTTCCTATCTATAATTATTGTTTCCAATTTTTATCTACTTTATTATAGGTTTTGGTACTTAGTTATTCTTCATTTACTCTATTTGGTGTATTTCAATTATAATTACTCTATTTAGTATAAATCAATTACTCTGTTTAGAATACTTCAATTTTTCTGCTTACTTAGTTATACTTCTTTTTATAACTTTCATGTAACTCCCACAATTCTCTATATCCGTTTGTATCTTGTTCCTTCTAGCTCTGAAGAAAACCTGCATAGTTGGGTTGAAATGTTGGTTTGAAATAAAATATTTTTTTCACTATTTTAAGTCTTTTTATGACCGCCACCCCAGATAGTCTCCTTTCTAAATAAAAAATTAAAAGAGAATAAATTTTGAAATATTTAACATGAATAGATTTTTATTAAAAAATCATTAAAAACATTATTCAACAATGTTAATCTAAGGTTTGTCTCTCATTCCTAATCAGAGTAGAAATATATAAATTCATTTTAAGGGACTGTCCTGATATAAATTTTGGCTGACCTAGGCAAGCATTTAACCGAATCTACTCTGCTCAAAACCAGACATAGAGGGACATGTCCCAAAAAAATTAATCATCTTCTTCCATTGCTATGAGTTCCCAAAAACAAGGATCTAATAAGTATTTTAACAGATAATAATATAAATATCAGCAACAAATAATAAAGAAATAACTTTAGTGTTTTACAGAAGCAAGGCTTGATATACTTATTTGAAAGATTTGTATAGCTAAGAAGTGGATTTGATAAAGTAAATTGTCCAATTTTCAGCTTACAGATCAAAATTTTGTTGGCCATTCCTTAGAGGCAATTCATTATGTCTGAAAGATATTTGAGGACAGAAAATAGCAATTAAACATCTTTTTAATAATGAGATTCAAGTATTGAAAGTAATACATTACCAAATTAAGTGTTTCCATATCATTATTTCCACGGAACAATGAAATTCCAGTAAGTAGTAAGTAAGTTATAACACCAATGCTCCACATATCTGATGAAGTATTTACACCCTGCCCCTTGATTGTTTCTGGAGAAACAAATTCTGGCATGCCTAAAAAAAAATAAAATAGAATATTGTTTATTCACACAAAAATATACCTACATCTTAAAATGTATTTATTGTAATATATTTAATCTTGGATATGCTTGGATGTATAAAATATTGAAAATTAATTAGAATACACTCTATAACTCCATTTATTATTATCAAAATTTATAATTACCTTCATTGAAGAAATATTAGGGAAGAAATTGATAAAAATAAAATACTTTACGTAATGATTTCTTCTATTCTATAAAGATTTATATATATATATATATATATATAATATATATATATATATATATATATATATATATATAATATAATATAAATATATATATAAATCTCAATTTGAAATTCAGCTTGTACTATAGGGTTTTTCAAATTACGTATATATATAGTACAAGCTGAATTTCAAATTGAGCTGAAAAATAAATTCAAACCCTTGAACTCGGAAGGCCTCATGGTTGACCAACACTGGGAGGCACTAGAGTCAGGGCTAAAACAAACAGCTAAGGAAGTAATAGGGATTCAGGAAAAAAGAAAAGCCAAGAAATGGTTCACAGAAGCATGCGAAAAGGCAGTGGAGAAAAGAAGAAAAGTAAGAGAAAAAGTTCTCTGCTTACAAACTGATCAAGCTATGCTGAACAAATACACAGCCACCAGGAAAAAGACAAACAAACTAATAAGAACAGTCAGAAGAGAATTCCTCAAAGAAAGATTACAAACTATTGAGAAAAACTGGCAGGCTGGAAATATATGCAAATTCTTCGCAGACATCAGGAAAGAAAGGGTAGGATATAAAGTGAGAAATACACAAATGCGAGGGAAAGATGACAAATTGACGGCATCAAAAGAAAAGATCCTAAGCATCTGGAAGGAACACTTCCAGCAGCTGTATATCAAGGGCACCCCACAAATGAAGAAGACTTGGACCACATTGAGGACATCAACCCACTTGAGGTTGAAAAACCAGATATTCTGGATGTGGAAATAGCTATTGGCAGGCTTAAAACAAGAAAGGACTCAGGGATAAATAACCTATCTTCAGAATTGTTCAAGGATGGGGGAGAAGATCTTAGAGCCAAGCTGTTAAATCTAATCCAGAAGACATGGGAAAAGGAACGGATACCAGAAGCATGGAACACAGGGTTGATCTGCCCTATCCTTAAAAAGGGCTCCATGTATGAATGTGGCAATTACAGAGACATAGAACTACTTTCGGTCGCCTATAAAATAATGATTAATATTCTGCTAAATCGGATATATCTGAATTATGAAAACATAATAGACGACCATCAAACAGGATTCAGGAGATGGAGGAGTACACTAGATCAGATATTCATCCTAAAACAGCTACTTGAAAAATGATGGGAAGTAGATCAGGACGTTTACGCATTATTTGTCGACTTCAAAGCAGCCTATGACTCCGTGGACAGAAACTGTCTCTGGAAGATCATGACTGAACTGGATGTTACTGGGAAGTTAGTGAGGTTGTCGAAGGCGTGTACAAATGACCTTAAATGCAGGGTATTAATACAAGGAGAAGTATCTGAAGTCTTATAAGTTCGAATGGGTTTGAGGCAGGGAGATGGACTCTCGCCGATGCTGTTCAACTTAGCACTAGAGAATTAATAAGAACATCACACGAAGATGGAGGGGTTGGAATGAAACATAAAATCCTAACATATGCCGATGATATAGCTGTCCTTGGAAGTAATCAAGAGAATATTGAGAGACTCGCTCAGACTCTGTTAAAAGAAACACAGCAAATCGGACTACAGGTCAATGTAGAGAAAACAAAATACATGATAGTTAGTCGAAACATCCATCCTAATAACATGATCTGCGTGGACTCTAAGTCATTCCCGAAAGTAGACAGATTCAAATACCTCGGCTCCACAATAACCTCAATAAATGATCAACTAATAGAGATAGACCAGCAAATAACAAGTGCGAACAGATCTTTCTTCTCTCTTTCAAAAGTACTAAAATCCAGAAAAATCTCCAGAAATCTAAAAATAAGGGTGTACAATGCCGCGATTAAGCCAGTTCTGCAGTACGGTTGTGAAACCTGAGCTCTAACCTGCACACTAGAAGCCAGAATTGAGAGATTTGAAAGAAAAGTTCTATGTAGGATAACAAGACCTATATGGGACCAGAACCTTGACACATGGAGGATAAGGAACAATAAAGAACTGCTGAAAGAAATAGGTCGGTCAATATCTCATAACATGAAGGCAAGGAGGTTAAGATGGGCAGGGCATGTAGCTCGTAGCAATCCATCTTTTCCATAGCTGCATTTACACGAAAATGAATGCCAGAGTAGTAGGCAAGAGACCACGTGGGAGGCCATGGATAAATAGGATACAAAGATACGGCTGAGCTTCATGCCACAAACTGGAAAGCAGTAGCCTAAGATAGGCAGAGGTGGAGAAGGCTGGTTCAGGCGGCAAAAGATCTAAAATGTCTGTAGAGCCAACAGAAAAAAAAAAAATATATATATATTTTAGTATCAGGTTGAATGTCATAGGTAAAACACTCTTTATGTCACAGTAATATTAACATCTCCTTTCCATACTGTTTATGGTGTTATCACTAATTTCCATATAAATTTCTTAATGAGGTCAAATCCAATACTTAGTTAAGAAATTGAGATTTTATCAATGCATTGTTGTGTTCAAATATAAATAAAAATTACTGTTGTAAAGTATCAATGTTCACAATAGTTCAGTTAAAAGAACAGATTCAAATTGTTTAAAAAAGTAAAATACTTCTTTACTAAATAAACTCATCATAATTTTTAAAATTAAGATCCTGGGAAATTTTGTTCCAATTATTAAAATTGTGAAATTTAATAATAACCAATAAAATTGCTGAGAAATTTTGTTTTAACCATTGAAGTTGTTGAGAAATTTTATCTTTTGCCACCTAACGGAAAACAATAATTTTCAAGACGTCCCTGACTGACAAAGAGAGGAATCACTATGCCTACATAAATATTTTCTAAGATTTCATGATTTCATATCTCTAAAGAGCTACAGATTACTTTCTCCCACTTTTAAGATAGTGTTCTAATTTATGGAAGGTTGTCTGATGAGCTTTGGATGAGAATGAAGAGGCTTATGAAATGTTTTTTATTTTTTTCACATAATCAGAAACTTATTACTCAAGACCAATAGAACATTGGTAGTGTAACAACTAACCATTAAACATTATCCCCTTTATGGTTAATATAGTTTATATTCACCAACAAACAGGTACTTGAGTGATTTAAATGTTTAAATAATTCATCAATAAAACCTACTCTGGTTCACTCTACTGGCAAGCCATCAATGGGAAGAAACACGTATTAATTATATACATTTTATTTAACTTGGTATTTATTTTATAAAAATATAATTTTAATGTGGCAAAAATATATATCTATATTTATAGAACTTATGACTTATTTAATTAAATATTTAGAAATTTGTTTTTAAAAACATTAATTACATACCATAGTCCAAGGGTGACAATTGCCCTGGATGTATTCTTCTACTGAGACCAAAGTCACATAGTTTCAAATCATCTCCTCCAGGATGGGCTATCAAGAGATCCCCAGGCTGCCATGAAAATAATTTTAAATGAAAAGTAATATTGGGTTATAGTAATAAAAATAATTGAATTAAATATATCATTGTAGTTCGGGCTGAAGCCTTTCTCAAAATGGTAAAATATAATCATGTCTTATGAAAAAAATATTAAAAAGTTATCTCGAAAAGTATCATTGTTCATGTAACTACATTTAATAGGACTTCATGAAACATGTGAACACCATTTCATATAGGTAGTTAGTTTCTTTCTTTTTGTTCCAAAGTAATTATCGTTATATATATATGTATAAAAAAAAACTTTCGGGCTGGAGCCCCCCAAAATTAAATCCTGGATTTGCTAGTGGCTCCTGACAATATTTGTAATATGGACAATAGTTATTCCAGAGTTTCAGCTTCTGAGCCATGACTTGAAGCACTACTTTAGCTACATTGTTGTGCCTGAGTAAGTATTCCTTACATGCCAATATTGTGCATCCAGAAGATAGATGCTGAATTGATTACGCTGCCTTTTAGCATAGGTGACATAAGTCACTTATATTCTCTCCAAAAAGATGCTTTTTATATTCCCTTATGGTAACTACCTGTTCTTGGATAACCAGAATCCTTTGGTCTTAGGACAAATATTACTACTTTTAAGCCATATTGAACGATTCGTTCAGTCTATTCCTTTAACGATGCCGGATTCTCTATTCCTAGTGAATGATAAAATCGTCTATGCAGTGGTATATCTTTCCATTTATTACTATATTACTATGTAGGGGTTTCAGAATTTGATAGATTCAAAGCTGTGTAACTTGCATCTAGTGGTGCAATAGTTAAGAAGATGTTAGAGGTATGACTTCTAATGCAAGCCCAAAGGTTATTTTCTTTCTCCCGGCATAACTTCAAAAGACTGATAAAACCACACTATCCCACCTTCCAAGGAAGATATAACCTCACCACTGATGATTTTGGGTGTATTTTCCTTGATATCACCATTTTGACTCTAAGGAGGGAATCTAACCATTCTAAATCAGTTTTAGTCTACTTTAGAACTCCAAATGAGCAAGCTTATGCTGGTACTACCCAAGCATTCAGTGCTCTAATTATATTTCTTCCATTAAACCGGATTTAAGCACTAATTTGATTATTTTCTCAAATAATTTCTTGCAATTACTCTTGAATTACTGTAGTTGATGCATTACTGGGTATTTGTAAGAATCAGATTCTCTTATCTGCTTAATTAGGTCTTCTGAAAGCTCTATATCATTCCCTTTAAAAATTCTTCCTCTTTTTACATATATTATTTCACATTTATCTATTCTCAGATTCATTCTTATATCGCTGCTGCGCGTCTCTACTGTTTTCAGAAGATTTCTCATTTCATTTATCATCCAAATAGAGTGAATGGGAGAACTTCATTTCAGAATTAAGTTGGTATCCCTTACCTGAAGCCCTCAATAATGTTCTCTGAGTGGATTGAGTCCAAACAAGCAAATAGGATAAAAGGGAGTCACCTTAAAAAATATCCCTCTTTATATTTATATATTCTATATTCATTGGCAATCATTCCATTCCAAGTTTGTGTGCAGATTGACACTTTCCAAAGTTCCATTAAACGTTTAAAAGTCAATCATGTGGAATTGAATTGAATGCTTTGCGGTAGTCAATCTGAGATAAAGTAAACTTGTGAGAACTTATAGAAACTTCAGCAGCAATAAACAAATCAATCACCAGAAGTTCTTTGCATCCTTTTAAACCTGGTTTATTACCTAGCTGTTCCACAGATATGATGGCCTTTCTCTGAATGAAATCAGCTGGCTTGTATCTTAGGACAGCCGTTATTAACGGCTGTCTTGTACAAGCCATTCAGACATGTTATTGGTCTCAAATCCTGGGGCTCTAATTGTTTCTTATTCACTTTCCTTACGCCATAAGTCATGCCTGTACAGAAGTTTGTAGGAAGATTTACATCTTGAGATAGTAATTTTTGATACCATGAAGCTAAATGAGTGTAAATACTGCTTAAATACTTCAGCCAATAATTTTGTATTTTGTCTAGCCTAGAAGCTTCCCAGTTTATTATTATTATTATAGAAGTCTGCAATTTTTGTAATTGTTGAAGTTAATAAAAACAAAATATAAAGTAATAATGCCTTGACATATTTAAAATTGTAACAATATTGCTTAATGAAAAAAGAAAGAAGGATAACAAACAACAAATAGAAATAAGATCTCACTGAGTTAAGCACTAATCAAAACACTACATATAATTATAACTTTCAATAAACATTTATTTTGTTATATAAAAAAGTAGATATAGTGATTAATCCATAAATTAATACTTACTGTTAATCCTAAATGAGCAATATTTTGGTCATGCATATGATCAAGAGCACATAAAAGTTGGCGCATATATGAGGCTATTTCAGATTCATTAGTATGTGTTTGTCTTGTTAAGGCATCAAGCAGCTCTCCACCACTTGCTCTAATTTTGAATCATTAAGAACAATATTTGTATACTAAAAATAATAATAATTTAAAATAAAAAACACAATTTTATTAACCACAAAATCATGAAGGGTCCAGACGTATAGAGACCTGTACCAGAAAATATATACAAACTTTCCTTTACAGGATCTAGACTCATAATATCAAACAATACTAACATTTAATTTAAGTTTCAACTTCTTCTTTGGCTATTTGGTTAAGTATTCATTATTTTTTTGTGACTTTTTCATATTCATATTCTTTATATTATAACAAATTATTTTCTATCACCAAGACATTATGACATCTATTATTTTTGCAGGGTTTAAATTTCGCAGCAGTTTATTAGAGTGGCTTATCTAGGGAGAAGTCCACCACCATCCAGCTGTTCACTTTGAAGCAGATCCTGAAGAAAGTAATAGAATTCAACCCTAATACACATATGTTTTTTTATGGACTTTAGGGGGCATATAGTGTGTGGTGAGAAAAACTATATATGGCCACGGAAAAACTTGGAATTCCACCAAAGTAAATAAGCTTGGTCATACTATGGTGGACACCAGCTGCCACGTAAGAGTACAAGGAGATTTGTCAAATAAATTCATGGGTGAACAAGGTTTGAGACAAGAGAGCGTGCACTCTCTTTAGCCTAACTGTAGAAAGCGTAATGAGATATGCTGGTATACAAACAATAGGCACTTTATAAACAAAAAGCATGCAAACACTAGCTCACGCCAATGATATATGCATTATTTCAAGATCCCTGACAGGTGTGTACGTCGTACAGAGGACAGGAACGGAAGGAGCCGTGCCTAGCCTGAAGGCCTTAACCGCACTCCTCCCTATCCTTTTCCTCCACGACCATAGGATAAGGATGCCACTTAATGACCTTGGAAAAGACAAAACCTACTTCTCAAGTTTCTTCCCCACAGTAGGAGGTAACCAGATCAACTGAGATAGTACTACTGGGGAACATCTAACACACGACCACTACATCTGCGACCAGCATACCCAAAGCGGCCCCAGCCACCAGCCCAGATAATCATTGCCTAAAATAGACAGACTACCAACCCATAGTACCATTTTTGAACCTAAGGTCCCAGAAGCAATGAATGGTAACAGGCCCGGGGTAAACCCCTACGGTTCCCCTATCCCATGATAGGTGGGGAGGGGCTGACCCCTTTGAGAGAGGAAGGGCTCCGTATCCTTTTTGACAGCTATGACAGACACTTACTGTTTGCTAGAGGCAGGAGTAGTGAAGATGGGATTTCAGGTCAACAAGGAAAATATTACATATATAATAACTGACAGCCATCAAACTGGACCAACTTTTCAAATTAGTAAATATAACTTTGGAAAAGTTTAAAGGTTTAAATGCTTATGATCAGGAGCGACAAATAATAACATGAATCTGGTGATGCAAGGACTTGTTGCCACAAACAGTTGTTATTATGGCCTCCTGAGGTATATGAAAAGACGTTCACTACTATGATCAATTAAACTTCCGTACAAAATCCTCATATGACTGGTTCTGACTTATGGGCCTGAAACATGGACTATGACAAAGACCAGTGAGAGAAAAATACAAGTTTTGGAAAGAAAGATATTTGGCCCAGTAAAGTAGAACAACAAATAGAGAAAACAAAATAACCATGGACCAGCCAACTTATACAAAGAGCCAGATGTGGTAAAATATATCCAGATAGCAAGGCTAAGATGTGCAGATGGATGAAACCTCAACCCCAGAAGTTGCTCAGCATGGAACTGGATGGAAAAAACAAAGTGGGAAGACCGAAGGTAAAATGGATAGATGGAGATAGCACCAATTCCAGAATTGGATTCAGGAATAGGTGGAAGGCTATTTGGACTAGAGACAAGTAGAAGGAGGTTCTTGAGGCAGCCAAGATCCAGTAATGGATTGTAGAGCTCGGGATGATGATGATGTAAATTTTGGAGAGAAGCAATAAATGATTGGCTCTAATCTCTAGAAAATTCATCTTTATTTGGATAATATATCTTTTCACACTTACATATCTGTGAAGGTCCTTCCAAAGTGAAGGGGAAGCCAGAAGTTGAAAGAGCATCATAATCTTTTTAAATACTCATTACTTAGAGAGCTTTTATAGATGTGTCTTTCATATAATTTTGTTCACATTGTGCCCCCCCCTTTCATCTTCAACTTAAGTCTCCAACTTTCCATTCAATTATCAATTCCATTGTCATATGCATCATTTAGCGTAAACGTATTTTTTGAATTATTTTCAATCAGATATTGAGTCAATATCATTTCAAAACAAATATTGTTAATGTTTAGTTATTGGAAGAACCATAATAAAATATTTTAACACTAAAAAGTTATTAAAATAGCCTTCCTTTCATCGTAAAAGTTTTTCTGATTCCTCTTTGTGTCACAGTCAGCAGTGAATAAAAAATGATTATAAGTGGACCATACAGAATGATATATGTCACATGTTCTAACCTCAATTTTTTGATCTGGTGCTCTTTGTAAAGATATGAACTAAAACTTACAACTTTCTTTTCAACTCCATCAATATCCATTTTATATTTAGTAGTAAAAACCTCCAGACCACCCTTTCTTTTTATTTCATTTACAAACCATATATAAATGTCTGTATGAAGGTTTATCATGGATAATAAATGGTCAACAAATCATACAAAATATTTATTGTTATGTAAGGTAATATTCTGACCTATTATGTGTGTTTGACCTGTGTCACGGGGCACGTGAATTCTGTGAGATTGACACTAAAACTTTATGTACTAACTCAAAACATTGCCTTACATGATATAATATTTTGACTAATTTTCTTTGGGCTTGTTTCAGGCAAATTAAATCAAGTTATAAGTACTAAAAGCAACATTTAACTGAAGTGTACTTAAAGCACTTATATGAATAAATAGGAAATGTTATGTTATATTTTATCACCAATTATAAAATTAACTATTATAGGTGAGTAAATGTTTATAATCATATTCATTAATTGTTTTCATATAAAAGGATACAATTCCATTATCAATGTTATAGTATCCAAAGTTTCAAATGCATCATGTATTTTAATAATTTTACGGTCATTCAATATATTCATAATTTCTAATTCATTGTGCATAAATGCTTTCAAATCTCCACGTCCATGCATTACTTTTGCAGCATAATTGCGACCTGAAAGAAATAAATGAATTTAAAATTTCATTTATTTTCTCTATTAATTAACAAATACAGATGTATTGGTTAAAATAACCTAACAATAAAGTTAGTTAAATATATCAAAGATGTACAGTTGTGGTTATAGAAATTATATCACATAATTTTTTTGATTCTTAAAGTTGATTCTATTGAATGTTTTTATTTTTCTTTACTTATTTAGGTTGCAAGAAAACTTAAACAATGTTTCTAAGTTCAGTTTATGCCAGGATTAAAGCTGTAATTATGACTGGTTCAAAAAATTAAAATTGTGACGTTATATAAAGTGGAGGAATTTTCATGGGAAATAGAAATGAGGATAGGGTACCACCAATCAATGGTAGTCATAGTTTTGTAAAATGAAAAAAGCACCAAGGAGCGAAATAAAAGAACTGGGAGGAGAAAACTCAAACGAACAATTTGACAGCTTAATGGTGCAATTGTTTTTAGAATATCCTTTCAAAACTAGCAAAGAAATATCCGGAGATCTTGCAGGTAGCAATCTATTAAATAAACTAAAATTAAATGGCATTTTTACTGAATGATTCTATGTCCATGACCGCGACTGTATATCTTTTAAAAATTTATTTCAAGATAAAATTACTATTTTTCAATTTTATTACATCACTAAAGAATAAGTAATTTGATATTTATTTTAAATGTACCTGATACTCTTTCAACAGCATGATATGTCACTCCTTGTGTTCCACGTCCCAGTTCATCACCAAAGTCATAATAATCCTGAATAGATTTTGTTTTAACCCTGACATTGTGGCCACGTCCATAATGTTGATATGGTCGTTCCTCTTTTTCCTCAACATGTATCATCACTGAGGTACTCACTGCTCCTGCTACATTACTTGCACAGATACTGTATAAACCAGCATCCTTCAATATTGCATCATTAATGACTAGCATACAGAGGTCAGGATCAATCTGGTGAATCTACAACAGATTTTATTAAAAATTATAGCTGAAATTGTTTAATGAAATTTATTTGAGAGGAAATGTGTGAGTTCACCACATAAAAAAATTTATAGATACTTATGTTATATTATAAAAAACAAATATTTGATGCGATATTGTGTCCCATAGTATGTTATGCAGCTCAAGTCTGGCATTTTCAGGGATATGACATATTGGAAAAGTTTCAGAGATTTTTCATTATGAAATTGTTTTTGTTGCCTCCAAGGACACCAAATAATATGATTTATTTGGAGACAGTCGCAAATCCACTTGAGGTGTTCACTTTGCAGCTGCATTTTAAGTATTGTCTTAAGTTACTGTGCCTGCCTCGCCTCTCCAGAGTTATCACCATTGAAGTGATTAAACGTAGTACCTTGGGTTTAAAAATTGGTGCAATTTGGCAGAAAGATACTCTTGCAGGTCCGACAGGTCTTTGGAATGCTTTTTGTTATGGAAAGACCAGGTGGCAACAATACAGTTTGCAATCACTGAACAACATTGGGAGCAGTGTAAATTAGCAGCATTGAATTCTGATCGATTTCTATTGTATAGGGAATTGATTCATGATCTTACAACTTTGAAATTCGTGGATGGCTGCTATTTGGATTTGACTGGGGGTGAGTTGAGTTGGTTGTTCAAGCTCAGGTGTGAACTCCTTTATTTCAATTACATCCCATGGCTTGACAGAGAATATAGGTATTGTCCACTCTGTAACCTTCCAGTAAAGAAAGGCCTGTTCCATTTTTTGTATGAATGTTCAATGCTTAGTCAAATTCGTATAGAATTTATCGGAACTAGCCCAGTTCGAATGATACAAATTTCTCTTTTAAATGACCCCTCTGTGAACGAAGGCCATAAAATCGTCGGTTTTGCTCGACATGCGTGGACCCACCATTTTAATTTGCTACATTCAGCATAGACAATGACCCGTCTAATTTATTTGTGGTCAGTTTTATTCATGTCATTGTTTATGATTTCCCTTATTTTCTTTTATTATTTCTTAGATATAAATTATTCAAAATATTTATTATTTTATATTTGTATTTGTTGTTTTAGTATTTATCAGTTATTCATGTATATGTAATTATTATAGTCTTCATTTGTACTGTACCTGTAAAACATAAAATTTCCGGCAGATGAATAATCATGACGTATAAATGTTCTCTATACTTTGAAATTTATAATTTATGTATATTTAAGCATTTCTCATTCATTCACTTAATGTTTTATTTTTTTAATTGAAATTAATATTTTTTATTAAATAATTATAAAATAAATAAACCTTATGGAATGACAAAAGATTGCATAAATTTTAATAAAATATAGTCTTAAGTTCTATATAATAATTATTATAAAATCTTCAAAACTAAAATAATAATTCCTTAACCTAACATACATATATATATATATATATATATATATATATATATATATATATATATATATATATATAAAGTATAAATAAATAAAATTTATATGATCTGTAAATAAAAAAAGATTAAAAGAAAATAAAAATTAAAAGAAAAAAAGAACAGTTCGAATTTATTGGTTAGTTGAACTGGAGCCACATGCGTCAAAATGCAGCCTTTTATCTTAACCGAAGTACCTCGGTTGAGTCAAATTTTCAGTCCTGTGGTCCTCAAAATAAAATCCTCCTCTGGGTGTTGAATCGGTTCCTCTTGATCTGATATTTCACAAATTGAGGAGAAACAAAATCTAGCGAAGCCATAACTATTAGGCTTGACTCACAGCAGTCTCCTAAGGCTCTCTGAGCTCGAATGTTTATACTCAAATTTTGTCCGCCTGCATCGGATTAAAGGTTGGCTAATAAGTTTCTTTTGGTCTTTAGATGGATGCTATTACTTATAAACAATATACTATCTACAAAATATTAGGGGGACCGGAAAGTAATGTCATTGTCTTACATTAAGTTCAAACATAAATTTCACATGAGTTTTAATTTTTAACCATTGATGGAATAATCCTCCTTATCAACAACCTTTTGCCATCTAGTGTGCAAATTTTCAATGCAATATCAATAAGAATCAATTTGTTTTTGAGCAAAATATATAGAGATGGCATTTTGGACATCATTCAAATTTGCAAACTTTTTCCAATCAGAAAGTGTTGGAACGATCCAAACAAATGGAAATCTGATGGTGTAACATCGGGTGAATATGGTGAATGAAGCAGTATCATCCACCCCATTTCAATAATTTTTTCCAGGGTTCATCTTATGCAGTGTGATCTTGTATTTTTGTATTGCAGAATAACACCTTTTTTGTTGACAATCGATGGTCACTTTTCAATCAAAGATTGATTTACATGATCCAATTGTTCCCAATAAAGCTGTATCAAAAAGGTCTACATTCTCAGTTTGTCCAGGTTTCAGCATTTCAAAATGAGCGACACCGGGAATATTCCACCGAACATACAAAAGCGCCTTTTTGGGGTGTAAACCTGGCTTAACAGTACTTGGCAATTTTTTCGGAGACAGCCACTGCCTTTTGCGTTTTAGATTATCATACAAGACCCATTTTTCATCTCCGGTGATGAAGCAATAAAAAGGATGCTCCTGTATTGTGCCGTTGAAGCAATAAATTGCATATGGTGGTTTCCCAATCTGCTGAAAATGTTCTTGGATGGTCGACCAAGGCTGGTTACGACTGTTTGACAATTCGTGTCATTGTCTAGCATTGCTGGTCTTCCTGTTCAACATGAGTTGGAAAGATCAAAATTATCGGATTTAAACTTGAAAAACCATCCTTGATATTTACGAGTGTCTAATACTGTTGACGGCAACATGAGATCATTTTTATTTTCTTGTCACCATATCATAATATGGGGATCAATTTTATTAGGTTTATGAATAACATCGATTATGTATTTTATTCAGTTTTGTTTCCATATCATTAAGTGGCAAACTATTTTGTTTATTTGTAAAATTACATCATTAAATATTATATGTAAAAGCTCTAAATATTACATACATATCTGAGAAATCCCAGTGGCGATGTTTTCGGTCACTTCCGGAGATTCTCTGGCTCTCGTGGTATCACATAATTCTAGCAAAAGAAAACATTACTAATTCAGTATGGCGCTGAGTATAGAACTGACTCTATGATGTTCTCCGTCCCATCTCAATTTTTTCTGGTAAACTCATTGGTTTCATCACCCCAGATTGTGATGGCGACTTCCCACATCTGGGACATCATTATCCTGCTAGAGGACTCCCGTCAGCTGCACCATTTAGTGACGTTAGAACACTTAATATGACCGGCCGGCTGGAGGTGACCAGTTTTATTACAATCAAGAACATTAATATAATATAATAATAATAATAATTTGTTTCTTTTCTGGGAATACCCCATACAAATAGAGTTGGCCATTAACAGTAATATATACAAAGGAGTTAATGAAAAATATAACAATTCTTTGGGTCGCAGTGTCAACATCTCTTTGAACAGCAACCATTAACAAAATATAATACAATAGTATACAATAATAAAAAGAAAAACAATCCATAATAATAATAATAATAAATACACAAACCAATATAAATTATTTTTAAACACCCAGTAATACATATAAATAAGATATTAAATAATACATATATTCCTCTAAAGTTCCTCGCGCGGGCTCATTACCGCGTATGGGGAGCGTCCCACGGGTGGCGGATGTGGGGATGGTCGGTGGAAATTCCTTGGAAGTTCCTCCCGGCTAAGTCCGATGGACTCGCTGACCAACAATGAGAGGGGCCCTCCAGACTTGCTGGAGGGAGGGGACCTCCAGACTTACTGGAGGTAGGGGCCCACCAGACTTGCTGGTGGGTGTGACGTAGGATTGAATGCCCTACTCACATATCTTTAGTTCACCAAACACCACAAAAAGTCATGGATCTCCCTAAGGTAAAACGCTCATTATCCGGAGGTAAACTAGTCCCCCGTTCGGGTCTCCGGGTGGGGACTGCTTTAGGGGATTCATGGCGCAAGTTGAAATATAGCGATTTAAATATTGGTACGTGGAACGTAAGGAGTTTAAACACAGCAGGGGGGCTAAAATCGGTCGCGAATGAGGTAAATGGGTACAATTTGGATGTCGTGGCTCTGCAAGAGGTTCGCTGGCCAGGGGAGGGCTCGATGAGGGAAGGAAAGTACACTATTTGGTACGGAGGAAGCGGGAATCATTGTTTAGGTACCGGGTTTCTAATTAGGAGTAGATTACTATCCGCTTTGAGGGACGTACAATTCTTTAGTGATAGAATTTCGGTAGCTACATTTCAGGGACGTTGGTTTAAAATCGCATTAATAAACATACATTGTCCGACCGAAGACAGTGACGATGAAGTCAAAAGTGAATTTTACGATAAACTCGAATGGGTTTATGATAAACTACCGCGAAACTACATGAAAATAATTGTAGGTGACGCGAACGCAAAGGTAGGAAGGGAAGAAGTTTATATTCCGACGATTGGTAAAGAAAGTTTGCACGAATATAGTAATGATAATGGGATCCGTCTGATAAACTTTGCCATCTCGAAAAACCTGGTAATTAAAAGTACGACGTTTAAACGTAAGGATATTCATAAATATACTTGGACATCGCCGGATTCGCAAACACGAAATCAAATCGATCATGTCTTGATACAACACAGCTGGCAAAGCAGTATAATCAATGTACGGTCTTATCGCGGAGCAGAATGTGGGTCGGATCATGAATTAGTAATCGCGAAACTTCGACAAAAACTTAATATAAAAAAGAGAAAAGAAAACCGTTTCGATTTTGAGAATTTTAATTTGGAAAAATTAAAAAATCCATCAATTAGAAACCAATTCGAGCTAGATGTTAAGAATAGGTTTGAAGCTTTAGAGCTTCCTGACGAGGACCACGAGGATATTGACAAGTTATGGGTAGAGATCAGGGATAATATTAAAGCGGTCGGTAACTCGTGTCTAGGAAAAAAGGAAAATAAGAATAACAAACCGTGGTTTGATGAAGATTGCTTAAACATGTGCGAAAAAAGAAAAGCCGCTAAATTAAAAGCTCTAAATAATCCTAGCGAAGACAATCTGGAATACTTCCGAATCTCAAAGAACGAAACGACAAAATTGCTCAAAAATAAAAAAAGGGAGTATCTTAAAAATAAAATAATTGAAATAGAAACTAATAGAATCGAAAATAACGTAAGAGACATGTACAAAGGTATAAACAGATCACGTAAATATGTAGGGCCCGTAACGTCTGGAATTAGGGATGATAATAACAATATTCTGACCGATCCGGTTGACATATTGAATAAGTTTAAGGACCACTTTGACAATATTTTAAATACGGGAAATTATGACCTGTGTCCTCCTTCTGAGTACCAGAGTGCTGAACCATTAATAGAAGGACCAAGTAAAGAGGAAGTTGAAGTAGCTATCGGAAAATTAAAATCATATAAAGTTGCGGGAATCGATAATATTCCTACTTAACTAATTAAGGAATGCGGGGAAGCTGGAGTTTCTAAAATACATCGGTTGGTTGAAAAGATCTGGGTGAACGAGAAATTACCTGAAGAATGGAAAGAATCTATTCTTATTCCGATTCACAAAAAGGGGCCCAGGACGGATTGTAATAACTATCGAGGAATTTCACTCCTTCCGGTATGTTATAAAATATTCACTTCAATCTTAACCAGTCGAATCACGGAATACGCCGAGGAAATTATCGGAGACTACCAATGCGGATTTAGACGGAATCGTTCGACTATTGATCAAATATTTTCTTTACGGCAAATATTAGAGAAAAAATTGGAGTATAACGGTATTGTTCACCAGCTGTATATAGATTTTAAAAAGGCTTACGATTCTATTGACCGCCAGAAACTGTATAATATTCTAATCGAGCAGGGGATTCCAAAAAAAATAGTAAATCTAGTCAGGATTTGCTTGACGGAGACACTCAATAAAGTTAGAATCGGGAATAATTTGTCCGAAAAATTTGAGGTTCGTTCGGGCTTAAAACAGGGGGATTCCCTTTCGCCTGTCCTGTTCAATTTGGCATTAGAACATGCCATTAGGGAGGTAATGCGAACCGAGAAAGGGTTGGATCTGGGCGGGACAACATCCGTGCTGGGCTATGCTGATGATCTGGTACTGTTAAGCGAAGACGTTGAAACTATAAAACTAAATACGACAACGTTAATGAAAGCCGGTAAAGAACTAGGACTCGAAATAAACGTGGATAAAACAAAATATATGGTTAGCTGCAAAAATGGCGATACTACTGGTGATATCGATATAGATGGTAATATGTTTGAACAGGTAGATAAATTTAGGTATCTAGGTTCTACGATAACTAGAAAAAACGAAATTGAAGAAGAGATTAAGGTTAGACTGAAGGCGGGAAATGCTTGTTATTTTTCTGTGACAAAACTACTTAGTTCGCGCCTCTTGTCCCGGAACTTAAAAATTAGAATCTACAAAACAATTATCTTGCCTACAGTTCTTTATGGATGCGAAACTTGGCCGCTTACATTAAGGGATGAGCAGCGTCTTAAGGTTTTTGAAAATAAAGTATTGCGTAGAATATTCGGACCGAAGAAGGATGAGTTAACCGGAGAGTTCAGACGGTTACACAACGCCGAATTGCGTGAGCTATATCCGGGTAATATAATTGAGGTAATTTCATCGCGGCGAATCAAATGGGCTTGTAAAGTTGTTGGGCTTAGTAACGAGAGAATTCCTAAAAGGTTAATATTTGCTGTGCCGAATGGTAAGCGTCTGAGGGGTTGACCGAAGCGAAGGTGGGAAGATTGCATTAAAGCTGATCTGAAGGGACTGGGTTTGGACGGTGAACGGTGGAGGGAGGTGTGTAATAAGCGATTGGTGGTGTCGGCATCGAACCTTTGGGTTCGCTAAGCCTTATTATTATTATATTATTATTCCTCTAAAGTTACAGTTTTTACATAATTTAGTTGTAAAAAATAAAAAATAATAATTATTTATATATATAAAGGAAGGAGATGGTCCGGGGTTGCGGTCATAAATAGGCTAAATAGTTTTACCACTATTTAGCCTATTTATGACCACAACCCTGGACCATCTCCTTCCTTTATAATGCAACGGTCAACTATTAAATATTCAAGATATATATATATATACACAATAAAAATCTAATTTGGCTAGCCATTTCACCAAATTTGCAACAAAAAAAATTTTAATTTAATTATTTGCAACTAAAGAAGTCACTATAACCTTAGAATGTCTTTGCCCTGACATAGATGCACACAATGAGCTGCCAAATGACAATCATAGTGACATGCTCAGAAATGACATTACTTTCTGGTTCCTTAATATATAAAATTGAACATTATTATTTTTTTCTTTAATTGGGATCTTTTTCCTATTTATAAAATAAAATATTAAAACATTTAATAAAAAACTAATCACAAAAAGAAAAGATACACTTCAAAAAAATAAAGTGTGACAAGGTTATGATGACAATATTCAGGATGTGTAAGGTACAATTTTGGTTGACTTTAAACCTAAAGGTCAAACAATAAATAGTGACAGCTACTGTGTGCTACTGTATTTATTAAAGTCAAAAATCAAATCCAAAAGATGTGGTAAATTTTTGAAATGTGTGAGTTTGTTTCAGGATAATGCTTTTCCTCAACCAAAAACACAGTCCCGTGCCTTTAATATCTCGGTTTTTAGCTGCTGTATCACCTGCCATATAGTTCAGATTTGGCTTCAATGGGTTTTCATCTTTTTGACACATTAAAAGAGGAGTTGTGAGGGAATCTTTATTAATCAGATGAAGAGGTCATTGAAGCAGTGTAAAATTTTTTGAACATCAAGCCGAAAACCTTCTTCCAGGAAGGAATTGAAATACTTGTTTGAAGTTGAACCAAGTGAATAGAAGTAGAAGGAGATTATGTTGAAAAACAATGCTAGTATCATTTATATATCTATAATAAATATATAGATTTTTTAAATTTCACTTTACTTTTTGACTTACTCTCATATTTAAAGATCATTTATCAGCTTTGTTCAGATAGATTAAACTGTTTAGGAATATATTTTGTTTCTTTTTGGATGCTCCCCCAAATTATCGTATCCATTATCAACAATTGGCTTGGTTTTAGTGGCATGAGTATTCACCAAATTTTATTTTAATAAGATCTCAATATTATTATTAATATAAAAATAAATTAATAAAAAGTCTTTCATTTAGAATCTTTTAAGAAAATATTGAACATGAAAAAAAATCTATTGTTTTCTCATTTTTGTTCTTTTGAATGCATACACTTGCATTGTGAGAAAAATTTAATATTTAGCCTAAATTAAATCTCTGAGTTCAACAGAACAACCTAAGACACCAATTAATTATGTATTTCTCCTGATGTGGTCACCATAAAACATTTATAGAACGTCAGTAAAATAGAGGGTGCATTTTCATTTATTACTATGCATTTGTAGAAGTCTTATATTTATTTTAATTTTCAAATAACCTAATTAAAACTAAATAGATAAATACATTACCTTTATTCTAGAACTTGGAGCTATGAGTTGCCAATCCTTATACCATTTGATTTCAGGTTCTGGTATACCTATTACTCTAGCTTCTATTCTTCCTGATTGTCGATGGTAAATAGTAAGTTCATCAGGGCGGCGTATAAATTCAGGATATTCAGCAATTTCTAAATGAACTCTCTGTCGAGCTTCTCCATGTTCATTTGTTGCAACAGCTTCATAAGTTCCAACATCTCTTTCCAGCATTCTAAGTTAATAAAAAAATAATAATAAAACAAAACAATGATTTAAATTGAAATTAAATTGTATTCAGAATAAATTAAAATTATATTAGTAACAGAGAAACTAAATAATAAAATTAGTTAAATATGTAGTATTTCATACTTATTTATGAAAAGAGTTGCTTGACCATTTCTTGTGTAACTGGAATCGTATCTGCCTCCCATTTCAATAATTTCATCATTAAAATAGTAAGTCATTTTTGGTTTTGGATAACCATAGACAAACCAAAAGAGATTACAATTGTGTCCTTTAACTCCATACTGAGTATAGTGTTCTTGCCTCAAAAACCTATATTAGGACATAAAATAATAAAGAATGCATACAAAATCTTCCATTACTTTAATAAAGAAACAAATACATACATATATATAATTTCATTTTTTTAAAAACAATGTATTGTAAGTAATATCATTATATAATAATAATTTGTAAATTAATAAGACCTGAAAACCCCAGATGAAAAAAATAACTATCTCAATTAGTTTTTGATATTCAATTATGAAATCTGAATCTGATTTCTTTTGCATAGATTATTTAACTTATAAAAGTAGAAATTTAGCAAGTTTAAATAGTGTTCAAAACAGTCTCAATTTCAGTGATTTTTTAATGTGGAAACTTAGTATTCACTATTGAAGCTAGTCATAGAGAAATAGTATCTAAGAAATGGGACTAAATGTTTCTAGAAACATCGTTATTAATACTATACTGTAATACCTAGATTTTATTGTTAGGAACATTAGATTAGTTGTTTCATAACTTTTTCTAACTTTTCTTTCCTTACAGGAACTAATTTTGTTATAAGGCTTACCAATTATATGTCTATCATTTCTAAGTCTCTCATATCCAATTGTAGTAGAATGTTTTTTCACTAAGTTTAACCTAAATACAAATCTTCTTGATATATAAATTCATCTACTTAAGAAAAAAATAATGATTCATTATGGTTTTTTTTTAAGACTCATAAGTTTGAGTTTGTTATCTGTTATATTGCAGTAATTTTATATATTTTTTATATATATTAAAAATAGATGTGTTCTGTAAAGTAAGGATTGAAACTGTATTTTCTTAGCACACTTCAACTGATGTTTCGTCTTTTAATAGATTGCTTTATGCTTTACCAATTTGTTCAAAAAGTGACAAACTTTAGTCCTTTTCTAAGTGTTTTTTCATCCACATGTTCAATCAAATGCCTAGGTGAGATTTGCATAACAGCAACTAAACTATCTTATCATTTTTATTAAATTTTCTGATTTTTTTAAAAAAATATAATGTGTCACATTTACTTGTTGTATTTTTCTTGTAATAAAGTTGTAAATTTCATTAAAATTAAAAAATATATATAATGTTTATATTGTTTCTTTTGGCTCTTAAGTCCCATTGTTTCTTTTTTAGTGTGTTTCCTTCTTTACATAACGGTCTTATTATTTCTCAGATTGAAAAATATACTTTCAAGGAGACACTAAGAGATTTCTGTGGTTAGAACAAGCTCTATTACTTTCCTTCTTTAAAAGGAGGAAAGAAAAGTCAATATTTCCCCAATCCTTTGCTCTTCTTTTGTTTATTGACATTGCTTAGAAGATGTAAGAAAAAAAAATATACTTATATATTTTTTTCTACATGCACAGTATCATTTCAATAATGATCCCTTCATGATCAATGGCTTAGCCAAAAAAATTGCATTGCCTCCTTTAGTTCTTCATCCTCAAAATAGTTGTTTTCTTCCCAATTACCTCATACTTGCAGGGACAGTTTTTGGCCTTCTCGGATCAAGATCTAGAACTATTCAATTTATATCTCCATTATCTCTTTCATACATGCCATTTTGATTCTTAATAGATTTCAAAGCTACCTCCTTTTCTGTTTCCACATTTTCAAAAATAAAGTTAGCCCAGATGGGCATCAGAAGGAACAATACACTGTTTTTAACAGAATATGTTTCAATTATTGCATTTATCAATATTATTGAATAAAAATAGTTTATAAAATCTTATTTATTTAGAAAAATTAGAATTAGAAAAATCTATAATAACTATATGATCTATAAAGTCCATTCTAAACTAAGTTGCTTTTTAAAAAGTTTCTTGCAGCAAAATAACATTGGTACTAGAGCTTGGAGGACTTTTGGATGATATGATAATGGTAAGCAATAAAGGATCTATAATATCACACTAATGAAATGATAAAGGTGATTGAAGAACTAAATCATAGGTTTTGAAATTCAAATAGTCAATTCATGGTTGATTATTAATTAGAAATGGTACTAATCAATTTGAAATAAGTTATAGAACCAGCTTTAAAACTTCTATTATAAGGGTTATTTTTTCAAAAGAAGGCAAGAAACTTTTAAATAACTGTTTTAGTACTTTGGAAAAGTGAGATACAAGTTTAATAGGAGGTGGTTAGAAAAAGTAGACTGTTGATCTTGGTTGAAGAAAAGGATCAGTAATTTTTTTTAAACTACTGGTAGGAAGATTGACTACTTGTGTAGATTTAATAAAAATATTAAGGGCATAAAAGAAAAATTAAAATTTACAAACAAAGGAAAAAGTAATGCATTATATCTTTAAAGACATAAATTGTTTAACAAACAAACAAAATCTGGAAAATAAATGATAAAGCAATATTATAAACTAATAAAAAACTGAATCAGTTAAAATTTATTTTCATTTGGAAAATAAATATCGATAACACTTTTAATGCAATAAAATTATAATTATAAAAACATTTACATAAAAAATGAACCAGTAACAATAAATTTTTACCTTGGAGCCTGAGCATAACCATCATGGGGGGGTCGCTCTATATCAAAATCTTCAGGGAAATATGGAGAAGATTCTGGACGAAAATCAACACCAGGAGCAAGATATGGTATAAACTTCGGGGTTTCTGGTTCCAGTTTGGATCTAAAAATATCATAGGAATTGAAGTTATTTAATTGTTTTTTTCATTTTTTCAGTATGAGCTCGTAAAGTATGTATAGTATAACCAGAGATATGATGAATAATTTTAGTACTTAATTTTGAGTAGATAATCCAAATGACTAAGTTGAATATATATACTTTATAAGTTAGTCAACTTGGAGTGCTAATAGTGATTTGCTGTCACACAGCTTTTCCATGTTATTATTTTCTATTATATTTGACGCATTAAACAGAGGAACGGTGCCCGGAGAAGTAGGAGTAATGAAGGAAGACTCCCTGAATTCTATTGAACTCCCGGATGAGGAGGAAATGGAAAATGCCCTGAGGAAATTGAAAAATGGAAAGGCGCCAGGCCCGGACGGAATCCAGTCAGAGCTGTTGAAATGTGGAGGTGAAGAACTTAAAAAAGCTCTGCATGATTTAATGCTGACCATCTGGGAGAGGGAAGCTATGCCTATAAGAAAGGAGATCAAACAGAATGCGCTAACTATCGAGGAATCTCACTCCTTTCGTGTGCTTATAAGCTGCTCTCTAACATTCTTTTTGAGAGGATTCTCCCGTATTCTGAAAAGGAACTGGGGAAATATCAGGCTGGATTTCGAAGAGGAGGCTCAACCACTGATCAACTGTTCTCTCTGAGGATGATCCTAGAAAAGACTATGGAGCATAAGGTAGTCACCCACCATTTATTCCTAGGCTTTAAAGCAGCATACGACAGCGTTGATAGAACGCAACTATACTGTGCCTTGGAGGAGCTAAGCATCCCTCAGAAGCTCGTACGCCTAATCAAGATGACCATGGACAGCTCGAGATGTAGAATACGCGTCGGTTCTGACGACTCCGAAGAGTTTAAAGTGAGCAGTGGGGTTAGGCAAGGGAATGCCCTCGCCTGTCTATTGTTCAACTTGGCAGAGGAGAAAGCTGTAAGAGACTCCGGTATTCAGACCAACGATATAATCTTCAATCGCCTGACACAGCTTCTTGGTTTTGCTGATGATATTGACATAATAGGTAGGTCTGAACGGGCTCTCAGAGAAGCGTTTATAGGCCTTGAAGCAGCTGCAAGACCACTTGGTCTAGAAGTCAACGAGAGGAAAACTAAGTATATGAGAGTTGGTGGTGAGGTGGATCTGAACTCTCCATTTGAGGTAGGTTCTTTTAAGTTTGAGAGAGTGAAAAGTTTTATATACCTTGGGTCTGAAATTAATAGCAAAAATGACATGGCTCAAGAAATACAAAGAAGGATCACGGCTGCCAATAGATGTGTCTTTGGACTTGGCCGACACTTAAGAAGTAGGTACCTCTCAAAGAAGACCAAGCTGATCATATACAAGACCCTTGTTCGGCCTGTTTTGACATATGGCTCAGAGGCTTGGACGATGACCAAAAACGATGAGATGAAGCTGAGTGTGTTTGAGCGAGGAGTCCTCAGAAGGATTTATGGTCCAGTAAAGGAGGGTGATGTCTGGAGGAAAAGAAAAAATAGGGAGCTCAGTTCTCTCTATACAGACATCGACGTAGTCACCTATATTAAACTGGCCAGACTAAGGTGGGCAGGGCATGTGGCCAGAATGAGCACCGTTGAAATACCAAAGAAAATAATGATGGAGGAGCTGCATCTCGTAAGACGGGTAGGAAGGCCGAGGACGAGATGGTTGGACAACGTGGCCTATGATGCGAGAACCCTGCTTGGTGTACGGAACTGGAGAGCTGCAGCAGAAGACAGAGCCAACTGGTGGAGGCTCTTGGAGGAGGCCCAGTATCGGTAACGGGATGTCGTGCCACACATGATGATGATGATTATATTTGAAAAAAAAATGTATTTGTTAAAATAATTTTCTTTTAGCACCTAATTTTTTACTTGTTAATTTCTCAACAATGTCTATATATCTTGAACTATGATACAGAAACATCTTTTTTATAGCTATGGAAGAATTGGGGATACCAGATAAGCGCATCAGGCTGACTAGGTGTACCATGGTACAGAATTAATGCCTGGTAAAAACTCTGAGTGGATTTTCAGATCCATTTAAAGTAAAAAAAATGAACTAAAACAAGGAAACTCATCAGCTCTCATTTTATTTAATATTGTCCTATAGACAATGGCAAACCAAGCTGAACTAGACCCTGGAGATTTGTATACCAAGATGACCCAGATATTGGCATATGCATATGAAGTGGTGGTCATTGGATTTGGCTAACATAAAGAGCAAGTTTATTAAGCTTGGTGCAAAAGCTCGTCATTTGGGCCTGATAGTCAATGAGGAGAAAACCAAAGTAATCACATCAAGGAGAAAAAAAAACACTTTTCATACCTATTGTATGAGTCATCAGCGACTATATTTTAGAAGAGGTGGTGAACAATTTAAGCTACCTTGGGTCCCTTATCAATGATGCAACAAATGAAGATGAGGAGATAAGATTTGGACTAATTACAGGAAATAAAGCATACTTTGCTCTGATTAAACTATTCAAAAGTAAGTTTCTGAGCAGGACCGCTAAGATTAGGTTGTACAAGTGCTTATTAGATCTGTAACAACATATTTATTAATTCAGCTCAACGACCCACAAGCGGGTCTTAGCTTCCTCAAACAGCAATCGCCATACATCCCTTTTTTGTGCTGCTGCCATCCAATTTCTCACTCCAATGTACCATAAGTCACCTGTGACACACTCCGACCACCACAGCTTCAGTCTCCCAACTCTGCGCCTGCCGAACTGCTACTCCATTATTATTTTCTTCGGGGTTGATTGCTCTGGCATCTGTGCAAAGTGTCCCACCCACCTTAATGTTCCAGTCTTGATAATCACGATTACATCAGGCTCATTATAGGGGTATAGATTTCTATATTTCTATGCCTTCTCCATTGTCCGTTCTTACAGGTGGGCCCATAAATTTGGTGAAGGATTTTTCCCTCAAAAGCAAGCAGTTCCCGTTCATCTGCCTTTGCGGTAATCCAGGTCTCAGAACCATAAGTCAAAACATGGCGGATGAGGGTTTTGTAGAGGATAACGTTGGTGCATTGTGAGACAAGTCTGCTCGATAGGTGAGAGTGGAGTCCATAATAACAGCGATTCGCTGAGATCATTCTTTCCTGTACCTTTGCTGAGATTCTATTGCCGCACGTCACTTGTGCACCAAGATATGTGAATTCCGACACTTGTTTAAACATGCAGGAACCAAATGCAACTTTGATACCGATCTGTTGGGGGGGCTGATCAGACACCATATACTTTGCTTTGTCTTGGTTGACAATTAGGCCAAGACCTCTTGCCGCAGGCTCGAGAGCCAGGAATGCTTGAGATACAGCCTGATATGATCTACCAACTATATCTATATCATCAGCATACGCTAGGAGCTAAACTGTTCTGTTGAAAATAGTACCCGTTGTCTGAATTCCTCATTCTCTGACAGCTTTTTCTAGATGAAGATTAAAGAGGAGACATGTCAAAGCATCTCCTTGCCTCACCCCTCTCACACTCGAGAAATCCTTCCCGACGCTTTCTTTGGACTTGAACAAAGTATTCGATGCCCGTCATGCTCATCCTTACCAGCCGAATAAGTTTAGGAGGAACATTAAGTTCTATAAGAGCCTTGTACAGTTCATTCCGGTCAATGCTATCATACGCGGACTTAAAATCAATGAAGATATGGTGCATCTTGAATCCATATTCTCTACCTTTTTCCAAAATTCCATGAAGACTGAAAATCTGGTCTGTTGTTGACTTTCCACGCATGAATCCACATTGATACTCCCCAATTTCTCACTTGGCATATGGGAGGAGGCATTGGAAGAGTATATTCGATAATATTTTATAGGCACATGGGAGGAGGAATATTCCCCTATAGTTACCACTCTTAAGCATATCCCCCTTCTTATGTATAGGGCATATTAAGGTTTTCTTCCATTTCTCAGGCATGTTCTCTTCGGCCCACACAGTCAGAATGATATTGTGGAGGCATCTGACAAGTTCGGTCACTCCTTGCTTGAATAATTCAGCTGGTAGGCCATCAATACCTGGGGTTTTACAGTTTTTGAGTCGATCAATTGCCTGGATGACTTCCTCATCGTCAGGAGGCTCTAAATCTCCTTTTAGTGGTGTATTAGTAGTGTGTCCATCTACTTCACCACCTCCATTTAATAGGCCTTGGAAGTACCTCTTCCATTCCGCCATGCAGGATTCATCATCTGTAAGAAGGACTACATTGTTGTTTTGACACATAGAGGAGATTTGCTTAAAAGGATTTCGACTTCTGTTGGCTACCTGGTAGAACTTTCAGGCATCTTTATCCGTCCTAAACTTCTCCATTTCTGTTAGTTCAGCATGCTTGTGTTGCCTCTTCTTTTTTTGATGGAGTCTCTTCTCCACTCTTCTCATTCTCTTGTATTCTTCTGCAATATGTCGTGTCCTTCTGTTGATTATTGCCTGGTATGCCACATTCTTTGCATCTGTGGCAAATTTACACTCATTATCAAACCACAGTGCTCGAGCTTCTCCTCCAGTTGTTTCCAGAACTTCCTCAGCTGTTCATGCAATAGCTCTTCAGCATCTCTCTCATTCCTCATCCATTTCTTCTCTTATATGATTCTCTATGAGCTTCTGGTCTAGTGTTGGCACATACCTTTGTTGGACATCTAGATCTTTGATTTTCTTCATATCATAGCACTTCCCAGTCTGTGCTTGTCCACCGTAACCATTGTTTATTCTAGCATTGACTGTGGCTATGCTAAGAAAGTGGTCAGAGTTGACGTTAGCACTTCTGAAAACAGGCACATTTAGTATGGAGCTGATATACCTTCCACTAACAAGAATGTGGTCAATCTGGTTAACCAACCAACCATCTGGCGATGTCCAAGTCCCTTTATGAATGTCTTTGTAAGTGAACATAGTACTTGCAATAGCAAAGTTCTTCGCTGCAGCGATATTCACCAGGCGCCGCCCATTATCGTTGCATTGGTCATGAAGACTATGTTTACCAATTGTGGGAATATAACTTTCTTCCTTTCCAATTTTACATTGAGGTCTCCAGCTATGACCTTCATATTGTATCCTGGACATATGTCCAAGGATTCCTCCAACTATTCGTAGAAGACATCCTTCTCTTCTTCATCAGCGTCTTCTATAGGAGGAGCATGGACACTTACCATGGTAATATTTCTAAATTTACCACGGAAAATGCCATCTGTCAAAGAAACAAAATGGTGCCAATAATGAGATTTGACAGAAACTACACTAACCACTACAACCACCTATGGACGAATTCCAGTTTCATATTTACACAACTGGTACTTGTTCACTACTGAAGTATGTTGTACTAAGTATAAAACAAATCATTTAAAATGAATTATATTACTTTTAATTAATAAAGAATAAGGTATTAGGTGGGTAAATAATTACAAACCTATAAGTTATGGCATAAGGTGATGGATCACTGATACCAAATTTATTCTCCACCCTCACCCGAAACTTGTAATCTCTAAAAGGTTCCAAATTTCGAATTTCACAAGCACAGCTTCTAATACCTAAAATATAATAGAAATCATTAAGAATTAGCAATGAAATTTTCATACAATAGGTGCAGACTTTCCATTTTGATTGGAGAAAGCAATGGACCAAAAAAAAATGGTGGGGTTTTATATGAGGTGTAAAAATTATGTAAAATGGTAAATATATAAAATCAACTTAATAATTGTGAAACAAACAAAATAAAATACTGAATATTTAAAAATAAATTTAAATAGCTTTTTTTTCTATTTGTATGGACATATTTGGGAGGGGGAGGAGGGGGCGAACCTGACCTTTACCTCCTCGTGTTGTTCCCCGGGTAACTCTAACAGAAGCAGTACTGAGTCATGGTGTTGGGTTTGCAGCCCATCGTCAGAAAATCATAAATTAGCTTTCAAACCTAATAAAACAGTCTCAGGAGAACCATTTAACGTCTTTTACTCTATTGAGACAAAAAAACTGAGTTGGTTTGGGTACCTTATGAGAATGGTGGACGACCGATGGCCTAAAAGGATATTTAAACATGTTCCATTGGAAAGGAGGAAGAGAGGTCAACCAGAAAAAAGATGGATGGAGGGTATTCCTAAGGCAATGCTAGCAAGAGCACTCCTGGAGGAAGACTGCTATGATAGGAAGGAATGGCGGCAGAGCTTATTAGGTTACAAGATGTGGCCATAAAGGGTTGTAATAAAGCCGTTTATATATATATATATATATATATATATATGGAGCTGGAGTAGCCTTGAGGGCTAAGGCGCTTGCAATAGGTAATCAAAGTTAAGCAATGCCGAACGTGGCTAGCACTTGGATGGGTGACCGTCCACCAAGGAAAGCCACGCTGCCCGAGATTCCTCCCTCCCCTCCCCCCCAGGTATGTGAGCCCCGTCAGCCTACTGGCGGCAACTCACACCGACCGAGCGTAGGATTGATGACCCTAACCTGTACTTTAAATCTTGAATTGGAATGTGGTCTAGGAGCCCACACTCGCGGTCAAAGATCTTCATGGTCTGTAGCACTGACCAAAAAAAAAATATATATATATATATATATATATATATATATATATATATATATTTGAAAATATCAGAACAAAAACATTAAATATTTGTATATACTAAACATGGTGGTGGGAGACGGGAGACAGCCTTTATAACAAGGGTACATTTCAAGAACTTATTCAGTTAAAAATTAACAATGTTAAAACTGAAGAATATTTTTATTCCACAGTTTATACTATATCAAAATAAAAATAAACTGTTTCCACATTCTGGCATTCTCCATAAAATATTTGCTTATGATATTTTATTAACAATAAAATTATGATATCCAACATTATTCTTACTTCAAGGGTAACCCTTAAAGTTATTTATTTTTTTACTTCAAATTATTGGGAGAAGACAAAATGATATCCTTGCGCCCTCCAATATTTTTATAGTGATTGCACTCTCTCCCTCCAAAGTCTGCACCTATGCAGTCAATGTTAATTTCCTTTTAATATGTTATTATGTAATTTTATACCTGATCTTGCAGTAAACCAATCACCAGTTGGAAGCTCACACATTTCAACTTGGTATGTTACAGGATCCCTTGGTCCAAATGGAATAGATGGTCTCCATGAAAGTGTTAGTCTTCTGTCACTCATTCTGCTGATTATTGGGCGATCTGCTAAAGGCATGGGAGCTCCTTTATGTTTATATGCCTCAAAATCTTTAAACTGTTCACCAACACCATGTCGATCACCCAACCCCATTGCTAAAAAAATTAAAGAAAATGTCAGATAATTTAATTATTGGTTAGATTTGACTTTTAATATCTTACATCTTGCCTAAGGTGTAAAAACACATTTGTTCATAATTAAAACAAAATCACTTTGGTTACAGTATTTATTAATGAGTGCTATAACATTGTTATTTATAATTAATATAAGATAACTCATATAATAATAATAAAGTTGAAGCTTTAAATTTTTAAATGCTAAATGAACAGGTTTCCATTGTTTAAATTTCATATGCATCATATCTTTGTTATTAAATAAATGTTTAAAAATATTTAAATGTTTATTAATAGCTTTTAATTTATCGCAGAACCTATTATTTTCTGAAATTTATTTGTTTTTTGCTTTCAATTTTATATTATTACATGTTTATAATTATTTTTATAATTAATGAAATTATTTAAGAACTTTACTTACAGTCGAATATAAATGATGCTTCACATTCATCTTCCCCGTAATCATTGTAAATTCTTACTTTATACTTTCCAGCATCTCCTGCTGGTTCTACATTGGCAATGCTAAGCCTTAAAAGGCCACTAAGTTCTTTTTCTATTTTAATACGTTCACTAGGGTAAAGTTTCTGACCATTTCTATACCATTCTACTTCAGGTTCTGGGTACCTACATAAGTGGGAAAGTATTTGTAATTGAAATTTTATTAATACCATAATAAAATATTTACCAGAATATCAATTAATAAGCCTTAAAAACCTTTTTTTTTTTTCTCCTGATAATGAAAAGTTTATTGTAAAAAAAAAAAAGCCAACTTAATGGCAACTATGACAATTCAAAACTATTTTCTCACAAATTTCCATAAAAACACAAGTGTCCAATTAAAAATATTTAGAATGCTTCAATAAAAAGAATCTGAATTAACATGCAGAATTATAGGTACTGAATTTTTATTAATTTGGTCAAGACTTTTCATATCTCAAATACCAATCAGTATACTTTATTTATTTTTTTATTTCAAAGAATTTGAGGATAAAAGTAGAAATTCTTACAAAGATTGATCAAAAATTAAATTAGAGGTATGTATTAATGAAACAAAATGTAAATCTCATCTGAAAGGCTCTTCCTTTACAAATATGGTATATTTACTAATAAAATTATAATGTAATAAAAAATAGTGACATTCTCATGAGACTGAATGACATAACAGCATTGTAAAGATTTTTAATGTGTTGAATAACATAATACAATAAATATGGTCATAAAAACAAAAATGATTTCAAGTTCCATTTTTTAAAAGTTCATTGCCCAGAATTGGGTTTCATGGCGCAACCTGCTCCATTAAAATTTTTGAGAAGGTCATATTTTGACAGGGTAATAAATTTTTGTAATGAAAAATTTCAAACCAGAGGACAAGAGGAAAATATGGAACAGACTTCAGCAAGTGTAATTGTATATGATGTATGATTTTTCAAATTATACTATCGCTTGTACTATTTTTAAGAAGAGATGAGCAAAAAAATATCTTGAGAGAGATGAGAAAGGGGGTTCATATGCCATCGGCCTTGGGAGGGATGGGCACCGCTGTAAAGGAACATGATACTGAAAATATACTGCATAATAATTATTGTTAATGGTGGCAGAATTGTGTAATGTGATATATATAAAATAATTTAAGGAGTAGAATATGTAATGTTTATAAAATAATTATTTGAATGTTATTTTATTATTTATTGAACTAAAAATACATTTTTTTTTTTTAACTATAACATATCACATTTGATCTATGTCTTTATTTTTTCATTACCAATGTTTTAGCTCCTTAGATCATTTTCAAAGGGAATGAAACTGGATCAAATGTGGTGTTTCATTTTTAGAAATAAAATTAAGACATTGAACAAAATTTCAAAAAGTATTTAATATTACTTGCAAATAACATACAAAAATAATGATTCTATTTGCAAATAACAAATAAAATGGAATTAATTAACTATTTATTTGAGTATTACCTTTTATTGCTAACTCAACAAGACACTTCCATGCATGATATGTTGACTATAAATAGAAAATAAAATTTATGAAATATGCTGAACTTATACTGCCATAAAACCAAATCCCACCAAAAACCAAATTATATGTTGGGCATTGATATTGGATCTATAAATTGTATGAACATGTGTTAATGAAACCTATCCAGCAAATCCTGAATCTTCATTTTCAAACCGATGATATTGTAATTATATAGTCGAAATCAGAGATAGTTGTTTAACTCCAAATGCGCATGAGCAAATGAAAATCTGATTAAAAACTCCTGAATCTTCAGTTTTGAGATTCTCCTCTTTCTTAAAACAGATGACAGTTAATGATGCAGTCAATCATAAAACAGAGTAAATGATTTAATACTGTTTAGTGTGTGCTGAAGTTTTAGCTTAATTTGTAGCCCTTCTCCTGGGCTAAAAAAAAGAATACAGATTGTATAACATAAGAGACATAAATATGAACTGAAGGACTACCTAAGTGAGAGTACAAAGCCAGCAGAAACATTGGCACACATTATTTATTAAACAGCATAAAGTCATTTCATTTTCCAAATAAAAAAAACAAAAAAAAACTAATTTTTAACAGGTTATTTGAAATAATCTTTAATTTGGAATTCTTTATTTAAAAATAAATTATTTTTAGTTTACTAAAAATTCTTAAAATAAAATTTGTTAGGAATATTTTGAAGAACGTTATTTCAAATAAAAATTGTTTAAATAAAAGTTGTTTGGAATACTTTTAAGAATGTTATTTCAAATAGAAATTGTTAAAATAATAAAGTTTGATTAATGCCACCAACATTCTACTATGGCAACTAAAAAAAATATGGTGAGGTGCGCGCATTACACAACTTTCACTTACCACCCTTTTCTTAGCATAAATAAGTATTTTCAGGCAAAATGAAGAGATACTAAAAATTACGGAAGGTGCGAAACATTATTAAACACAATTAATTAAAATATGTTTTTCATATCAGTCTAATGTATTATATTATATATAGAGTGTCCTGGAGGTAGGAGGAAATATTTAAAAAGTTGATAATTGTGGGTAAAATGGTTGACTATCGTGAATAATGAAGAGAAGAATAGTTGGGGTGATCAGTCAAATAAGAAGGCAAAAATAAATGATAATATTTATTTTGACATTTGCCAACGTTTCGACCTGAAGTTCAGGCCTTCATCAGGGCTGTCTCAATCAGTGTTGAAAGGAGATGCCAAGGTTGTCTACTATCAACCTTGGCAAGATCTACTATCAAGATCTACAAAAAAGTTTATATAAATAATTGTAAAACGTCTTGCAGAAATGTAAGAAATTTAAGATTTGTGTTTTTTAAGCGAGTCAAGTTTCTTGTTGAACAGGAAGTAATAACTTAAAAAATATTTGATTTAAGTAATTAACACGTTAGTTGTGGTTATGGTCCCCTGTGTCCGATGGCTTTATATAAGATATAATGATTATTTACATTTGTATCTGTCTTTACATCTATCCAACTCTCTTTCAAATATTTTTAAAAATGACCAATTTAAAGACTTCGTAAGATAGACAAAATTCGAAACAATCTCGCCGAAGTCGAAAAGAATATCGGGACCCGAAGACCGTTACCTCAGATAACTTGTTAAACATTGCTCCATAGTAAACTAGACAAAATTTACTTCAAACGAAAGTAGAGTTTGTCATTGTTAAAACCATTTAAAGAAGACTGACTAATTGAGTGGAAAAACTCAGCTAAGTTCTGCTAAAAAAAGGCATAAATTATCAGTGATTTTTTTTAATCACTCTTTAACTGTACTATAGTTACCTCGCTTTTAGAAAAACTTTCTCATTTAATTAGCTTTAAGTCCATACAAATCAAATTGAGGTTTATTAGAAAAATTTTTGCGATTCACCTCAAGTAGTGTAAAGAAATGACATAATTTTCTATCCAGTCACTTAAAATTATCTGTATTTTCTGCAAAAATTACTATAATTAATTGTTACAAAGCTTTTATTTCTTGTTTTTCAGTTATATGGGATGTATTGTAATAGAAATAATTACCTAAAAACACATTTTATTTATAGAAATAAAAAATAAAAAAATAACCATTTTTCATGTAAAGTGATTATAAAACTGTTCTCCCATATTTCTGTCATAGGAATATATCTATATTTACCAGTGACAAACTTATTGTTTCTTACTAAAATTTATGTTTAAAATAAAGAAACCTACTGATTGTTTCCATTATTTTCATGAAAACATAAATATTAGGGATAGAAAGATTAAATTTGTCATTTACAAATACCCATCAATTTCTATTAAAGAAATGTGGGAGAAAAACACAGTTTCATAAACACTGTACATGAAAAATATTTGAAAAAGCATTCTTTTTAATTTTTTTGTTTTTATTGATAAAATATATTTTTAGGCAAGTATGTTTATTAAAACACCCCGTATCATGGAAAAACAAGAAATAAAAGCTTTGTAACAGTTAATTGTTGTAATTTTTGCAGAAAACAGGGTACTGAAGGTGACTGAATAGGAAATCACACCATTTCTGTACATAACTTGAGGTAATTCTCAAAATCTTTCCTAATAAACCACAACTTAATTCATATGGACTTAAAGCTAATTAAGCGAGAAAGTTTTTCTAAAAGTGGGCTTACTGTAGTACGGTTGAAGAGTGATAAAAAATAATCACAGATAATTTATGAGTGCTCTTTAAATGGTTTTAACAATGACAAACTCTAATTTCGTTTGAAGTAAATTTTGTCTAGTTTACTATGGAGCAATGTTTAACACGTTATCTGCGGTAATGGTCTCCGGGTTCCGATATTCTTCGCGACTTTGGCCAGATTTTTTTAAATTTTGTCTATACAAAGTCTTTAAATTGGTAATTTTTAAAAATATCTGAAAGGGAGTTGGATAAATACAAATGTAAATAATCATTATATCTTATATAAAGCTATCAGATGCAGGGGACCGTAATGGCAGCTAACGTTTTAATTACTTAAATCAAATATTTTTTAAGTTATTACTTCCTGTTCAACAAAAAACTTGACTCGCTTAAAAAAACACAAATCTTAAATTTCTTACTTTTCTGCAGGAAATTGGAAAATTATTTATATAAACTTTTTTGTAGATCTTGATTTCTACTATCAACCTTTTAAATATTTTCCTCTATTTACAGAACACCCGTAATTTCTATATTGATGTAATCTATATAATGAAATATTAAATAATACTAACGCTAGCATATATGAAAACCGCATATATATGTGTATATAATGTTGTTATAGTCCATATCATATTAAGCTTGTGTTACTTATGGATGCCTATTCTAATCTTTCGGGTGAGCTAGGGCGTGTTGTTATTTCTTTCGTCCCTCTATTACTACTATTCTACGTTAAGATCTCTTATGTCTCCTTTAGTTAGTTATCAAATTCTTTCATGTTTTATATTTAACCATTTTTTAGAGCAGATTAAAGTGTAAAATAGTTAATTATTTCAAATTATAAAATACTAAAAAAGAAAATAGAAATACTAAAGGTACTTTAGAGAAAGGAGAAAATTTAAATATTAGTCATTTAAGTCCCATTAGAGAAAATCAATGAGAATGAAACCTACATTATATTAAAAACTGCTCAATTTTACACTGATATAACGAATTTAATTGAAATTGTTTGAGCTGTTTTTGAAAAAATTTTAAAAATGTGTTAAATCAGTGTTGTAAAGTGCCACTTCCGGTTAACCAATTTTGACCAAAAAGTTGCTGTAAGATCTCGGGGATTTAAAAATCTTAAAAACACAATTTCAGTTTCGTACAACTTTTTGTTTTTGAGCTAGACTGTTAACATACATACAAAAAGGCAGACTATTTTGTGAGACTATATTATTTGGACTCAAGGGACCTCAAAACGTGTATTTTCATTGAAAACTTGGATTCGAAAATTTTCATGATTGCAATACTTTCTCTTACTATATATTACATATGTAGGTAAGTGAAAGTAAAAATAGATACAGTTTGATGAATTGGATTGAATCAATTGGTAAAAGCCCACCGAGACCTAGAGACGATTTTAATAAATATTAATTCTTCAACCTTTGAAGCAACAATAAATGTAAACAATGTTCAATATTGCTACATGCACTTATGTTATATGCATAAACTTACCCTGATATACAAGCTGTGAAACGTCCAGTAATACCTTTTACTAATTCTTGATCTCCAATCTTCTTCAAAAAGCAAGGTGCTTCACCTTTTTCTCTTTCACCACTGAAATTTTTGGAGAATTAATCTTTAGTAGGCGTCATTACTATTGTTATATTAAAATAAGCAACCAATCAAATACATTAATTTATAATTATAAGTTAATTATATCTTGGGAGAGTCTGACTGTTAGTACATAACAGTGGACATGTACAAACACTTTCCTATCAGCAAAGCTCAACACCTTATCATATTATCATAGTTTTAATTTGAGTGTTTATCTTCTTATTTAACATGGATAAAACTATAATGTCAATATTAAATCAAACGTTGAAAGTTGAAAAACTTTCATTGCAATTTGTTTAAGAAATGCAACCAATGTTCAGTTTCTCTTCTTCCTTTTTATTCACTATTCTTCTCCTTTTAATAACAAACAATGATAATACTTATTGGTAATATTTTCCAAGTTTTAAGAAGAATAACTGTTCAATTCTGAATAGCAAGTTGTTTAGGTAAGAGATTGGCCAATGAAAAGTCTCCACACTAACTACCAACAGAATAGTTTTGGCTCTCTGATATGTGAGAATGACAATCAAATCAGATTTAACTGTTGACCAATAAAAAGTCTCCAGTTTCCCTAACAAGTACTTGAGAAAGCACATATAGATATTTCAATTACATAACTATTCAAAAATACAAATACGTTAACCAAATAGAAAAACTATTGATAACTATCTTTCTATCTTTTAACTTACATCTTTGTCACTGCCCTAAATTTCGCTTCAGATTCAGCTTTACCATCCCTGTTGCTGGCAATACATCTGTAGCAGCCATCATCTGCAGGATTACAATCTTTAATGTAGAGTATACATAAATCCCCTTCACGTTTCATAGAATACTTATCATCTTCATAAATTGGTTTTCCATTCCAAAACCAAGCAACATCAGGTCGTGGATTTCCTGACACACGACATATCATCTTTCCATCAAGGCCTATTTTCTATAAAAATAAAATGAATAAATAAAAGGTATTCAACAGAATACTTGAGTAATTCAGAGAATAGTGATATCTGATTTTAATTCGGAACACTTGACAATTTCAATGGTTTTAAAGAATAAAGTTAGAGTTAGAGAAATCATTCATAGGATATAAGCCATAATAACTATTACATTACAAAGTTGATCCCACTCCTCTTTCTTTTTACTACTACTTTGAGAACCAACAATGTAGACAGGAGGAGGTTAAGAGCAATACCAATATGAAGTAGCACAATATAATTATAATGATGTAGAGATGGTTGACCGTGATATAATATCAGAAGGAGTTGGTTGGGACGTGCAGTCAAATAAATACTAAATTAAAAAAAAATAGTATTTTTAATTGTTTCGCGGACGTCTCGACCCAACCTACAGGTCCCCACCAGAGCGTGGCACCAAGCACTGCAGGAAGTTGAAAAGTGAGAAGTATCTGTACTGATAATTAATGGAAAATATAAAAAATCAAAAGACCAAAACCTTTATTTAAGGAAACAAGTTATCTTGAATGTTCAATAATAACTGGGATGAATATTTTTTTTTTTTTTTTTTTTTTGTTTATTTAGAAATATTACATTCTGTCACATCAAGGACATTTATAATAGTGTTCAGAGGAAGCACACTCACACTCTATTTACAATAAAAAAAAAAATAATACAGAAACTTAATAATAATAAATACAATAAAATAAAATAAAATAAATACAATAAAATAAAATAAATGTATATAAACAAAAGAACTAACCTAATCATACACACTCGGGCTTGAGTGGAGGATCTGGCCATTGCCAAAACTCCAATAGATGCTTATTTACAAAAGGTCTCTGGGCCACTGCCGCTTCAACCTTCGAGGAGGATTGTAAGGATGGGTGGTGCTGGATAGAGATTGTGCAAGGGGATTTGGATGATAGGTAAGGTTCTGGTGAAATTTGGAGAATATTTCTGGAATAAGGTCTAGGACAAATGGGATATTAAGGTCATGGTGTAGGATTTTGTTATTTACATAGAACGGAGCATCAACTATTGTTCGAAGGACTTTAGATTGAAAGGATTGAATACGTTTGATGTTAGAAGCTTTTGCTGTCCCCCACAGTTCAAGTCCGTATGTCCATATAGGTTTCAGTATTGTCTTGTAGATAAGTAATTTGTTTTCAATAGAAAGTTTGGATTTTCTGTTTAGTAGTCTGTATAGCTGGCCGTATCGTCGGTTGAGTTCTTGTCTTTTGAGTCTAGTATGTGGGTTCCACGTTAGTCTTCGGTCTAAATGAAAGCCAAGATACCGGACTGTGTCTGAGTAAGGAAGCTGGATGGAATTAAAGTGTACTGGTGGACAGGAACTGCGTCGGAGTGTAAAGGTAATATGTTGGCATTTAGATTCATTAACTTTAATGCGCCAGTTATTACACCAGTGCTCAATCAAGGTGAGGTGGTTTTGGAGATTTAAGGATGCTATGTTGGGATCTGAGTCGGATGATAGAATGGCGGTGTCATCAGCAAAAGTTGCCAGGAAGGTATCGGGATGGACAGGGATATCGGCGGTAAAGAGGATGTAAAGGACGGGACCCAATACGCTACCTTGAGGAACACCTGCCTCAATTGGATAGCAATGCGAAAATTCAGTACCGCAACGAACTCGGAAGGTACGATCTGAGAGGTAGGAACGGAGAACAAGGTACAAGGACTGAGGAAGATAGTTTTTCAGCTTGGAAAGAAGCCCGGCGTGCCATACCCGGTCAAAAGCTTGAGCGATGTCCAGAAATGCACCCGAGCAATATTGCTTGCTTTCCAATGCTGCGGAAATATGATCAACCACTCGGAGTCCTTGTTGGACTGTAGAGTGTTGTGAACGAAATCCGAACTGATGGGAAGGAAGAGTTTGGGATTCTATAAAGGGTAGGATGCGTTTCAGGAGGATCTTTTCAAAGATTTTTGAGAGAATCGGAAGAAGGCTAATTGGTCTGTAGGACGTTGAGGTGTTGGGAGGTTTGCCTGGTTTCGGAAACAGGATAATAGTGGAATGTTTCCACAAAAGAGGAAAGTGGGTGGTTCGTAGGATTCTATTGTATATGTATGTAAGGAATATGACAGCTTTAGGAGGGAGTTGTCTAAGGATCTGAGAGGTAAGGAGGTAGTATCCAGGTGATTTACGGGTAGGTAGTTTTTGTAAGAGGAATTTGACCTCAGAAGGATTAACTGCTTTAGGCGGTAAGGAGAGTGGGATGGGTGAATTAAGGAATTCCTCTACTGCTGAGGTGTGGGTAGGATTGGATTCTGGATGAGAGGTGAATGTAAGGGAAAGGTGTTTGGCGAATTCTTCGGCTCTATCTTCGTCAGATGCTGCCCAAGAGCCATCATCTCGACGGAGAGGATGTGATATATGATGGGGTTTTAGGATATGTTTGGTGGTCTTCCATAGGGAATTGTCATGAGAAGAGAGGGAAGTGAGGTAGGAGTTGAAGGATTGGGATCTGAAGGTGGCCAATTCTATCTTTAGTTTTTTGCAAAAATAATTATAGGATTGGCGATCGGTGGGGTGTCTAGTACGTTGCCATAATAATCTGGCACGGCGTTTGGTATGGATTAGGTCTATGAGGTGTTGAGGTAACTTATTTTTCTTAGGAGTTCTTGAGGAGTGGTTTGGAGAGGAAGCAGTCCAGATTGCTTGTTGGATAGTGGTGGTAAAAAAGTGTACGGTATTGTCAAGGTCATCTGGGGTTTTCAGGGTCATTCTGAGGTCAATTTTATCGGTAAGGATTTGGTGAAAGAGTTTCCAGTTAACTGGGCCTCTGATGAAGGACGGTGGAGAAGACTTAGGAATAGGAGCTAGAGATAATTGGAGTAATAATGGACTATGATCTGAGGATAGTTCGGCAAGAGGGGTAAGGGAATGATTGAGGGGACCTAAGCCACTGTGGATGAAAAAATCAAGGATATCGGGATTGCGGTTAGGATCTGTGGGCCAGTAGGTAGGTGAGTTGGGTGGAAGGAGACTGAAACGTTGGGTATTGAGTGCAGACAGAAATGTTCTGCCACGAGAATTCGTGGTTCTTGAACCCCAAACTTGATGCTTGGCATTTAAGTCTGCACCCAGGATGAAATGATGACCTAAGGAGTTGAGGAGAGAACTGAACTGGACTTTGGATATGGATCTGTTAGGAGGGCAATATGCTGATGCAAGGGTGACTGGAAAGGAGAAGGCTTTGATTACAATAGCGGTTGACTGTAGGAAATCTTGAGTAGGTAATGGGAGTAAGTGATGGGAGAGGGATTGGTGTACGATGACAGCAGTGCCGGCATGTGCTCTGCCATCAGGGTGGTCAGTACGGTATGTTAAATACTGTGGGATTTTTAAATGCTGTTTTATGGTCAGTCAAGTTTCTGTAATTAGGGCTACGTCAATGTTCTTGTCTTGTAGTAAAGCTGTTAGTTCGCCAACGTGATTTCTAACACCATTCGCATTCCAAAGGAGAATAGACATGGGTTTTGGGATGTGAGTCATTAAGGATTTTTCAAAGGAGGGATGAGGTGAGATACGAGATTTGTAAGGAGTGATATGAGTGGAGTGACTAGGGATTTGAAATCGGTTAGGAAAGATGCTAACAAACTAGTGAGATCTGTTGCATTTGAAGGAGGAGGAATGTGAGGAATTTGAGGTTGTTGATGATTATATGTGTTAGGATGAACAGAATATTGAGATTGGGGCTGAGGTAGTTGCTGCGGCAGGGCTTCACATGTATTATTGGGGTTCTTACCTCCAAGTAGTTCGGAGTATGATAAATTATTGTTAACAATTCTAGAAGGTTCTCTTCTTGGTCTGGTTGTCTCATCTTGAATCCGGTTCTTCTGGTATCTGGATTTGAGGCTCTTATAGGTTTGGCAGCCTTTGTAGTTGGCCGGGTGTACCTCCTGGCATAGTGCACACACTGCAGGATCTTGTATTGGTTTGGTGCACTCCACAGATTTGTGCTGTTCACCGCATTTCACGCAACGCGGCAGATGGTGACAATAAGTTTTCGTGTGGCCATACGCCTGGCAATTGTGGCACTGCACAATTTCCTTCTTGGGGTATGGCTTCTCTATCTTCACGATAGTGTAGTACAATCTCTTGATATCATATATTTTTTCAATGCCAGGTGATGGCTCTAGATCCACGAAAAATAAAGGTAGTGGAACTTTATTACTCACTCCTGGCTGCTCCTTATTCTCCTTCAGAACGTTGGTTACCTGACGCACTTTGAAACCAAGCGTCGCTAGTTCTTCTTTTATCACTTCAGTTGGGGTTGAGGAGTGTAAATTTCTTACCACCACTCGTAGCGATCTCTCCTGTTTCAGCTGGTACGTGTGGAAATTTGCATTCGTTTCTGACAGGTACTTCACAATTTTTCGGTAGGCTTCTGCAGTATCAGGTGTTATTTTTGTGTCGTTAGTCCTGTTGAGGCAAGAATAACTGCCGGAGCAGATTTCGTTTAGCTGTGTACACAGTAGTTGAAAATTTTTGATATTTTTTACAAATATCGGAGGAGGCCTTGGTTCCCTGGGTACTGCTGCTGACTCCATTACTTCTCTGTCATTATGAAGCACTTGGAACGGGTTTGGAGTGAAGAAAGGAGATTCTTCAACCATTTCTTGCGAAGAGGTACCTGGTTGAGGCTGAGGTTCTGTATCTGAAGTTTTCACTGTGGTTATTGGAGCTATTTCTCGCAGGCAGCGATGAGTTTTTTGTTTCACTGGTGAATCACGAGGGGTGCTAACGCCGTCTGACCGAGTCCTCTTAGTGGGCACCTTACTGGACATCACTGGCTGACAATGCCGCATATCATAAGAGAAGAAAAAAAAAAATTAAAAAAAAAAATTAAAAAAAAAAAAAATGTAGCAAACTGTAAATAACAACTGCTCTGGTGTACACTTCAACTATATTCAGTAAATAATCAAAGAGATTCCGCTGAAAAATAGGCAACAACTGAGAGAAGATTTCAGAACACGTTCTTCGCATCAGCTGATCCACTGCCATCGGGATGAATATATATATATATCTTTTTTTTTCACTGTTAAGCATTGTCATTAAGTAATTGTAAGTAGTTTTGTTTATTTTACAAATTTGATTACTGCTTTTAATGTCTTTAAAAGCTGATTAAAATAAATCACTGGTGACTGTCGATGTTCTGATCCGCACAATAAAATACTTTTATGTATTGCACATAATCAAAACAGTTGTAGAGATAATGCTGAAGAAGGCCTATGTCCCAGTACCACTACAACGGAAGCGCAAAATACTGATATATAAGAGCAAAAGTGATATAAATTATATACATACTTGGAGACCAATCACAATTTATTCTATTGTGCATCCAATCATAGAGAAAGTTCTGGACCACAAACTAAGAATGCAGGACACCTTCCATTGGAATCAAAGAGGTTTTATAAAAAGCCTTCTGAGAATGCACGTTAACATGAGGATTATCTACACTTGCTTACTTAAACCAGATCAGAAGCTAAGCATTGTCAATCAGTCTTACTTACTCTGTCCCTCACAAAGATGTGTCCTCACATATTAGACAGCATCGACAAAATGATTCGCAGAAGTGTAAAGGGATTATTCAATTCTCTGCAAAAACACCTCCATGGCGATGTAAACTCCTAGGATGTTCAGAGGCTTAGGATTAATCCACTGTAGTAGATAGCCCCCTGTATTTACTCCTTTGGTTGAAATTGGGTGAGGGAATGAGAAGGAATATATAATATATAGGAATATGAGGTTGCACTGTGAATTGTACTCAATTTTGCAGTGGACAAATTGTTCATTGGAAAATCTCATATCGATAAACAATCGATAAAGAAGGAAAAAGGTCCAGTCAGGTAGCAGCAGCTGGAAGACGCGACGCCAGGCACTTGAGGCGGAACACATACCTGGGAAGAGAGTCTACTACAAGATTTAGAGGATCAAGTCTATAGTTATAACATTTTAATAGAGTCAATTTATTACAGTTGTAAAAATAAATCATTTTGTTATACAGGAGTGAAAAGTCATTTATTTATTTAGTTGTCCTATATGCCTCACAATTGAAGAATAACAAACCAGGTGAGTCAATTCATTCAAAGTGTATTTACTAAGTCCCACATTTCAAATATATATTCTTATTGTTTCTTCTCACTTAGTGCCACAAAAGATATTAGATTCCCATTTCCCAACAACAGTTAAACACCCTCAAAAAGTCTATATCCAGTGCCGGGGTTTCGTTTTAATTATCTCGAGTGTGAATAACTTAGTTCCCCGATATAAAAGCGGAAGGTTTTTCGCTATTCCCGCCAAAAAACAAATTATTTAACAATTAACTTTTAGTAGGTTATTTACACCACTGCCAATGGGAGATTCCTCTAAAACAATGGCACAAGGCTTACCGACAGTTCAATGTACCAGTTGCCCTTTTCCAATCCACATTCGATTATTCGGATGAAGTTGCTGAATGTGCCAAGAGATTAGGAATTGATCAGATCCATTGGAATATGGCAGTTGTTATAGGAAAAATTGTTTGAGGAATGGGCCAATTGTAGGTAGCAGAGCATTGAAAATTACTATTTTAAAGTGACCTAAAAAAACAAGTAAATATATCTGTGAAAAACAAATTCTTTCGGAGTCTGAATGGTCTAGTGCTCTGGAACTAAATATTAATTATGATATTTATTACTCTGTGTGGAATCCTAGGTGTCAATGTACATGTCAAAGAAGTTGGATCACTCTGTCACAAATGCAACAAAGAGTCTGAAACACTTGGACAAGTGCTGGGAAAATGCCCCCAACAACTCCCTCCTCACAACATGCTGTACTAATGAGTAAAGCATGAATTGATTATGACCCTTAGAGAAAGAGATTTTGCTTGATTGATCAAAACCACCCCATGATATACTGACGAAGCATTCACTAAGACAGGAGAGTCAGTGATCATTCTGGATCCTACCATAAGGTACTAAACCAATTACCTTGATCAAGCAGGTAAGGCGGAAAGAGAAAAAAGGAAAGTCTATGATAAATGCACCTCTTACCTAAAGGAAAAGTTCAGTGAGAGTTTTTGAAGGAGAGAGACTTCAATGTGATATGCCTTTGTTTTGGAGCTCATGGTAGAAATAGAAAATAAACTTTATTCTGGGATGATGTCCCCTTAGAATAACAATAATGAACAGTTATAAAAGAAAAAATACATATGGTACTTTACCAAATTCAACAAGGAGCTTCATGGAGGACCATGGTGTTGATATAAAGGACGTAGAAAGATTTGTTAAAAATATAGTCCTTGACTCCCTATGAATCAACCACTACCACGTGCACGGTTTTTAAAGCTTTTCTGAAAGAATTATTAGTATACTGTGTCTGAAGCAATCCAATATAGTTGGGCTGCACTCTTTTATGATAATAAAGTGTTTCTCTCTATATCCACGGCCTTTGCCCTTTTAGACACAACTTCTATTTCTAGATCATTATTTCCATTACCTGAATCCATTATAGTTCCAGATAACCAAATCAAAAAATGATCATATTTATAGATTCAGTCTTTTTATGAATAATATAGAATTTGTAGCATAATTTTTATAATTGTACAAACATTTCTACATTTTCAGCGAAATCCCCTCACAAACTTACTAAGCAACAAAGTCTTTAGAAAGGAACTCCATTATAAAGTGAGAAGTACCTGTACTGATAATTAATGGAAAATATAAAAAATCAAAAGACCAAAACCTTTATTTAAGGAAACAAGTTATCTTGAATGTTCAATAATAACTGGGATGAATACTAATTATATATATATATATATATATATATATATATATATAATATATATATATATATATATATATATATATATATATATATATATATAAATATATATATATTTATTTTTTTTTCACTGTTAAGCATTGTCATTAAGTAATTGTAAGTAGTTTTGTTTATTTTACAAATATGATCACTGCTTTTAATGTCTTTAAAAGCTGATTAAAATAAATCAGTACCTGATCTAGATCGTGTAATGGATTAATGAAAACTGGACTATGAAAGATTTTTTTCACATGTATTTTAGCGTCACTTTGCACTTCTCCAACAGGATTCTTCAAAACACATTTATAAAGTCCAACATCACCAGTTTCACAAGGGGCAAGGGTAAGACCAATCTTAAAAAAAAAAAAAAATCATAAACTAGGGCACTTAATTGATCAGTGTTTAATTTGTTTAAATGATTATGGTAACTAACTCTTTTTCCATCATTGGTAAAAGCGATTCGATGATCACCTATCAACTCTTCATTATTTTTATACCATGTTACACTAGGTATAGGATTTCCAGAGAATGGAGCAGAAATTGACAGAATAGAACCCTCTTCAGCCCATGTATCTCGCAAATCATATGCTAATGATGGAGCTTCTAAGGGCATGTCATCTCTTGCTTGACCTAAAAAAAAAATAATAATCCTATTAACTGTATAGGTATTTATAATACAAATGAACCTCTACATCAAACACGAAGGTTCCTGAAAAAAAAGAAAAATGTGAATATAAAGATTTCTATAAATAGAAATATTGAATTTTTCATCTATTTGACATATTAACAAAAATTGCAATAATTTTTTAGAGTAAATAAGTATCAAAGGCATATGTTTAGGTTATTATATTCCAATACCACTTCATTGATATTATCCAAACTTTGAGGATTTAAATTGTTTCCGCTTTCTTCCAAAATTTTCAAATGTTTTAATAACCAATTCATGTTCTTTTTTTAAATTGTTGATACCCTACTTGTTGTAACTTCATGCATCTATCACATTTTTATAATTCATCTCTTCTAATAACTCCTTGTAATAACCTACATTATTTTATTTAAATTTCATTATCATAATTTGCAAACTCTTGAAAACGTGAAAATAATATAAAGTAATCCCTATTCTTGAGGTCTTCATAAATTTATCACTATAGAATTTTCACTTTGTTTTGATGGAAAATATAAACAAAATATTTGAAATATTTTTAAAATGTTATGTGGAAAACTCTAAAAAGTAATCATCTAAATTGGACTCCCTTTGTGTGGTTATATTTTTTTAAATTAATTTTTTATATAAGTTTCAGTAAAAATTACATATAGTCTTGAATAGTATGTTGTAAAATGGTATAAATATTACCATTAATTATTTGATATAATTAATTTTAGGATCATTTTAGTTAGTGAAACTTTTTTTACATCTTACCAACTCATACGATTTGAACAGGAAAGTGACTTTATAATTTATTTTTTATTTAAAGTCCAAGATCTATTTTAATTGTTTGTATTTACTCTGTCTTTGATGGATCCAAGCCATCTTCATCAAACTATGTAGGAAGAAGTATTCCATCGGAAGGTACCTTTCTTTCAACCCACTTGTCTTTAAAAAAAAAACATTGCTGAGCTATATCTAAAACTTAAAACTATGGTAATGTAAAAAATAAATAATAAGTTAAAAAAACAGTTAATATTATAAACCCGAATTATTTAATATTATAAGTTGTTTAGTTTAATAGTGCATGCCACAAGATTGTGTGATGGCTTTATTATGTTTACATTATCTAGTTACCCCTCTGTTCCTAAAAACAGTTTCACATCAAAAACTTTTTTTTAAATGACGTATGAATGTGTACAACCATCGTTATTTCCAATTTATCTTTAATACAGTAGATTGTTTTTATTAAGAAATAAATACATTTATTATAATGAGCGACAAATGGTGGTTGACTGTAATTGTAATCAAGATAATTTTTTATTGTGAACCAACCATAGTAAACATATAATTATAGTTAAGACAACATTTTAGTCAAACTATGTAGACCATTTTGAGGACTAAAACAACATAATATGCAATTGTTCTAGGAATAGTCATAGTAGTACTAGTCGATAAGTATACTGTCTTTCTCTAACTCTTAAGAGGGCCTACATAGTTTGATAAATACATTGGATTAAGAAAAAAATATATATATGATTTGTTGTTTTCATTACACATTTGGTTTGAATAATTCCTTACTAATTGTAAGTAATTGTCAAAATATATTTTTGTTAAAAATACTTCAACAATCTGAAAATTTAAGTGTAAGTGTACCTGCCACATCAATTTTAGCTTCTGAAGTAGAAGATCCAACATCATTTCTAGCAGTAACAGAATATACTGCTGCATCAAGGGGAGATACCTTATCTATAATAAGACTTTGTGATCCATCTGGTGATGTGACACATTGAACATGATCTCCATCAATGTCAATTGGAGAACCATTTCTGCACCTTAAATTTGAACATTTATTAAGTAGATAGAAGACAAAAATATGAAAAACATATATTTTGTAAGGTTAAGTTTTCTCAAAGCCCCAAATTGGATGCCATGTTGTATGGTTATGTTTCCTTTGAAAAGTAAACAAAAAAGTTTCTGAATCAAATTATATTTATTCTATACAATAATTATTTCTCAGGTTGGGTTGAGACAACTAACACACATTCCTCAATTATAAAAATAAAATCATACATTATTAATACATAACATTTTTATGAATTCCCATTCATTTGTCGGGGGCTAATCTGGGCAGTGTTTTGTTGGGGGCTAGTGTGGGCATTCTTAAAACTATATTCCATTAATCTTCATACATTAAAACAGAGGATTTTTATTCGTAATCCCTTGTGAGAACTTGATCTAACATCTTATGCCTATATAAGACGACCTGCAGCAACAGTGCATCACTGGCAGCTCTGCAGATCATGGTATCGCGAGCGCCTAGATGAGGATATAAATTGGAATGCTGTTGTGTTTACAGACGAGTCACTTTTCTATATTTATAGCGATCTTAGATGCCGAAGAGTCTTCCGAGAACTAGGGATGGGTCACTGCCACAGTGGGTACCTTAAAATACCTTGTGAAATCAACATTGTAAACATATGTCTAATAGGAGCAGAGAAGTAGTGCGTATTACACATGTTCTTAAATTTTACAAAATTATTACAGTTCGCAATCATAAAAACAAGATCACAAAAATTTTCCCCATTTCAAATACAACCTTTTTATTTGTCCTCACTTTCCTTGCCTTTTAGGTTACACAGATTTTTTCCCTGGCCTGGGGGAGAGGGTGGAGGAAAGTCCTACCGGGCATCGGGATTTGAACTCGTAATTATTTTTGCACTCTAGCTTGTTAGGTTGCCGTGTAACGCGCACTGCTTTAGCCCGCTTGGGCCACCCCACCCCTGTCAAATACAATCTTATTTGTATAAATTTTCAATGTATTTTATAATAAAAATAAATCATGCATATATATATATATATATATATATATATATATATATATATATATATATATATATATATATATATATTTATAAAACAAATTTAGATTAATCAGTATAATTTATACATATTTACCATGTTAGTTCAGGTGGTGGATTTCCTTCAATTTTCACTGTTAACTTTAATGGAAAACCTTCCACAACTGTAGTTGGTAAAAGATGTGATCTAAATTCAGGCTTTTTATCTTTTGTTATTACCTCGACCTAGAGGATCAGAAATATATACAAGTACCTATATAATAATTTGTATTTTATAAATAACAATATAGTATTATTGGAATTTATATTATTAATACTTTAAAATGGCTAAAGTTTAAGTATAATGACAATTTTCAAAAAGAAACTGAACAAATTATGATTCAGTGGTTTTACTGTTTATTTAATTTCTATAACAACTCATGGCCACTGTGCCATAAAGTGTCTTGTGTTTATAATAAAGAGAGGAAATCAACACCTTTCTGATTCTGGCTCAAAGCCACTTTTGCAGACATGTTTACTTTAGAATATACAGATAAAGCTTAAACTAATACTGAGGTTTGGTGTAAGCCTAATCCATATTTTGCTGATTGCTGATTCCATATGGGCCTGTTTTTTTTTCAATGTTGATGAGGTTAGAGCATAAGACTAATATTGTTACTTAAGAGCCTATGAAGATCACTATTTTTATTTTTATTTTTAATTTCCATTTATTTGCCTGCATTTTTTTTCTGCTGAAGTTACATAGTGGTTTGGGTCCGGCTAATGAACCCTTGAATTCTTGCTGAGATAACCAGCTCCTGTTTCACCTGTAGTCATTGGTGCACATATGATACATAAACCATATATTGTATGGATATTTTTCATGGTTGCTCTTTTAAATTCTGTTTTAAGAGATTATATTTCTTGTGATAATGTCATGAAAGAGAAATGCTTATAAACAAAGGACATTTTTTAATGAAAGCGCCAAGTTGACCCAATACAATATTATTTTTATGAGAAGGAGTTAATTGGGGGGTGTGGTCAATTAATACTAAATTAAAATATAGTAATTATTTAATTTTTGCCGACGCTTCTACCCACTTTGCAGGTCGTCTTCAGGGCGTAGGATGTAGCACTGCAGGAGGCAGTTGAAACACTGGAGTGGGTCGAAGCGTCGGCAAAAATTAAATAATTAATATATTTTAATTTAGTATTTATTTGACTGCACCCCCCAATTAACTCCTTCTAATATTATATCAACGGTCAACCATCTCTACATCAATATTATTTTTAGTTCGCTTGATAAATGAGTTATACACTTAAAGTAACATGTTTAATAAGTTAGATTGATATGCTTGGACTGATCTTGAAAATTAAGGGGTTTCTTCTTCTTTTGTGCTTTTTAAGATTCCACGGCAGTTTAGATCTCTATAGCTACTATAAAAGTTGATTTGGAGAATCCAATAATATTTTTAAGGACAGATCCTAGTGCACTAGGCTACCTAGAATACTAGACTACTAGAATTATGCTGGATAATTCTTTCAGAGCACTGCCCCTATTAACTGTTGATTGGTATTGCAACTGTACAGTTGATTGAATTATGATTGGTATGATTTTGAGGCCATATTCAGGCTATCCATATCATTAAAACTGTTATTGATATCTCAGGAGCTAGTATTTTGCAAAGTAGCATGCTTTAAAGAAGAGTTTGAAAGATTGATGGCTTTATCCTACTACTCAACGACAATTCTTCCTTGGTGATTTCCTTCTACAAGTCCTCTGAACAAAAAACCCTCCCTACATCCTGGAACTCCTTACTCTATGTTCTTATATCCCGTCCCATAAAACTACTTCCTTCAGCAAATCCTTCCTCCTTCTGGAATTCTTTACCTACCTCCATATGTCAATCCTCGTCCACAAATTCCTTCAAACAACTCCTGTTCCACTACCTACGCCATACTCAAACTTCCACAAACAAGTAAAATTTAATTGTGTCTGAACACTGTTTAATTCAATCAACTATACAGTTGCAATACCAATCAACAGTTAATAAGGCATCATTTTGTATTCTTCTAAGCCCGACTAAGACTCTAAAATATGTAACTCTGTTATTATTCTTAGGAGACTGTATTCCCAAAATAAAATTATTTTTTCATTCATTCATTCATTTCATGTAGATCTTTTGCCGCCTTAACAAGCCTGCTCCATCACTGCCTGTCTTGAGCTATTTCTTTCCAGTTATCTGCACGCAGCTCTATTGCATCTTTGTTGATTATATCTAGCCATCTGTTTTTTGGCCTTCCATGTGGTCTTTTGCCTTCTACTGAGGCATCCATTGTTAATTAGAGGCTTCCAGATGGATTGCTAAAAGCTACATGCCCTACCCATCTTATTCTCCATATCATGGGATATTGGTTGGGCAGTTTTTATTGATCTTTGTTCTCCCTGTGTTAGTACTTTGATCCCAGATTGTTCCAGTTATCGTGCGAAGGATTTTTCTCTCAAGTCTTTCAATACTTTTTTCTAGAGTGCTGGTTAGTGTCCAGGTCTCACAGCCTTATATTAGAACTGACTTAATCATAGCATTGCACACCCTTAATTTAAGATTTTTGGGATTTAAATACCTTTGAAGGGGAGAAGAAAGCTTTGTTTGTGCTAGTTCTACGCTGGTCTATTTCTGATGTTGGTCATTCATTGAGGTTATTTTGGAGCCGAGGTGTTTGAATTTTTCTACTTTTGGGAATAATTTTCTTTCTATGCAGATCCTGTTATTGGGGTGGAATTTTTGGCTTATTACCATATATTTTGTTTTGTCTTCATTTACTTGTAGGCCAATCTGCTCTGCCTCTCTTATCAGAGTCTTAGCGAGTTTCTCAATGTCCTCTTGATTACTTCAAGGACAGCTATATTATCTACATATCCAAGGATTTTATGATTCATTCCGAAAAGGACCACTCCATTTTCCTGTGATGTTGTTCTTCTCACCTTCTCCAGGGTTAAGTTGAACAACATCAGTGATAGATGTAAGCCCATTCAATCTTTGAAGGCTTCAAATACTTCACCTTGTATCAGGACTCTACATTTAGGGTCATTTATAGACATCTTTGTCAATTTAACCAACTTAAGGGGAACTCCCAATTCAGTCATGATTTTCTAAAGACAGTTCCTGTCCACAGAATCATGGGCTGCTTTGAAATCGACAAATAGGGCGTGGACGTCCTGAGCTACTTCCCATCATTTTTCAAATACTTGTTTTAGGATGAAGATCTGGTCTAGCATGCTTCTTCCTTTTCTGAATCCAGCCTATTATATTTTTATAATATGGATGTATCGGGTTTAGTAGGATATTGGTCATTATCTTGTAGGCAATTTGAAATTGTGCTATGCCTCAGTAATTACTACACTCATATATGAAGCCTTATTAGGATAAGACAGATTAGACCTGTATTTCAAGCTTCAGGTATCCTTTCTTCTTCTCATATTTTATATATATACTAAATGAAGAGCTAAAGTTGTGAATTTTATCAAACAACTGATAGTAGTCAATAGCAACTAAAGCAATGTGATAGATTGACAATTATTTACTCCAGTGTTAGTTTTGGTTAAATATCTCTTTTTATTCCTATCAAACAAAACTTGATATATATGTTTAATGTTTATTAAATGGAAATCTATGTAAATGAAGTAGTGTAATAAAATATTTGTTAATGTTTTATGATTGTATTTAAGTGTGTATATATATATATATATGTGTATATATATATATATATATATATATATATATATATATATATATATATATATATATATATATATATATATATATGAAACTGATGATTTCATTTCATCATGTACTTTTAACTGTATGTATTTCTCACTTTAAACAAATTTTTACCTTTGCATCTGAACTAGCTTCACCCAGCTTATTAGAAACAGTCAGGGTATAATTTCCAGAATTTTCATTGGTTGGACAATCAACTGACAGCCCAACTAACCCTCCAGGAGAGTTAATAAAGTTTACATCTTTAGATGACCTGACCGGCATTCCATCTTTAAACCTTTTAACATAACATTAATACATAAATTAAAAAAAAAAACTATTTAATGTAAAAAAAGAAAAGAAAAACATAAGAGTTATATCAGTTAAATACCACATTTTAAATATATTTTCTGAACTTAGTTTCTTTTCTTGTTTTTATATTTTATAGTAAGTTTATTAAAATGTAAATTAGGGCCGTAGTGATAATTATCACTATATACAATTATTATAATAAATCTTTCAATGGCTTTTTGGTGTAATATAAATAATAAAGTATGCAGTGCATTTAAAGAATGGACACAGGCAAATATTTGCTTAATAAATTGTGCAATGAGATTTAAGAAAAACAGAATATTGTCAAAGTTAAAATCTTTATAACACTTATACAAAGTCTTTTCTATATTTCTTTCGATGGATAATCATGTAGTATGAATTAAAGAAATGATTAATGAAGATCAATCTGATGTTGAATTTAACACAAATTATTACATATTACAGGCTTGGCAACAAAGTAATTGTGGATTTTTGGGAAAATAAATACAAAAATTTAATCTGTGATATGTGGTCCATTTTTATCAAGGACTTTTTGCCATATTTCATGCAGCATCATGAATCCACATTCATAAAAATTCTGATTAGTTCCAAAAAATTGATCCAAGTGTGTTTTAATATCATAATTATCCTTAAATTGTTTGCCATTAAAACAGTTCTTTAAAGAAAAAAATAAATGATTGTCAGAAGGAGCAAGGTCTGGACTGCACGGTGGATGTGACGGCAATACTTTCCTACCAAACTCCAATAATTTTTGCCAGGTAGACAAAGATGTGGCCTTGCATTCTCGTGGTGGAATAATACACACCTCCGGTTTACCAACTCAGGACATTTTTGTTGAATAGCCCGATTCCTCTTCTTCTTGAACATTCAACCAGGAATTCCATTCTTCCCTATTTCTAGCTAGGTTTCTCGTATGTCGGAGGTCTTTCTCCGTCACCCTATAGAGTTGCTCAATGTAGTCAAGATAGAACATTGTAGGGCGGCCCCTAGGTCTTCTGCCATCTGGGACATATTCCATGGTCTTTAGAGGATTTCAGTGGTCGTCCATCCTGATAACATGGCCGAACCACTTTAGATGACGAGTTTCTAGGAGCTCTTTCAGTGGGGCTATCTGCAGTTCCTGACAAATACTTTCATTGGAACTCGGTCTCTCCTTGTTTTCCCAACCATCCCTCACAGAAATTTCATTTCGGCAGCGATGATTCTGCTCTCGTGTAGGTCTGTCATCACCATCTTTGCTGATGACACGAGTATCCTATCAGTTAATAACGATCCATCTATTGCATCCCAAACTCTTCAATCACACATAACAAGTCTTGAAAAATTCTGTCAAAACTGGAGGATTAAAATAAATTCTAACAAATCCCATTAAATTACCTTTATTGTTTGCCGTAAACCTATGACTTCTTGTCTTACAGCAACAGCCCACTTACCTCTTTTGAACAAATCCGATACCTAGGACTCCACCTGGACAAACGACTCACTTGGAACTCCCATACCAGACTGAAACATCTAGAAACTGCCCAACGTTTTCGACTACTGCAGCTCTTACTAGACAAATGCTATAAACTTCCCAACTATTTACAAAAGACGCACATATATTACTATAATAAGGATTATTTTGACATACGGGATCGAGCTTTGGGGCTCTACTAAACCATTAAATTCCTCTCGTATCCAATCCCTACAATCCAAAATCCTTCATATAATCCTGAATGATGTCTACTTTGTCAGAAATAAAATCATCCATAACGACCTTAATGTACCATTTGTTTCCAATTTAGCTCAATCCAGATACCTATCCTTCCATAATAAACTTCTGAACCATCCAAACCTTCTTGTTTCCAATCTTGCTTCCTCTTCTATTCCTGATAACCCTCCTAGGCGTGTGAAAAGAAGATGGCCTCGGGACCATCTAATATAGAAATATAATTGGAGTGCTACCAATGGGTAGTTTCTCTTCATGTTGTACATGTCATGTTATTTATTTCATATTTACTAGTTGAATTTATCAGTTAATACAGTTGTAAATTTCAATAATAAAAAAAAATAATAATAATTATGAACCAGCCAAGCTCAAACAGAATGATTTCATATTATTTTATTTTAACCAATAAAAACATTTTAACAGTAAGTAGCACAAATGAAATAAAAATATTACCAATTTTTTGGGAATAATTGAACATAATACTGTACCATTTAAGCTCAGGTAGTGGAAATCCTGTAATTTGTGCTTGAAGAAACATAGGTTCTCCTTCCTTTACAGATATATCTTGTAGTTTTTTAATGAACTCGGGTGGTCTTGGACTAGCTACAGAAACAGATATAAAATTATTTTTTGGCATTTTATTGATCTTATTTTTAGCAAGAGATGTTACTATAAATTATGCTTTTTATTTAAAAAAAAAAAGAAATTTTATTTTGTCAATATTTTACTATAAATAAATTAATAATTTTCACTTGTCAGAAGTACTTCAATTGATATAATTTAATAATAATAGATCAATAATAAAACCGCACATTTGATCACTATAGTCCTACTTTATTAGTTTTTTTTACATTAACGTTTCAGCCCTTAGCCCATTATCAAGGGAAGAAACCTAGTTTAATAATTAAAAATCATTATGGACTGAATTGCCTTTGTCAACTCTAATTCTGAGTTAACAACTCAGATATGGGTGTTTTTGTGGGTACACAAAAAGGTGAATCCTCATTCAACTTGTTAACACAAGTAACACAATTCATCTAGTGTGGATGGGATACAATATACGTGAATAGACCAGTTTCCCTGTCTACACTAAGCAAATTGTTTGTGAACAAATGGCTAATTTAATTAATTTTGATCAGGATTAGTGTCACCAACTCCTTTGTTGAGGTTTCATCTTCTGGCAGTAAATATCAAAGGATTTGTGTTAGTTCCTGGATTTTATCAAATTGATTAAAATAAATTAAATATTTTGCTTACATATATCTATTTTAACTGAACTTGAAAGAGACTGAGAAAGTAGCTATGATATGATCCTTCTATTTTATTATTTTTTTAATTTTTTAAATATTTAAAATTTTATAAATTATATTTCCTTGTTAATTAATTGTTTTATTTCTTTCACCCTTCTATATTTCAAGCATAAAAATTAATTTATAAAAAAATTAATTTTTTACAGTGTGAATTGCAACAATAAAAAGAATAAGATATTTTTTGTTATATAACTAATAAAATTTAGATGAGAGAAAAAAAAAAATACTAAAGAAAATAGAACAGGCAGTTTGGATAAGATAACAGTGTTTTATAAGATAAAGACCGGAGACTGGCGGTATCAGCCTTAATACTATCTGGTAATGTAAATAAACAGGCTAAGTGTATATAAGGAGGCTTATGGAACGAATAAAGGAGTGTTATTTCAGAAGTCGTGTATGTTACATCTTTTCCCTTTTCCTTCTTTTTTTTTGTTTTCTAAGTCCGACGACGCTTAACTGGTGCCGAAACCCGGGACAACGTCAGGGAAGTAATTTTTTTTTAGTAGATATTTTTTTTTGTTGGTGTTTAAGGAAAAGGTGAAATGCCGACAGAAGGATTGATTAGACCGGGAGTACTAAGCGTACCGGAAATTCCTCAACCTCAGGATATTCCACAGATCAATCAGGTACCCCAGATCGCGCCTCAGGTACCTCAGATACCTCAAGTCCCTCAGGTAGCACAGATCCCTCAGATCCAGGAGATCCCTCCATTACCAAGGGACACGTTGGCAGAAGCACACGCCAATGCCTTGGAATGGATGAAAATAAGAGCAACAACCACGCAGGACTTACGGAGGGCCATTGCGGACCTGGAACGATTCGGAGGCGAGGTAGGCGAGCTCAACCATTTCTTGAAAGGCGGAGATCGTCTTATGTCAAGAATCGAGGTGAAGGTGGCGGAGGACCTGGTGAACCTAGGGGACGCTGAAGAACTAAAAGCAGCTCTTGTGTGCCGAGTAAGGAGGAACGTCCTGAACCAGATCCAAGCGGACGAGGAGACTCCGTGGCCGGTGATTAAGGAGCGGCTGAAGAAGGCTTTTGGAGGAGGTAGGTGGACACCGGAAGAGGACATATTCCAAATGTTTAGGGAGCGGCGGGCCCAACGACAGTCAAGGGGGCAATATGCGGGAGTACTCGTGGCGAAGTACAATCGCATAACCGAGAAGATGCGGGAAACAATGAGCGTGGGAGAGGTCGAAGCCAGGATGGAGTTTCTGTCGACAATATTGAAAGTCCAGCTGGCTAAAGAAACGGGGAAGAGGGACGGACTGCCCAGGGAGCGATCGTTCCTCGAATGCGCCCAGGAGATGATCGACCTAAGTGCCAGAGAGGAGGAGACACGGATGGATGTGGAAGAACCGGGTTGGACCCGGGTGACGGATAGACGACCATGGACAGCCCCGACAGGTTGGAAGAAGAGGGACACCAGGCAGCCGAGTGGAGAAAAAGCCCCGACGAGGGAAAGAAGATCGGGACAGTCGTCGAGGCCGAGGAATGGGCCCCGGAGGGAAGAGAGAAAATGTCACGGGTGTGGGAAGCCGGGACATTTAGTAGCGCAATGTCCGCGCACCAGATGCTTCGAGTGCGGGACGGAAGGGCACATAGCAAGGCAGTGCCCATACATATTTCACAGGAGGGAGAGACCTCAGGACGAACCCATGGAGGTGAATGTGCAGAGGATGAGAAGACGAGCCAGGGTACATCAGCGGGACGGATCTTCGGAGGAGGCAACCGAGGAGTCAGGAGCGTCGGGAACGGAGACGGACGAACCAGGCAGCAGCGGAGGTGAAGGAGGTAGGCGCAGCCAACGGAGTGAGCAGCGACGAGCGGCGGCAGAAAGGAGGAAGCGGGACGACATCTGAGGAGTGTGTCGGCAGAGAGGCGACCGCACAGCAATATGCAACAACATCCGAGGTAAGCCATGCTGGTTGCCAATTATCGAAGTAGACGGGGGAGTAAAGTGTCTTGTGGACACGGGTAGCTCGAGCACTATTATGACTCGAAGGGCGTTAGGAAAAGGGTGCGGGAGCGAGAGGGTACTCCGGATACAGAAATGTGACTGCCAGCTGATCACTCTGGGTGGTCCCTGTAGTGTAGAGGGTGAGGCGACAATTGGGCTTGATCGGTGGACAGGGAAAGAGGGTGAGCTAACGGTGCATGTGGTAGAGAACATGACTCGGGAATACCAAGTCATAGTAGGGTGCGATTTGTTAGGTCAGGTAGGGGCGAGCATTAGGAACCGTAGAGGAGTCTGGAGCGTTAGGTTAGGAAAGAGGAAGTTCGGATGTATAGGGGTCGCGAGAGAAAGAAGGGTGCGGATAGGAGCGGTGGACAGAGTGGAGGACTGGAGGAAGTTGCTACAAGAGGAGTTTAGGGATATCTTCTTCAGGGAAGGTGAGGTATTAGGAGTAACAGGGAGGACGGTGCACGAAATCCCACTGAAACAGGAGAGGGTAACTTACGTGAAAGAGAGAAGATACCCGCAGGCGTTGAGACAGCATATTCGGGAGGAGCTAGATAGTCTTAAAGAAAAGGGAAAAGATGTAACATACACGACTTCTGAAATAACACTCCTTTATTCGTTCCATAAGCCTCCTTATATACACTTAGCCTGTTTATTTACATTACCAGATAGTATTAAGGCTGATACCGCCAGTCTCCGGTCTTTATCTTATATATACATATATATATGAACTAGGTTAAAGCCATTCTAAATACAAATAACAATATGGATTATTTGGAGTATTAAACCTCTACTCTAAATATTACCTAACCACTTCAACAAAAGTTTTAAAAAATGATTAAAACATTTTAAAAAATAGAATAAATGTCAGCAACAGAGCATCAGCATTAATGTCTTATATTTCCCATCATTTTTGTTTGGAAATTAGATGAATATTTGTTACTTTAATGCTCCATTGAGGAAATTAAACAGAGGTATTCATTCATTTGAGGTATTCACTGCTGGATTTCTTTCTTATATTTTATTTTTGAACCTTTAAAATTAATTTTTCCAAATTTAATAATCAAAATCGTTGGAACTTTTCTCATACCTCAATTCATATAAAAATTGTTAAACCTTATTTTTTAAAATATTTTACATAAATAAAGTATATATTATATATTTGTATAAAATATATATATCAGACATATCCGAAACATCCATGATTGTGTACTAGAATGTTTTAAAAAATATATTAAATACACCCATCCCTACCAACAACCATATAAAAGTCTATTTTTTTTTTTTTAGAAAATTGGGACTAAAAAGGGACTTTCTATATAGTAAAAGCGAACAATTAAGTATTGGTTACTTATAAAATATGTCAGTGGTTATCAAACCTTTAAAGTAGGAACACAATGAAATCATGGGGGGGGGGGAGGAGGACATGCCATCCCACTTATTATTTTAATCTAATTTTTTTGGTTATTAATGAAATAATAAACTATAAAAGTAAATAAAATAGGAACATATACACAAAAATCCTCAACAAAGAATTATAATAAAAGCTAATAATAATGTTTTAACATTGTTTTATTTATTTATTTTGGTATATTTGCAGTTTATTTCAATTGCTTATATAAAAGACTATAATAATACTTGAGTTCTGTGCATGCTCCAGCCTTTACCTAAATGTTGTCAGTTCGCTCTATACAAAGTGACTTTTAAAACAGTGTAACATTACAGTTTTTTAGTGAAAAACAATACAACAGTTTTATTTACAGTTAACCTCGAAGAGGGAAATAAATAAGGTGAGCGATCAATTATTTATTACTGTTACAGTGAATACTATAAACAGACTAAGGATAGAGATAGTCAAGGGACAGCCATAATCCCTTCAGTGGCTAGCCTGATATTATAAAAGAAGAATTGACAGCTTAGGGATTCCAGGTTCGTCAAATTGTAAATGTATATAAAGAAGAAAGGGAACATACTGGAGTAAAGAATATACCGTTACCGTTATTTTTCGTCAACCTTGGATGAACGCCTGGGGTCGAGGATATCTACAAAGTTAATCATCTGTACTATACAAGTATAACTGTCGAAAAACCTTACCCTAAGCAGGATATAGTCCAGTGTCACAACTGTCAGGCCTATGGCAACACAAAACACTACTGCCATCACATATCTCGCGGTGTTAAGTGTGGAAAACAGCACAAAACAGAGGATTGCAGGAAGCCCAGACAGGAGACAGCAGTATGAGCACTATGCCACCAAGGCCACCCGGCCAACTATAAGGGATGTGAAACCTACAAAATCTTAAAATCAAGGATGAAAACAGCTCCTGGGCCGGAAGAGACTTCTAGACTTCCAAGACCATTCAGACACCCTTCTAGAATAGCGAATGAATATTTGTCCTACTCACAAATGCTAAGAGATATAGAACAGCCTCCACAACCTCAGGCTTTGCCGTTACCACACCCCCATGATATTCAACCTCAACTACCTTCCCAAAACCCCAGTCACCACCAAATCTCCTAGATACCTCCTCTTAACAATGCCAATGACCTCACCAGCCTCCTCACATCATTCTTCTCTGAGTTCAGATCTCTCATCACTCCTCTCATCACCCTACTTACAAACATTGTGTCAAATCTAATCCCACCCCCAAAAAATCCTTAAATGACCACAGACAACTCCTTTTCCATTCTCCTTAGGAATGCGAATGGTGTTTGAAACCACACTAACGAATTAACAATTTTACTAAATGACAAAATTATTGACATAGCCCTAATAACTGAAACCTGATTGACCAGTCAACTACTATTCAACATACCGAACAACCAAATCTATCGAACTGACCACCCCTAACCGCAATCCCGACCTTCTAGACTTTTTCATCCTCAAACGTCTAGGGCCACTGAATTATTCTGTTTGAGGGCTCGACGATCTATCCTCTAATCATATCCTAATCCTTTCCACATCACTAATTCCCAAATCAGCTCCACCTTCATTCATAAGGGACTCAGTTAACTGGAACCTTTTTCAACAAATATTAAGTGAAAAAATTGACCTCAGAGTATCCCTAAAACCTCCCCAAGACCTAGATGATGCCGTAAATTCCTTCATGACCTTGATCCAACAAGCAGATAGGACTGCTTCCTCACCTTCCCAGAAATACTGCAAGAAAGATCCTTTACCTCAAGACCTTGCAGACCTCATTCATGCCAAACGATGTTCCAAGACCCACTGGCAAAGAACCAGGCACCCTGATGACCGCAAATTATACAACCACCTTTCCAAACTGTTAAAAAAGAAACTGGCTACCTTCAGGTCACAATCCTTCAATTCCCACCTCTCCTCGTTCTCTACTTCTGATAACTCTCTCTGGAATGTAACAAAAAAAATCCTAAAATACCACCCTAAAATACCACCTCCTCCAACGTGATTATGGCTCCTGGGCTTCGTCAGATGAGAACAGGCCAAAGGAATTCGCAAAACACCTATCCAAATCATTCATTCCCCATCCTGAACCAAATCCTTCTCAAACAGCCAAAGCTATGGAATTCCTCTCTTCCCCGATTCCTCTTTCCTTACCTCCTAAATCTGTTAACCCCTTAGAGGTCAAATTCCTGATAAATAAACTGAAACTCAGAAAATCCCCTGGATTCGATCTCCTTACTTTCCAGATCCTTCGACAACTTCCTAAAAAGGCTATTATATTCTTTACCTACCTATACAATTGTATCCTTCGTAAAACCCACTTTCCTCTGATATGAAAACACTCCATAATTATCCTTTTCCTTAAGCCAGGCAAACCTCCCAATGACATTTCATGCTGTAGATCAATAAGCCTTTTCCCAATCCTTTCAAAAGTATTTGAAAAAATCTTTCTCAAACGAATCCTACCCATACTCAAATCTCAAGAAATTCCCTCACATCAGTTTAGTTTCCGCTCAGGACATTCCACAGTTCAACAAGGCCTTTGCATAGTTGATCACATATCCTCTGCACTTGAAAGCAAGCAATATGCACCGGTGCCTTTCTGGATGTATTGCAAGCTCGACTGGGTGTGGCACGATAGCTCGCTTTTCAAACTCAAAATTCATTTACCCCAATCCTTATATTTAATCCTGAGATCATGAGATAATAGAAGTTGGTGTTCCACAAGGCAGTGTCTTGGGTCCAGTACTCTACATCCTCTACACTGCTGACATCCCTACAAATCCCAATACCTTCCTGGCAAGTAGTCACCTTTCCCTAATTGAACAGTGGTGCAAGTATTGGTGTATTAAAGTTAATGAATCAAAGTGTAAGCATATCACTTTCACACTCCGACATAAATTCTGTCCGCCAATATTTTTTAGCTCTATAGCTCTTCCCTTCTCAGACACAGTCTGGTACTTGGGCTTCCTTCTAGACAAGAGACTGACATGGAACCCTCATACCAGACCCAAAAGACAAGAGCTAAACCGATGATTTGGACAATTATATAGACTACTGAACAGAAACTCACATCTCTCAATTGAAAACAAACTACTAGTCTATAAGACCATACTAAAACCCATCTGGATGTATGGACTTGAGCTGTGGGGGACAACTAAATCTTCGAACATCAAACGTATCCAATCCTTTCAATCCAAAGTTCTTTGAACAATAGTTAATGCTCCGTACTAAGTCACAAACAAAACCTTACACCATAATCTCAAGATCTCTTTTGGGCTCGACGTAATTCCATCCAAATTCTCGAACTCAAATAAAAAACTTATCCATCATCCTAATCCCTTAGCTCAAAATCTTTCCAGCTCCAACCATCCATATAATCCCCCACAAAGATTGAAACGGCAATGGCCTCGAGATCTTTTATAAATATTCCATTGGAGTTCTGCCAGTGGCCAGCTTCTCCACTAAAGTCCTGAGATTATGTGGCTTTAGCGCTCTTACTCAGTCTCCACTGGCTTTTAAACAGTGATGTGGCTGGGAGAGAAGCGCTGGGATCTCATTGAGCCTTTCATGCCAGTTCCCTAGGCTGAATATAAATATTTTGCATAGAAATGAATGTGTGTCAAGTATTTTTTTTTTCTGTCTTTACTATTCTTTTTATGTATTTTTTTTTTACTTGTTGCAAGTTTTCTTCTTTTAGTTTAATGAATATATTTTTACTTACATGTTTCTTCTAATTTTTTTTTCCCAATTTATATTTTAAATGTATCTTAATTGTATAAAATGTATAAATGTAAACATAGAGCTATAATGCTCAATGCCCTAGATTGTGGAAGATTGTATTATTTTTCTTCAATAAAAAAATTTTAGTACATATCAATAATATGAAAAATGGTTGTATCTTGGCCAAGACTTAATTAAAAAAAAACATAATTTAATTAAATGAGTCCCCTTAGCAGAGGGATTCGCCATTGGATCCAGATAATTTGAAAGGATATTAGACTGTTCACCAACATGTTGGCAAACAGCATTTATTCATAAACATTCTCTTAGTGTGGACGTGCCTTTAATAAGATTTATTATGAAATAAAATAAAATGAAAAAAAAATTTATTCTGGGACTGAAGTCCCCTAAGAATAATAATAACATGGTACAAAACATTGGTCCATTAGCCTGTTTTGATAAAATACAAAGAGGTCATTTGAATGTTAACTTCAATTGCTATTGCAATCATACTTGAACAACAATAGTAAACAAAATAATATTAAAACATTTTATATGGTTTACGTGTATACAAATAAATAAATAAATAAATAGAAGACATAAATAAATAAATCGAAAAAATCAAATAGAACTTGTTGATTAATTGTTAGTGAGCAGTGGTAATTACAGAATCCAATAAGTGTTACATAAGTAAGGAAGTTTGAAATTGAACTAGATGGTGAAATAAGAGTTGTTTGAAGGAATTTATGGATGAGGATTGATGTATGGTGATAGGTAAAGGATTCCAGAAGGAGGTAGCACGAATGATGAAGGATTTGCTGAAGGAAGTAGTTTTATGGGACGGGATATATATATATCTATAGGTTGACTTGGTATTGAAAGAGTGGATAGAAGAACATAGAGTAAGGAGTTCCAGGATGTAGGGAAGGTTTTTTGTTCAGAGGATTTGTAGAAGGAAATCACCAAGGAAGAATTGTCGTTGAGTAGTAGGATAAAGCCATCAATCTGTCATACTCTTCTTTAAAGCATGCTACTTTGCAAAATACCACCTCCTGAGATATGGGTAGAATAATGAGAACAGAAACCGGATTGAAAAGATGGTTTCACTCAAGAAAGTTGTTAAACTGAGAGTGAACTATTCTTTCCAGTGGCTTGCATACATTGGATGAAATGGAGATGGGTCTAAAGTCGGAAGCTTAGTAAGGAAGGAGCAGGTACTTTGTTCAACGGGTGGACAATGGCTCTTTTCTAGGCTTCAGGGAAGATGAAATTTCAGAGAGAAAAATTGTATATGTGCAACAGTGCTGGAAATAAGGCTGGAAGGTAGAGTTTAATGATTTTAACGGGTATTTGGTAAGGCCCATAATCGTTGGTTTTGGATTTAATGATGGCAGATAATAAGTCTGTGGGAGACATATCGAGAGAATAAAACTTATCAGGATCAAAGGGGATTTCGAAGGTAGAAAAAAGTGGGAGGTCTGATGGAAATGCAGAAGGGAAATGGTTAGTGAAAAAGGAATTTAGCTCGTTCAGAACTACTGGATATTGGGTAAAGGTTTTGGATCTGACGATAGAGAGGTTTTTCAGAATTGTCCATTTGGATTTAGGGTTAGGTGCTTGGGATAAAATATTAAAGTATTGGGCTTTGGCACGGTGAAGGGATATTTGTGTAAGGCTACGTAGGGATTTAAAGATGGAGTAATATTATTTGTGAATGGCTTTGGTGAAATTATATTACAAAAACGTGCTAGCCAAAATATATAAATAAAAGTTTAACTTACGATTGATTGCCACTGCACATATACTATAATCATTTCCTAGAGGGTTTTCAACAAATATTTTGTAAGCTCCACAGTCAGCAGGTGTGGCTTCATCAATTCTTAATCGAACACTACCATCTGGGTTACAAGTAATCTTAATGCGTTCTGAGCCTTGCAACTCTTCACCATCCTTAAACCTGAACAAGAAAAATATAATGTTAACCTAATAATTAAATTATGTTATAGATAGAAATGATTCTCAGGCCATGGTGTGTGTGGCCATATCAAGAATGATTCACTCCCTCCCCCATTTTAAATTCTAGAATGTTTACAATATTAGAATGAAATTTGAGTTTGTTGAGAATTGGCAACTTGAGCACTTGCATGAATTTTAAATTTTTATTCTTTGGTTATGATTAGGTTATAACAGTAAAAATGTTTTTCTGATGGATATTCGCAAAGATAAATAGTGTCAAAGAAAAGTGGTAGGGGTGAAGCAGTGTCATGAGAATGGAGACATGGCTAGATCAGAGTGCCTAACTCATACCATTGGTTATCCTATAATTTTTAGTTTAGAATAGTGTTTCTAGTTACAAAAATTGTATCCAAAAAATAGCTTACTGTTTTTATTCTTTCACCCTGTTATCTCTGAGTAAAAGTATTTACTTAAAACATATTTTATTAGCTTTTATAAATAAATAAAATATGCTAGGCATACAAATCTAGAAATGATATGAAAGATGAGTAATCTTTCATGAGTAATCTTTATCGTTTCTTTGATATTATATATGTTTTCCTATCACCCCATTATTATTTAAATTAAAATATGGGTGATAAATAGTCAGGCTACAGTTATTTTTAAGATTTTTATTGGTGCCGACATTTCAACCCAAGCATGTGGGTCATCATCAGGGTGTGTTTTGAGCACTAAAGGTGTTCAAATACTCAATCAGAGTATTTGACCCCTGATGATGACCAACATGCTTGGGTTGAAATGTCGGCACCAATAAAAACTTTAAAAATGACTACGTCCTTACTATTTATCATCCATAATATGTAGAACAGTCGACTAACTTCCTTCCAAAATCATTAAAGTAAAATGACCAAAACTATTATTTCCAAATAAATAAATTAAAAATCCAATCACTACCAAATACCAAATTTTAAAAATTAAATTCTAACAGATGTTTTTTTATCTGATATTAGCTATTCTACAAATACTCAAAGTAAAAAATATTGGTTAGTTTTGAAGTACAATCAAACCTCTATATCTCGAACAGCAAGTTTTCTTAAAAATAATCTATAAATAGAAATTTCAATGTACAGAAATGTTGTAATTTTTCATCCTTATACTATAAAGAATTTTTTGGTGAAGGAAGTTAGTCAACTGTTCTACATATCATGGGTGATAAATAGTGATAAGTTAGTCATTTTAAGATTTTTATTGTTGCCGACGTTTCAACCCAGGTTTTTGGGTCATCATCCGGGCATTTTACTAGTACTGATGATGACCCACAAGCTTGAATTGAAACGTCAGCAATAATAATAATCTAAAAATGACTGCTTTCTGACTATTAATCGCCCAAAATTATTTTTTAGGACTAAAGAAGTATAGACATTTTAAAAGAATATTGCATACATTATAATTCAATACGATTTAATCTATTTTATCAAACTCAAGCATAAAGTTATTTCTAATCCATGTGTGTTATTCGTTTTAGATGAAGTATTTTTAATAATACAAAATAAGGCTGTGTTTTTTTTATTACTTCACCATATTTATTTCACTTTTAAATCTAAATCGGCTATGTTTTGGCTAGTAAGCCATTTTATTTAATCAGCTTGTTACATGTTGTCCATAATCTGATCTTATTATGGACTACATGTAACAAGGATGATTAAATAAAATGGCTTACTAGCCAAAATATAGCCAATGTAGATTTAAAAGTGAAATAAATATGGTGAAGTAATAAAAAAACAGAACCTTATTTTATATTATTTCTAATATTCTCCTAAATTTTAAAATTAATTCATAATGAAAATTTAATTTCATGTTACGAAAGAGGTTTGGAAAATCTTACTCCAGTGGGTAATGCAATCACTAAAACAATTACATGTTATATATTTTTAAATGTAACTGTTTGATATACAGAGGTTCAGCTGCATAGTGTACAGATGTTCATTTTTTTTTTTTTTTTAATATATATATAAGGAATCAGTTTCTAAAAAAACAATAAAAAGTTATTTTTTTAAAAATTAACAGCTTATGTGGCAAATTGACTATTTCAAAATTATTTATAAAAATAACGTTCAAAAGAAAGACTGAGCCTCTCCCTCCCGACAATAAAATAAAATAAAATGATGCAAGAACATACAATCTAAAATGCTTAGATGTCAGGACACAGTGGACTATGGCCCGTCCTACAATCTCCAGCTTATCCAATTATCTTATCTCCCAGACTCAGTTATTAGTGAAATATAAACTTTTTTATTTTGTTTCTGTCACTTAAATTCTATTGCATCTCATATTTATGCAATTTTTTTTTCACATGAGTACTCAATTAGAAAATCTGAAGTTAGGTTAATGGCAACATTAATAATATTTTGTTACTGTCTAGTGTAAACAGCAAACATCAAAATGTTAATAATAAAAATGCTTATAAAAATATTACAGGTAACATTTCGGTGTAAACCTACTTTCAAACACAATTATAGGATATTTTTAATTTAAAGTAAAATGTAAAATAATAATCATTAATATCAACAACTAGCTTATTGATTGGCTTCCATTATTCTACAACTAAAGGTACTATCTTGCTGGTACTGCCCACCGCTCCAACTGGTAGCAGTTAAGTACTGCTTTAGTGGAATAGAAAAGTTAATATTTTGCTGGTACTGCCCACGGCAGCGACAATTGGCTCCTTTTTGCAAGCAGTACCAGCGAAATAGTACCTTAGGTGAAATATTTGAGAATTTAAATATAAAAAGTTATTTTTTACTTTTTATATTTGTAAAAAAATATATTTCATTTTATTTCTGAATATTAGTACCATTTTACTGTAGCACATGGACTAGCTTCAATTTTGCATTTAAGTTCCAAAGGTTCCCCTTCTTCAACTGCCAAAGCTCGTCCAAGAGATTTTGAAAATGCAGGCGACAACAACTCTAATTTTACATAACAATACGTATCCACATGGCCAGCTAAACTGTATGCCCTCACTGTGTACTAAAATTTAAAAAAAATTGACAGAAATATTATTGAGTACATTATGGAAGTTTCATACAAATTAATTTTATCTTACTTTCCCTGCATATTCTTCTTTGAAGTGAGGAATACATAAATGGCTTGAAACATTTCCTTCACATCGAGTATCCAATGTCATTCCTTCACTTTGTTCCAAATCTACACCATCCTTAGACCTAAATATTTAGGAATAGAAATAGAAAAACCAACTTTATTCTGGGACAAAGTCCCTTAATAATAACAATATTGTTCATACCAATTAGCATTACAATAAAACAAAACTAAAATATAAGTAATAAAAAAAGTATATAAATAATTGTGGGTAAATGGTTGACTGTCGTGAATAATGAAAAGAAGAATAGTTGGGGTGATCAGTCAAATAAGAAGGCAAAAATAAATGGTAATATTTATTTTGAAATTTGCCGACGTTTCGACCTGAAGTTCAGGCCTTCATGAGGGCTAAGAAAAGAACCAGACAACAAGGTATGAGAAACAGAAGTATTGTTGGTAAAAAAATTAACTAAAAATGCAGTTGTTAGAATAATGACCATAGCAAGTACTAAGAGATAAATAATAATAATCGGTACAAAGTGTGGAATGATGAAGTAAACATAACAAAAAAGGTGACATAAGTATATAAATGGGAATCTTAGAATAAAATGTAAAACAGAAAAAAGAAATATGAAGTTATATAAGAAAAGGAAATAAATAGTAAAATTAAGATATTGCGAATAGAATAGTTAGATAGAAAACTGAGATATTGTAAAGTCTATCAAGGTGTACAGATAAACGTATAATATAATAAAGAGTTAAAACAGAGAAAAGGAATGAAAGGAAGGAGGAAAGAAACTGAGAAGGCTGAAATAAGAAAGAGAAAAAGAACACAAAACTGTCTCCAAAGGTGTAAAACGGAGAAATGAGAACGGTAGCCAGGGAGGGGGGAGAGAAGAGATGTATAGTGGAGTCATCTCTAACGGTTATCTGACGAAGTTTGAACTAAAGTTATTTCTTATATAACTTCGTATTTCTTTTTTCTATTTTACATTTTATTCTAAGATTCCCATTTCAATACTTATGTCACCTTTTTTGATTATGTTTACTTCATCATTCCACACTTTGTACCGGTTATTATTATTTATCTCTTAGTACTTACTATTGTCATTATTCTAACAACTGCATTTTACTTTAATTTTTTTAACAACAATACTTCTGTTTCTCATACCTTGTTATCTGGTTCTTTTCTTAGACCTGATGAAAACCTGAACTTCAGGTCGAAACGTCGGCAAATGTCAAAATAAATATTACCATTTATTTTTGCCTTCTTATTTCACTGATCACCCCAACTATTCTTCTCTTTAAGTATATAAATAGCTATAAAAATATAATAAAGAAAGCAGATGAGCAATAGGATCAGTATACGGAAATATAGCTGCTAAAAAAAAAAAAGTTGGTAAGGAACGTTAAATTAATTTTATGAGGAAACTATTGTAGCGATAAAAAAATAAATAAATGTGGATAAAAATAAGTTTTTAAATGTGGATAAGGATGGTGCATGGGGCATTTTAAGAGGAATGGAATTCCAAAAAGTTGTGAAACAGACAATAAAGGAGTGTTAAAATGAGGCAGATCTGTGGAAAGGGGTATAAAGGTCAGAATGAGATCTTATGGAGAGAGAGTGGATGACTAGATAGATAACTTGGATTGAAAGAAATTGTATGCATAGGACAGGTAATGATGATTTATTATTTGATAAAAGAATGTGCTTAGAAAGTATTGTCTTCTGAAGGAGAGGAAAAACTATCATAACTCAGCATAGTAGTGGGAAACACAAGAACGTCCTGGGGTCTCAATAACAAATCTTAATTCTTTTTAGTCTGTCTACAAGTTCCGCTGATAGGCCACCATACACCAAGCAGCCATAATCAAGGTAGGGGAAGATGAGGGAGGATACTAAGAGTCTATGTGTGGGCATGGATTGGAGATGGCGGAAGTGATGGAATAGTTTCAGGGTAGAAATTGACCTTTGGGAGATTTGGGCAATATGGTGAATCCAGGGGTATTTATAATTAACACTTTAAATATCAAAGACATTCAATTAATTATTGTTTTATTAAAACAACATAAACTCTGATAACATGTACTAACAAGCTTAAGAATAATGGAAAATTGTTAAAAACTGAAAGTGCCTAATGAAAAAAAAAAAATAGAGAATAGTGCTCCATCGAAAATTACCTCATCTAAAGCTGTGAAAGAGTTAAACAATCCGACTTAAGCTGGTCATGAAGACAATTTTTAAGAGAATAGAAATTTGAGATACTCTATTTTTATAAAAACTGATAATAAATTTTGTTCATATTTATTCTTTAAATTATAGTAATCTGTTAAGGTAGTGGCTCATGAATACATTTTTGACCTTATTTAAATTAAATCATGCACATTCTTATATAGTAATAATTAAAATTATGTGAATATGACCAATTTCAAAAATGACATACCATCGGATTTCTGGTTTAGGAACACCTTGAGCTCTCACTTTCAAATCAAGTTGTGCATAGTCTCTTATTGTTACCTCCTCTAAACCTTTTGTAAACTCTGGTTCTATCACTGAAAATTCAAGACAAAATAGTAAATTGTATTGCAAGCAAATATATTTAATATTGCATAGTTTTTGTTTATAATGATTTTTACTAACCAAAACAATAATTTATTTTCATAATTTCTTATAAAATCTTCCAAGTTTTCAAGGGAATTTATAATTTGAAGGAACATAACTTTATTTAATCCTTAAATCTCCACTCCATGCTTCAATTCATTTTGACATTTTCGACAACGTTTCAGGCAATTTTTCCCATTTTCAAGTCGAAATATTTAAATCATTATCCTATTATCTATCTATGCAATATTATTTTTACATGACTAATGTAAAATTATTCATTTTTCTTCTCATCACATTCTTCTAATATTAATTTCATAACTTATTTATGAAAAGTCAATTCTTTCGACCGTCAAAAAATTAAACATTTTTTTTAAATTTACATTTAATGTTACACATTTTCGGCCATTTAATACAATAGCCTTATGTCCACTCCTGTGTGACTTGAAAATGGGCAAAATTGCCTGAAACGTCATCGAAAAATTGAAAATGAATTGAAGCATGGAGTGGAGATGTAAGGATTAAATAAAGTTATTTTCCTCAAAATTATAAATTTTATTGATAATTTCATTTAATAATGAATGATATTTTAAAATAATAATGAAATAACAAATTAAACCTTAAACATAGCCTATTGAATTTTCAAAATCATAAATATTTAAAAATACAAACTGTATCATACTATGAATTTTTAATTTGGCACTTGCAGAGCATTCTCCAACTGCGTTGACTGCCTTTACGGTGTACATTCCTGCATCCTCTAAAAGAATACCTTTTATCTTTAATTTGTAAATTTCACTAACAGGATCAAGATCAATTTCATAATGATTGTTTGGTGATAATGTGATGCCATCCTTCTCCCTAAAACATAAATGGAGTTAGAAAAATGTAGTAAATAAATGCAGTAGAAACTGAGGACTTGAATTTTGGGAGAAGATATATATATATAGGATGGTGAATGGAAAATTTTAATGGAAATAATAAATGACTTAACCATGGAAATACTGTATATGGATGGAGAAAAAGAGACCCCAATCCAGAGATCAACGGTCCCTATATACAACAAAATCATAATCTAAGTGTGGGAGTGGATGAGAGAAGATACCAGGAGTATCTATGATTCAGGATAAGAGGTAGCAGTAGTGATGAATTTAATAAATTTAAAGGTACCAATAGACAAGAGGTTTGAAAGACCACGGTGGATGAGTCTGTTAAAGCTTAGCATCTTAGTCAGACGGCCCAGATTCAAATTTATTTTGTGGGGGATTCACAAAATGTATCCCTATCTTCCAACTCTGATTAAAATAGGTTGGTTATCTAAGGATAACAACTCTACACACCAGAAAGGGTCAGGTAGGAGGGGAAAACAAACAATAAGGAAGATTTGAGAGAAAATTCATATGAGCCAAAGATCAGACTGGAGGAAGGAAACAAGAAATTTAGGAGATTTCAATGATATGGAACTGTATAGTCAATTGTAATATCTAAGTTTTTAGCAGAGAATTAATGTAGGGAAATTAGTGACGTATCAGAGCAGATAACTGAAGTCTATAACAATGACCTGATATTTTTCATTGATAATTATTTATTGGTTTAGGTCTTCCCAGGAAGTGGTCCAATCTAAATCTTTCTGAATATAGCTAGTGTAGCTAATAAAATAGAAGGGAGATAGAAAATTTCTTAGGGATTCATCACAGTAATGTGATAAAAATAATAAAATTTCTTAAATTATAAATTAGTTAAGAAAGACTATTGATAAAGGATCTAAAAGAAAAGATGAAATACTAGATTCCTGACCTATATATCAAGTTTTATAAATGTTAAGTTATTAGAGTCATTCATCATTTGTAATAAAATGTCTATGCCCATAATGTATTACTATTATAATTCATTTTATCAATAGTATTTCTTTCATTTTAACTACTTCATCTTTGAGGCATAAAAAAAGTTATTCGATTAAAAACATCACTAACTATACTTATGGCAATTGAAGATATAAAAATAATTAAGGATTATGTTTGAATAATATAATTGTAGATAATAATAACAATAATAATAATATGCTAGGATCAGATCAGGAAACAATAATTTCTCACTCTTTTTATATGGATGACTTAAAACTCTATGCAAAGAACGGGAGAGATATGAGAACTCTTCTCGAGTTGGTAAGTTCATTCACTGAAGATATTGGGATGAAGTTAGGAACAGACAAATGTGCAGCCCTTAATGTCCACAGAGGAAGATATAAGGATTCAGCTAATATTGAACTTGATAATAGTGATGTCATCAAGCAACTTCAGTTAACTGACTCCTACTATCTTGGTATCTCACAGCTGCTTAAATTCAAAAAAGAGATCAAAGAAACTTTTGAAGAAGAATTTTAAAAAACGGGTCAGGATACTCCTAAAAACTAATTTATCGGCAAGAAATTTAATAAAAGTCTTGAATACCTGGGCGATTCCTGCTGTTACATATTCCTTTGGAATAATAAAATGGTGTGAGAATTGAAAAAATAAAATATGCTATATATTAATTTATAAATTAAATACAGATAATTTAATCTTAATTTGATAAAATGTTAAGACTTTCCAATGTATGATATGAGAAAAAAAATCATAAACTAATAGTGATTACTAAAATAAAAGGAATAACATTTTATTCAAACCATAAAATTGTAGCTCGTGGATTAGATCTTATTTTGGCAACAAATTGAGCATCTTCGTATGGGATACCAACTACATCTTTGAAAATATTTATTTCTGGTTTCACAATAACATCCAATCTTGCCTAGAAAAAAAAAAAAAATCATATTAGTCAGTATCCAGAATGGTTTTGTATAGTTACTACCAATCAGACCCCTTAAAAATTTAATAATAACAATTGCCATGGTAGTTTTGATGACTGAAAAAAAGTTTATTCTATTTATAGCAATATAAATAATAGTATAATTAATTATAATAATTACTGTATAATAGTATGTTATTTATAATAATAATTATTATTATATAATAAAGTAAGTCGATGATCCCAATATTAAAGTTATTTATCACCAATGTCAAATAGCCACATCAGCATTATAGTTATAAAAAAAAAAAAGAATATGAAAGAGCATCAACTGAAATGCCAGGAACAGCCTTTTCCATTTAACTCTTATAAAATGTTTGACATTTTAATCATAGTTAAATAAGGTTATTTATTTTTTAAATTTACAACTGTATTACATGAAAAATAAAACAAGTAAATGTGAAATTGGTACATGACATGTACAACATGAAGAGAAACTACCCATTGGTAGAACCTAGGATCTGGGATGTGATTAGGTCATGGCCAGGAGCTTTGCGAGAAGGTAATCTGTGAATGATATTGGATATTTCTGAAGGATGAAATGCTTTAGGTGGAAGGGCCAATTGGAGTGGGATATCCAATTCTGATTTAATACACTCAAGGTGGAGTGGATTTAGGACATCTTGGTGTGGATTAAATGTTTTGAAGAGGTGCTGAACAAATATTTGAGATCTTTCTTCATCGGATCTGGACCAGGTTTGGGTTTCAGTAATAAGTGGGTGATTAAAATCTTTGAATTTCAGGAGCTTTTTAGTGGTCAACCATAGTGATTTGTCAGTAGTATTAAGATTTTCTGTTAAGTTAAGTAAATTTTGAATTTTGTATTTTCTAATTTCAGCTTTTAGTTGGTTAGTTAGCTTGTTGTAATATGACTTATTTGATGGGTATCTAGTATTATGCGACTTCGATCTTGCTCTGCATTTTTACCATAATAAGATAGGAATATATTGTGCAAGTTAGTCTGTTGGGAGCTGTTATTTTTATTGGTAGATGTGTTATGGTTTATTTTGTCACTTATAGATATAGTAAGTACTTCTATGGCTGTGTCAATGTCATGTTTCATTTTAAGTGGAATATTTAGAACCAATTTATTTTAAATGGAAAGGACGAGTTGAAATGATTACTGAATAACCTCAGTTGAATTAGAAGGAATGAGATAATGGGATAAGGATTTATGGATTAGGATGCAAGAACCAGCATGGGAAGTGTTGTCAGAATGGTCTGATCTATAAGCGGTGTAGTCATGTATGTAGAAATATGAACGTTGAGTGAAATGAGTTTCGGTCAGTTGAGCAATATCAATGTTGTCATGAAGAAAAATGTCAAGTTCATCTTGGTGGTTTTGTAGTCTATTAGCATTCCACAAAAGAACAGCTAGGGGCTTTGTGCTCATCATAGGAAATTAAAGGGAATTTCGGTAAGAATTCTTGTGAGGAGGGTGATTAGTGGCTTTATAGTCTCTTGGAGATCTTTCAGGAAGGAGGCAAGGGTGGGGTTACTTAAGTCAATTGGGTTTTGTTGATCAGCTGGATTATGATCAAGAGTTTGTGAGGGATAGCTCTTATGATAAGGAGTATCTGATGGATGATGTACGAGGGGCTTAGTCATAATTAGATTGAATTTAGGAAGGAGAGTTAATGTGAGCAGCAGGATGGGAATGAACTGGAGTTGGATGTTCAGGCCGTAATCTGACCTAAAGGTAACTAATAAGGAGGTATTGGTTGACTTGGAGATTTTTACTGCATGTGAGAGGTGTGAGTCTTGGATTGGTAGGTCTGGGGCTTAGGTTCGGAAGCCTGAGACGTCTGACTTTGTGGCTTCTGATTCTTTACTGTGGTGTCAGAATATAGTTGCCCGGAGTCCTGATGGGGTGATCTGTTGATGTAGGAGGCTGTTGTGTAAATAGTGGTGCTATTTCATTCTGCAATTCTAGAAATGTTGCAAAATTTTGTAGTTCGGATGCCTGTGCTTGGGTAGGATTCTTCCGTTCTTGGTTTTTAATGATATATTGTAAGTTTTTTGCTTAAAGAGCTTCTTGTAGACAATGTAGCCCCTATAAATTGCAGGGTGGTCCTCACAACAAAGGGCACATTTTGCTGATTCATTTAATGGTTTCTGGCAAGTGTTAGAAGCGTGAGAACTGACACATTTGACACATTTCACCGAGTGATGGCAGTAGGCCTTTGTATGCCCTAAGTTTTGACACTTAGTGCATTGCACGACAATAGGTTTCTGCTTCAGCTCTTCAAATTATACAGAAGAATACAGCAGTCTTTTAACTTTGAAGATCACAGAATTATTCTGGGCTGGTTCTAAATCGATGAAAAATAATGGAAGTTGGTGTTTGTCGATTGGATTTAAAACAAAAGAAATATGTTTTACAATGTGGCAGATGTCTTCAAGATTTTTTTTTTATAGCGGTAGTGGTAGTAGTTGAGTGAAAACCTCTCAAAACCACCCTATATGTTTTTCCTTCTTGTAATTGATAGCAATGGAAGTCGTAATTGTGTGCTGTCATGTGATTAATAAGTTTTTATAATCACCTTTGGTGTTGGTATTAGTATGGCGAAATGTACTATTTACCAATAAAAAGATAAATAAAAAAAGGTAAAAGTTAAAAAAAAAAAAGGGTGCTGATATTAAAATTTATATCATTAATTCTTAGAGAATTTGTGGAGACAACCATAAAAAAACAAGAAAACCAAATTATAATAAACCAAAATAATTGTATTCAAAAACTTTTGATGAAATTTTATACGTTGAAATGCAAAGGTGCGACTACACGTATGGTTAACGACTTTCAGATTGACGCTAATGAACCTATCAATGAAAATATTCCTTTTAGACAACTTCTTATACGATCATGTATAAAATTTGCAGTGGTCACTAGGCCAGATATAGCTTATGCAACCTCCTATCTTAGTCGATTTTTAAATAAACTCACTAATAAATTGTGGAAAGCAGGAAAACAAATCCTGAGATATCTTAAGAAGACAGAGAATATGACTTTAACATTTGATAATCCCATGGACTTGGCATTAACGTTTTACTCAGCTGTGGATTGGGAAGGAGACAAACTTGACTGGAGGTGGATGTGTTATATTCTAGGAAAATAATCCAATCCTTTGGGCTTCAAGAAAGCAACCGACTGTTGCAAATTCAACAGCAGAGGCAGAATACATTTCATGTTTACTCGAAGTTTAAGTATGGTAAACTTCAGAAATGTATTAACTGATTTACAAAAGGACTCTGTAGGTACTCTTAAATTACTAACAGACAATCAAAGTGCAATTTATATGTCAGAATGTTTTGAAAACAGTAAGAAATCTAGACATATTGATGTAAAATTTCATTACATAAAAGATTTTGTTGGTAAGAAGAAAATAATAATGGACTATGTCGATACACAGAACAATATTGGTGACATATTTACCAATGCCTTATGCCAAAATAAATTTGATTTCTTTAGAATGAAACTAAATGTATACTGATTTCTGAATTTATTGTTATATTCCCTCTGAGGTGTCTGAAAAGAAGTTGGCCTCGTGATCTCCTTATGTAGACATATTATTAGAGTGCTACCAGTGGGTAGTTTCTCAACAAGCGTTTTTTTTTATGTGATTATATACCTGTGAACACATTTACTTGATGTATTTATATTGTAAATATCTTAAATAAAAAAAAAGTTATATTCATGTAATACTATGCAAATGCATAATATTAAAATAAGTTCAAATGTTTTCGGTATTTCATTTTTAAACATGTTTAACTTAAGGTGGGGTATTAAGATTTGAATTTGAAGTATGTTGGCACCATAGGGAAGTATTTAGGCGTAGGGAGTCGGTGGCCCCATCGCCCGGTCATTTGACAATCAGCCGGTCAATCAGCCTCTGGCCCTCCAGATTGGGGAAACAATTACACTGACACCCACACAGTACACTACCACAGCACACAAACACAAAGGGCACCTACAGTACACATCGTAGGAACACCTTTCCTAGGAAACCGCCCCGTAAAGCGAAGCAGGTCAGGCTGCTAATGGGGATTTCCTCTTCACCTTAACCCAGTGTCAGGTGAGGAGTGTACCTGTCCAGGTTAGCAACTGGAGAAGCACTGCTCACTATCGCACCTAATCACAGAATATAACTCACAAAGGTCACTCCTGTTGCCCTGTGCTCCTTCCCTTCCTGAATGGTTGAGCCCACCCGGGGGAATTGCTTCAGAGGGTGCAGACGGAAATGAGGGATGGCAGACCTTGGTCCCTGGGATAGTACAGGAGCCCACACCTCCTAAGCAGGAAGGAGTGGCTGCTCCATCAGCCCAGTGTAGAAGTAGGGACGTTGTATTAGTGCCAGTTGGTGACTGGATGGGAATGCACGGACCAGAGTTGCTCCTCTGAGGCCACTGGACTCTACACTCGAGCAATATGTTCTTCCAGAAGGGAGGTTGGGGCTGGTATAACAGCATACCTACACTTACACCATACATTTAACACAAGACACCCATACATATTAATATACTAATGGAAATGAAAGAAGATGAGCAGCCTAAAGTGCCAGTTGCAATGGAATTAGAGGTGGAGCAGTCCTCCCAGACTGCACAAGACTCACTAGACACGAGAAGGAGGGAGCTGGCAGGAAGTTAAACCCAAACATGACAGGGTGGTATGGCCATACCAGCTCCCATCTAGTAGTTTAAGCCAAAGGGTGGACTCTGACAGAGAGTCCACTCTACTTAGGTTGACTTCGTCGGCTGAGACAGAACAAGGAGGAACGCAAAGTCAGTCCTCCCCAGGTAGTGCTTCAAAAGAAGAGGACGAGAAAATAAAACGGCCAAACTAAAGAAGAATAAGCAATCAAAAGGCAAGCCGAACGGGTGACCATTAGAGAGGGGCATCAAACGCCTATCTCTGATCTGGCTCCCCATAGACAGCCTCATTCATCAGGGGGTACCATGGGTCGTTCCCTTCTAGTTAGACAAGAGAGGAACTTCTCCAGAACTCCCTTAGAGCCGATACTGGAGAGCAAAGAAGAGACTGGCCCTCCTAGTACCTCTTCTCATTGCATGGCAGGTGGATATAATGGGGAGCCAGGAGGGTGAGCCTATTATGGGCTGGGAGCTGAGGTGATCGATCCTGCCAGGCTAACAAGAATCCTGGATTACCAGAATGAGGACCTGGTCAGTATCTTGAGATTTCTGTTCTTAGGAACTGAGGGCGACCCAGGACACCTGAGAACAGTGTTTAGGGTGCCCGGCATTTCAATGGCGTGGTTTGAGGCTCATGAGTGGTGCATAAACTTCGAGCTAGTCAGCTTAACAGTTTGGAGAGCACCACTAACTGTCTCAAGATCCAGCGACCCCTCACAGGAGGACACCAGCAGGAACAGGTGCCATTAGGCTCCTGCACTTGATACCTTCCCTTATCAACAATATAGTCCAATGTGATTAAGGTAAGACAAATTATATGCAGCATAATAAATTGGCTATGGCCGAATTAGCTAAACTTCTTACAGGGGTGGATCCACTCTCGTTCTAATACAAGAACCTTATTGTTTTAGGAGAATGATTAAAGGCTTAGGGAAAACAGGAGGAAGAATCATCCTACCTCTCCTAATTGAAGACAAAAATAGGGTATGCATATGGGCCTCCAAGGATTTGCACATACTGCCACTCCCTCAGGTGAATTCAAGAGATGCTGTGGCCTTGAACCTGATTACCAAAGTAAGCACTAATAAGATTAAAATGATAATTGGATCTATTACATTCCTCATAATGTAGATCCTATATATATCAATATATTGATAGACCCTTTAATTTTGCAAAAAAAGAGGACCTCCCAATCCTAATAGGTGGGGATATAAATGCCCATCATCATATGTGGGGTAGTAGAGACACTAATGAGCGAGGTGAAACCTTGTTAGAATATATAGGCTCAACAAAATTGGAGATCTTAAACAAAGGTAGTGAATCCACCTTTGTAACAAAGAATAGAAGTGAAGTCTTAGACGTCACATTTACTTCAAGCCAAATTAAAAGCCTTTTTAAAGACTGGGTCTTCACTTCAGACATTACATTGTCTGACCACAGGATGATCACATTTGAGATTGAGTCAGTCCAGTCCGTCCATCCCCTGAAAAGAAATCCAAGAAATACTGATTGGAAACTTTACAGGGAGCGATTGGAAACCCTCACAACCCATGGGGTGGATAGGCTTTATACAAGAAATTATGTAGACAAAGAGGCTAGCCTCCCCGAGACTGCCATTTTGGTGGCATATGACGATGTCTGCCCTTTTAGAACAGAACCAAGGAAAAAAGTTAAAGGTGGTCTAATGAACTGACCAAGCTTTTTGTAGCTTGGCACAAACAGGAGGATTGGCGACATTTTTGCAGTAATGGAAAAAAGGCATGAAGCCTCCCATTTAATAAAGATCATAGGTAATAACAATCATCTATCATTAGGGGCTTTAAAGAAATCGGACAAGTGGACCTCCATCCTTGAGGACACTTTGACTCATTTACTGGAGACTCACTTTCCGGGTAGTAAGGTAATAAATAAAGACAATCCTCCATCATGTACCCAAATGAAGAAGCCCTTATTAAAGAGAATGGATATGGGCTGAGGCAGTCGTTACCAAAGGGGCCATTAAATGGGCTGTAGGAGAGCTCAAACTATATAAGGCTCCTGGTACGGATGGTATATTTCCTTGCATGCTTAAAGAGGGTCTTAACGTACTACTTCCTAAAATCAAAAGCATTGCTCAGATCCTCACTTGCACTTGGTTATATACCGGAGCCCTGGAGGAAATCATTAATACCCTTTTTCCTAAGAACTACAAGGAGGATTATAATGTTGCTAAAGCCTATCGATCCATAAGTCTAACCTCCTTTGTATTTAAGATACTGGAGAAGTTGGTGCCAGTTCACTTAACCAACAAAGTGCTGCCTTATTACCCATTACACCCAAACCAACATGCTCATATCCAGGGAAAATCTACGGATACAGCCCTACACTCTCTTATCGAGAAAATAGAAAATATCCTGCACTTTAAGGATTCTGTGTTAGGACTCTTTTTTGATATAGAAGGGGTATTTGATAAGACTGAACCGGAACCAATTTGTAAAGCCTTAGTAAACATATCTGCCCCAATTGGACTTATCAGTTGGGTAAGATCGTACTAAGAAATAAAATTATTGTTGTTTCAGGAGAAGCAGTCAAATTGTAGGCGCGGTGATCGGTTGCAACCAGGGGAGCAGCATTTCACCACTGTTGTGGAGCCTGGTAATGAATGACCTATTAAATAGACTGGAGGAAGCTAGGATCTATGCCCAGGCATTCGCTGATGATGGCGCGATCCTCATCACAGAAAAGTTCATAAATACAATTTTTGAACGAATGCAAATCGCATGCAACATTGTTCAGACATGGTGTATGAACTTATCAGTTATCCAATTAAAGACTGAATTGATTCTTTTTAGCTAGACATGTAAACTGGATGCCTTCAAGGCTCCAAAATTCTTTGGTTAGCAACTTCAACTAAGAAAGAATGTCAAATATCTTGTTATTACCATAGATTCAGAACTGAACTGGGCACCACATTTGACAGAAGTTAAAAGGAAAACTATAATAACCTTTTGGCAAGTGAGACTGTTGGCATAACTTGGAGCTTTAACCCCAAAGTCATGCATTGGATATATACGGCAATAATTAGACCTAGAATACAATACAGAAGTATGTTGTGGTGGGTAGCCCTAAATAAGGCCACTCATATGCGAATGTTATGTTGCATTCAAAGAATGGCTTACATTAGCATTACTGGGGCGTTCCGCACTATACCTACAAAGACGCGGGAAATCTTATTGTCATTGACTCCGCTACACCTATGGATAATTGGTGAGGCGAATATGGCATTTTTAAGAATAAAGGATAACAGACAGTGGAAATTAACAGGGACACACAACGGCCATTTAGAAATACCCAAGAAGGTGGGAAAAGAGTTACCTATCTTACTGTACCTCTCTTCGCTGCTTGATAAAAACCTTACTTTAGACACTAAGGTTAGCTACCTGTACCCTAACGTAACAGACTGGGCACGGGGTTAAGTAGAAACTCAAAAAGATTACCTGCCCTGTTTTACTGAGGATCACGCAAAGACTCAACTGGTTTAACGGGTGCAGGAGTCTATGTAGAGAACCTAAATATAGAATTAAGGATACCATTAGGTGAACATGCTACAGTATTTCAAGCAGAGGTGTTTGCTATACTTTCTGCAGCTATCTGTCTAGAAGCTACTGATTGCGAGAATGCTGCCATCACTATCTATTCGGATAGTCAGTCGGCAATACAAGCAATGGAGTCTCCCAAAGTGACCTTCATACTGATGCAGGATTGTAAACAGGCTTTGGAGACACTGGTCTGCACCAAGAGGGTGGAACCAGTGTGGGTTCCTGGTCACAAGGGAATTAAAGGCAATGAAAAAGCTGATGCTCTTGTAAGGAAACGAGCGGAATTTCCTATTGTAGCTCTGGAACCTGCAATAGGAATATCCAAAAAGCATCAGCGAAAAGAAGTCCTTGATTGGACCTGGAAAAAAGCAAGTAAAGAATGGAGGGAATGCACTGGGCTTAGACAAGCTAAACAATTTATCAAAAGCCCCTCTCCCTCCAAAACAAAGTGGCTGCTGGGCCTGACTAGGAAAGAAATACGACTCCTGATCGGAGAACTAATAGGTCACTGCAGACTTAAAAGGCATTTAAAGATCTATGGGATAGTTGATTATGAATCCTGCAATCTTTGCAGAAGTGTACCTGAATCTGCCCTCTACTTCATAACAGAACGTTACCGATTTGCGTCTCTTAGATACAGACTTCTGGGCGCAGACAGAATCCAAGTATGCAAAGCTACCTCCATAAAATGGCCCAACCTTTTGAACTTCATTAGAAGAACAAAAAGGTTTGAGACAGAGTTGGAGGTACAATAGAAAACCATAGGTTGTGTCATCTTTGGGGTTGGCAAAAAGGACCAATGGGCCCACTTGCTGGACTTAGTCCCCCCACCAGTACCAGTATATTGGAGCTGTTGTTGTGCTGCACTCTGAAGTGTGTGGTTAGAAATAACTGGGAATAACCTTCTTGCTTAGACTGTGTGAGTTTTATAATGTTCACGAGATGAACCTGTCTTAGTGATGAATAAATGAATATTAATAAAAAGTGTTTCTCCTCATTCAAACCTTTTGTTTAAAAAGAAAATCAAGTACTATTTTTATTTGTTTAAGAAGTATTTTAATACTTTATCTGCTATGGAACAAACTATTTCAATAGAATAAATTAATTATTAACCAATGCAGCAATTTACTTACACTTGATTCAGCTTTTCCACTTTTGTTTTCAGCAGTAAATGTATAAATTCCTGTATTGTCATGCTGTGCACTTTGAATTGTCATTGAGTAAGTGCATTCCTTTTTACCATGATCGACAACCTTGGCGTCAGAATGGAGAATAAATTCTTCTGGTAATTCTTTACCATCATGTTTCCTAAAATGAACAAAAATCAATTATCCTTTTTTAAAACATTTGTATTTGTAGATATAACAAACCACTAATTATGGTCGATGTTTAAGAACTATTTTCATTTAATCTATTTATACTATAAGTAAAAAAAAATAATTTAAATATAGCAATACAACAACATACTAATACATCGTGATCACCATTAGGCTTCTTTACAATATTTACATCCAGGCTCTGAATCCCTAAACGAAGCACCTCTCTTATATTTACCCTAGCCACGTCATTAGTATTGAAAGAAAGTGAAATCTTGGAATCTAATTAATGGCACATGATACAATCATCAGCCACAGTTAGTCATGAACCAAGACAGGACTTTGAAAATCATGTTTTGAATAATATTGGGGACTTTGCCATTAAAGTCTTTGAAAAGAATTATATGGATGATGATATTAAGATAGGGGTTGAATCCAACCATGTATATAAGAGGATTCAAATACAGCCCCAAAAACTTAAATCAAAACATAGTTGGTTCTAAAGTACTTAAAATTAAATATTGAATTTTTACTATCAATGTTGTTGCATGAATCAATGTTGTTTAAACACATAAACTAATCAAGAAGAATAATTGAGAACTATTTGAAACATACCTACTAAGGCATACTGGTACTGGAAGATAAGACCATAATTGCAGGTTTTAGCAACAATTCAACAGTCAGGAGATCCAAAAGTAAATTTGGATTTGGGCTATTTGCTGTGGTCTAGCATATACAAGAAAGAATGAAAAATCACTTTCAGGACAGATAAAGGCAAATAGGGAAAAGTTTCATTATGGCTGTAAATTTGGATTAAGCCCAGTTTTTGGGTTGCTGAACACATATCTGAAGTTTGCTGACAACAATTTCGCCAAGAACCTTTCTTTTTTCTTGGTTTTTCACCTACATCTTAAAAGCTATTGCTTTGTTTAGAAGACCACAGTACAAAAAATTATAATAAACAAAATTATCTACATATTATGTCTGTAAAATTTTTCTCGAAGCTGTTAAGCTGCTAAAGCATGTATTAAAAAGGGGTTAATAAATGAAATTGTTTATTTATTACTAATTTCCTTGTATACTACCAATGTTCATTACACTATACATGCTATAAAACTTTATAAAATATATGAAAAGTACATTCATATTTGGTATTTTCCAACAAGTCTGGCTGTTATAGTAAAATAACAGCAACTATATCTTCTTTACTTGGTCTTTTGATATAGGAAACCCCATTTCCCCTAGTAAATTTTGATATAATTTTGAGATATTTTGATATATGCCAACCTCAAGGCACAATACTTCCGTATCTCATTATCACAAGCACTAGATCCTGAGTCCAGATGGAATATTCTAAAAAATCTCTCCGTAGTAAAATAAAAAATCTGTACCTCCTACCCTGTTTCTCCCAATCAACTAAATTCCTACTTTTCCGATCCTGTCTCAATATCTTTCTCCTCCTCATGCTGCCTTCCTAAAACTTCCTTTGAATCCTTGAATAAAATTCTTTACTCCAAAACATTTCCATATCAAATAGCTTCCTAAAGTGGTTCCGTTCCTTCTTGTATCACAGATCACAGTCATTATTCCCAATAAAACTCCTTCCTCCCCCCTCTCACTAACTCCATAGACGTCAACGACCTTCCCAATTCCATCCATCATTCACAATATCACTTATATGCTGACGATCTCCAAATCTACCTTTCCTTTTATCCTACTGAGATACTTGAGGCGATCTGAAGACTACAAGAAGACATAAACAGTATTACTACTTGGGCAGTGAGTAATCATCTAAAGTTGAACATTGAGAAGACTAAAGCCATTCTCATTGGCTCCAAGCATCTTATTAATTCCATTCCATACTATCCTCTACTCTACCTCAATGAACTACCTATTCGTTTCCATACCTCTGTCAGAAATCTCGGAGTGATTTTCGATCAATACCTGTCTTGAAATAATCATGTCTCCGAAAATCATTATTATTCTGAAAATCTATTGCTACCCTAAAACAGTTCCTGAGATTCCGTGATTCAATGCCCCTAAAAACCCGCCAATTCCTAATTTCCTCATTCATCTTTCCTCACTTCGGTTATGGCTGCCTTATATACGGTGGACTGTCTGGTAGGCTTGAGATCAGATTAAAAACATTAATGAATTGTTTCATTCGATTTATCTTTGGAGTCCCCAGATCTCCCACATCTCCAGTCATTCATGCCAGCACATACCAACCGTGGCTTTCATTTGAGTGTGCTATCAGGTAGTGAGTACTAACAAAATTTTAGATCGGACAATTTCCATTTAGTAGAAAATTAAAATAATGAAAATTTGATGCATATTAAATGAACAAATTTATTTTTAATTACAATGATAACTAATAATGTATTATAAACATAACTTTAATTAAATAACATCAACATACCTCTAATTAAATTACATAAACATAATTATTCAACATTATAAATAATAATAATAATAAGTACAAAGGCTCCTTCAAAAAGTTCTCTTCAAGCTCGATTGGTATGAATAAATTATTATGAACCATACTCTGTGTCATAAAAGACCTGACATTCTGCTTATAGATTTGAAAGGGGAAAAAAAGCAAAGCTGGTTGATATCATAATCCCCAACGACAAAAATAGAAGCTCCACTTTGGGAGAGAAACTCAGAAAATATGATAACTGACTGTTGAATATGACTACAGTATTAATATCATTTTAAAAGTTTTACCACCATGCCAATTATAATATCCATTAATAGACTGATACCAAAGTCAACGGTAGCAGGTACGCAAACAATAATACTTTAAGAGATAATTTTTGTCCATAAAACATGGTTATATTTTACCGATTTGGGGGGGGAGGCTTCAGACCCAAAGCCCCGCTCCCATAGATCTACCCGTGCTTGATACGCTAAGAGAGAGGCTGAGCAATCAGTTCTCTTGGATACATCATGGATTGTTCAAAGATTTCTAATTATTTGAAAAAAAAAATCAAAGTAATATGAAGGTGGCTGGGCATGTCTCCCAACTCAATTACTCAACCCACAAAAGCGAGAAAAATTGGGAAAAATAGTGATAACAAAAGACTTAGCTAACACAAAGGTTTGATGTTGACACCGCTATCTATTCACTTTGGTCTAACATTCAGAAGCTTACCAGTCGACACAACAAATATTAACCTTTTAGGGATTCTTTCTTTACTAATCCAGTTTTAGTGTCCATAAACTGATATTTTAATTAATATGATTGGAAATGAATTTATGCCAGATATATTTATCATATTTTTAGGTTAGTGTAAAGACTTATATTAAATATTAAATTCTTTCAAGTTAGTTGAAGATCAGAAATATAGAAGTTAATTAAGATAAACTAAATAATAGAGTATTTAAAAACTTTTAATTGAGGCATTAGTACAAACAGGGGTGCCCTTTCCCTCCAAGGTCAGAGACACAAGAACTCTTTTCCTCTCTCTCCCAAGATATTTTATTGCCTACTTCTTAAAAACAGGTAGAGAGAGAGTAGAATATGAAACATTGTTTATCATATATAATTACATTTGTTGCAGTCTGTTCCATATATTTCCCTTTTACCCTAGTTTAAAACTTTTCCTTCTGAAAATGCATAACCCTATCAAAATATGGCCCCCTCAAATATTCAAAAACCCATCAAAATATGGCCCCCTCAAAAACCTTGATGGCACAAGTTGTGCAAATGAAAAGTACAAATATTAATGAAGTAAAAATATGACCTGCCATAAGTTCTTTTGAACCAAGTTAGATTCTTTATGCTTATATAAATATAAATAATATTTAATAATTATAAAAAAGTTATGATTAGGTACCAAACTTAACTGATAAGCACACCAAAATACAAATATAGTAAATATATATAAACACAAAAAAATTTATATGTATAAATATATAAATTACCATTTCACTTCTGGAACCGGATCAGCTGTAAGTACTACAGTGTAGGTAAAGGATTGATTCTGTGGAACATTTTTATCAACGAGTTCAGATACAAACTGGGGTCTTCTGAAGTCTTGAGCCTCTGAAAAATTTGTTAATGATAAATAACTATAAAAACCTATTGTTGATCAAAGATAAAACTGTACTATAAAATTCTAACAATTTTCAGTTCCTAAAAAACTAAAAAAAGAACTTGGAAAAAAAATGGAACAATAAATTTTTAAAAAAATATTTAAAGATGGATTTTTGTTGAATGTTTTATGAAAATTATCTAGGATAGTTAGGAATTTCAGTCAAAAATTTGTTATTCAGCTTGCCAATGTTTCAACCCAAGAAGGTGGGTCATCACCAAGGAAAAGGTGTCCAGGGTATCATCAATCATTGAGTGATGTTTAGGTTGAAATGTCGGCAACCTGAATAAAAAACTGTGACTGAAAATCCTGACTATATGCCATCCTAGAAAAAAACAACAAAAAAAAAACTCAAAACATTGTATAATCATATAAGCATGAATGATTTATTAATGTTTCAAGTCAATATAAATTAAGATGACAATTAACAGTCACTAATGAATCAGTAACTATAAATGAATAAGATAGGTTGATATAAGTTCAACCCACTAGAGGATCAAGCCGGGGGGCGCCCCCCCCTGGAAGAGGAGAAAAAAAATCCCAAAAAGCACCTATATAAAGAAAAGAGAAATATAGAGAAAATTCATCCTCATACACAAATTTCCTAATATAATATAAAAAGAAAATATTATTATCGTGATCAGTACTAGCGGATTCAGCCAAAGGGCACGCCCCTCTCTCCCCTGGATAGTGGGGGAAAAGTTCCAAAAATCAGCTATTTAAAGAAAAGAGAAATATAGGAAAAATTCATCCTCATAGACGATTTTTGTAATGTGATACAAAAAAAAAGTTATTATCATGACTAGCACTATTGATTTCTGCCAGGGGACACACTCCCTTCTGGATAGTAGAAGAATAATTCCGAAAAAAAAAGACCCAAAAAACATCTATTTAAAGAAAAGAGAAATATAGGAAATAATCATCCTCTAAGACGAATTTTCTAATATGATCAATATCATCATCCCGAGCTCAATAATCTATCTGCCTCAAGAGTTTTTCTCCATGTTTCCCTGTCCTGAGCAGCCTCCACCAGTTTCTGATTGCATGGATTATGGCATCAGCATTTACTCCATTTTCCATCTCAGCTTCAGTCTGCCCACTTTTCTTTTTCCACCCGGCTCTATGCTCAGCAGCTTCTTTGGAATTGAGGTTTCATCCATCCGTTCAACTTGGTCCTCCCATCTCAGCCTTGTTATCCGGCTATATTACACCACTTCAGTCTCCTTGTGTAAGTTAGCTAGTTCTTGGTTGCGTCTAATTCTCCAGTCACCATCAACTCCATTCTCCTTAACTGGGCCAAATATCCTCTGAAGGACCTTCCTTTCTAAAACTAATATTTTAAACAGCTGTTTAATGAAAAGAGAAAATTCATCCTCGTAGACTAATTTTCTAATGTAATATATAAAAAAAAATTTTATCGTGACCAGCACTAGCGAATTCTGCAAGGGGGCGATCCTCCCTCTGAATGGTGAACAAAAAGTTCAAAAAAACAGCTATTTAAAGAAAAGAGGGATGTAGTTTTTGGGTGAGATGCAAAGGCTTGTGCTCCTGTCGCAGTTTGTTCCCATTGACTCTGAACTGAGTCTCGAAGGTGAAATACACGATGGAGGAGAATTTATTAAAAAAAAAAAATGAATTTCATTTATTCTTTCAAACAACCTTTTATTTGAACACAATTAATTTTTATAAGTTAGGACACATTAGTAATTTCAGTTGTAAATTAAATAATAAACTATTGTTTTACTACTTACCAACAGCATTCAAATTAGCTGAATCAGTAGCTTCCCCTAAAACATTTGAGAGTACAACCTTATAAGATGCTGTATCTGTTAGTTGACAATCACTGATCTCAAGTTTATATTTTCGGTCTTTATTACTAATCTTAACTCTCTCAGAAGATGATATTTCTTTATCATCTTTGTACCTAAGAAAGATAAACTAATATTAAAATAAGATAGTATATAAGTTATATAATATAGTAAAATAAGATCATTATTGGTTCGTATTTATGTTCAAAGTGTTTGATTATTCAAAAGTATTAGTAATTTTTTTAATAATTTTATAAATAGGAAGATAATTGTAAAAATAAGTAAATATATAGAAAACAATGTCAAGTTGTTGCTATCAGAAGTAAAAAATTAATACTGACAAAGGTTGTTAAACCCAGTTATAATGGCGGATCTATGGGAGGCGGGAGAGGGCTTTCAGACCCAGTCCCCCAAAATCGGAAAATATACACTGATTTATTATGGCAAAAAATTCCACCCACTTGATTTTTTCATATTTTCATCTAAAAATATTTCTGCTTTGAATTGGTCTATTGTTTTTAATGAATAAATAGGTAATCTTTTTGTTTGTTTTCAATTAGGAATGTTAATATAGAGGACAATAACCCTTAATTCTTAATTCAATGAAATGATTCTAGATTCCAATGTTTACTTTCTATGGAATCAAAATGTTTATTCAGTATCATTAGTTCAGTGCCATTTCTTGCAGCACATTTATTAGTCTCCGGCTTTTAATTTTTTCAATATTAAGTTTAAAAATGCCTCTTAGTGCTGAGGATGTTGCGTGTGGTGTGGCACTTATTGATGATGGACGTTCCATTAGATATGCAGCTAATGCCATTGGAGTTCCATATGAAACTTTACGAGACACCGTCAGGCGTTTTCGGGAAACTGGTTCTTACCTAGGGTAACAGAACCATGGGATGACCGGTTTTTGACTTTGAGAATTTTATGAAACCGGCACCTTACCGTTGTTCAAGCGATTCATCAGCTCGAAGAAGTTCGAGGTGTGCAAATTTCTGAACGTACCGCTCGGAGAAGATTAAATGAGTATGGATTAATGGCTTTTCGTCCAGTAAGAGGACCAGAGTTGACCAGAACTCACAGAGTAACACGGCTGGCTTTTGCTCGAGAACACAGCCATTGGACTATGGACGAATGGAGTGCTGTACTTTTTACAGATGAGTCAAGATTCGCTCTTCGATCTCCAGAGGGGCGTGAAAGGGTGTGGAGAAGAAGAAACGAAATGCAGCCTGTAATTTTTCCCAGAGCCAACCTTTCCAATGTGGTTCCTTAATGGTGTGGGCTGGGATTTCAAAGGAGCGCCGCACAGAATTGGTTGTTGTTCGTGGAGGGTCTTGACGGCCATTCGCTATGTAGATGAGATTTTGGAACCTCATGTGTTGCCTATCCTCAACGAAATCGGCGATCGTTCTATTCTAATGCACGATAATGCACGCCCACATGTCGCCCGCATAGTGCAGACGTTCCTTCAACAGAACGATATTGAGGTTTTAGCCTGGCCAGCACGTTCTCCAGATTTGAACCCCATTGAGCATTTATGGGATAACCTCGGAAGACGAATAAGAGCGCGTGCAACACTTCCTGATACACTGCAGGACCTTGAAAGGGCTCTTCGGGAGGAATGGGCTATCCTCCAGCAAAGGGACATTTCCGACTGGTGGAAAGTATGCCGAGGCGTCTTCAAGAAGTAGTGAAGGCAAGAGGAGGAAACACGCGCTACTAAACGATGATGTAATTAATTTCTTTTAGAATAATAATGGTTCGTTTTTCAATTTTTTTTTCTCTAATCTTTCTTACCCAATCACATTTTGATTATTAAAGGTAAAAAAGATTATAAAATTCCATAAATACTAAGTATTATCTACAAATACCATGTATTATATACAAATACAACTTTTTTTATAAGTGGGTGAAATATTTTTAGATGAAAACATGAAAAAATCAAGTGGATGGAATTTTTTGCCTGTCAGTGTATATATATTTCTCAATTAGTTGATATTAGTTTATGTGGATGATATAATCTAAATATTTGAGCAATCACAATATATTACCTTTTTAAATTATAACGCATATACATATATATATATATATATATACTACTAAATGTTAACATGTGTCAAGACAAAATATAAGAAATTTATCTCTAAAAGTATTATTATTATTCCGATAATTACTTTTTTTTTCCTTCTGGGAGGACTTAAACAATATTTACATACATAATTTTTTTTTCTTACAGAGTAATTACTGGTATTATAAAAAATAAATAAAAAGCCCCCAAAATAAAATATTGGATCTTCATTAATTACCTACTACAAGTTTGGAAGATAAGAGATCCTAAAATAATTTATTTAATATCAAGGACAAAAAATGTCTCATAAAGCCAAATTAATTGGAAGATCCAAAATTACCTAGTTAGTTTGGACTTTTAGAGACTTCAAAGAAACGAAACTACAGATCATATCAGATACAAAGAATGGCCAAAAACATTGTATGGTTATATAACAATAAAATCTCAAATAAGTTAGAGAAGAATGACTTAAAGGTTAAAACAGGTTAAAAGAATTGTATTACAGATGAAAAATAGTTTTATTTTGATCATCTCAAATACATGCCTGAGTAACTTGAGTAAAACTTTGATGGATTGTTATGAGGGAAACCATAATGATGTGTAAGTATGAAAGATTAAAAATATATCTTAAGCTCTCAGCAAAATGAAACTAAAATTATGATATATTTTTATTAAAAAAAAAAATATCTGCATTTTACTTATCAAATCGTGATCATGAAAATTCAATTTTACTAATCAAATTATCATAACCATTTTATAATCTTATAAAAAACTATAAATATAAGAATCTATCTTCAAAAGTAAGATTGTAATTTTGTATTATTGTCAAAAATGAAAATAATATTAAATACATGGACACAATATTAGTGAAACAAGACAGCAACTTGGATTCATGTACATTTGAAATTACATAACTCAAAATCTATTATTATTATGAAACCATACTTCACTGAAACTGGTGATATCTATATTATAATAAAATTCATTAGAATAAAATGACAAATACTACATAGTGTTAGGTTTTTATTCTGATTGCAGGTTATTATTACTCAGTGGCCTTAGATATTCAGTTGTGTCATGAGCCCCCAAGAGATTAATTCAAAATAAATTTTCTAAGCTATTGTATATTACTAATATTTTAAATTGTATTTTTTTATATACAATATATCTCTAATTCAGTTGTTTCATTAATAGGCTGTTGGAAATGGTAGAAATAATCTAGGAGGCTGCAGAGAGATGCTACATTAATCACATATGTTACAATTAAAACATAAGTTTTTTGTTATTGCAAACATTTGAATTGTGCTCTGTGCTTATAAAAATAATATTGTTAATAAAAGAATATCAGTGCTGTGTATTCGCTTTGTTCATTTATTTAGTGCATGTTAGTAACAAGGCCAACATTAATTTATATGACACACTTTTTTCTTTTTAATAATTTAATTCCTATTAAGTGGTGGGCCCTCTTCAAGGTCGGCACCCCCAGGCAGAGATGGACAAAAACTACTTTGGATACCGAGTACCAAGTAATTTACTTGTCCCAGGGGAGTGGTCGGGTTGCACATGCCTAAAGTCGGCACTGATTATTAAGGTATGATGTCAAAGTATTCCTAAGAGATAGAATATTTGACTCATTTATAATTTCGCAAATCTAGATATCATCAAGAGGTGAAAATAATTTAACCTTGATGATTTATAATTCAAACTAATTAAAAATTATAAATAATTACACTTTTTAATTTTTTTATAATACCAATGCATAAATGTAGGCATATACTGAATATACATACTTATTCATAATTCTTCTCTTTATGAATAAAACTCACCACTTGGCCTCAGGATATGGGGTTCCACTAGCTTCAACTTCAAATGTGTGTTCCCATGTCTCAAAAATATCCACATTTTTCATATCTGATGATATAATTTGAGGATTGGCTATAAAAAAATAAATATTGTAATTGAATGCAGAAAATAATCATATTATGAGTATAACAGTGTATTTATAGCTGTTACTATAATTAATCTCTAAATGATATATCTCATAAGAGACTGGGCAATAAGGCATACCATATTGTCATGCTTATCTATATATCTTATACAGCCTAAGAGCATGGAATTTTCACAAAATCTCACAAATAAAATGTAAATTTCCATACTGAGTATGAATACCATGCTATGAAAAGAGGTTCATATATTTGAAAATGTAAATAACAGATAATGGATTAAAATAAAGACTGTTGGTTTTTTTTTTTTTTTTCATTTCATTCTTAAACCTACTAGCTACTAACAATAAATATTTATTATTCTCTGTGGATATGGATTTATTTTGAATTCAGGTAATGCATTAAAATTTTATGAAAACTTAAAGCAATTATTGTAAAACTTAAGAAATGATGAACTTTATGCAATTTAATGATTAAAAAAAAGGACCTATGTATGGGGAGGGAGAAAACTGTTTTAAATTTGTAAAGACAGGTTTAGTTAAAAATATTTATAGAGAATGACAGGTAATTTGAAAGTTATTTCTATTAAGAGCGGCCATGATTATCTTGAGGGAGTAGAATAACAATGTAGGCTGAGAGATGGATTCAAGGAATAGGAAAAGATTTACTATTATTTGGGAAGTAAGCTTTTCTTTCTTTCTTCCTTTTTTTTTTAATATGACGATAAAACACAAAGTTTTAATATGAAGATGAAAAAACACAAGGACTTTGTTTTCATTTTTTTTTTCAGCTCTAAATACTGATACAAGTGAATAATGGAAAGTTTCAAATCAATAATCTTAAATCAATTCAAAAGCATACATACTAAAATTTCAAAATCATACAGCAAATTAAACTAAATAAATTTAAATATTTCTAAAAGGTACACACAAAAGTTAAACTACTACAAGCAACAACAAAAAAATAAAAGTCTAAGCATTCATTTGTGAAAGTGCAAATACATGCTTATCAATCCGATAATGATTCCAAATTTTTGGATGATTGATTAAGATTTATGGAGCAAAAAGGTATAAAATGTGAAGTATACAAAATGTAAAAAGTAAAAATGATCATAAAATTTAATCAGTCACTGTTTCATAAGACTGACATTTATGATATAGTTACCTGAAAAACTTCAGAGTTTTCTCTAATCGAATTATTCGTGTTAGATAAAAGTATTCTTCACGAATTTGTCTGTGGATATCACTGAAGTTCTCAGTCACAATTTACTAAAAATAAACTATTTCGAATCATTTGAAGACACTTAATTATGTAAAACTGAAGTTGATTTTCCACATTTTTGTACTAATAACTATATAAAAATTAGATTGTTTAATCCTTTAAATGGACAATTAGAGATTCAAAATGTTCTATACAGTAAGAACACTATTAGTACTAATAAGAAGATTTCAATAGTAACATTAAAATAATAAAATTATTTAAATGTAACTAGTTACCAGATTGGATGGAGAAATTTCTGGAAATCGATGAAATAGAAAAGTGATTATAAATCTTCCATTTTATTAACATTAATTACAAATACTAGTTGACCGGGAAAAGCAACTAATAGGATACTTGCTGGGATAGTTCCTAGCAGTAATTACTCTATTAATAATATAAAATGCGTTTATAATTATATAGGCATAAAATATTTAAAGATTGTTGAATCATAAAAAAATTATTAAATTTAGTTTAATTATTGAAAAAGTTAACTAATTCATTCTGACTATTATGGTTATTATATTTGTAATAAAGGAAATACAAATTTTTAATTTTAAATAAAATATAATAATCTTAAATTATCATTTTTTTATTCTACTGATTGGCAATTAATCATCGAGGTGGTACACCAAAAAATGATTATATACTATTAAAATATTTAGAGATAAAAGTAATAGAATTTTTTTTATTGTTTTCAAGCCTAATTAAGATCCAGGAAATTCTATGTAATCAAATTTTTTTTACATAATAGTGGGGTCAATAAACATAAAAATAGTAGCAAAAGCTGAACAGGCATAGTTTTTTATCCATGAAGATATTTATTTTTAATTTTATCTTTTCTGAAAAGTGGAATATTCATCTTAATTACTAACCATGTTTTCTGAATAATTACAGTTATTTTTAATTTTTAACTAATAGATTCTCAGAGCGTTATTGACAGAAATAGGTTATTGTGACTATTTACTTAAACAAAAGTTTGTCAGTAAAGAAATTCGCTAAAGTAATAGGTCATTTTTCAATTATCCACACAAATACAACCCTCAAGAAAAAGTAACCTAAGGATGTGATGTATAAAATAGTCTCTGAGATGACAGCTAGCTCTGGCCCATAATCAAAATAACAAATAATTTAATGGTAATAACACCAGTTAAATACTGTATTACTGAAGAATCATAGAAGCATATTCATCTATTAAATTATTGAATAATTTTTAAACCATTTTCATTTATTATTTGGCCATAATAAATAATAGTAAAATTTCCATAACTCATAAATTTACATTTTGTTTTAAAGAAATGTTTTAATAAAAAAATAAAAACATTTTAGCCTTCATAAATCTGCTTCGTTTATTCTGAATTATAAAATAATTAGGTCACAGCATAAATAATAGGTTCTTACCAAAAGTTATATGCCCCTCCTCTTTCTGATTAATGTCTTCTTCTAATGGTTTTAAAATATCATTTGAACATGTTTGTTTGACAGGAGCAGTGATCTCAATAGGAAGACTGGAAGGAACGTTTTCTAGGATTATATCCCTAGCCGGAAGTTCATTACTGGTTGAACCAGATATATTTAGGTTTTCTCCATCTTTATCATTTCCACATTTTTCAATATAATTGACCTCATTTTCAAGAATTACTTTATTTTCTAGCAGATCATTGTCATGTAATATTAATGAGGAAGAATCGACAGTATCAGACTTAATAGACGAAATATTGCTTTCATTAAGTTTGTTTTCAAGATTTAATTTAATTACTTTATTTTCTTCATTAGAAGAATCATATATATTACTATCAGTTATTTCTCCACGTTTTGGTTTTAAGTTAAGAGATATTTGTTGTATTTCAGGTTCTTCAATTTTAGATCCCTTTTCTTCTACTAAAAGAAGCTTGTTAGAGGGATAATTATCAGATAATGTTACACCATCTTGAGATGTAAAAGTGTTAGATTGTTCTAAAGAATAATTAATCTCAAATTTTGTAGCATTATTTTGTCCCATGATCTCTAGTGTTTCATATTTTATATGTGATAATTCTGGTAAGGATTCAATTGATTCCTTCACACTATTGGTACATATAATGGCATCCCTCTGGTCTTCAATGGATGATTTAATATTTAATACTGTATCTGAAGGCAGCACAGTTTGAAAAGAAAGTTTTCTTTCTGGAAATGTGTAAAGTATAAGTGTTGGTTTAATCTAAATGAGTGCTAAGTATCATTACAGGAACACACAATAAAAATGACTTGTGTAAATGTATTGTAAATTATAATTTAAGCATTTACTATAATTGCTTTATTAATTAAAAGTTAATACCAAAAATCTAATAACTACATGTTCTTGTTACTAAACTAACTTTTAGAACTAGGACTTTTTTTAAAAGCTTTCAAGTTTTCATTTTTAAAAACATATACACATTATATTGTCTCTTATGTTAGTTATTTATGTAAAAGCTTGAACAAGTAGTTTAAAAAAATGTATAAAAAACAAGTGTAAATATGTACCTTGTGTATTATCTTCTTTTTCATGTTTAGAAATTTCGTTTAATTTTTGACTTATTGTTTCAGTGTCTGTAGCTTCTGCTATTTGAGAGCCAATCACTGAGTCATTTTCTTCCAATATGTCTGTTTTTTCAGTTACCTCTGTCAACGTCTTATCAGGATCACCAAAGGAAGTTGCTAGGGAAAATAACACACAAAAACACTCACACCTGTCATATAGACAGGGTTGAGATGCAGCATACAAAGGCATACAAACATGCTTAAGAAACAGTGCATTGCTCATTGAATGATTAGCAGTTAAAAATTCAACCATAAAAATAGTACTAAATGTATTTACTTATATTCTATAAATTGAACAAAAAAAAAGAAAAGAAATTATTAAAAAAATTAAATTATATATATGTGTGTGTATATATATATATATATATATATATATATATATATATATATATATATATATATATATAAAATTTTATATTTACTAACCATTAAATATGATATATTATTATAAAATAAAACCATATAGATTGAAATGAAATATTATGGTTTGTTGTCAGATCAGCTAGCCACTCTATCACAAAGATGATCCTAGTGAAATTTTGTAGCATTATTTTTAATATATTACATATGTATATATATTAAAGGTATATAATAAGAAGTTAGTTAAGATTTATAAGTCAGAGATCTATTATCATTTAAACTGACAATGGAACAATTTGTAGTAAAGAAATCTTAAAAAGAATGCAGGGTTTGCTTTAAACTGTTTTTCTTTTTTTTAATGTGATAAACATATACTGTGAAGTATATGGTTGTCTGGAGATTATGAATTTGGGTTTTCCAACAGGCTGTTGACCCTAAATGGCTATAATCCAACCATCTCATTTCCTTATGATTGTGTTTGAATTCAAGAGTTATAATGTACTTCAATAAGAACTGGTAGCAAGGTAGTGATGGGAAAAATTGATAATTATTAATAGCAGTCATGACAGTTTCTGCTTCTTTACTTAAGAAAAAAAAGAGATACAAATGTTTCAAATCTTGTAAACAGTGTCGGCCTTAGACATTCCATGCCCTCCCCTCCCTCCCCGGACTATGGCATCATCTCCCCCATCCTATAAAAGTTATATATATTTCTTAAGCAGTTTTATATTATGTGATATTAGAATTTTATTTCATTTAACATTTCTCTAATACAGTTGATTTATTGATAGGCTAAAATTAATTATTTTAGTACAGTTTGTATTTTTTTAAATTTTAAAAAGTGGCGAGCACTCCTGAAGATAGGACGGTGCTCCACCCCAATGAACTGCTTGTGAACTACGATGAGAAAAAAAGTTTGATATTTTTCTTAATTAATGTATTATTTTCTTTTAAAGAGCTTCTTAGATGTTTTTGTATGAGGAATTTTAAATATTTTTTGTTTTGGTTTGTAATATTATGGTTATTTTTCATATTTTAAAAAATTGTATATTGTTGATTATGAGTAACTAATTTTCAATGAACATTATTTTTATTTCCAAAATAATTATGATTTTAATTCAACTCCAGATTATTAAAGTCTGCTTAAATCTGATTTTCACAATTGTTAAATTACATTATACCTAACATAATATGTTAATTTTGTGAACAAAAGACAAAAATGTTTATGCTTATAATTGCTGAAGAAAATTAATATTAATGTTTTAATTCTAAATCATAACATATTGATTATTAAGGAAATTAGTAAATTTATAGATGCAAATAAAGAACAAATAAAAATGACTTGGAGATATCTTTTTTTGTATGTGTTAAAGTTCTATTGAAACAGTTAACTGCATCTGTTTAATGAAATAAACTGTTCCAAATAAACAAAGTACCACTAAGCACTCCACTAGTATTGCAAAGGAATCATTTATGGAGTTATAGGTAACCTTCCAATAAACCATGGTTTGTAACAAAGTGAAGCTGGATGATATACCTTTTAATATATAGCATTTCCAAGTCAATTTCAACCTTTTCCAAATCAAATTCAACCTTTTCCAAGTCAAATTCAACCTTTTCCATTTCAAATTCAACTTCCGAATTTTTGTCAATTTTCGAAATGAAGGCCACTTACTATATTATTGAAGGCATAGCTTTTGAAAAATAAAAAAAACAAATTGAAAAAAAGGGGGTGCATATCCATTTATTTTAACATTTTAGATTTTTTCAGTGTAATATTTCTATGTCCTATTCAATTATTTCCAAGTCAAATTCAACCTTTTCCAAGTCAAATTCAACCTTTTCCAAGTCAAATTCAACCTTTTCCAAATCAAATTAAACTTTTTCTAAGTCTAATTCAACCATTTCCATTTCAAATTAAACCTTTTCCAATTCAAATTCAACCGTTTTCATTTCAAATTAATGTTTTAATTTTTTGTAAATATTAATTTTTTTTTTAAATAATGGCCATCCCCTCCCCCCCTCCAATATGAAGATCTATTATTATACCAAATTTTTTTTTGTATTTTTCAAAAGCTATGCCTTCAATAATATAGTAAGTGGCCTTCATTTAGAAAAAAATCGAAAATTGACAAAAATTCGGAAGTTGAATTTGAAATGGAAAAGGTTGAATTTGACTTGGAAAAGCTTGAATTTGATTTAGAAAAGGTTGAAATTGACTTGGAAATGCTATATTATCTTACAATTGAAAAATCCAAAATATGAAATTTTATATGATATTAAAATAAATTGCTAAACATAATTTCAGTGATATGTTTAGTTCCAAAATAAACTGAAATCAAAAAGTTTTTTTTATGGTGGAGAATTAGTTGACTATAGGTAATATGGTTGGGGGTTGCAGCCAAAGAAATAAATAAACTATTACTGCAACCACCAACCAACTTCCCACCAAAATTTTTAAAAATAAAAAGTGATGAGATATTTGTCAATATTTTTTCTTTCTGATAACTGAGCATTATCAATGTGCATATAAACTACTGGACAAAATCAATGCATCATTTTGTTTATGTAACTATATCAATAGTTTTTAAAAGTGTATTTGTAGGTTATAACAATCAGAGTGTATGTATAATTAAAATGGAATATGTGTAATCCTGGTTTATCATTTTATATCTGTTTAATCCTTATGTCACTAAAATCTCAAAGTTAGCATCAGGTGATTTTTAACTATCAGTATAAATTTGGAACTTCTACCATAGCGGATCTTTTCTTTCAATGATCTTGAACAGTAATTCAAGTTTCTACAATTGTGTAAGAGATCTTGCTCTGCGTAAACACACACAGCCAATGTTAGTGTTCCCATAGGCTTCATGTTCATGACATAGCAAAACACTACACTATATAATTCTTTAAGGAGATAAGCTCACATTTTAGAAGATAATATCAAAAAAACTAAGGCCCACTAGCTATATGGATGACAAGTTTACTCACATTGAGGCCTAAAGGATCATATTGCAACCAGAAATCAACATAGATGTCTGGTAAATAAAATTTGTCAAGTATCGATTTCCTTGATTTGAGGCCAGGATGGTCGAGCACATAGGCTCAGATTTTCGATTTTGAATGGGAATGGACTAGAAAAAAAAAATGGCAGGAAACGAAACGAAATGAAACGAACAAATATAATATTGAATATTTAAAATTTATTTGTTTGTATGTTTGTATAGTTGAAAGGATTTATATTTTTTTATGTTTTACTTGTTATATGTACTTGAAAATATCTAAAAAACAATACAATTGAATATATAATGTATTTGTTTTAGATTAAACACAAGGCGGAGGAGAAACAGCCTACATGACATGGCAACAGCAATGATACATTTCTAGAAAATTTTCAGCTAAAAATGAATGATGTTTAAAAGTTAAAAAAATATTTTTTATTTCTTACTGTGTATAACCTAAAATAAAAATACAATTTTTTTTTCACAGCCTGTCTAGTTTGCCACGAAAAATGTGAAAATAATTCAAGTAATAAGCAAGCTTCTTTATTTTACACGTAGATATTTTTAATATTTATTTTTATTGTAATAAATAAAAACTGTATTTATTAATTTATGTTTATGATAATACATCCCAGGAAATGGAAAAAATAAATTAAAGGCGATTCCCCGTACATTTACTCGTAATACAACTGTTAGAGTTAAGTGGCCTGGGCGCATGTTCTTTTTACTGAGAGTTGGACAATACAACCTAGGAATTGATTAGTAACCTCTTTGAGAGCAAAGGAAGGTGACTGATTGTCATAATTCATGTGTAGGCAGTAGTAGTATGAGCTATTAAGTTAATTTCAATAGAAATTGTAGATTTTATTGAGTTAGTTTATTATGATTTTTTTTTTAATTACCTAAATATTAAATATTTCACATAAATAAATATATTTTTACTAATTTTGACTTATTTAGTAAAATCTTAAACATACATATGATTTTTTCATAATAGTAAAATGAGAAAGATATGGTAATGATTATAATGTTAAGTTTGTATTGTGATTATTATGACTATTCATATTATTAATTGCTTTTTTTAAATTTAGATTAATATGAAATTAAAAAAGTTTTTGTAAGAGTATAATATCATTTAAAAATCAGAGTAAAAAGAACCTTTTTCTAAAAAAAAATGGTATTTTATTCTCTATTATTTAAAAATGTGCAGTCTACAGTATGCTGGCTCCTATCCTATGTGAATAAGGTAATGAACTCCCAATACCTAGGTTTGAATATAGATTATACTCACAGATATTATTGATTTTGAATTCTATCTGCCATCTATTGACTCTTTTTTCAGTTGGCTTTAGGAGTACAATCAATTGGATTAAGGGAAAATCAAGGGAGTTTAACACTCATCACATCAACTCCTGGTATTAAGTTTACATCCATATTTATTATTAAGGGCTGCTTCTAATTTTTTATTTTTTAAGGGAGTTGTAAAATTCATAAATAAATTTAAATTTCAACTATAGTTACATCAGTTCCTTTAGATTATAACTAATTCAAAAAGGTAATTATACCTAATTTTGAACTTTATTAATTATACTATATTTAAATGAGTGCTATGTTTCATGAAACATTTAAATAACTAAAATTTTCAACTAGTGCCTCAAAAAAGGGATATCAAAAAAACCAAAACCAAGTTATGAACAGATTGCAATGCTTACTCTGAACGACTATTTTGCTTTTTGTGATCGCAGTACCCATTTCATTTAATGCTTTAACTTCATATTCACCCCCATCTTCAGCTTTTACAAGAGTAACAGATAATTCATAAGTTTCAAGTCGTTTCTTATCCCTTGTTATTTTAATGTGAGCATCACTAGTAAGTTCTTTACCATCTTTAAACCTGAAATATGTAATTATTAATTAAGATACTATCTGATAATGTTCTTCTTTAATAAAATATTCATTTACACAAATGACAAGCCTTAATTTATCTATTTTTTTTTCTGGTGGCATTGTGTAAATCAAAATACATTAAAAAAATAATCTCCTTATATTAGTATAATAAAAATTTCATAACAATCAATTTAATTTTTTCCAGTACTTAAAAATTTGAAGAGCTATTTTAGCGTATAGTAATCACTAAGGTACACTACAAAAAATACGAAATATTTTTGAACTTGCTCCTTTGAACATAACTTCCACTCCTCACATATTACTTTGATATACTTTTCTGATGATTGTTTTAACTTCACCATGCCGCCATGACAACAGTAATGTGAAGATACAAGAGTAAGCCATGAAAGCTAATGTGATAAAGTTATATTTTGTCATCAAAGGAAAAAAAAAAGTATTTTACCCTTTAGACTGCTAAGCATATTTATAAACCAAAATTCACACCTATAAACATAAGTTCTCTAATATCTAAAGTCACTCTCTTGAGTTTCTGGTAGGCTGACTTTATTACCTCTACCAGATAAGGAAGAGAATTCTTTCCTTATAATGCATCCCAAATATCTTCATGTGGGACAGATTCAAGGACTACCTTCACATCCAAGATATTGAGATATTCATTTCGAAGCCTTTTCCATAATCATTCATAAACAGAATATGTGATACATAGTCCATCTTTAATGTCAAAAAGAAAGTAGCTTGTTCCTTATCTAGACCATTCTCTGTTATTTTGGGTTGCCTCTTATTAGGAACGATGGTGTACACTTTATAAAGAACTGGTGAAAAGCAATGGGATCAGTGCTGGCCTTAGACACTTGGCACCTTGGAAAATGATGTCATCCCCCCCCAAATAATTTATTTCTTAAGGTGCTTTATATTAAGAAATAATTGAATTGTACTTCATCCAATATATCACTAATTCAATTGCCTAAATAATAGGATAAATTAATTTTTCTCATATTCTTTGCATTTTTCTTTAATTTCCAACTAGTGGCTGGCACCCCCCCTCCAAGCTGGCACTCCCCGGGTCTTTTCCCAGGTTATCCTGCTCTGAAACAGAACCCAAAAGCACAACAGATAATCTATAATAAATTTTAAGATTGGCATAAATTCATAATAAAAGTAACTTGCCAAAAGTAAAGTTTAAATAAGAGGCCTTTTCTATATTTTCTTATACAATAATTTGATACATTCAAATCTAATTCCGATAACAACACTTTTACAAGGAGTGAAATGTGAAAACTAAAAAAGCAAACGATCTTTTAATTCTTTCTAATAAAATATAGGGATAAACCAGCCAGCAATGTATCCAATAATAAATTTTAGGTATGAAACATAAAATAATATTACAAAGCAAACTTACTAGTCCAGAATAAGATGTTATACCTGCAACATTCTGTGTTTCTCCATAACAACTAACAAAAGATGTTAAGTTAAGAACAAAGGAAATCTGTTGCTTTTTTCTTGTCAAGGATCTATCAACTGAGCCTATTGTTTATGATAACAAACCCTATGTCATCAATTGTAAATCAAAGACTGCTAGAAACATTTTACCGTCTACAATTTAAAATATTTCTTAAGCTGTGATATATTATTTTAAATTTGAAATGTATTTCATTCAACATGTCTCTAATTCAGTTGCTTTATTGATATATTTTGTACTTTTTTATGATTCCATAAAGTGACGGGTGACCCACATGGTCGGGCAACTCTCCAGGTTGTCGCTCCTAGGCAATTGCCCAGCCTAAGGCTAGGACTGGATGGGATGGTAATAGTCACATTCATTAAGGTTACCTTAATTGTACATTAGGATAATAACCTCATATTCCCATTTCTTTGGAATTCTTTTTCTATCTCAGATTTTTTTGGAATGGCATCTGAAAGGCCTTTTCCACTTTCTTCCCTCCAAAATTTAAGAATTATGGTGAAATATTATCTCTTTTGATTACCTATCCTAACTTTATGTTAGCCATTCCTTCCTCTAGAATAGTGGTCTCAAATACTTTTTGTCCTGGTAGCTAAATTTATTAAAAACATTGATTAATCGGTGTTTAAAAACAATTAAACTAAACCATCACTGTAACTGACACATTAGTATAAATACATTGATGATTTTTATATTTTTCTGAAATTGTAATTTAAGAACTTTTTATAATTGTTCATACAGAAATTTTTTTATTAATTTTCTCCAGCAATCTTATAACCCAACAAAACTTATATTATACCATAACTTTTATTTAAAATTCTCAAAATACAGATCAAAACCTATAACGAGTGCCAAAAAAATATACTTATAGCAGAAGGTTTGAATGTGAATTACAAAAGTGTATGTTATTTTAAGTAAAATGAACTGGTCTGTCATTCCAAAGTAGCAAATTACAAAAATATAAAGCTAGTCTGTTGAGGATTGAAACCGGAGTACTGTTGCAAAAAATGTGGTAAAGGTTTCATTTTTTTAACTTAAATATATATATATATATATATATATATATATAATATATATATATATATATATATATATATATATACACAAGTTTAAAAAATATATATGATAGAAACATAAAACATTTTTGTTTTTGACTAATTGAATTATATAAAAGGTCAGTTGTATAAATAATAAAGATTTAAAAATTCATATTTTATATTAAAAAAATGTAAAGAAAGTCATGTAAACATACAACATTCAATTTTATAAAATGTAGATAAAAAATAAAAAAGTTCGGAACGATGGCCTAAACCAGTGCCCGCAAGCCCTTCCAATCCGGCCCGCAAAAGTTTCTTTAATTACATGGTAAAGTTTTAAAAAAATATGAAATTTAGCAAATTACTCATATAGGAGAGTACTATAACATTAATTGCATGGGTTTTTTTCATCGAAAACTGATTTCACAACTACATTGTCATTTATAAAACTTTTTATTTTATCACAAGCAGTGGCCTGTGGGTCTTAGATGAAGGTCTCAATATGCCCCATGGGACTTAGTGGAGGTCTCAATGTGGCCCATGAGCCAAAAAGTTTGGAGATATCTGCCCTAAACAAAAAGCTGAAGTGGTGAGTAGAGGTGATGAAAAGTAATCTGTCACAGGGATATGGAGAACTGTCAGCTAATGGCGTCCTCAAGGCCACTCCTCCCTTCCAGCTCATTGTCGTTTAAGGTTAAATGGTATGGTTTGAAATTTTCCCATTTGTCCCACCAATATATTTAATGGTCCATATGTTTATGCTCCTCTAAGAGCATAAAATAGCTTAAATCTTACATAATTGTATTAACAAATGCATAAGAATATATTCACTATTATTATTGTAGGTGTGTAGTATTTCTTTGTCAAAAATCAATTCCAGTTTAGCCACATTTACACATTAGCCAAACCATGGGGGCAATTAGCATTTAAAAATATAGTTGTGCTTGGTTAACACAATTTTCCTGTGCAACTCCAAATAGAGGAATATTACTTGATCTCTATGGTAAGGTTTGGAGTTTTAGAAAAGCACTTATTCCTATAAAATGTCTCATACTTATGTTTTTAGAATTTTGAATTGAATGGATAATTCACGAATACTAAGTTTTTTTCGAGTACTTAAGTTAAATAAATAAGGATTGATATTTTATCAATAAATTGTTTAGGAGAACAAACAATGTAAGAGTAAAAAACTATAATCCCTACCAACAAGCTGAATTCCCAGTATGCATATAATTGAAATACTTTACTATAAATATAATTGGTGTTCTCAGAATATGAGCTTCAGTGGTTCTCAGTTCTCTATTATGGAGAAACATGTTAATCAAAATACTTACATCAAGCCCATCTGTTTCAATTATTAAAGATTTGATGGGGTTATAAAATTGTCTGTTATACAGAAGTGTCTATTAAGAGAAGTTTCAATATATATTATGGTCACTGTTCCCCAATAGTTGAGACAGAATGACATCCATGGTTTAGAGTCATGAATAGAGACCAGATTTCCATAATATTGCACCTTTTATTCGCTTTTGTGTAAAACCTCCAAATATCTTTACATTTTAGGATCTGTAGAATAACATATTTAAATTTTGTATTGTACGAAGCTGCACTTCTTGCTGTTTTTGTCTTAAATTGCACAATTTTAATTTTTGTTGCATTAAATTGCATATTTTTGCACTTTTTTTTTCTAAAGTAGAATATTTATAAATATAAATGTATGTGTGTGGTTTAATATTTACCTTTTTCTTTTACTATATTTTCCAAATAAAATTTATGATTTAAAATAAAAAAATATGAGGAAGGTAAATAATTCCGTGAAAAGTAAAGATAAAATTTAATATTAGAAAAGGAAGAAGTAAACACAAATGGTAATTATCCAGGAATAGATCTGACCTAAAATATTGGATAACAATAAAAATATACCTTCCTAGAATATGCTGCTTTGTTAGAAAGTCATTTATTGTTATTGTTTTAACTTGAATTCTCACTCACTGGCTCAGCTCTTCAGTATCCCTTCTGGCATTGAACTGATTTGTAGTAATTTTATTATTATAAAAAAAATATATAATAACTCTGAAAGTAAGATCCAGTCTTTTGTCAAAAATTAAAATCTGAGTATCAAAATATCCCGAGTTGAAATTTGGTAAGATAGTTCTCTTCTGAAAGGCTTGTGAAAAATCAAATGGGTTGTGATAGAAAACCACATGTGCTCATAGTAGAATAGGTAAGAAAACCTATTATAATATGAAATAATTGAATGTTTTTTTTTTAAAGAGCGCAATCCTCAAAAATATTTTATTAGTGATTTACAAACAGCTTAAAAAAAAAAAAATCATAAACAGCTTCGACACTAATATGTGAACACTTGAAAAACTCATTACAGTGTATTCCTAAAGTATCTTAAAAATTCTTTAAAATTTGATATAAAAAAGTTTTGGAATATATAATATTGGAAATTTCAACTTGATTAAAAAATAAAGTTTTCATTATAATGTGGAAAATTCTTAATTATGTAGGTACATATATTATTCTCAATGTAAGTTAAATATCTAAAATTGGTCTAGTCTACACCTATAATTCATTCCTTCACACCTTTAATGTTCTGCATTATTTCATTCCTTGTATATCAGTCAATTAAACAACCCATTAAACAATTTAAGAATGTTTCAAACAAATATGTTCCATTACTTGTCTGTTAATTATTGAGACCTAATTCTGTAGAGAGAAAAATGTTTTATTCAAGTGTTTTGAGTTTTATCTCAAAATTTTGATTGTTAAATGATAGAAAAGGGTATTAAGTCTATGTTAGATTTATGTAGTCCTTATTATTGTTGAAATTATTTTTTCTTTAAGATTTAGGTTAATCATAATTTATTGTTGTATTATATTATGTAGTGTTGTTGTTTATTGGTTGTAATCTGGAATTTCATTGTCAATGTTGCATTTTAATTTTTTTTACACTCTTTACTACATTATTTTGATTTAGAAGACTGATAATGTTTAATAATAAACTGATAATGTTTCAATGTATTAATAGTATAAATTAAACAACATTGATGGTTTTGCACGTTTTTAGGAGTTAATTACACAACTTAACATATTTTAAATTTTTACTGCATGATTTTGAGTTTTTTGCTGCACTTTTTTGGAATTTTACACTAACCCCGGTATCTAGTCATGAATAAAAAAGAGTTTTGAAAAAAAATGTTTTCAATGTATTCTTTTTATAATGGCAAGTATCAAATATTTAATTTTAAAACATACTTAAACATATTAATATAAAAGTGAATATAGTTATCAAAATAAGTATTACTATACTTGAACAGTATTAAAACTATTTATCATAAATCTATACATTACATGGTTTAATTGTAGTATTTAATTACTTATAAAATTAGAAACTAAATTAGGAGAGTTGATATAAAAAGATATATATAAAATTTGATGAAGAAACAAACCATTTTATATCTGGTTCAGGTGTTGCATCTATTTCTATACGCAGAGTCAATGTGTCCCCTTCATTTACAGTGACATCTTCAAGTGGTTTTTTGAACTTTGGTTTACCTTAAAAAAAAGTGTTTGTGTATATTCTTTGATATAAAGTAAACAATAAATACATAGGAAAATAAAATTAACTACAACAAATATCCATAAAATTTTAATATGACCTAATAAACTTGGATGTTTGATAGAAATCACATCAAACATCTTTGCCTACATGCTTCACTCTGAAGAATCTAGCCAAAAACCAAATTTCCAAGGTCAGACCTAACACACATCCAAATGTTTATGTCTTAGTGTCTTGTTTGATATTATTATTCATTATATTATTTATTATTATATTGTTAATCACTTATTACTGTTTTAGTGATTTTTTTCATTACTCAGTTCAAAAATATATCTACATATTCATTTCAGACACAGCAATACTATCATTTGAATAATATTTACTTATACAAATCAAGACATTTCATGTTGTGTAGAAATCTTGCCTTTAAACTGGCTTTTCTCTTGGATATTGTTTTTTTTAATTATTTCAATAGCAAGAAATTTTTCAATGCATTTAATTACACCCCTCTGCTAAAGTTGTTGGCCAAATATCATTTTGAATTATATAATGAAAAAATTATCTTTATTATAAATTTCATATTTATAAATAATTTATAATTTTTACATATTAGTAATAAAACTTCAAAAGATCCATTTTTTCAACTTTAATATTTTCATCTTAATCCCAATATTTTGGCTAATATCAACATAAATAAACATAAAATAAAAATCTGAGATGGAGTTGATCGGGGGGTGCGGTCTAATTAATACTAAATTAAAAAAGTAGAATTATTTAATTTTTACCGACGTTTCGACCCACTTTGTAGGTCGTTATCAGGACGTAGGATGTAGCACTGCGGGAGGCGGTTGAAATCAGTAATAATTCTACTTATTTAATTTAGTATTAATTTGACCACACACCTCCCCCTCCCCCCCGATCAACTCCATCTCATATTATATCAATGGTCAACCATCTCTACATCATAAAATAAAAATCCTTTAATATGATATTTCTGTTTTGGGAAATTACTTTATTATTTCTTTTATTAATTGTATAAATGTAATTATGTATGTATTTTATTGATGTAAATAATTTGTAAAGTATAAATGAATATAAAAATAAAGGTGGCAACACTGGCTCAGACTAATGAGCAGCATGGGCGAGCTTGACTTGAGTTCTATTCACTAGCATATATTAGAATAACATTGAATCTTGGTTGTTTTTGCTTAAATACCCCAAGATCCCATAACAATTTCGGAGTTGAAATTTTCACCAAATCAATCTTTTTAATAATATTAAATTCTTACAACAAAATGTTAGATAAAACTTACATAATACAGTAAGATCTGCTGATGTTTCATTACTGCCATAATCATTTGTAACTTTACAGGTGTACTTTCCACTGCAATCTCTTGTAACATCTTTTAGTACAAGAGTGTAAGTACTATCATGCTCTGTAAAAGTTATATTTTCCTGCTTTTCAGATAATTCTTTGTCGTTATGGAACCTAAAACAATAATAAAAGTTCATTTAACCATAATTTCTACTAGTTAAATTTTACAATTTATTTAAAATAATACATGTGGTGAAATATGGCCCAAAATCAATAAATTTTTACTGTATAATTTTATATGAAAATATAATAACTAAAATATTTATTTTAATAATAGTCAGTTTCTCCATGTGACAATAATAAGACAGTGAGTGATCCAACTCAACATATTTGTTCTTTAATAAAATAAAGGAAGTAAAATTTGACTTCGATATTGTCAATGGAAGAACAAAAATAGCTCTAGTGCTGGCCCAAATATCATAGATGCAGACTTTCAATTCTGGATAGAGGGCAATGTACTTTTTTTACGTAAGGGAACAATTGAATATATTAGATATTTTTATTTTTATTTAAAGGTTAGAGGCAGTGAGATGATCTGCTGTGAGAAATGTGATAAAATCTTCATGTAAAAATGGAAAGATGCAAGTGAATGAACCATAAAACCCTAGGCTAAGCTGTGTTGCTAGATTTAATCATCTTTGAATATATTCTAAAATTTCAATAATAGGAATCTAGGGAATGATAAAATAGTTGCCTTAGAAGTATTTTATTATGATTCAAATTTTAATCTAACTGCTGTGTTGAAGAAAACAGGCAGAATTTAATGTTTCATTAACATAGGCGTATGGCCGTTGTGAAAGTGGAGTGACTGGGACCAGGACAAAAATGTAGACAATATACACTGACAGGCAAAAAATTCCACCCACTTGATTTTTTCATGTTTTCACCTAAAAATATTTCTGCTTTGGATTGGTCTATTGTTTTTAGTGAATAAATAGATAATCTTTTTGTTTGTTTTCAATTAGGAATGTTAATATAGAGGACAATATCCCTTAATCCTTAATTCAATGAAATGATTCTAGATTCCAATGCTTACTTTCTATGGAATCAAAATGTTTATTCAGTATCATTAGCTCAGTGCCGTTTCCTGCAGCACATTTCTTAGTCTCCTGCTTTTAATTTTTTCAAAATTAAGTTTAAAAATGCCTCTTAGTGCTGAGAATGTTGCGCGTGGTGTGGTACTTATTGATGATGGACGTTCCATTAGATATGCAGCTAATGCCATTGGAGTTCCATATGAAACTTTACGAGACGCCATCAGGCTTTTTAGGGAAACTGGTTCTTACAATAGAAGGCCCGGTTACCGTTGTTCAAGCGATTCATCAGCTCGAAGAAGTTCGAGGTGTGCAAATTTTTGAACTACCGCTCGGAGAAGATTAAATGAGTGTGGATTAATGGCTTTTCGTCCAGTAAGAGGACCAGAGTTGACCAGAACTCACAGAGTAACACGGCTGGCTTTTGCTCGAGAACACAGCCATTGGACTATGGACGAATGGAGTGCTGTACTTTTTACAGATGAGTCAAGATTCGCTCTTCGATCTCCAGACGGGCGTGAAAGGGTGGGGAGAAGAAGAAACGAAAGATATGTAGCCTGTAATTTTTCCCAGAGCCAACCTTTCCAACGTGGTTCCTTAATGGTGTGAGCTGGGATTTCTATGGAGCGCCGCACAGAATTGGTTGTTGTTCATGGAGGGTCTTTGACGGCCATTCGCTATGTAGATGAGATTTTGGAACCTCATGTGTTGCCTATCCTCAACGAAATCGGCGATCATTCTATTCTAATACACGATAATGCACGCCCACATGTGGCCTGCATAGTGCAGACGTTCCTTCAACAGAACAATATTGAGGTTTTAGCCTGGTCAGCATGTTCTCAGCATGTTCTCGGAAGACGAATAAGAGCACGTGCAACACTTCCTGATACACTGCAGGACCTTGAAAGGGCTCTTCAGGAGGAATGGGCTATCCTCCAGCAAAAGGACATTTCCCGACTGGTGGACTTAATATTGAAAAAATTAAAAGCCGGAGACTAAGAAATGTGCTGCAAGAAACGGCGCTGAACTAATGATACTGAATAAACATTTTGATTCCATAGAAAGTAAACGTTGGAATCTAGAATCAGTTCATTGAATTAAGGATTAAGGGTTATTGTCCTCTATATTAACATTCCTAATTGAAAACAAACAAAAAGATTACCTATTTATTCATTAAAAACAATAGACCCATCCAAAGCAGAAATATTTTTAGATGAAAACATGAAAAAATCAAGTGGGTGGAATATTTTGCCTGGCAGTGTATAATATTACTGAAATCAGAGCTATTTCTATCCTCATTCCATTTTCTGATTTATTTCTTTTTATCTTTGTTTTTTTTTTAGATTTTTATACATGACCAAGTTGTCAAATAAAAATTATTATTTCTGATAGCATTTCCAATTGCTATTAAAAAAAAAATTACAAGCTAGTCAGGATTAAAAATTGATCAGCCATTATTAGAAGTACAAAGGTGTGTCTAAACATAATTGATGTAATCCTCAAACATGAGAAAATAGGCTACTGGCCAACCTGGAGGATGTGAGTGGGGAGGGGGTGTTTGGTAAAATTTTGTCTTGGGCATCTTTAATCCACAATGACCCTGATTCAATCAAAAGTTTTTAAAAATGTAAATCAATATAATACAAATACAAATAATTACCATTCAATTTTCCCTTTAGGAAAAGAATCTACATCCACTGAAAAGCCAACATTGGTATCTCCTTCTTGGGCGATGACATTTCCAAGACCTTTATGAAAATCTGGTCTAGATTTCACAAATACTTTGCCATAATCACAGCATGTACCATGAATATTTGTCAGTTTACAACAATATTCACCACCATCTTCTCTAGTAATAGCATTAATAGTTAATGTATATGTGTCCATGTCATTGCTAAGCTTACACCGTGAATCTAAAACCACTGGCTTGTCTTTATAAAGCCTGTAACAAACAACTGCATTTAGTTACCAAAAACTAAATAAATAAAACAAAAGATATTGAGAAAATATCTTTTAAACTACAAAATAAATAAATATAGGTTAATCAATAAATCTTAACAACACTACAAAAATCATTTTCAAACAAAAGAAGTTTCAGTCATATGAAACAGAAATTTCAATATAATTGCTCAACCAGTTTCCAAATTCTCTGATTTTTTTCTCTCAAGATAAAGGTGGTGTATGAAGTCAAAGAATGAGAAGCAGTTATGTCTGGTAAGATTTTTGTTGTTTTTTTAAATCTATTACTATAATAATTACTGTTTTTTAATCTAGTGATAGTAGTTAGTTAATTGATTTATTAACTAATGGACATAAACAATGATTGTTTCAGTACTGAAAGAATAAATAAACCATAGGTGATATTTAATCTGGACCAGGTAGGTTGTCGGGCAGAAAATATATTTTGGACATATGGGCATAAGATAGCAATAAAATGTAAAAGGAATTGGTATGATTAGGAACGTAGGACATTCAAAAATCTAATTCCAGGATGGAGTGGTGAATAAGGCTAACTTCAGCTAAACTGGAAATCATAGCATTATATATAGGAAAGTGGAAAATATGCTTCGGGAAACCACGGCTGAGAGATGAATTGTAGGTTTATAAAAGTAACTATACTATATCTTTTAAAAATAACAGTAAGTAATAATTATGAGTATATCAATGTCTCCATCTGTATAAGATAAAATACTGCTGATTTGAACCCTTATGAATATTTCCATTCATTTGACTAATGAATGCCCTTATTAGTTCAACAAATGAGGAAGTGCCCAGATAGATGTGTCATTACAGTAAACCGTCATTAATATGTGCTCGGAAACAATGAACCTCTCGTTCATCGTCAAAATCGAATCTCCTAAAAAAAATGTATTAGTTTTCCTACAACACCTTTGTATTAATGAACTAATTTTGTAATAAGTAACTGTGAACTACTTTTGGATTCTTAGAAAGTAATGATTTTGTTACAATGAACTTGAAAGGTGTAATATTATTACTTTAATTATCACACTAACAAGAGTGAATGTCTTTTAGGTCATTCTTCATGTTTGGTTAATTGTAATTTTATCATGTTCTTCAAACTCAATGAATAATAATTTATTAATGTATATATAAACAGCTTGGATAATTGTTTAATAACAAGGATTTTCCCCACGAAATTCATTAAGCTTCCTCTTTTTTATGATGTATACTTATCAGAAACTCTCAGTTCAGTTTCATGAAAAATAATAAATAAATAAACGTGATATCTCTTGATATTAAGTTGGAACTCTAAGAAGAAGTAGAATCTCGAATATTGACAAAAAATACATATCAGGATGAGTAAAGCACTACAAAGTCGACATTATCAACCAATATAAAAAATAACAACCAATATATACCCATGCAGCCAGTGGTTCAATCTTATCACTTTCGATCCGGGGTCCAAACTGATATAGGAAAAAAATGCTTATATGGTTAAACAATTCAGAAGATTTAAACTATTCTAAAGATTCAACTTAGACTAAAGATTATAGTTAAAACTTTAGACTAAAGATTTAACTATTTAGTCTTAAATTTAAGGGAATTGGGGATCCAAAAATTTGATTGTCCTGATGGTTGACTGTGGAAGTTCCAAAACTTCAACAATATAAATTCCAACATTGTCTCTGGTGAAGCTCCAAAGGATTTAATAGCTGGATCAAATCTTTTGATATTTTCAAGTCTATTTTAATAATCTAAAACAGAATATGAACAATAAGGGTCAAGGATTTGAGGATGGTTTTCACTTTTCTTAGGGTAGGACCTGGTAGTCATTACCACTCAAACCAGACTAACAAAATGCTTTTCCAAACACTACCTATACGAAAATTGTCAGAGATTGTGCCATTTAAATCAGGTAATTAGAGGTATCCCAACGGTAATCATTATTTGGTTCAATTCAATTAACCAACATTGAAAACTAAAAACCCAAAAACATTTTTTGATTTGTGAAATTAAAAATTACAGCTGCTTGAGATTGGGACAGGAATATATTCAATAAACAATAAAACCACAGAACTATAAATGTGTTCTTTGACTCATAATATTTAACATAATAGTAAAACATTAAATACAATCATAGTGTCATTAATTTTTGTTACTACAAACATTAACCTAGTAATAAAATCACTTTTGACAGCATGATCACTTTTTAAAACTCATATCATATATGAAATAAAATATCAAAAACGTACCAATGAACATTGGGCATAGGAACCCCATGAACTTTAACTAAGAAAGTTAAACTGTCACCTTCTTCTGTCTCCACTCGCTTTATAAGATTTTTAGTGAAAATTGGAGCTCCTTCAATATCAACTTTACAAAACTCAGATATTTGGCTGATATTGTTTTTACACACCACAGAATAAGATCCAATGTCATGCAGAGAACTTTTTTCTATTAAGAGAGTAAAGGCATTGCCTTCTTCTATTAATTTAATATGGTCAGACTCTTTAACTTCTTTACCATCTTTGTACCTATAAAAAAAAAAAAGGTAAATTACTTAGCTACATATAAATATAATTGTTTATTACATCTTTAATTACTTTTTCAATTGATAATTTAAAGTTGTAAAATATTGCCATCATCTGAAAAACTTGTATACTCTAAAAATTATTTGACTGTTTGTGAAAAACTGTTAGTGCGAAAATGTTTGTTCCACATTTCCCCATTACGGCGAGTGGTGGAGGCAGATCAGATGATCTAAAAGATAATACTTAATCCATAGGAGCTGCTGGTTTCTCGGCCCCAGATGAGCACAGATAGTCAGACGCACCAGATGCTATGAGGGCGCCCTCAGGAAAAAATAGATGTTTTGAGCAGACATAAGTATGGTAAGCTATTTTTGCACAATCAGTATAACCTACCAATCCATTAATATACAGTCCACTGCATAATGTAGAATGCTGCCCATAATTTTGAATGTTGCCTATTAAGAACTCATGAGAGTTATTTGCCTTGCCTTAATTTGAAAAGTTGCTGAAACATTTTGGTCCTCCAGGCCTGATTAAATAGTTTTTTTTTTCCATATTAGCGATGTTTTGCCCTAGGTATAGGAGAAAAATTGTCTTGTAGGTTATGAGAAGTTATATAAAGATCGTCTATTTCTGGTCTGATATTCGTGTTTCGCTTATTAATTTTTTTTTTTTAAATACAACTTATGTCATTTATTTCTTTGTTGCGTATTTGTGGGCACCAGAGTAATATAAATTAATTTTTTTTGTAAAAATTATATAATTCCAGGCTGATATTCGTATTTCACCTATTAATTAGTTTTTTAAATATAACTTACGTTGTTTATTGCTTTGTTGCGTATTTGGGGGCGCCAGAGTAATACATTTTTTTTTTTTTAAATTATATATTTAAAAACGTGGCAGATGCTCCCAGATGCTACGAGGGCGCCATCAGGTAAAAAAGAGATGTTTTGAGCTGACATAAGTATGGTAAGCTATTTTTGAACAATCACTATAATCTACCAATCCATTAATAAACAGTCCATGGCATAAAGTATAATGTTGCCCATAATTTTGAATGTTGCCTAAACAATATTTTATAAATATACTAAGCTAAAAAGATGATAAATGTCACTAAAATGTATAAATAGTAGTTAAATATGTTGTGGAAAATTACTTTATTATTTATTAATTGTATGACTAGTGTTAAATGGTTTGTTTATAAATGAACATAACAATAAAAGTGGCAACACTGGTTTGGACCAATGAGATGTTTGGACAGGATTGGCTTGGGTATGTTTTATTTGGGTCTGTTTTGTTTTAATACCCCACAATCCCATTACAATTTGGTAGCAGAGTATGTAGCTTTAGTAAGTTTGTGTAGAGATTTTATTCATGTATATTAATGGATAGGTAAGCAATGTTATTTTTTTTTCCAGACTAGTAACCATTTGAAAACAAAGGCCAATGGACGCAACAATGCTCAGCATTGAAAAGTTAATAGCAGAGAATTATTGAATATGGTCCATGATAATAGAAGCATATTTAGAAGCAAAAGGCCAGTATAAAGACATAATAGAAAAAGAAATTAATCCCACACAGAAGAAAATGCATTTAGCACATACTGAAGAAAAATTTAATTGAAAAACAAAGAAGTTTTGTCTACAATCATACTTACAGTAAATAGTGATATACTTTTATCGATTAGAGGGGAAAAGAAGGCAAAGAAGATATGAGAGAAATTGAAGGAAAGATTTGAGTATATTCCTGAGGAGAGAGTTATAGACCTAATGGTTGAACTTAATCACATGAAAAAGAACAACTCTGAGTCTTTGGATCTTAATAGAATTTACTGTTTGGCTCAAGAGATTGCTCAACTCAAAAGCAAAGGACTTGACAGACAGGGAATTAATAATATATATTATTGAAGGTTTGCCCCACTATTATGATCCTGTTGTAAATTCTATCTTAGCCAATTAGATTATTAAATTCAGTGAGTTAAGACAAATGATACAGTCATTTGAACAGATAAATGCAACAAATAGAAACGATTAAATATTAAACGCACGAACCATCAATGCATGACCTTTAATGGTAAAGTATATTTCATATGCAAGAAACCAGGACACTTCAAGAAGGACTGCTAATTTAACAAAGATACAAAATACTGAATCGCAAAGAAACAGACTCGATAAACATCAAAGATCTCATCCCAATAGGCAAAATAAAGTGCCATTAAGCCAGAAATTTTAATTATGTTTGATTGCCTTGAACCAGTCATTGATTGAGGAAAGAATCGAAGGAACAGTGGACATTTCGGTTGCAGAAGATGTCTCACTGTAAAAGGGGTAACAAAGTTATTCTTTCCCAGGAAGGAACCAAAGTAGTCTTGAAAGGAGATTCTCCACTGCTCAGAATACCATGGCATCAAAAAGATGAGGGTAAATATGTTGTGTCAGTGCTACAAGTGTCTACTCATTGTGATGAGGAAGAACTAAGTGAAAATAATGAAACAAATATACAAAGGTCAACCAAGAGCGAGAATCATAAAGTTAAAACAATGATCCCACAGATGTTAAGAATGCTGAAGAAGAGGAACAAGAAGATAAGCCTGTCATAAAACAAAGTAATTATAGTAACATTGAATCTAGACTGTTTTATTTTAATACTCCACAATCCTAATACAAAATGTAAGATAAATACCACTCCTGTTTCAAGAAGTCTATATGATAAGTCGGGTCAACAATTAACTGTATAAGTAAGTTGAAAAAGAAAAGAAAAAACAGAAAAAAAAATCAAATTTATTTCCTGTTGAAATCTATGCTTTTAAAATCATAAATAAAAATTTACAAAATAATAGACATAGCTTACCAAGTAACAACAGGTTTAGGATTTGCATCCACCTCAATAGTTAACTTTATCTCTTGACCAGATATAGTTCTTATATCATGAAGTTTTTTGGTAAAAGAAGGAGCAGCTAAAAAAAAAAAAAAAAAAAAAAAAAAAAGAGAGATTATACTTGCTTATATAACTTTGGCATATTTTATTGCAAATAGTTTGAAACATGTAATCAACTTCAACAAACTAACATTTTATAGTGTACTATAAAAGGAAATTAGAAAAGATAAATTCTTTCATCAATGTTCAGGAAAAAAGGTTGAATCCAATTATTTACTACTTTTCAGGAAAGCATAGTTGACAATACATTTTAAAAAATAATATTTTTTTTAAACATTTTTATATCAGATGGCTTCAAGGGGAAAGTTCAAATGCAAGAGTTACAGATTCATAGTTTGTACACTCTTTATGCCATGATTCAAAAGGAAAAAATCCTGAAATATGAAATTTGTTGAATTGGTCCTTTTTTCTAAACCTCAACAATATTACATACTGTACACACATTTGTGTGTGTACTCATTCATAATAATTAAGTAATGTTCCCTCTAGACAATATAACCAAATTACCTTTAACATCCAAGATTATTGTATCTTCTGCAACTCCTGACAAATTAGTAGCAACCACATGATATTCACCTCTATCATTTAAAGATACATTTTTAATTACAAGGGCAATAGTTTCCTCATCTTCATACAAAAGTTTGAATTTATCATTCATTAAAATTTCTTGATCATCTTTCATCCTATTAAAAATAAAAGAACACTATTCACTTGTTGTTATTCATTTCATTTTTAAATAAGATTAATAATACAATAATTTAAGATTAATAATAAGAAAAATAATTTCAATGTAAATAATGCTAGACAGTAGAAACAGAGTCCAAATATCTCCTCTCACAGAAAACATACCGGTGGTGCACACTCTATGCCTAATTAATTTTCATACTTGATTTATCTTTTGTTTGTTGTTTTTTGGGTATCATACTTTTTTATTTGAACTAGGTTGAGAAAAGCCGGTTATCCTAAACGTTAATAACTTATTTTTGCCACAGTGAGAAAGAAGATATATAATTTTTGAGACTTTTTTTTTTTTTTTTCCAATTTCTGTTACAGAACAAAGTCTAAATGAGCAGCCCAAAATAAAAGTTTAGACATAAAACCATTTCATATTTATTTTGAGAAATCGAAATGACCCTTAAATACCAGCATATTCATTATTGCTATATATTTTTTATAGTGCAATTGAAAATGTACAAACAAATTGACTATTTCCAACAAGTTTTCAGTTTTTTATTTTTATTAAAACAAGAGACAATTTGAGCTTCGTAAACAAGATTTTAATTTATTACAAAAAAAACAAACAACAATACTATATTAAAGTAAAAATCTGGACAGGAAAGAAGACTCAACACCAAAATTGCTATACAATTGTTAAAAAGTTTTAAAAACAAAAACCTAATTTCATTTTTGGATTCAGCACCCCTATAAATCCTTTAATACAAATTTTCAATAAAAATTTAAATTTTCTCCCGTGCTGGAGAGAGTGATTTGTTTGTACATTTTTCCTAATTTAAACTTACATATTTTACAAATATATACTTTGACCAAATTAAAATGTTTTGAAGATGAGTTTTCCTCTTTCTGGTGATAACAAAAGAGTAGACATTGGCTTAATTTAAAGGTGCTAAACAAAAATATAACTATCAAAAATATATATTTTTTATACATAATGTTCTATTTCAGTTTAAGTTTGGTATATTTCAATATCATAAAAGTTTAAAGTTAATCAGTTGAGTTCCCTGAAAGCTATGAGAGATTTTCATGATTATTGAAAAAATTATGATCAAAATGATAGGTAAAATATATTGGGCTAATTTTTTTTTTCGTTATTTTTTTAAAAACTGATATTTAATAATCTTTTTACATGAAATAAATAAAACTTAAAAATGAAAATCATTTGTTTATATATATATGTAAACTTTTTGACATATATTTTTGAAAAAAAAAACCATTTATGTACTTAAAAAAAGCTTACTCAAATTTTATTATTTGTTATCTTATATTTTTTTGGAACCTTAATTTTTAATAAGGGCCTTGTTGTAAGAGCTTCATGTTTTAAAAAAGGTAAATCTATATTGAAGATTAAATTGAAAAAAAATCTTAGTACCTAAATTAATTAAAAAATTGCTCTAAAATTCAACAACAAATTATCCATACCATTTTATATCTGGCTTAGGATATCCTGTAATTTTAGTTTCAAGCATTGCAGAGGATCCTAGATTCGCTTCTGTAGTAATATGTTTTGAGGTGATTTGTGGTTTTTCAGGTTCTCGGAACAATAGGTTTACATTTCCTTAAAGTAATAATAATTAAGTATTAGGAAAAATATAAGACTCAAAAAGTATCAAAAACACTAATAAGATAAATAATTCAAAATCCAATAATAGTGCATATTAAAATATGCTGATGTAAAGAAGAAACATCTATGTGTTCTTAAAAATAACAGTATTGTTATTTATAAAATAGTGTTCAATTAAACTTAGTTTCTACAATGAGTGGACAGCTTTTCGAATGAAATATTTTAAAACACAAATTATAGTAATTTTTTAAATTTTACATGATAAGTACGCAAATGCTTGGGTCGAAGCATCGTCAACTTTAATAAACATGATTATTGACTGCATATTCTGAATGTTTTTCATCATTGAAATTTCAACATTTAACTATACATCCATCTCTAAATTACAAAATATGTTGTTTGTAAATGAATTTTCTTTCTAAATACGAAAAATTAATTTAATTTTTATTTTAAATAACAAAATTAACAACCAAATTGAGTAGATCCCTTTATGTTGCATTCTATATTATTAGATATAACAATAGAATCATATAGCAATCAAAAACTTCCATATTTTCATTTTTTAAAGTTGATGTTTTAGGGATTTGTCTCCATACACAGAATTGTTTTCTTACCTATCTCACTGCTGCTTCCATTATCTAACATGAATTAAAATAATTATCAAGAAACATCATAGTCCAGTTCATACGTTCCGGAGACATTTTTTGAATGCACTGCCTATGAGGAACTAAGAGCTAAGCTCCTGAGAGAGAAGGGGATATATACGCTGACAGAGAGCATGTTTCCCCAGCTAATGAGCAGAGAGAATTGCCCACATTATAGGGAATTCGTATATGGATGAAATGATGCTGTAGGCCTTGCATATTTTATTCTGAGAAGAAGAGAAGGAACTTAAGACTAGCTGCAGCTGCTTTGAGGACCAGCTTCAAGTGGAAGAAGGAGGAAGAATAGAGAAAAGGAAAGGCGTGGGATTATGCCCAGCCATCACAAGTCTACACCTCAGTTCCCACAATAACAATTATAAATAATAAATTTTAATAAAACAGACCTGTACTGCCAGCAGTGGCATAGGCATATTCCCTGCGTAATAGCCACTGCTGCTACAACCCGTAAGGCAAGGAAGGGAGAAAAAAAAAGCATGTGATAATTCAACTCTTATATCCAGAAATTGGTTTCAGAAATAGGAAAGAATTTCTCCTTTTCCCCTTTTAGTTAATTATAACATTATTTCATAGTTTATATTTATCCTTTTTGATTATTATTAAGAATATGAGATGGTCAATTATTTCAAACAAATAAATTAAAAATACTTGAAAAGAAACTATTCTTAAAATTCAGAACTTAAGTCGTTTCAGATTATTTCAATGAGGATAAGACCTAGCTGATATTAAAGACGATTGAATTGTATGTAGATGTAATGAGTTCAATAAAAATATAAATAAATTTAAATTGTCCCAAAATGATTATATCATAATAAAAAAAACCTTCACACTGTGAGAAAGAAGTGACTTTAAAATAAAGTGAAATATACAATATTTTAAAAATCCATTTTATAACAATTAGAATACTTATAAAACCTTCATGTATTTGTCAGAAAAAACAATTAAATGTCATTAAATGCTACATGTTTAAGAAAAAACTTTGTAATAGAAATCAGACTGTCGATTCATCCCAAACTTCATTTTCTGGTCAAACTATTGAAAATGAAAGGAATATGGAAGGCAAACAGATTATACTAATGAAACAAGTATAATAATAAATTAAATCACCTTGAACTGTCAACTCTGCACTGCAAGAAATTTTTCCAGTAGATGTTGATGCAACACATGTATAAAGACCTGCATCCTCAGGTTTAACATGTGTAAATACTAATGCAAGAGAGTCTTCATCATCCTGCAAATAAAAAAAATATAATCAGAATATTATACCATAAAAATTCATAAGTTAAACTGATTTCAGATCCAAATCCTGGGATCTGGGGATAGCGATACCTCCATTATGAAAATTATTAAGATCACTTATCAAAACTGCATTTTTAACAACTGCATTTTAAGTTTTATTGTATTCTTTGAATATTGGCACAGATAATTCGTAGACACAATGAAAAAAAAAAAATTATATTTTGAGGGAGCTTCATTGTGAAAGCCCGCTTCCCTTGAATCTGATAGTGCTAAGGTGAATGAAATCGATCAAAACATTTTAGCATATAAAAATATACAATGTTACTTATAAATTCAATGTTTTATTGGTTCCTAATAATAAATGCTATCTCAAATACTCATATATGTCATTGTTTTTACTATTTTTTAATAATGAAATATTATATATTTTGAAATAAAAAGTTTGTAACAGCTCTGATTTTGAAAAAAAAAAAATCTTATTTATTTATATAAATAGCCTTTAGGCTAGAGGCTCAGAGACTTTATTAGAGTATCAACTATATAGCTAGAGAACTAACTTAAATACAGTATGCATATCTGTTGGAAATATAAATTGCAGCATTGTTATCATGTAACCATTGGCCTCCACAGCTTCTGTTGTTATTTTTTTGATAATTTGTCTTCGACTGTACTCGCTGTGTCTGTTCATTTAAGTATTGGTCTCCTGCACTAGTTTAGATTCTTACTGTACCATGGCATCTCAACAATATCATTCATCCTTCTTATTTTATAAGAATTAAGTATTATTTAAATTTAATAAATAAATAATAATTTTTTAAGTAGTCCTGATATTTCTATATCAAATATCCACTGGTATTTAAAAAAAAAAAGTTCAAGATGCAGCATGGGCAGGCATAGGCCATAAGCAGGTATTATTGTCACTTCCTTAAATGATTCTCCGCACATTGAATACCTATTTGCTGAAATCTTCACAAGTTCATCTGCCATTCTGTTTGCTGTCATATATATCGCCCTCCTAGAATTCCTTTTGATGAACCATTTGAGACTTTTCTGTGGAAATTAATCCATTCCTACTCAAATGTCATCCTCTCCGGAGACTTTAAGATCAATTTACTGATGCCATCCTCCAATTATTCTTACCTTACAAGCATCCTTCATTCTCTCAGCCTTTACATAGTACCCTACAACCTAACCCATCAAATTCTGTTCTTGGAGTCCTGGCTTGATCTGTATATCCTAGATTCTTCAAACTCCTTACCGCATCTCAGCACCCGGTTCCGTTTCTATCTTCTCACGATCTTATCCAGATTTCATACAATATCCCTGTCCCATTCTTTTCTCCCCTGACAATATCCTTGCGAAACCTAAATTCTCTCACTCATGAAAGACTGTCAGAAGATCTTGTCGATATCCAGTGGGATCCGATCCCATTTACTCAAAATCCATCGATACCATGGTTGAAAACCTAACCACTCATCTTCATTCCATTCACAACTGACATGGTCCTCTTGTCACAAAAACCATCTGATATCCTACCGCTCCTTGGCTGACTCCTGCTTTGAGAAAGTGTATGAGAGAAAGAGATTCTGCAAGGCGATGGTTTGAATGAACTCAACTTCCTGAAGATTTTCTCTCTTTCAAACAGCTTCGAAACAGCAGTACGCCGTGCCAAATCTCATTACTACTATCATTACTTATCCAGCTCCCCCAATACCAAGGAAAAGTGGGCTATTCTTAGAAAACTGACTATTAGTAATACACCTCATTCCCAGTCCAATTCTGTTTCTGCTGATAACCACAATGCTCACTTTTTCTCCTGCCCTTTCACAACCACATCTCCTGTGTGGTTCCTATGTATCCTTCTTTTAATCCTGATCACTTATTTGTTTCCCACATCACCCCTGATGATCTCCTTAACTTCATTCAGAAGTAATAACGAAAATAACACAGAATTAGAAGGGGCACTCGAAGAATTTGAGACAGCAGCTAAAGAATTAGGGCTTCAAATAAATGAGAAGAAGACTGTTTACATGTGAACTTCAAGAACGCCAATTGGAACAGAGGAATGTGTCACATTAGGTAATCACACCCTGAAAGTGGTAGAAACCTTTAAGTATTTAGGTGTTCTAATTACAGAAAGTAATGATGTGATGGAAGAACTGAAAGCAAGAATGGCTGCTGGGAATAGATGTTGTTTTGCCATTACAAAATCGCTAAATTATAACTCCCTCTCTCACATTACAAAAATCACACTGTATGAGAAAGTCATAAAACCGTCACCTATGGTTCTGGGACTTGGATAATCTCTAAGGCCTCAGAAAGGAAGCTACTAGCATGCGAGAGAAGGGTTCTCTGTAGGATCTATGGTCCGGTATGTGAGAATGAGCAGTGGAGAATCCGCACCAATAAAGAACTGTGCGAGATCTATGCAAGGCCGGATTTGATCTCAATGGTAAGAAGTAACCAAATCAGATGGTTGGGCTTTGTGGCACGTATGCCCAGGGATTGCATTAAAAAAAAAAAAATTATAACTGCAGGTGGTTGGACTTGTCCCCCACCTTCAGCTTTGAATCCACAAAAGCGAGAATAATAAAGATAATAATAATAATAATAAATCCCTACCAGTCCGGTTTCAGGCCTGGCTATTCTACTGAGTCTGCCCTAATCAAAATTTCCCAAGACCTTTATACAGCCATTGATCAGTAGAAACTAACCATCCTTGTTCTCCTTAACTTCTCCAAAGCTTTTGATTCAGTAGACCACAACATCCTCCTAACCAAACTTAAAAATATCTACTTTTCTTCTAGTACTCTTAAATGGTTCCAATCCTTTCTTACCAGCCGCTCCCAGTATGTTGTAAACCCTAATTGGCCCCATCAGAATCTTTACCCTTGTCTAGAGGAGTTCCATAAGGCTCTTCTTTTTTCCCCATCCTTTTTTCCACCTATATAAATTATCTCCCATCCTCTATCCTGCACTGTCAATACCACCTGTATGCCGATGATGTTCAAATTTACCTCTCCTTCAACAAGACAGATTCCTCAGATGCCATCCTAAAACTTCAAGAAGATATTAATAGAATAAGTGTTTGGGCAAACATCAACAGGCTCACTCTGAACACCGAGAAGATGAAAGCTATCTTGATCGGATCCCCCTCACTCCTCAAATCCTTCCCTGTATCCCCCAATCTTCTTCTGAACAACTCACCTGTCTTATTCCATACTTCGGTTAAAAACCTAGGTGTTACTTTTGATCAAACCCTCTCCTGGAAACCACACATTTCCCAAATTTCCCGTCTCACTATCTCCACCCTATAACAGTTTAATCGTCTACGTTATCTTTTCCATATTAGTCACATCAACTCCTAGTTTCCATCAAATGAAAAAAAAAATCTTATCAAATACTAATAAAAAAACACAATATATTTTTGTCCGGAGTTGAAACTAGTGAAATGAAAAAGTTCCATTTTAGCAGTTTCTGTGAAACTTTTTAGGAAAACAGTTCTTTAAAAAAAGTTCTAAGGAACTTTTTTTTGTAATGAAGTTCCAGCTTTATGGTAAAAGTTTAATTTGTATTTATTCAAGTTCTTAAAAAAAGTTCTGTTAAATGAAAAATAAACAGTAATGGAGCTAAGATTAGAGTTATGATTCCTCTTGAATGAATTATACATGATTCTAAAGTGTTGTTTGCTTGAGTAACTATGAATAAAAGTAATTTTTTAGATCAACTTTTTTGTGAAATCGACAGAACATTGAAATAAAAATTTTTTAAAAATAAAAATTCTGCAAAAATTTAACTCGAAATGTTGCAAGGGAAAAAGTTCCAAAAAAACTATTGACAGTAAAAATTCTGGTGAAACAGAAACTTTTTAAAAATAAACATTTTTCTGTTTCAAGCTCTGATTCTTGTTTTTGTTGAATTTAAAAAAAAAAATTTTAATTTTTCTAATTTTTTTTTTAATATGCAAAGTACCTATTTATAATCTTTGATAATACTCACTTGCAACAAAACTTTAAATCTTTCTTCTGGGTCAAATGGTTTACCATCTTTAATCCACTGAAAATCTGGGTCGATTCCCTTTCCATCCTCAAGACCAGCAAATATATTTTTATCATCTATAATAAAAGAAACATTAATTTTACACATTAAAAAAAATAATATAACTTTAAAATCATTCTGTTAATTATATTATTATATCTATAGATTTTGAACAATCATCTGTAGTAGGTGTTTAGCATGCAGTCAAACATGCGTACGGACGTTTTCACCTCCATGAACACTTTAAAGATTCTATAAAATTACAGACAAATTTTTTAGATTTATGCCTTTTTTTGTAATCCTTTATATTAACAAATACAATTTTTTAGGGCCAGTTGTTTTCTCATTATTTTATTACAATTGAGTTCTATTAATCTGGGCTCTGATATTTCAGACATCTGGTTAATTCAGACTAATTTGAAAAAAAAAATTAAAATATAGTACATAACAAATTTAATTTAGCAAGTCATAAGTACTAAAATTATATAAAGAGAGGGGTTCATTTATGAAGGTTTAAGAAATGTATGAATTAGGTAACATAAAACTGTTTTGTCTATGATATACACAAAAGTGTATTGGCAAGCCCCATAACAACCCATTTATAGATATGCATGTTTTGCCAAAAGGTTTATTTGGATTTTAGTATTCTTGATTTTTACATTACAATATTAATGTAGCATGATTATAGGAACTCAAAAATTAATAAATTTTGATTTTCAATCAGGAAGATATTTTGTTTTGCTGACCTTCTCTTTGTACCCCATTGGTAAAAAACGTAGGTCTACTAATAGATTAAGTAGCATTGACAACTTTTTAAAATTTATATATTGAAATTTACAGCTGTATTAAATATATATAACCAGTAAATATGTATGTAAATATGGCTTGTCGAAATACAGCCCAATGTTAACATTGTCTAAGTAGTTCTAAGTAAAAAGATTATGAGGCCATCTTCTTTTCAGACACCTAGGGGGATTATCAGAAATTGAGGAAGAAGCAAGGCTGCAAACAAGTAGATTTGGATGGGACTGGAGTTTATCATGAAAGGATAGTTTATCTGGCTAAGGATAAGGAGTTTATAGATAAAGAGTTTATCTGGCTCAGATCTAAATCAGTGACATGGAACATTAAGAACTTTATGAATGATTTTAGTTGTGACAAAATATGGAGCATCAAGGATTTGATAAAAGAGTTTGTATTGTGAGGATTGGATGCAATAGGAATTTGATGGTTTGGTGGAGTCCTAAAGTATTGAAAATAAAATTAAGCTAATGGAAAAGGTCTCTTTCTAAGCCTATTTAACATTAAATTCCATTTAATCCTGACAGTATCTGCTCCCATCCAGTCAAGATTAGTATGCCTGTACTGTAGTTTATTTTAGCCAAGGACTTAACTCAGTTTAAATAATTTAATAAATAATCAACTATTAATTTATTAAATAATAAACAGAATAAATAAAGTACTATATTGTAGCTTTCATATTTAAATAATTTATTTCAGGTACCTATTCAGTCACAGAAGAGCAAACACTAAGCCATTCACACCAAAAACAGAGAAAAATAAACTTGTAAAATTCAAAAGCTAATAGTATTAAATGAGTAATGTGTTCTTCATACACCAACTTGAAAGTTAGAAAGTAGATGTTTCTTGTTAAGTTGTTTTTTAATTTATATAAGTAAAAACATGAAAAATATTTTTACAATATGAAAATGAGCTTTCAAATATGGGCTGCTATGCACTCACTCTATATCGACAGTACAATATATTCTAAATTTACAAGTACAAAAATAATAACAACATCAAGAAAAAAATACAGAGTTTATTAAATTATTAAACAGTACCAATTGAGATGTACATACCTACTACAGAAACCATTCCTTGACAAGTAGCATCTCCAAATTTATTAGTAGCAACACATTTGTATATGCCAGCATCCGAATATTTAACTTCAGGGATAACTAATTCATAATAGCCAGTATTTTTGGCATTTTGAGACATTATAGCTATCCTTTCATTCTCATATGTAATAAGTTCATTATTTTTGTAACTAAAAAGGATTTTCAAAAAACAGAATAAGAGTATTTTAGAGGCATTAATACATAACTTAGTAATTAAACGTAAAGAATGAAACTTATCTTTCATAATTATTTCATTGAAAAATTAAGCAGTTAGGAAATTAGTTTTATTAATGAACGTTTAAAATAAAATAAAGTATATTTTAAACATGAATCAATTTTGTTGTTGTAGGGAAATGTAGGGGGACATTAGACACAATGAAACACTTCTTTTATTTTTCTTGGGTGAATTATCAAATATATTGTGCTGTAAATGGTATATACACTTTTAACACATTCAGAGTATATTGCCTTAACCTTCAATCAGTTATTTACAACACAACCATATTAGAACTCACCACAGCATCACATAAACCAATAACTAAAGAGGTCTGGTAACCTGAGACGCAAATAACAAACTACCAACTGTCTCTTGGTATGGTATATTTTCCTTCGCACCAGATTTTTGGTATACCACTGGTTGGTACATGTAGGTTTCTTCTTGAAGATTGCCCAGTAGAAATGCTCAAACAGCAACCATCTGATCTAATGCCATCAAGAATCGAATAGAGCATTACCACACAACAGGTGGGAAGGTTTCTTTGAAGTCCATTCCTCTTCTTTGTCCACAACCTTTCACTATCAGGTGAGCCTTACATTGAACTATTTTTCCATTTGCATATCTTTTTGTGCAGAAAATCCATTTGCTATTCAAAGGTTCTTTTTTTTTTCACAGATCAACCAGTTCCCATGTGATGTTATCCAATTGGCTTAACTTCATGGTTCATTGCTTCAATTAAAAATTGTTTGTCTGATTGGTCCGTCACTTCCTCAATGGTCAAAGGATCAGACAGTTCATCACTGAAACTGCTGTACTCAACAAAATCATCGTATTTAAGAGGTAATTTCCTAAACCTATCCTGCCTTTGTAGATTAGATGGTTCTACAACTAGTTGATTTGTGAAATCTTCATCTTGTGAATCATAGTCATCTGAAAAAAACAAACAGGAAATTCTTCTTCTGAAACCACTGAGTTGCTATTTTCAGTTATATCCTGAGGTGCATTGCCTATGCTTACTGATAAGCTGCCAACATCAGCTGCAGGAAAGAATAATGCAAATGGATTATTATATAAAAAGTATTTTCATTCTTTGGAAAAAAATACATCACTTGATGAAAAAACACAATTTTTGTAGGGTTAGGCCACACACCTATGCCAAAGATTGCCAATATTATTATCTCTGATTAGACAAACTGAGACTATTCAGAACATTTAGTTTGAATAAATTATTCACTAATGAAGCAGTTGCAACAATGTCATTGTGAGGATTACGAATGTTTACTTCAGACAAAATAGAAACAATGCTATTACCTTTACTCACAATTTTACAAACCAAGAGCAAATTCACTGTAAGTTGTGAAACATAAACTCACTTTATGGAAAGTTCTTCACAAGATATGAATAATTGCAGGTCTCCAGTTGTGTCAATAGTTATTTGATCACCAATAGTCGTAATAATATTCATTTCAGTAGAATTTTGTTTATTATTTAATAAATTTTCTTCAAATATGTAGATGCTTATGAATCTAGAAACCATTCTTGGGCTGATTTTTAAGTTACCGAAAAAGTTATAAGGCATGCATGGTCATTTGAACGTTCTTTATTTTCAAAGTAAGGCTGGGTTCTATAAGGAGAAAAATTACAATCTCATGAAAAATGTTCAAACATGTTGCACCGATAACAGTGTGACACTTTTTTCTTATTACCCAAGTTGGAGGAGTTAGTTTTTTCAGAGTTCATTGAATTAGTTTATACATTTTCTGAAGCATAATTGAAAAAAATATTTTTGTTAGACAGGCCTCTGGAACTAGGAAAGCTTGATTTGTAACCATTATTTGTATCCCATTGAGATTAATTAGATCCATATATAGCACTTTCAATGTGATTTAGTAGCTTTGAATCAGAATGGAAAACATCTTGTAATCATTTTCTTTTTAATGCATCACCGGTTAAATTAATCTCAGAGCTCTCTTTATGCCCATAATCATAGGGGTATTTCTGGAAGACATGCAAAAAGAATAGTTCCTACCCATTCATTATCAACTTTCAACCCAATGTCTGTTAGTTTTAGAGCAGTTGTGATAATTTTGTTCACATAATCCTTCATTGTCTCACAGTTTTCCAGTTTTGTTGTGATGAGGTTCTTTAGTAGTCCAATATGCATTGAAAGTTTCTTATCATATGTAGTTTTTAAACAACAATCCATGGGACAGAGTGAAACAAAATCACAAAAGATGTTGGATAGGGTAAAATCAGGTGTTTTATATATATATATATATATATATATATATATATATATATATATATATATATATATATATATATATATATATATATATATATATATATATATATAATATATATTTTATAGATTATTACTCCAAAGTAAATATTATACCATCAAAATCACAACATAACAAAAGATAAAGTTATTCTCTCTTATTAAAAAGTTGTAAAATTAATTAGAATGAATTCAAGTTCGATGAAAAGATTGAATTTTTTTTATGTCCAGACCTAAGTTTGCATTACTTACTGAATGGATATTAGGTGTGGATACACAAAAATAATTTTAAAAAGATTTATGTTACAGTATCATCAGTTTAAACATGTTTTTCAACAATTTACAGAATCAAGTCACAACTTTTCAAAAGATTTTTATAAAAATATTAAATTAAACATTGGTAAAGGAAGTAATATGAGAAAAAAGTGATACAATATTACGGCCAATTAGAAATCAGTAAATTCCTGTCTAATTTAAAATTAATCAGGTATATACCACAGTATTTTTAGCAGTGTAGACGTTTATCATATATGACAGATTAATAATTTTTATATATCCAGAATTTGAAATCAAGGAAATAAAAATCTTCAACAAGTCTCAGTTTTAGTATAAAAAAAAAAAAAATTCAAGTTTCTTTGAACTTTTTATTATATTGGTATAATATCCCACTCTACACAATTGTATGACAAAAAAAATTATTTAATAGAACAGAACAGGTGTAATAATTTTCCATAGTAAAGAAATGAGTGGCAAGATTTTATGTTTTGTTGAACATTTTTCCACATTATGTTTTTTTCTTGCACATTTTATCATTTTTTTACTTCAAAAAATCCGAGATCTATATATAACAGAAACAGTAATAAAAATGATAGTTTCATGCATTTTGTCACCACTTACAATTGAACTGTAGGCATAGGTTCACCTTTAACTTTGACCATAAATCTAAGGTAAGTATTTTCTAATAGTTCAGTATCATTTAACTTCACTAAGAAAACAGGAGCATTCCGAGCACGTCTTTCTTCTTCAGTGACTGTGATATAGATAAACAGAATAGAATTACAACATAATTCATATGCACTGTTTTAAAATAAAATAAAATTCATTTGACCCTTGAAAAAATAAATGAATAACTAATCTAAATATATTAATTGTCTTAAAATTGATCAAACACTAATTCTGAATGGTGAATGATGTTTTAGGATTACGTTTCGATTAGTTATCCACGAAAAAATAACATTTTAGTTAGTAAAATTCCTTCAAATTTCAAACAACAAACATTAATCTAACATAATTAATCTAACTATAAAGAAAGGTATACAATAAAAACATCAGTAGCTGACTGTTACCAATACCTAACATCTACCTTGAAAACTGGAATAATAAAATTTCAGGACCTCCTTGGTCTCTATTACATGAATTTGTGGTTTCTAAATTTTCTTGTCCTATATTTCTCTGCTTTGGTTTAATCTTGCTGGGAATTGCTATAGTAACAATGGGTGGCAAATCGGGAAGGTCTCTCACAGTCCACTTAATGTCCCAGGAACAACAATCTTTCAGTAAGGACATCATACCTTTGGTTTGTATTTTCCTCTTTAACTACTTTGATTTATCTCAAAATTTTTGTTTATTTTTTCTTGGAATGTTTTTAGATTATGTTTTGTCTGTTTTTAATCTATATTGTTAACAGAATTACAAAATGTAATGAGTATCAGCTATTGGAACTTTATTTTGGACTTTTTGCCAGTAGTTGACAGGCCTGTATTTGCAGAAATTCAAAGAGATATAATCAATATAACAGGTCTTAAAAATGGACCATCCAATATTCTCTTGTTTAAAGAAAAATTGTTAGTGATATAGATCAAATTCAAAGCAAAAGTAGGTTTCCTATTGCAAAAAATAAGTTCTTGACAGTGTCCAGCATTTATCAATAAATTTAAATCAGGAAACTCAAGAAATTAGTTTTGTAATAAGTTAAAGGTAATTTTTGTTTTTATCTATCTTAAAATGAAGATTATAAAACTTCAATACATTATTTCGCATAATTAAATGTTTGTTCTCATCTCTGTCAGCTACAGGAACATTTCAAATCAAACAGTATCAGCTACTGGTACAACAAAACTATTCTTTAAATTGACAGTTTTTAAAAATAAAGGAGAATGTTTCATGGATTTCAAATGTGCCTTGGCAAGGTGAGAAGTAGTTCTATAAGACGAATCCAAGAAAAATGCAGTAACATCAATATTTAAGTTTTTACACCTAAACGTTCAAAGAAATTTCCTTAAGCATGTCAGCTACTGGTGTTTTTACCCTAATGTTATAGTTGCGGAAATTAAAATGATAATTCCTTTCCTGGCAAGTTTCTTGCAAAATTCTACAAACCTAAAGATAAAAAGAAGATACAAGAGGTTCAGAGACTTATATGATTTTTCAGGAAAGAGATTATGCCAGCTAAATGGATGATGGTCAAAATATTTTGAGAAAGAGGGCCGCATATAGAATTTAGGGACCAAAATGGCACAAATGTTAAATAAAGCCTATATAAATTACCACAGCTGCCCTATGTTTGCCTCTGTTTCCCTATATAGAGAGAGAGAAGGAGGGAGAGATTATCTATCAGAGTGGATTTTGAACAAACTGATAGATAAAATCTTCGCCTTGAAATAACTTTACAGAACTCTTCAATAAGGCTATGAAAAGATTGAAGATTGGCGTAACAGGTATAGTTATAAATAATTCTGTTTAAGTAATGGTCTATATGAATAATGTAGCCATACATCAATCATTGAATAAGGAAGGTCAAACGTAAATTTTTAGGGTGATAGATACAAGATGGTTGTTATGAAGGTGTATGAGAAAAAAAACTTGGCAAGGTTACTTAAATGAACAGTGCAGATATGTCTGGCTCATCATCCCTTTGGTAAATATATTTTTGAATTAGTCGCTTAATTTTTATACCTAGGATCTGGTATGAGTAACATAGCCAGTGGAAAAAAAAATGTTCTGAGGAGGGTTCAGGTAGGAAACGTATTTTTAAGCAATTGAGAAATTATAAGCACTATTCCTATTGAATTTGTTGGAGCATATGGATATTAAACCAAATAAACTTGAAAATACTTAAAATATTTTAATCAGAATTTTATATCAGAATAAATAATATTCTTCAACAACAAGTTTTACTTACGTTTTTGTACAACAAGGTTTGCTGTGCAAGTTGAATTTTGACCTGATAAAGTATTTGCATGAGCAGTATAGACACCAGCATCAGATTCTATGACATTTAAAATTTCAAGTCTATGTAAATTTCCAACTGACATTTGCGTTAACCTATCAGATAGTCGATCTGAAATAGGTCTGTTGTCTTTTAGCCAATGCACAGACTTGGCATCTATTTCACATTCAAATGCTGCACTACCACCAGCTGCATAAACATATAAAATGCATGTGTATATATACATATATATATAATATATTAACCCAATAATGATTGAATAAAGTGGGAATGTTTATAATGTTATAGCATTACAAGCAATCAAATTTCTAACTAATAAACTAGTAAACAGTTAAATTAAGAGAGAAAAGGTTTTAAAGAGTAAATAGAACAGATGTGATATAAGCATCTAACTACTACTGAGAATACAAGCAAATGTGATTTAAAAGTAATGGATGGATTAAATAACTGTTTTAAATATTTATTATTAGTGATAAGATGTGTCGATGAAGTCTAGATTTGAAAATAAATATTTGTATTTTGTAACTATAAATTATGTTAAATTTAAAACTGAATAAAGATATAAATTGTTAAAGTCATATTTAAAACCCTAAACACTAAATATGAACAATTGCTACACTTAGTTTTACTATTTTGACTAAGGTAATAAGAAAAATAAGAAATTCAAAAATTTAATTATTAATATAATATTGTATAATAATAAAACTGTAAATAATGTAAACATTTGTTTTGTGTTTCAAAATATGAAAATCATAAATAGCTCACGTTCAACATTGACTCCTTCAATGGTTTTTGAAAAAAGGGAATTATTAGTTATGCAGCGAGAAGTTGCATCTGCTTCCTGTATAACTTCCTCAGATATAACAGATGTAGATGAACAAATTATTTCTTCACGGTGCACTTCAGTTACACTTCCAGATCGTATTTCTGTGAAATGAAACTCATACCTATGTAATTTTAAACTATCCAGTAAGATATTGATTTTTTTCATTATAAAAGCTTTCAGATGAACTATGCATATCAAATAAACCACTAATGACCCGCTTGGGTAGATGTGAATTATTATAAAATAAAAGAAATGTATAAATAAGTAAATAATAAACGGGATAAGAATTGAAAAGAAATGAAAAAAGATGGAATGATGATGCTAATATTCTACTGCATATTTTAATATTTGAATTACACACAAGGCAAATTAGGTGATTTAAGAGAGATTAAAAATCAAGCTGATAAAATGAAAAAAAAAAATGAAATTTTAATAATAACAGTAGATTAATTGTTTTAAGGTTGTCCAATAAGAATCAATTAATTTATTATATATTTAAGTAACTTAGGTAGTATCCTAAACCTAAATTTATTATTGATTAAATGTAAAAAATAAATAAAGATACCACTTATAATGAACTAAAATAATAAGATTGTTTTTCACGAAAACAAATGTTTAATTAAAATATGAAGGAATGATGTGTGTGTGTGTGTGTAGAAATAATTCATTTTAAAAATTGTATTGTACAAATAATCTATAATCATCGTCCGTCCTATGCTTAAAATCTTCTTCAATTCAAGTCACCTGTCAATTTCCTCTCTACAAGATCAAGTCATTCTGCATTTTACACCTCACAGATTTATCTTATTTCAACACTCCTTCATAGTCAGTTCCACCACTTTTTTGGATTTCCATCCCGCTTAAGATATACCATGCACCGTCCTTATTTACATTTAAAATCCTCTTATTCCAATTAACTAACTAACAAACTAATTCCCTGGCACTACAGGCCAGCATGACCCTTGGCCTCCTGAGTTATTCTCCTCCACTTTTGTCTTCCAATCACAAACTCTTAACTCCCCTCCCCCTCTGTCTCTCACCTCTTCATCCTTTCACCTGCTTCTCGGCCTTTCTCTTTTCCTTTTCTCACTGAAGTGTACTTCAAAGATTTTCTTCTCTACCCGTTAATTATCCATTCTGACTAGAAGTCTTGCCCATTTGAGCCTACTTGCCTTGATATAGTAACTAATGTTTTGATCTCTGATATAGCCTCAATTTCATTGTTACTTTTGATTTTCTACTCATCATTAAATCACATAGCACCGTAAATCCTTCTTATTATTTACCTTTCAATTACTTTTAGTTTACGGCAATCCTCTTGCAGCAAACACTTGGTTTCTGCTGCATAGGTGACTACTGGCCTAATAAGAGTATTATACAGCTTTAATTTTGTAGCTTTTGACTACAATGGAGACAAAAGAAGTTTAAGGTTTGCATAGTAGGCCTTATTACCAGCCATTATTCTGTTGTTGATTTCTCTGCTGATTAAATTTTCATTTTTTTAAGATAAAAAATTTGGGTACATTTTCAAACATAAAATTCCTTATTTTGATTTTGCTGCAGGATCTTCAGCTTGCTGACAAGGACAGTTTTAGGTATTTAATAGGGTGTATAAAAAAAATTACCGTTTTATCAAATTCAAGATTTCAAAGGACTGTAAATATTTTAATCATATTTAATACTTACCAATACTTAATAATCCCTTTAGAGTATTTTCTAAGCTTGTTTAATCCCATTTGATTTCTTCAAAAAAAGCCTCAGTTCAGTTATTTGTTTCAAAGAAGAAACATGACAGTGTCCTATGAAATTCTCGTAATTTTAAGGCATTATGGGAAAAAAAATTTCACAGCCACTGAAGTAACTCGTGAAATTATTAAATATGAAGAGGAAGGTGTCCTTGACCTGCAAACTTATTGGTGTTGGTTTGAATAATTTAGCAGTAGAGATATGACATTGGAAAGGAAGAAGGGCTCCGGGTGACCGCTAATGAATATTGATGAGGTCATGCAGGAAGCTGTTGAGTCAAATCCATCCACAAGTACTGGCGAACTTGCCAGGGAGTGTGGTGTGTTGAAAGATGCTGTTAGTCACCATATACTCTCCATGGGGAAGGTGAAAAAGAACAATAGACTGGTCCCTCATGAACTTACTCCTCATAAACCAGCTAAGAGGTTAGAAATTTGTGAAAATTTATTGAAAAACCCTTCTGCTAATGGAAGATTGCCACCTGTGATAAAAAGTGGGTTTACTGGTGAAATGCGAATACCTGTGAGCAATGGCTAGATCGCGATCAAACTGCTTTTTCGGTTGCTCCAAAGGGGCACTTTGAAAAAAAAAAATCTATGCTTTGCGTTTTTTTTAATTTTGAAGGTGTTATTAATCACGAATTTGTTCTTGATGGATGCTCTATGAATTCTGAACTCTACTGCAAACAAATGGAAAGATTTTATGCAAAGTTTTCAGAGCGTTATCCTCTTTTGATCAACCAAAGAGGAATTTTATTCCAACAAGATAATGCCTGTCCTCATAATTCCTGTCAAATTAAAGAAAGGCTTAAAGAACTTCATGGGTTTGAACTCCTGCCTCATCCACAATATAGTTAAGACCTTGCGCTATCAGATTAGTACTTATTTAGGTCCATGGCCCATTTTCTTCTAGAGAGAAAATTTGATAATTTTGTGGAAGTTGAAATTGCGGTCCAAGATTTCATTGACAGCCATCCCAAAGAATGGTATCAGCGTGGGATCGAGCAATTGACTAGCAGATGGCTAATGACGGTAGATAACAATTGACTATACTTCGAGTATTAATTGAATTTTGTATCAAAGAAATAATAATACAAATATTTGGTTGAAAACCATTAACCACAAGCTCTACTTTATTGCCATTTTTGTATATTACCTCAAATGCCTCTTTAAGTGCCTTTTCACTTCGGGCAGCAATCACCAGGTCATTTTTTTATTTTTTCTACAATGGTTTGCCTTTAAAAGTAATTTAACATACCTTTCCAATTTCAATAAGTTATTGTGATTAGTATTATGATCCTATTGCTCATGTGTTTTCTTTAATATATCTTTATGGCTATGTAAATACTTGTCTTGTCACTTATGTTTTAGTTATTCTTTTATTGTAATTTTGTTTCATATATTTTATTGTAGGTCTTTTAGTCAGATTTAGTGATAATTTGTTTGAACAATATTGTTATTAAGGGATTTCATCCCAGAATAAAGTTGATTATTCTATTCTATTCTATTGATAAAAATACATATTAGTTCATTTATTTTTTTAAATAAACGATTAATAAACATAACTTATTGGACAACCTATCCTTGCATATGTTAAAAACATTAACTGCAACAGCAACAAATAAATAATCTATTTCTGATTGATAATGTGCCAGCTATTTTACTAAAAATACATAGAAATTAAAAAGTTAAAAATATGATACAAACTTTAATGAACAAAATATTTGTTTAGTATACAAATATATTTTAAAAACATTTCCTGACTGTTCATAAAGTAAAAATTAATGAATATAGAGAGTGTATTTGTAATCATACTGATGGAAGAATTTGGGATGTTTACCCAATGTAGACAAGAAAGTAAGCATTTAATTTTAAAGAAATCATATGATTCTTGATGAGTCATGAGTCATCAATGCCTGAAAATATTAATTACAGTTTCTGAAAGACTTTTAACAGAAATTTAATATGTCACTACCATTTTTATTAACAGTTTAGTAATTATTGTTTTTGAATGTTTATTACTGGATTCTTTATTGCATAATAAATTAATAAGGTTACTCAGATTTAGATGTTATACACATGTTTTATTGATGGTTATTCATTAGTTTATGGTTATAAAATATAACCCTGGTTTAATACTTTTAATGTCTTCAGTTTTTATTCATTTTTAAATCCCAAGTTATCTATTAATAAATTTACTAATAATCTTATATATTTACATCTTAAATTATTGCTAGGTCAATTTTGTCAGAAATATGAATTCTTTGATAATAAATTTCACCATGATTTGAATTAAAATTTTTAAAGTAAAGAATAATGAATATAAATATCAATTATAATCATAAACATTTCTGTTTTTACCCAATATAAATAATAAAATAAAAATGTAAACATTATCATATGTCTGTGATATGAGACCTTTTTTGTTTTGAATAAGAACTAATATGTTTCCATTTTACGGAATATATTATTAATTAAATATTGTGTACATCACAGATCATCTGTTTAAATATGACCTTTATTAGCTATTGAGTAATTAAATCAACGGGCATAGCCATCTCAAAACAATTCATCCCAATAGGGAGGGGAGGAGCAATTTTTTTAATTTAATTTTTTTTTTTTATAGTGGATGTCTTTTTCGTAATGTTTCAAATTTCAAAATGTTGAAATATTAACAATCTTAACTGTTCCTTTTTTTAAATGTCTCAAAAATTTGCAGCTATTTTATTTTATTATTTTGTTGGAAGGGGGAGATAGCTACACCCATGATTTGAAAGCAATATTATAGTCCAGATGAGGCATGAATTAGCAATACGTTGACAGTTAGCTCACTAATGTGGCCTGAGAGATTTGTAACTTTTGTTTAGGAATCATCGAAAATCAACTTAATTATAATCCTTGTGTCTTATTTCAATCATCTCATTTATAAATGAAATCAGACTTTTGAAATGCATTTTTCTTTGACTTTTGGAACTTAGTTAAATATTTTCAAGAGTATTATTTATTTTTCATCAAATCAGATCTATGATTATTCCTACATGTTTGAGTAGAATTAAGAAAAGTACAGCATTTAATTTTATATTTAAGCAGTAAGATGACAGGATAAAAAGATAACTAATAATTTAAACTAAAAAATTAAATATAATGTTAGGTAAATTTCATAAAATATGCATGTTACAGATTTAATTATATAGCTGCACATTATCTACCAAAATAGTTCAATGGATTAGGTATGGGAATTCCTTACAAAGTTCTATTGGCCATTTTCTTAAAATGTATTTTGATTTGTTAATATGGTTTCCAAGACATATTATAACTATCCTTTCATATTTTCTACAAAACATGTAGTGAAATGTTAAACCAATTTAAAAATTGTACGTTTTAGCAATCATAAGTACCTTTTTAAAACTTATTCATATGTTATTTTAACTGTAAAAAAAAATAGCTATACAAATTTACTATTTAAATTTAAAAAAAAAAAATAGTAACTTATTGTCAGAAACAAGGTTATTCCAAGGAAACCCCAAAAAATTGAAAGTTGAGATTTTTTTTTAATGTATTTAAAATAATTATTATTTAATGCTGCTGAAGGCAACCAATGAATTTAAACTGAGGTATTAATAAAAGATAAAGCAGGATAGACATGGGAATGTGTTTTTATTCCATTAGAATGCCAGAACATTGGTTGGAAAGATTTTTAAAAATATTTGAAAAGAAGTGAAAAGGAAATTATAATAATAATAATGTTTTATTTATTACAGGGACAATATACCAAATACACTATTTTCTCCAGATACTGCTCCCTCAGATTACTATTTGTTGTGGCCAAACCTAATTTTAATTCCCATATCCAATACATAGATATAAAAATATATTTTAATACACATATATAAAAGAGAAGTAGAGCTGCAGTATTATTATTATTTTTAAGATATCATACAAATAAAACATAATATACTCATATTTTCTTCAATGGTGAAAATTGTTTTTAACAAATTTTAAGGAAATCTTCTCTTTATATTTTAATATTTTTTACTGGTCAATAGTGACTTATTTTAAAGTGACATCCCAATTCCACTCTCACCTCCCTGTTTGTGAACCTTGATACCCAGCAACCTGGTATTAAATTGGAAATTATAAATTCCTATTTGACTGTTTTTACTAACCAGCAAGTTAAGGATATCCTGGGAAGACTGTCTGGGATAATCCTGGGCTGCTATATCATTTTTAGGAAGTAATTCCTGAGATTGAGGAGTCAGTAGAACTACTGATCAGGGAGTATAGGTAAACATTCAAGAAAAAGTTTATCTGTACTTTCCCTATAATTAATATAATTACTAAGATCAGCCTATCAGATATACTTTGGTGATGCATAACATTTTAAAGCAAAAAACTGCCAAGGCTAACTGTGCATAAAGTAAATAACCTAAGTTACCTAGTCTGGTATAAATAAAAATTCAAGAAAATCATTCTGGCAAGCGATTGCATTTTCCAAATCATCAAATATAATATCATTCACAGAATTCCCAAATGAATCATACTAGGAAAGGAGTTGCTTCGGCAAAGACATCAAGAGAAATATAAAATTTTTACTACTTTAAAGTAGAATGTAGTTTAATATAGTTTAATTTCAAGAATTTGGAGAGCTGTATATATCATTGAGGCGATAAATGAATAAATCCCAAGAGATGGAGTGGAATTGGACAAATCTTAATTAATTATTAATAAATTAATAATTAATATCAGATAAATTGTTAAATGAAAATTAATTGTTTCATATTTATTATGTTTTCATTGATGACCTATGGTGATACTTACGTATAAATTAATCTAGAATATTATCTGAAAATAAACTTAAAACAAATAACTACAAAATATTATCACAACAATATTTTTTTCTTTTTTTTTTACATTTTAACTGATTATTAGTTTAAAAATACCTTCCACTCTACGAGAGAGTGAAGTTCTTCGGCTAGCAGAGAATTTATCCATTTCGTCGTCTGAGTTCGAAAGACTTTGTCCTGGTGTGTATAGTTTTAATTCAACTCCTTTAAGCGGTTCAAGATTCTTGTTCTCTTCCTCTTGGAGACGTAGATCATCAGCAGCATGTTCTGCCAATGTCACTGAAATAGATAAAAGGTAATTAAATTTAGGTAAGTAAAAAACAGAATATCTTTTAATATTACTCCATATCAGTACATGTATCAATATTTTTTTTAAACAATTAAATATCAATATAATTTTCAAATATAATATAACAAGCTCTGAAACAAAAAATAAAGTTTCATGTTTCTCAAAATAACTATTGATGTTTTTTTTTTCTCCTTACAATCTTTAATCTACAAAGAATAGAAGGAAATTTTGAATTATTGTTGCTTATTAGTAGATATATGAGAAGGCTATGATACATTTTATCAAATGTAGGGATGTTAGATCTCAGAGGTTACTATTGATTCCCTAAAATTATAAGACTGCAATGTGCCTGAAAAATCTGCCCTAATTCATGATAATATTAAATTATTGAACATGATTTTTAAAAATCATCAAATATTGACAGAAGGCAACATTTGGCTGTATATTATATCAAGAACTGACATTTGTCATGATATTTAAACAACACCACAATCCTATCCATAACATTGTATAGCATTAGAAAAGAATAAATAGTAAAAAAAAATAAAAATAGTAGTAACCTCTTAATTAAGAAATAAATGTAAAGACTAATCTAAATTTTGTACCGAAAGCTGATACTTGTCATGATATTTAAACAACCCTATAGAAGTTATTTCAAGTATATCTTATCATAACATTAAGTAGCATTAGAAAAGAATAACTAGTAAAAAAAAAATATATATATAGTGGTAACATCATAGGGAGTGGGGTAGCTCAGTGGTAGGGCACTGAGCTTCCAATGCAAAGGTCCCAGGTTCGAACCCCGGCTCATGGCAGAAAATTTATTTATCTGTTTCATTGGCTGTGGGGTGACCCTGGGTCGGGAGACCCTCCTGGGGCACACCCAGCCTCAGTAAAGTGGGTACCCTTAATTATATAATTAATTAAGGGGGAAAACCTGGCAGTTGAGTGTGATCTCGGTCAAATCACCTCCTTGCAAAACCGTTGACCTAGAAACAGTGCTTTCCCTAAATAGTACTGAACTCCAGACCCTTCATGGGTCGTAGTGGTACAAGGTAACATCATAATTAAGAAAAAAATCTAAAGAAAACATACTAATCACCAAGGCTGCCCATTCCCCCAAGGGTGATAGCACATACCCTCCACCTCCCCAAACAATCATTTCTTTCTCTCCATAAAAATAGTATAAGTTTCATACTTTTTCTTTGGTCTGCTTGATTGAAAGTTCGTTCTGATTGAATATTTTTAATTGAAAACCAATAGAAATATAGTTTCTTCCAAAAATTCAGAACCCTATAAAAATGTGCTCCCACAAAAATATTGATGGCACATTCACTATGGTCTGGATCCCTATACCTCTGATAATAATACAGAAGTTATAAATACTACTGTCAGATACTAAGGCAGTTTTTTTTAAATGGATGAAGAAATTTTACACTGATTACAACTCCCAATCAAATTTTTGACAGCCAACTATTTTTCCACCATTAAAAAACTATAATATCATTTTGGAATTACTTACACACATTTCGAGCATAATGCTTTATTTCTGCTATCCAAGGTTCTTTTATGTGATCTTGTGGGCTTTCTAATGTCAATGAACCAATTTCAAAAGTTCTTGGGTCGTGCTTGTGGTCATGAAGTTCCACTTCAGGTAACTGAAAATTCCATTATAACTTCATTTAAAAGGAATTTTATAATCATTTTAATAGAGTTCTGAGTTTATTTTTATTAAAAGTGATAAAGACTGCTATCAAATAGAAGTAGGAGAAAATTATAAACACGATGAAGAATTCTAAAGCAATAATAATAAAATGAGAGATGTTACTCTGAGAAATATATGAATCAACATTAGGAGTTTAGATTAAGTAACAGATACAAGAAGAAGAATCTTTGACAATTAATTTACTGATAGATAAGAAGAGAGAAAATTGGATTTAATAATAAATATTTATATTTATAAATTAACTATTGTGTTAGTATTGGATTATAATAAGCAATTATTAATTATTATAACAAATAGTATAACAAACAGAAGAGAGCGATTGTTAATAGAATGTCAGTGTGGTGAACAATAGATTATATTTTCTTCATTCTAAATATATTAGAGAAAACATAATAATAATCACCTATTCATGGACAATGAAGTAGTCTATGATAGTATAAATACACTGACAGGCAAAAAATTCCACCCACTTGATTTTTTCATGTTTTCATCTAAAAATATTTCTGCTTTGGATTGGTCTATTGTTTTTAATGAATAAATAGGTAATCTTTTTGTTTGTTTTCAATTAGGAATGTTAATATAGAGGACAATAACCCTTAATCCTTAATTCAATGAAATGATTCTAGATTCCAATGTTTACTTTCTATGGAATCAAAATGTTTATTCAGTATCATTAGTTCAGTGTCGTTTCTTGCAGCACATTTCTTAGTCTCCAGCTTTTAATTTTTTCAATATTAAGTTTAAAAATGCCTCTTAGTGCTGAGGATGTTGCGCGTGGTGTGTCACTTATTGATGATGGACGTTCCATTAGATACACAGCTAATGCCATCGGAGTTCCATATGAAACTTTACGAGACGCCGCCAGGCGTTTTCGGGAAACTGGTTCTTACAGTAGAAGGCCCGGTTCTGGACGGCCTAGGGTAACAGAAAGACGGGATGACCAGTTTTTGACTTTGAGAATTTTACAAAATCGGCACCTTACTGTTTTTCAAGTGATTCATCAGCTCGAAGAAGTTCGAGGTGTGCAAATTTCTGAATGTACCGCTCGGAGAAGATTAAATGAGTATGAATTAATGGCTTTTTGTCCAGTAAGAGGACCAGAGTTGACCAGAACTCACAGAGTAACACAGCTGGCCTTTGCTCGAGAACACAGCCATTGGACTATGGACGAATGGAGTGCTGTACTTTTTACAGATGAATCAAGATTTGATCTTCGATCTTTAGACGGGCGTGAAAGGGTGTGGGGAAGAAGAAACGAAAGATATGCAGCCTGTAATTTTTCCCAGAGCCAACCTTTCGAACATGGTTCCTTAATGGTGTGGGCTAGGATTTCAATGGAGCGCTGCACAGAATTGGTTGTTGTTCGTGGAGGGTCTTTAACACACGCTACTAAACGATGATGTAATTAATTTCTTTTAGAATAATAATGGTTCGTTTTTCATTTTTTTTTTCTCTAATCTTTCTTACCCAATCACATTTTGATTATTAAAGGTTAAAAAGATTATAAAATTCCATAAATACTAAATATTATCTACAAATACCATGTATTATATAGAAATACAACTTTACAGAAATATTTTTAGATGAAAACATGGAAAAATCAAGTGGGTGGAATTTTTTGCCTGTCAGTGTATATAAGATAGACTAAGAAGGTTTCTCAACTAGTAAAATATGGTTGTAAAAAAAAGGCATTCAATAATGAAAGTTAATTTTTCAAAAATGAAGTTATGGATTCCCATCCATTTGTTCATTCGTATTTTCATTCTAACTAATTCAAACAAATTTTCACATTTACAGCAAAATGAAAATAAATTTGTCATTCAATATATATATTCAATAAATACAGTTCAAGAGTTTCTTCTTATCTTGTAAACTGTTCTCATTTCCCCAGACATATTCTTTAAGATGAGCTATATGTATGACAAAGAGAGTTTTATTTATTTGGTATATCATGTATAGGCATAGACTTCGGAGGGGGTGGGACGATCCCCCTAATGAAAATGTTGACGAGGCGAGCATATCGTTTTGCCCTTCTCTCCCCCAAAATTTGAAGTAAAGAACACATCAATATTATATAAGCAACATGAATGAATAAAGGATATGAGAAGGAGGGCCAATGACAGGGATTAGTGGACAAGATGGGCCAAGGCAGTTCCTCCACGCTGATGGCTCTAAGGAGGTGGCAAAAGAAGAAGAAGAAGAATGAATAAAATTTGTAAACTAAAATTGATTAAGAGAAGTCGACTAGCTGGCTTGACTAAGGCCTAATAGTAGGTATCTCACAATTTTATTGATATTTACAAGGTTAATTTTATTTAAATTGTCATTTATATTTAAATATAATAATATAGATCATCATATCTTAGGATTTTATTATTCAATCATCCCTCAATTTTCACATGATATTCGTATCACATTTTTCACGGCAAACTAGTCGGACTGTGCAAAACTTTTTTATTTTTATTTGAGGTTGCACACACTAAGAAATCAAAGATACCATCTTAATAAATACGTTATGTATTAAATTGTATTTTTAAAAGATATTCTCAAGTATATATAATAAGTAAAACAGAAAAAAATAAAAATCCTTACAACTAACATAAAACATATAAACAAATTAATTTTAAACATTCAATATTATATTTGTTTGTTTCACAATATAAGTGCAAGTGCAAAGGCAATAATGGGCTAATGCGTGTGTAAAATAAGCGTTGGTAGGCAACCTGATAAACCTGAAAAAAATCTTAATTATAATGTAAGCATAGCTAATAAATGTTAGAAGGTGTCAATAAAAAAATATTACAATATCTCTAAAAGCATTATTGTTTCGGTAATTCCCTGTAATCCCTACCTATACTAGGTAAGGAAAGTATTGCGATCGGGTCAAATTTCCGATATTAGGTTTTCGACGGATCTACACGTTTCAGAGCCACCTGAGTCCGAAAAACCATTAGCCATTGGTCTGTCTGTCTGTGCCAAGATTTTCTCTGGAACTAGTGATTCGATTTTGTTGCTTCTTTTTTTATTTTGTAGGGTTTTGACTACTGATGCCTGTAACACTAATTGGATGCTCCAGGCACAATAGATGCTGCGCAATAAATGGAAAACATGTTTTTTTATACACCGTTTAGCCTGTTTTTTTTTAAAGGTAATGAAATTTCCTATACCATATAAAAATCGTTCATTTCGGACAACTATTAACGAAGTTACCGCTATTCAATTTCCAATGTAAGATTAGGAGTTCATATCCTGGTGTCAGAAAGGGGTGAATGAGAGAAAAAAGTGAAAGTAAGAAAATCTGTTGTCCGCGTCACACAAGCTTCACTATTTCCTCTACTTTTAACTGAAATTATTGTGTGACAAAATTAGGCTATGGCAAAAAGTTTTCGATCAGCAATATTAGAGGGTATTGAAATATTTACTCTGATCTACCTTAAGCCGGTTTACATTGTGATCAATTTTCAGGAAAATAAATCTAATTCAATTTTTTTTTGTTTCTTGATGGACATATGTAAAGATATAAAAACTTTTATAAAAGGAAGGAAACTTGTATGAGTGGACACACCAGATTTTTTTTTTGCCTGTAAGGATCACTTAAAAATCATTTCGGATAAGTATTTTTTTCTTCCAGAGTAATTATTGATATTAAAAAAAACAAACTCGAAATTAAATCCTAGATCTGCCACTGGTCCGATGGTAAAAATGACTCATCTGTTGGCACTGTCCCACAGAACTGAATTTTTATTTTTTCAAGTTTAAATTAAATTTATTGGGCAGTATAAGACTGTTTTATATTTGTTTTCATGTTCAAGTTGCATAGCATTTGCATCTGCACCCAACCCATACTAGTCTGATATAATTTTTCAATACCAGCTCACAAATTAAAATAACGGAAAACGAACCGAATCAAAATTCATAAAAATGTAATAAATCCAACTCCATAAAAAACGACAATAACAAATTTAAATCCCTGAACTTAAATTTACTATCTGACCTAAAAACCTTTAAAAATTAGAGATCAAGGATTTCAAATTCTAACTGAAGCCGTGACACGCAATAGCGAATCCAGGATTTAATTTTTTTTGGGGGGGGGGCTTCAGCCTGAAAGATTTTTTTTCATTAACATATAACCATAATTAATTTTTTAAAAAATGAAATGAACAACCTGTATGAAATGGTGTTTAAGTGGTTCTTGAAGTCCAATTAAATCTAATTACACGAACAAGAATACTTAAAGAGATAGTTTTTAATATTTTTTTCTGTAAAACATGGTTATATTTTACCATTTTGGGAGAAGGAGCATCAGACCGAAAGTCTGCCCCCGTAGATCCGCCTGTGGTACACACACATTACTAAATTACTAACAAAAACAAAATGCCTATCATTTATAGAAAACCAAAGAATGTTCCTTTGTAGAAATCATTCTTCCTTTGAATAATTAATTAACTTTCTTAAAAGAAGTAGTCGACTGATGAATTATAAGGATGAAACGCGAGCTGCCAAAAAAAACCATTACTGATGGAATATCTTATCGGGGAGTACCTGTAGAGGATTTTATAACTATCATCAAACAGAAAATTAAGACAAAATGGGAACAGATATGGTGGAATGTAACCGAAAATAAATTGAGGTAGGCTAAGGATGACGTTTCCTCTTGGGCATCGTCAAATAGGAATAACCGCAGAGAGGAAGTAGTTCTAACGCGCCTGCGTATAGGTCATACACGCCAAAATTGCGGGACTCCTCTGACAGTGAAACACATTTTAACGGAATGCAGAGATTACGAAACATTTAGACTCTCTTGCGACTTGACAAACTATTTACAATCCATTTTACAGGACAATACAAATGTGGTTGATAAACTATTTTGTTTTATGAAACGTTCTAAGCTTGAAAATAAAATCTAATTCTCTGTGAAAATAAGGCAATAATGATCCAAGTGGTTGAAGCCTTAAAATATAAAAAAAAGAAAAAAAAAAAAGGATGAAACGAAATTGTCAGAATTTCAGTGAAAATATCTTTAATGGGTTAGCCGATGTTTCGATTCAAACATTTGGGTCATCATAAGAGCTTTCGTTTGGAAGTTGAGATAAGAACTGATGATGGCTCACATGCACTAGCGGATTCATTATTTAATTTTTTTTTTTTTTTTTTTTTGGGAGGGGCTTAGCCCGAAATCCTTTTTTTTCATATACATATAACGATTATTAATTTGAAAAAAAAAATGAACTACCTATATGAAATGGTGTTTAAGTCGTTCTTGAAGTCCTATTAAATGTAATTACACGAACAATAATACTGTAAGAGATATTTTTAAAATATTTTGTTTCGATAAAACATGGTTAAATTTCACCATGGGAGGGGGGGGGGGGAGGGGGGGAGGAGGGCTTTAACCCGAAAGATCCGCCTGTGCCCACATGTTTGGTTCGAACCGTCAGTTAAACCCATAAAAGAAATTTTGATTGAAAATCCTGAAAATTTTGTTTCATCATAAAGTTTCTTTCTGTATTTGTATGATTAACTTCCTCTTGGTAGTTTTTTTTAGTTTTTTTTTTTTGTAATTACGGTAGTTACTCTGGAAGAAAAAAAAGGTAGATTAAAAAAAAAAATCGTGTATTTAAGTATTTAGTTTAGATCACTTGTTGAAACCAAAATGGACCAATGAAAACAAAAAAAAAATTTTCCATTCTGGAGGAGCTTCAAGGCCACCACCCTTTTGATTTACTGGTGTCTTCAAGATCCTCAGAAATCGTATTTTGTATTTAACATATCTCGTCCAAGGAGTAGCAAATTGTTTTGTGTTAAACAGAAGTCGAATTTTTGTTGTTTTTTTGATTTCTTTAATTTATGTATTTGTATCAGATAACGTTTACAATTAACATCACTATTTTAAGGGATATTAGATTTACTATGAATTAAAATGCAAAATCCTATCTAATCTTATACAATATATAAAGCTAAGTTTTGTCCATAGGCAACATTTCGACCTTATCAAGAAGAATCCGTGGATTCTGAATAAGATTTCTCAAATATCCGATCCACAATATATTAGAGAAAAAAAAATCTTGACAATAGACCACTTAAGCTATTCCTGAAGTACAGATTTCATAGATGTTTTCAATCCAGAAAACAAAACAAAAATAAAAACAGTAAACATGGGCAACATCCTGCCAAGTCGTGCATACCCGAGTGAGTCATTTCGTCTCGGAATTTCTAATGTCTAATCTAAAATATTAATAATTTCTGCATTATTTATCATTTGAGTTTTATTAAAATACTTATGAAAACTGAACTTAGTTTTTTTTTTATTTCTTTAATTTTGTATTTTTAGAAGATAACTTTTACAATTCACACCACTTTATCAAGGGATATTAGATTTACTATGAATTAAAATGCAAAATCCTATCTAGTCTTCTATATGAGATGATTAATCTGCTAACAATATAAAGCTTGGTTTTGTTCATAGGTCTTATCAAGAAGAATCCGTGGATTCTGGATAAGATTTCTCAAACATCCGATCAACAATAAATTAGAGACAAAAAAAAATCTTTGACAATGGTGGTTTAAGCTATTCCTGAAGTACAAATTTCAGAGATGTTTTCAATCCACAAAAAAATAAAAACAGTAAACATGGGCAACAATCCTGCCAAGTCGTGCATACCCGAGTGAGTCATTTTCGTCTTGGAATTTCAGAAGTCTAATTTAAAATATTAATAATATCTGCATTATTTATCATTTGAGTTTTAGTAAAATACTTAAGAAAACTGAGTTTTTTTTTTTTTTTTTAATTTATGTATTTTTATCAGATAACTTTTACAGTTCACATCACTTTATCAAGGGATATTAGATTTACTATGAATTAAAATGAAAAATCCTATCTAGTCTTCTATGTGAGTTGTTTAATCTGCTAACAATACAAACGTTAGTTTTGATCAAAGGCAACATTTCGACCTTATCAAGGAGAATTCATGGATTCTGAATAAGATTTGTCAAACATCCGATCCACAATAAATTAGAGACAAAAAAAAAATCTTGACAATAGCGGTTTAAGCTATTCCTGAAGTACACATTTCCAAGATGTTTTCAATCCAGAAAAAAAAAATAACAACAGTAAACATGTTATTTTGTTGAATTTTTAAACATAATAAAAACTCCTGCTATTTTTTTTTGGTCTATGGTGCTCCCAATCAAAATGGAAAATAGAAAGTATATGATATCATGTGCATTATATAAGAAAGGTTTACTTACCCTTATAATTTCCTTCAGTATAAAGACATATCTATTTTCTGCTACTTTACGAACTTTACAAACTAATATCCGAGCTTTAAATAAAAATAAATATCGATCGTGAGGTTTCTTATCTTTCGCTTTTACTTTAAACCAGTTCTGAAAAAACAAAAAAAAACTTTTAAAAATATTAGTCATAATTATGCATATAAATTTAAAGATATACAGAACCATTTATTGTACATGAATAAAATATTATTGAAAAGTTAGTGAGACTTGAGAATCAATAAATGTCATTCCTTTTTCTAATTATACTTATTTATCTTCAAAATCTATTTATAAAAATGAAACCAATTTGTCTTCCAAATAATAATTAAATTATATGGTATGTTTTACATTAAATTGTGTTTATATGTATCACTGTGTTATGCTAATACAACATATAATATGAAACCAATGATTATCTAATCATCTTTCATATCATTCTCTATACTGTTCTCAGTCATCTCTATATTATTCTATTCTAACATTCTATATATCTGACATAGTATTCTATATTTTTTTAAAAATTGTTAATTATATTACATTAGTTCCTGACATGCACCTAAGCTCACTATAAATTTTTAATACTGTTTTAGAGATGATTGAAAATGCTTGGTTTGTTTAATTGAAGTAATTGTAATGAACTTAAGCTATATCAGTAAACTCAAGCCAATATTAAAGTATATAGGTGTACAACAGTATATTTCATATTGACAATAATTAATCCAAAATCTAAAGTAGATTGGTAGGAAACAACCCGCTTCTCTTCTAGCTATATGGTGTTTTAGGAATCTATTTTCTAATATCAAGCTGCTTTCCATTCCAAAAGACAAACTATGGATCATATATTTGCTTTAAGAATGATATTGAAAAAGGCTTGGGGCTAAGAGAAGAATGTGTATCAAGCCTTTTTGAACCTGAAGGGACCATTTGTTTTAGCCCTCCTGCAAATAAATTTGGGATGCACTAAGTAAAAATAATATTCCTACACATTTAATGGATGCAATAAAATCAGCACATCAAGAACCTAAAGGAGTGGTCTGTCTCAATGGACAGGAATCTAAAGGATTCTTCTTTAAATAAAAAGGAGTCAAACTAGGGGATAGACTTAGTACCCTTCTCTTTATAGTATTCCTCGATGAAATATTCCAAATATGCAAGAAAAAACCCAGGACTTCTGTTGAATAGAGGAACCTCATACCGATTTCGCCACAAGCTTCTGTCTTTCCAAACAATATCGTCCTTATTACAGAAGGAAAACTTACAGTGCATAAATGCAGTGGTAGAGTCGAGAGAGGAACTACTTCAAAATGGGATGGAAATCAATACAGCAAATGGTAAAGTGATGCAGATTGAAAACAATTGGGATTTACCTGTAATGGGTTAAATATGGAATGTGTGAATTCCTACCAATACTTGGGCACCTTTGTAAGCATAGATGGATGCATTACCCAAGAAATCTCCAATATAGTTAGTAAACCAAATGTAATCTTCTACCAAATTAGTGATACAATAATTGGCAAAAAAGATGTCAGTAAAGACGCTAAGCTAGTGTTCTTGAAAACAATATTCTTGGATATGTTCATACATGGAGCAAAGCATTGGACACCCACCAAGTTATTTTTGTATTTATTTATTATTTTCTTGCAGCAGTTATTTGTATATTGTATATAAAAATAACTACTTCAGAGATGATTTTGCTCAGAAGAATCATAAATAACACCAAAAGAGAATGCATAAAAAATTAATATATTCATTGTGAAATAGTGGACTCAGTTGAGTAAAAATTAGAAGAACATCAATTTATGTGGTTTGAATAAGTGTGCAGAATGCCAGACACCTGGAAGACCAAACAGTACATGGAGGCCTAATCATAAGGACGAAAACAGGTAGGAAAATCTAGGATAACATATAGGAAGAATTGGGGAGAAAAAGAGGAAAGAGATAGCCCAGATGTGCCAAATGGCCAGAGATAGGAGAGAGTGGGGGAAGGAGACCAAGGTCCGTCTTCTACTCTGAGAAGCAATAGAAGCGAGAGAAAGATAAGAAGAAGAAGAAAACATCTTTCAATCCGAATAAAAAATTATTGTGACTTTAGTAAAACATATTATAATATATTGTAATATACACCTTTATTGGAATTGGATAAAAATGATTTAATTAATTAATGTAACAGTTAAAAAGCAAGGTAATCTAGTTTCACTAGTTCAGGGAAAAGAGAATGGCTGCTCTGTAGTTCCCCAAAAAGGAAAATCCCAAAGAGAAGGACAAAGTTGTTTTAGCAAGCAGTTATTGTGTGGCTGCAGTGAAGAGAGGATGGGATAAGGGATCCTGGCTCCAGTGGGTAAAACCCAGTAATAGTATTACCATCTTGAAAGTTGTTGTTTGACAAAGTAACTAGTTGTTTGGAATTACAAGAGAGAGTATATCCCAGGGAGCTTGAGTTGAGTATAAGAAAGTGTCACCATTTTGGAAGTTGTGTTTGGCAGAACATTGGAAAGCATTTGAAGATAAATGAATTTAGTGCAACAAAGGAAGAAATAGTATCTATAGAAAAAAGGTTAGCTTGCCAATTCATACTTGACATTATTTTAAAATCCGTGTTTAATTTTAGTATAAATAGTGTAAATAATAATGGTTTGTCTGAGTGTTTTAATCTGATTATCAGTAACCCACATCTGAGCTGAGATAAATAAATATATTAATACTCTTATAATTGTATTTATTATTTAATAACCTCTTATTTATTTAGGAAGTATCCCAACAGTATAAAGTGATCTTCCACGAGGTTTATTACTATCTTAAAATATAAGAGACATGTTACAATATTTTATTAGGAGAAAGAATGAAATTTAAATTATATACTGCAGTTTGATTTATTAAATATTTTAATTTTTATTTGTCTAATAAGTTTTAAACATTATTCCTTATTTTAATGCAATAATTAATAATTACTCACATGCCTTAAAAGTCTGCCAAGTTTGTGAATATCACCATGAAAACCTTCTATGTTATTTATATACTTCAAATCTTCTGCTCTGTGAGGGATACCAAGCATCAACTCCAAAGCCTTATTAAGATCAGATGTCTCTTCTCCAAGCCTGTCACAGTATTTAATTAGCTCCTGTAAAAATTAATTTAAAGAAATACCTATTAAAGACACACACACACTCAAAATATATAGATTCGTGACAATTATTTGTTTTATCAGCTGATAATCCGAAATGTACAGTAATATTCCACCAAAAATATTGTAAACATTTAATTATAAGTCAAATATCATCTAACATCAATGGTAGCTACATTTATGCCCTCAATAAATAAAATTTACAACATAATAGAAAGGCTAGTGGGGATGTGTGTCTTTCGAAAGGAAATTCATGGTTTTTGATGACCATTTTATACTTAAGAGGACAGAAAGATAAAAAAAATATGAAGTAGGTAGTGAAAACTGAATGATTCTAAATTTGAATATCCAAAATAAAATAGAAAATCCTGATTAATAGAATTAAAAGCATTTATCCAATATTCGATGAAATGAAAAAAAATAAAAATAATAATAACTAAACGTCCGATTGCTTCAGTAGAGGTTTAGGGATGGGATATGGAAAACCCAATATCGTTATTGTCATCGACAGAAATATCGGCCTATAATTATAGATGTAATCAAACTTGAAATATCGATATTATGAACCTTTTTGAAAAACCAGTAATTTGGAAATATGAATATAAATATTGATTCTCTAGCACGTAGGCAAATTAAAAATATGTTATTTTCCTCTTTAAATTAATTAACGGAAATATCAATTCTTCTACCCTCCTTAGCAAAATTAATTTCCTGATTCCTGTCCATCTTCACCATTCACACATTTTTTTCATAAATTTTCGATGCAGCAATTATGCCTTTTATCCACTAATAGATCGAATTAAGCGAAATGCTAATTTACTAGCATCTCAAATTGATTTCTTTGACAAGTCGTGGACTTGGTTTGAAAAGGTTCTAACTAACAAATCTGGGCAAATTGCGTTTACACTCACAAATAACTCGCTACGAACTTATCTATGTTCCGAATGAATACATATTAGAGCAGGTCCTATGTTTATAAATGTATAATCTAAGCACGCTATTCAACACTACTACCTACTTCACTTTACACGAGTGGCTTCATATCAAAGATGGTCATTTTCAGAAAGCGGAGAGAAAGTCAATTTTTTTTCAACTCAAAATGTGTCTGATGATTTTATTTAAGACTGTTCAAGTTGAATCATTAAAATTATGTAACAGAAAATTGGCTTCTTCTCAACTTTTTAAAAATGACTAATGTAGGTCTTTGAAATTAAGCCACTCATACGAGAACAGGCAAGATGGAATAATTTGTTTTTCTTACGATCAGATTCTTCTACAATCCCTAGAGATCTCCCAAAATGATAGTTTTAATTTTTAAATTAAAATATTCAAATATCGTAGGAATGTTATCGATAGTCGACAAACTCGAAGTAGATTTCATAGATGGCAAAATATCGATATTATCAGCTATCGATGGTAGTGTTGCCCAAAATCAGTCTGGGCTTTGCAAGACCAAGACCGCCTAACTGTTGCAAGACCAAGAGCAGGACTGGTAAAAAAAATCGATTTTTTAAATAAAAATTTAGGCAAAATAGTTACTAATACTTGACAATCTTAGTTACTGTACGTAAATAATTGGTATAACCAATATACTTTTGCATTTAACTCTTCTAATTTTTCGTTCAGGCTTACTTAGGTTTCTCCTATCTAAAAAAAAAACAGTAACATCTTTATAGTTATAAGCTAATAAGTAACTGCAAGACTGTTGCGTGACTCTTGCGCAAGACAAGACCATGGCCAAGACTAAGTTTGCAAGACCAAGACTCGTCTCGGTCTCGCATTTGGACAACACTAATCGATGGCCATCGCTATAGACGCTTCCCAGGCATTTAAATAATATTTCCATATTCTCCCTTGCTTCGACGTATTATATACATAATATATATTTTTAAAAACTGTATTTAAATTATTTAATATAATTGTTTGAGCTATAGCTATTAATAATATAGTAGTTATTAGTTTTATTATTGTTATTAATTTCACAAACACAATGGTGTTTATTATGCCTAATTGTTGTGGATATATTAGGTCAGCCAAAAATTACATTTATATATTTTCAAAATTATTGAATATTTGTGAATTTCCTGACGATACTTGATGTTACCAATAACACTACTACTTGTTGCAAATTTTCGGTCGTCTTAGACGGTAGGTCTAATTGTCGCAAAGAAGATAAAGTTTAGATTTAAAGAAGACAGAATTTCCTCTGGTATCACCACAATTGGCAGAATTCAAGTTTACTTTAAAAGATACAATTGTTTTATCTCTTCATCTAATTCTACGTATTTTTCACCGCTAATATTTTGAGTAGATTGTCATTAGAAGGAACGCCAATATCTATGATAAATGCATTATATTATAACAATGGCAGGCCTATTGAGGGGAATGGTGTAATCTGTGACGATTGGTTGATCCCAGAACAGCTTGAAATTGCGCATGGAGATGATCGGCCCCGGGTGATATTTATAATACGGACAATAGTTATCCATTAGTTCCATTTTGGCTTACTACACTATCTTAGCTGCATTATTATGTCTCTTCAAGTATTCCTTACTCGGAAATATTGTACATCTCGATGTTACATGTTGAAATGATCCAACTGCCTTTTTGAATAAGCGAAATACGTTATTCATTATTGTTATTATATTAATGACTGTCAATAATATAATAGTTTTTTTTAAATTCCAGGCAGGTAAAGATTTATAACTAGTTGACTTATTAATTGTAAGTGCGAGTTGACTCAGCATTAGTTAGGTAAATGATATATCACATGCGGATCTGGGCTTTATTGAGAATATAAAAAGTTTGGGCTTCCTAAGAAAAGTGCAAGAATTTTTGAAACGTCTCTTCAAAAGTCAGTTCTTATCCTTTATTTTACCAATATATTAACATCTTTCAAATAATTGTATTTTTAAGTGTTTCCAAGTAGTTTTAATAAGAGGTGCCCATCCTCCACCAAGGCTGATGGCGCAGAAACCTTCTCCCTCCCCTTCCAAGATATTTTATTCCTCTCTTCTTCTTAAAAACAAACGAAAGTAAAATTTTATTGATACTGAATTGTCTCGTAAACACTGATATATCTAGTTTAAAGAAATTTTAAAGTTCTATATTCTCATTCTCTTGAAATTTTCATATAGACTGCATTTTCGTTATTTGGGATTTTTAAAGTGCTGAATTTTACGTTTCTGGGGAAACGTATAACGTTTCCAATGAAACATATTTATTCTATCTTTAAAAAAATCCAAAATAAAAATGATGAATCCAGAATATCCATTTTTTCACTGAATAAACTGATCCTAATTCGACTATTCTCTGACATTCGTAACAGCAATACCGGCCTTAGGTTTGAGCGACCGAGGCAATCGCAGCAGGGCGCCGACCTGTAGGGGCGCACGTCGGGGCCCCGGGCGATCTTCAGGGGCGCTTGCCACTTGTTAGATATAAAAAAAAAAATACAAAACGTCTTAAAATAATTAACGTTAGGCTATCAATAAAGCACTGTTTTAGAGAAATATTGAATCGGATAATTAATTATAAGTCTAATAACTAATTTAAAATCTTTGGTTTACGTGATCTAACGAGACAATGGTTTCTCTATTTCCTGCTGTTTGAATCATCATTGCTTTAGATCTTGATGTCTATTATCAGCCTTTTAAATATTTCCCTCTACTCAGGAGTGCCCATCCCCCCCAAGGCCGATGGCACATAATCCTGAGTGAGGGTGAGGGACCCTCCCAAGATATTTTATACCTCTCTTCTTGTTAAAAACAGTTCGTTAAAAATGAAAGTAGAATTTTTAATTACGCCAGTTGGCGTAAAAAATACTATTTTTAAATAATCTAGTATTTATTTGACCGCATGCCCCCCCCCCCGCGACCATTCCTTCTCATATTATATCACGGTCAACCATCTCTATATCAGTAGAATTTTAATATTCATAGATTTTTTTTTTTTGTTCTTCCCTACCTCGCCGTATAGGCTATACGGGATTTTCCCGGGCCGGAGAGTGAGGGCGGGGAATTTAAAATCCCCTCTGGCACCGGGACGCAAACTCGTACTTTTCTTGTCTCTCAAATCTTCATATATCTGGTTGCCGGGCAACTCGCGGTGCTGTGCACACGCTTTAGCCCATTCGGCCAACCCGCCCCTTGACTAAATATTCATAGATTATATACAATTACACATCCTGCGATGTGTGGCATTCTTCCACTTGTCTTGAAAATTCATAACCTCGTCGAAATATAACCCCTTCATAAATTTTGATGGCGCAAATTGCGCCATGAAACCCCTTTCTGGGCATCCCTGCCTGCTCTAACGGGACATCCTGTATAATACAATCTGGTGTACGATCACAAAAGTCGATGAGTAGTTATGTTGAGAAACCAATCGTTCCCTCATAAATTGAAAGCATTATTTCTGAGATTGATAGCTAAATTCGAAAAACAAAACGTTTTTCTATAATAATATATGAAAAAAGTTCCTACCTAATTTTGAGCATTTTCGCACGATTCTGGTGATACTGAATTGTCTCGTAAACACTGATATATCCAGTTTAAAGACATTCTAAAGTTCTTTATTCTCATTCTCTTGAAATTTTCATATAAACTGCATTTTCGTCAATTGGGATTTTTAAAGTGCTGAATTTTACGTTTCTGGGGAAACGTATAACGTTTCCAATGAAACACATATTTATTCTATCTTTAAAAAAATCCAAAACAAAAATGCTATATAAATCCAGAATATTTTTCCATCCATTTTTTTCACTAAGTAAACTGATCCTAATTCGACTATTCTCTGACATTCGTAACAGCAATGCCGGCTTTAGGTTTGAGCGACCGAGGCAAACGCCGCAGGGAGCCGACCTGTAACTGCGTACGTCAGGGCCCCGGGCGATCTTCAGGGGCGCTTGTCACTTGTTAGAAATACAAAACATCTTAAAATAATTAACGTTAGCCTATCAACAAAGCAACAGTATTAGAGAAATGTGAATCTAATAAAA